GAACCTTCAGGAAGAATATATATGATGGCCTATACAAAAAAAATGTAATTTATTATTAATATATTTGTCTAGACATAGAAAGATGGCTGTGTGAAATCCATAGAAACAATTCTAAACATTAAATGGTCATAATTGAGTTACAATGTATCATACAATTACAGATACCCTGTGAAAACTGGAGATTTCCCATTAAAGATACATTAAGTAAGATTTAGATAAAGAGATAGCCATTCTTGCTATAATAGTTCGAAAATAGATAATGTAAAATGAATAATTTGAAAATTTCATTCAAATTACTCTATTCCGTGCGAAGATATTAGTCTTAGAAGTTATGACAAGACATGTGCAATAATTGCAACCACCATACTGGGTGTTTGAAGCTAAGTCTCACTCCTCCATTTTTAAATTAAATTATGGCTGAACTGTTCTAATCTATTTAATATCAGAGAAATCCCATGTCATCGAGAGTTGATTATGGCCTGGATCAGTTAATTAATGCCTAATTAATCATTTAGAAAACATTTCAGGCCTAAAGAAAGACCTGCAATAGACAGATTTAGCTCTTGCATAATGTATGTTTAACATGTAAAATTCGATATGATTTTTTTTTTATGACAAATACAATACTAATATTTATCTGTGTAATATTAATATATCGGTGTATATGTATTTTGATATACCATCTATTGTTTGCATATATACCATTATATTCACAAGGTCTAAATCACAATATGGGAGTTTCGTATTTACCAGTAGTTCTTCGCGGAAATATCTAATAGGTTAATAAAAATATTTCTTTAAAGTATTACCTTATGCACAATCATGATTATTATGTAAATTGACCCTATCTCATAAAACCTGTCTACTCAGGTTTAGACAGGTGATCAGTTTATTCGGGTTGGAAGAGTTGGTTTTTCTTTGTCAGTGGTGCTGATCAGATGGGACGAAAACCCAAGGCCATGTTTACGCGTAGGCATGCATATTAAAGAACCATTGACAGCTGGAATTCATTTGCTGTCCAGGGCAAATTTTTTCTCGGAACACACTGTATGCCCATTTTCATTTAATTAGTTTGGTTGGTGCAGAAAAGTAGGATGATAAACCCCATTTCTGACAAGGACAGCTGTCTAGTCGTTCGGATAGCACGAAAAACCGAGGTCCCGTGTACACATTGGCGTGCAAGTAAAAGAATCCTTGAAAGTTGGAATTCGATATAAGAGTAGGCCGCAGTGCCGCTGTCCAGGCAAAATTTCCGTCATAGCACACTGTATGACATTAAGCCCCGTTTCATTTCATTTTAAAACCCCATTTCATTCATTCTTTATTACATATTAACATATTAGTAAACCATTCTATGGAATATGATTACTGTCATTATTGAGCATCATTTGAACTAGGACGGGGATTGGATGGCCGAATGGTTAGCGCGTGCTCATGGTATCAAAAGGTCTGTCATTGAGTCAACTGGTGTAGTTTCGATTCCCCGGTTGTACCTGACAAGGAGTAGGGTCTCCTGTCCAACCTCATGGGTTTTCTCCGGGTCCTCCGGTTTCCTCCCACTGCTAAAGACCCCTACACGCAAGCTAATTATTGAAATCAAATTGAACCATGTTAATCCTGAAATGACCTGGTTTGTGTTGAGTGGATGTTAAACCCCATCTCTCTCTCTCTCTCTCTCTCTCTCTCTCTCTCTCTACATGTAGGTAGGACATATTTCAAGAGAATGATGAAAAAGACTAGGGAATCTTTATAGTGAAAACATCACACGGTTAAACAGACATAATGTAAGCTAAATCTGCCTATTGCAGGTCTTGTGTTTGAGCATTAAATGTTATATAAATTATTAATTAGACATTTATTAACATGACAATACCATAATCAGCTCTTGATGCCATCTGATACATTTAGCTCTGATTTTTAAGTAAATTAGAACAGTTTGGCCACTTAATGATTACCGGTAAATTTTAAAAATGGAGAAGCGAGGCTAAAACTCAAATAACCAGTACAGCGGTTAAGATCAATGCACACATCTTGTCAAAACTACAGCCATTGATAACTTCACTCTAAATAAAGTAATTTGAATGAATTTTCAATATATTCATTTTGCATTATCTATTTTTGAAATATAGCGTGAACGGCCAGCTCTTTATCTAAATCTTACATAATGCCCCTTTAATAAACAGTAATTGTATTACACAGACTAGCTAGTATCCTACATGTATCTATTTTAATTCAGCTACTGTAAAAGACATTGAATCAATTTGATTAGAATTTAAATGTTTAACACAAGGTAAATTTTAAGGATACACAATTACTATGCATACACAATTACTGAGTTTAATACTATCCATAAAATTGTACCTTGTGTTAAAATGTTGATTTACTAAATGCCTATCAAGAAAGTTAGAAATGTTTAGTAATGATTCTACTACATGTCTATCTTTTGATAATGATTTAGATTACATGTACATGTACATGTTACTCTGATTGACCTATTGATGACTTAATTAATGGATTCACCTATTGAAGACTGTATAATTAACACCAATGAAACTGTGTAACAGTCACAGGTTCAGTTCATTTCTTTGTGTAATACTTCCCCTGGTCTTCATTAGTTAGGGTGAGAGAAGGAGTCTGAGAGCTATTGAAGACTGTATAATTAACACTACTGAAACATGTCAATGTCCAATTCATTGCTTAGTGTAATACTTCACCCTGTCTTTATTAGTAGGGACAGACCTGGAGCCTGAGAGCCCCTAAAGAAACTACTGTACTCATATACATGTAGATTGTGGGTACATTTTTGTTTCAGCTAGGGAATCTTTTTAGGTTTGAACTTATGTCGTTTTTGATGAATTAGTAAAATTTCCACACCTAAATTAAATTTGTGAATAAGCTAGAAACATCAGAATATACTCTAGAAAGCAACGTTTACTGCCCTCAGACCCCTCCTGACTAGTCTAGACCCCCCCCCCTCCCCCTACATGTATGATGTCACACATTTGATTAACCAATCAGCGTTGATGTTTCTAGAGGGTTACCCACAGCCTGTGTACCTCACGGCAAAAACGCGCCGTAACAGATCCTAGTGTAATAAATACCCCTCCTTACTATCTGATATGTGTGTGAAATTCATGTGATCTATATACTACCGTACTAATAATAATAGGTAATAGGTTGTAGTATCATACTGCGTGAAATAACACATTTATAATTAATATAAAGCACCTGAAACGGAACACGATGGGTCTGCCTAACCTTTTCATATCCTGATCTTAGTAATCTATGAAGAAAAAACTCTACATGAACGGTTATTGAGGTTAAGAAATATTAAGATATTGGACATAAAGAAAAAATTTGATTTAAGAACATGAACTATGTTATTAAATTCCATTGTCTATTGTGTTATATAATCCTTTGACTTACTTCTTGTCATGCACATAAATTCCTGTAAAAAAATATATACTATAGTTTATGACGGTAATATTACTAATTTATTTGGAACTTTACAATTCTTTGATCAGGTTAATAATCTTTTGACTTATGTCTGGTCATGCACGTAAATTCCTGTGAAAAATAAGTATACGGATAGGCCCTATACATGTATATTAGTTTGTGACAGTAATATTAGTTATTGATCTGAAATTTTAAAGGTTTATGAAGACAATGATATACCATTAGATGACTTTTAAGGTCTTTATTACATTAATTACCTTTGTAAGTTACACATTCAATCTTACTGAACTTGTCACTCAGTGACTTTACACAAATATCATACAATGGATTTTAAGTTTGTTCAACTTTATTTGGATCAAAGTAGGGGAGACAAAAAATGCCCTGAGCAGTGGTACATGTATTACAGACAAACCACATTGATTATTCATTTGTCTTGTTATACCCAAATTACTTACTAAGAAAGTGGTGAAATGAACATATATAATTATTGAAAGATTAAGTCTTAAGACATTTAAAATTAAGATACAGATTTGAAATTAAAAAAGAATTAGAAATAATAAAATAACATATAACCTTGGTCATAGATGTATTTTTTCATAAGATAAACCTAAAGCTCTGTTGAATTCTACTAACAAATAATATATATCCTTTTATTCATAAATTAGTGAATTTGGGGAAAGTATTTACTAGTTTTCGTATAATGGTATCACATCCAATCTAATTGACAATTGCAGGACACAATTTACATCGTTTTGTTTTGACCTCCAGAACTTAAGATTTGTTCATATTACAGTAGGTATCTTGAATATATACTGTATTCAAAATAAAAAGTTTCATATATTTACAAGTTTATATTTTGACATAAACAAAATTATGCTGCAAATTCTTGCAATCCTAGTGCAGGATCATCTGGCTGAAGTGCTCTATTCCATTATATAGACCCCTTCTTCATTAGCCCAGTTCAGAGCAGAACAGTAGGACGTTAAACCCCATTTCATTTCATTATAGACTTAGCATGTTCAAGGACAACTCTGTTGGCAATGACTATACATGTACATGTAGCTTTCAGACCCATAACAGATCAATCTGATTAAAACACAATCTGATTAAAACACAGATCCAATTGCGTTTGGTTTTTATAGTTCAAAATTTCGATTTTACTTGTCTTTACTACACTTGGATCTGGAAGCGTTGTTATTTAACTCGTGTTCTGCTTGAAATGAGGGGTCAGCCAATCAAATGGTCTGTCGAATCGAGCGTTTGACCTTTTTTGCACGGAACTGTGGGTAGACATTAGCGGCAATAGAAATCAAAACATGTAGTGTAGGCCATCGAAAGTATAAAAAACGAAAAGAAATATAGATCTAATTAGATTGATTAAAACACAGATCCTATTTCGTTTCATTCTTTATTGTTCAAAATTTCGTTTCACTAATTGTCTTTACTACACTAGGATCTAGAAAAGTTGTTATATAACCTGCGTTTTGGCTGATGTGAGGGCTTAGCCAATGCAACGGTCTGTTGCATCAAGTTCTTGGTGTGCAATGCACAGAACTGTGAGTATCCTACTAGAAACATCAACGCTGATTGGTTAATCAAATTTCTGACGTCATAGAGTCAAAAGCCACTCATCTATCTCCTGGCGAGGCTTCCCACTACAACTGATTAGATCTTCATGTAGTAGAGGCCAATGAAAGTATAAAAAAAAAAAAAACGAAATATAGATATGTATTTTAATCAGACTGAAAAGAAATGAAATCATATGAAATGGGGTTTAATATCATACTTTTCTGCACCGACTGGTCTAAGTAAGACATTCATACGCTATGCAGTGTAATATAAGGGAAACTTTGCCGGGATAGCAGCACTACAGTCTAATCCAATATCGAATTCCAACTTGTCTTGAATATGCATGCAAATGTGTACATATGACTTAAATCCAAAACATATATATTCCATAACCGGACCTATACCACAATGTGGTATTTTTCTATACATGTTAATTATAGGACATTCCAGACCTGTATACATGTACTGTCATGTACATGCTATTAAATTACACAATTCATTCATTAACTTTTAATGATCTGCATTTCACACAACATTGTAGAATTTGAAGCATGTCAAGAAATAACCTTGGTAATTATCTGATAATTGTATTCTAGGCATAGTTAACTAGAAGGTACTCATTAACATTTCTTCATGTGATCTATATTATATTGAAAATTCATTGTAGACAAAAGAAAATTTTTATATAAAAGGATCGACTGCTTCAATTACTGTGAATAAATATTTACTTTGTCTCAGAATGTGAGCAGAAAAAACTAATAAAATAGCAATTTTTTTGTTCTCTTGTTGGGGGTTGGGTGGCCGAATGGTTTAATGTGTGTACAGTTTAGATCATAAGGTCTATCATTGATGGCTTGCTTTTGATTCCCTAATTGTAGGAGACAAGGAGTAGGATCGTTGGGTGGATCCCTCTCTCTCTCTCGCTCTCTCTCTCTCTCAGTCCATTTGACAGTCCATTTTATCGTTTGTCCATTCATGATAAACCCCTTACAGGAAAGAATATTTGGTATTTATTTTTCAAACTTGTTCGATCAGCTTGTCCTAAGGTGGAACCCTATCTAAGTTCAGAGTTGTATGATGACCTACATGTATTGCAAAGTGTTACTGCCCCTGTCACCAAAACCTTGTAAATGTTGTGCAGTTGATAAGTGTCATTGAGATTTTTTTTTTCAAACTTGGTGACATTGTTTGGCTAGCTCAAAGGAGGAACCTATCGAAATCCAACAGTTTATTGCAAAATTACTGCCCTGCTGGTTAAATCGTGGGCGTATATGCTGTATGCTATTTTTGTCTTTGATATATTTTCAATAACATCACTATCTGGTTAAGATTCATGTCTGTTGTATTTACGGACGCAAAAATAAAAATAAACATTAATGTTCTGATGAGTGTAACTTAAAGGAGCTAAGTCGCAAATATTTGGGATCTAGAAATTGACACAAATGGGTCGCAACACATACAATAATGTAATATGAAGGTATATAAATTGATTTACATTCAATTGTTTCTGTTTTTACTGTAATTTTTAATCAGTTAGGTTCGGCGAAATACGCCAGTATTCTCAATCGAATTTCAATCTCTAGCGTCTGGTTATTCCAGTGTACGCCGATATTATTTATTGGACTTGCTCTCCAGATAAGAATATAGCGTCACCGTTTGACATGACTTGTGGAATATGCCTAGCCTCGTTTTTCGAGTCCCTTATTACAAATAGCGCTGAAACGTATTATGGTACACGATTCGTGTACCAATTGTAAAATGTTTATTTTGTCTTAAATATTGGATATCAGAAGGCCATATTTTCCCGGTAAGATCACAACATCAATGTTGATTTAAACCGACAAATAAATCGCGATTTCAATGTCGAAGATTTTGGATGATATTGAGTTAGATACTTAGCTACAAGACAAAATTTTCCACAATCCATGTAACAGAATAAATAAAGCTTTTAAACTCTTTTAAGCCATTTGAACAATAGTAATATTATTTTATCTGAGTGAGGATTATAAAATATATCAAGGACATTGATTATTCAATCTATAACCATTGTGTATGTTAACGTGTTACCAGACAGCATTTAGAACCCCTCAAGTCACATGGTTTACACTACTAAACTAATCAATTTATGTGGATTTTAATAGCTAATATAGTTTATGACAGGTCTGTGTTATTTTGATTACAGGGGAATTTATCTCCCCCTACATGACTAATGAAGTCGGGCATATACCACCCAGTGTGCTATATCTTGTATTATTTATTATAACAAAGACAGAAATAATGAAAAAGAAATCATGACAATAGTACAAAATGATTGAATTATGATATACATGTACTGTCATGAAAATTCTGCTTCTTAAGGATAATCCAAGAGAATCATCAAAATTACACAATGTTCTCTGGTTTATTTCCAATTGGGGCCTTTTAGTGGCAGATCGATTCATGTCATTACTGGAGGACATGTTCGCAAAAACTGGTAAAATGATATTAACAGAACACAATTTTTTATGGGAAACAATCACTGGTTTTAATCTAAAAGCATGACGTTTCGACAAGTTTCCTCTTATTCTTATCAAGCACAATAAGAGGATACTTGTCGAAACGTTGTGTTTTTAGAATAAAACCAGTGATTGTTTCCCATAAAAAATTGTGTTCTGTTAATGTGTTTCCCAATAACTAAATGCCACTTAAAGATTATGGTAAAATGATATGAAGATTAATATGTGATATGATGTGTTGACTAGGAAACATATTGTAGACAACAATTAACAATATTTTTTAAGTCATTCATCCTCTCCTAGTTGTTATGAGACAAATTTTCCCCGGAAATCAAATTCCAAATGTCAAGGGTTATTTTATATGCACATCAACGAGTACACCATGACTCTCTGGATTACAATGAGTTTGGATCAATTATGCCAGTGATAACAACCAGTAGATATTATTGATTTCAATTATTTACTTAAATTCTCAGTCTTGAGATAAAATAAACACAGATCATATTATCAAATACCAGTATTTAGTTTCACAAACTCCCAATAAAAAATAAAGAGTATGAATATTTAATGTGTTTATAATATTAATGACTGTTTTAAAGAGAGAGAGAAATGTGGTTTAACGTCCACTCGACACAAAATAGGTCGTTTCGGGACTAACATATGGTTCAATTTTATTTCCATAATTTCGCTTGGGCATATGGGTCTTTAGCAGTGGGAGGAAACCGGAGGACCCGGACAAAACCCACGAGGTTGGACAGGCGACCCTACTCATTGTCACGTACAACCAGGGAATAGAAACCACGCCAGTTGAATCAATGACAGACTTTATGATACAGCGCGCACATGCTAACCATTCAGCCATCCAACCCCCTCAACTGTTTAAAAGAGTAGGGGATACATGTAAAACCAGTTCAATATAGTACGATCCTATGTATATTATTATCAGCAAAGAATCTCTCTTCTTTCTTCCATAGCTAAATAGAAAAGTACGACAATATTTTCTTAGTTATAATTTTTGTAGCCCTCTTCAATACATCTTTACATCATTATCCAGCCCTGTCTCTTTCATCCAACCATCTGTTTAACTAGTCGATTTAAACCACCTGTTTTGCTAATCTCACCCAACCATCTGTTTAACTAGTCTCACCTAACCACCTGTTTTACTAGTCTCACATAACCATCTGTTTAACTAGTTTCATCCAACCATCTGTTTCACTAGTCTAATCCAACCATCTGTTTTACTAGTCTCACCCAACCATCTGTTTACTTGTCTCGCTTAACTTACAAGTTTCACCCAACCACCTGTTTTACTAGTATCATCCAACCATCTATTTTACTAGTCTCATCCAACCATTTAACATTTAACTTACTGGTCTCATCTAACCATTTATTCTACTAGTCTCATCCAACCAACTGTTTTACTAGTCTCATCCAACCAACTGTTTTACTAGTCTCATCCAACCATCTCATCTACTAGTCTCAAACAAATGGCTCTTCTGCTAGTTTCACCCAACCATCTATTCTAGTTACTGTATTTCTTCTAATAGTATCCCTAAATCAGCTATTCTATCTTTCTCACTTAATTGTTAAGTTGTATTTTAATATACTTATCTCATTCATATTTCAATGGTTTTATTCTATGGATGCCATACCAGTTGATCAACACAATGTCCAAAATATTGCCTTTATACTAAATTTACACATGTATTTCATTTTTTTTTAAGAGAGAAAAAAATGCAAAGTCAAAATGTGTAATTTCTATGGATGGAAATACAACTACTATTACTAACCCAGAAAATGGCGATGTAAAAAGTTTTTCCTTTGATCATTGCTATTGGTCACATGATGAATGTACAGAAGATGAAAATGGAGTTTTTACTCAAGATTCTCAAACCTCCAAATACGCTGATCAGGTAGTTAATTTTTTTACTTTTATTTGTTAATCTGAACCTACATGTATCAAGGTCCTGGCCGGTATGTTATTTTTTATTTAACCCTAATTAACCCTACCATGACATGGTTATTGGACTTCTAAAAACTGGGAGATTGACATCTAATGTCAAGTTTTCAAAGTCTGAAGTTACTCTCTTTGAGACTGAAACAATTTAGTCAATCAGGTGTCATGAGCAAAGGAATGAATAAAAAGACAAAATTTGTTCTGAAGCCGTAAGTAAAGGATGTTTAGCCCATCTCAGATCACAGATGTGATGATACAAGTTACAAGTTTTTGTCTTGGATGGAATGGATAGTTGACTTATAAATCAAATAGGTACAGGCGATTAGACTGGTGAACTTGGGATCAGACTGAACCAAGATGGTAGGCAACATAAATAGACAATTCCAATTTTCTCAATAAATTAGGCGGAAGCAAGAATCAGAAGAATGTTGTCATGCATATGGTGAAGATGGTAGTCAGCATAAATACACAATTCCTTTTTTCTCAATGTACCATCTTGATTTGTACAAAAATTTACTCAAACAAGGAACTAACTGGGGTTTGATGTCCACTCAACACAATTTAGGTCATTTTGGGACTAACATATGGAGGAAACCCCCAAGGCTGGACAGACACACGCAGAGAATCGAAAACACGCCACTCGGCCCAATTTCAGATCACTAGACCACCCAACCCTCCCGGAACTTGTCAGACACTGTTTACTCTTTCATTTGTTTAAATTCTCAAGAAATGTTACTATAGATTTCATTGTTCATTTTTTCTTTGTAGAATTTGGTATTTAAAGATTTAGGGCAGGGAGTTTTAGATAATGCTTGGCAAGGATATAATGCTACTTTATTTGCGTACGGACAGACAGGATCAGGAAAGAGTTATTCTATGACGGGTTACGGAGCAAACAAAGGAATCGTACCTATCACATGTGGAGAATTATTTAATGCCATAGAAAAAAACAAGGATGACAATAAACAATTGAGGGTAAGGAAATTTAATTATTGATATATATTGAATTTTATAAAGGTATATTTGTACTTGGCTTCACATGATTACCACTCATAGATGTCTCTGATAATAAACACTTTACAGATAGTTTAACCTCTACTCAACACAAACTAGGTTATTTGGGGACTAACTTGGTTCAATTTTATTTCCTTTTCATGTACGTTCAGCCCCCCCCCCCCAACACTTTACAAGCTGTCCCCCAAACACCTTACAAGCTGTCATTAGACAGCAGAGTAGAAAAAAAAAATACTTTTGAATTTCAAAGCAGACATTTTGAATATATTTTGTAAAATTTACTTTGGAGAAAATCATACTGAATGATTCCAAATAGGTGGCAACTGTGAAGAACCAATAACCTTAGTGTTAGAAAGAGTTGCTTAATGAATTAATTTCCAAAAATAGGTAGCAAATGTGAAGATCAGTGACAAGGAGGCACAATAGCTTCACAAATTATTACAATTTTCATTCTTAAATTAAAGTTTATTTATTTTAGGTAACATTTAGTATGTTGGAGATATATAATGAACAAATTCGTGATTTATTGGTCAAAGGTCAACAAAAGCAGGGTGGTCTGAAGGTCAGACAAAGTCCAAAAATTGGTTTCTACGTTGAAGGATTAAAGGTAACTTAAGGATTTCTATTTTAGAAACCCAAATAAAATGGCATTGATTTCTTGTTCCATCCAGAAGTTGAACACGTCCAATGCATTTGGTTTCCATGAACTGTGTTAAAGAAAAAAAAAACGAGATTAAAGTATCTAGCAATAGGACTCACTTTAAACTTTGATTTCTGGCTGGCATTCATTTCTTGTTTTACTGTGTAGAATACATGCTGGTATGTTATTTTAGCAAGCAGGCTGGTTTTTAGAAACTGTGTAATGGTACTCCAATTCCCATAAGGGTAGCAAATGTTGACTGTGGCTTAATCACACATAAATCAACAAAATTAAGTGTTTCAATACTGTACAAATAATTACAAATATTGGTCTGGTTTATTATGACCAATAATTGCGGTTTCCTGCAATTAAGGAAATATTTCCTGCGAATTCCAAAGTCATACCGAGATAGCAATTTATTTTACGACAATTTCACGTGACTGTCCCTTAGTTTTTACCAGCTCAGGTACCATTATAGGTAGTCGGGTACGTACCATTACAGTGTTTTTCTTCCATCAAGCACTCTTCTGGGTACACAAACTGGGTGCTTTTGTGGTTATATAGCCTACAACTACCCCTTCAGCTTTGTCACTATTTATATAGAAATAGAATAAGTTATATTTTGTATATCTTATTATTATAGCAAGTACCTGTTAGTAATTATAGAGAAATAGAACAATTAATGGAACAAGGTGCTATAAGTAGAACAACAGCATCAACAAACATGAACGCCACCAGTAGTAGATCTCATATGGTCATCACTATAAAATTTGAACAGGTATGTGACAAAACTTTGTATCCAAACATAATAAATGCATGGAAATATTGGTCATGGGACTGGAATACGTGACTGCTATGCCACATGTCTTCACTCTTCTCTATATTACTTAGTTTTCGATGTTAAACTTTAAAAACTATCAAAGCACTGGACTAAGTTTGACAATTTTTTTGTAATTAGTCAGAATCTGCCGTTTCGTAAAACTGAAAAGTTTGAACCGTTGCATTGCCGTATTCACTGCAATTTCTGCCCAATAAAATATAATTAAATATTAGTGTTAATGAATGACACTTTATTTGCATACATGCTTAATTAATTACGTGTGATTTTAAACTCATGTCAGCTATATAACTAAAGTGGACAAAATTACAGCAAGGTCCTTGCTGTTGAGTAGTTTGGACCATGTGACATCAACAAAAAATATGTCGTCTGCAGTTGGAATTCATTCAACTGTTTCGCACTGCTAACCAATTGTCAACAGTTATTTTGTTTCCTGGATACCGGCAATACTATATACCGGAAAACAACTGGAAAACACCAGAAAACTACCAGAAAACACCATTTTATACTGAGTACCGGAAAACTCCAGAAAAACACTAAATACTGGAAAACACACTAAACACGGAAAATACCCTAAATAGGTAACCCGGAGACTGGCACCCTAAATAGGTAACCCGGAGCCTGGATCTGTGTGTGCCTGGGTTAGGGTTAGGGTTAGTATAGCCCTTCTCCAGGTTACCTATTTAGGGTGTTTTCCGGTATTTAGTGTGTTCAGTATAACATGGTGTTTTCCGGTTGTTTTTCTGTGTTTTCCGGTATATAGTATAGCCCCATGGATACATGTAATAAAATGATTGTATTTTTTACAGGTTTTTATGAACACGTCTGGTCAGAGTACAACTAAAAGTAGTGAGATTAATCTGGTGGATTTAGCTGGTAGTGAACGAGCTAATTCTACAGGTGCTACAGGTGATAGGTTAAAGGAAGGAGCGGCCATTAATCAGAGTTTATCAACACTGGGTAACGTTATCAGGTAGAAAAAAGCATTATGATAAAATCTCATAAATTTAGATGATGCAGAATGTAATAATTGGCTTTACTAATGAATTATCTTCCTGGATGCAATAAGGGTGGTTGGATGGCTCAATGGTTCAACACATGCTTTTCAGTTCATAATATCTGTCATAAGAGACAACTGGAGTGATTTTGAGTACCAGCTTGTGGGTGACAAGGAGTAGGGTTGCTGGTCCAACCTCGTGGGTTTTATCGGGTCCACCAGTTTGTTGTCACCAACACGCAATCAAATTATTGACATATAATTGAACCATATGTTAGTCTCAAAATGACCTAGTTTGTATCAAGTAGGCATTAAAAGTTCTCTCTCGTTTTTTGCGAAGTGAGCAATTTAACATTGAGATGTTGTAGAACAGAATAATTGGGGTTAATGATGAGTTAAGTTGGGGGCTTCGTCATCTAGTTCATTTTCTTTTTATACTGGACAAATTAATTTGAGAGGGGAAAAAAGCACTGTTGTTCATGATTATTGTCAAATATTACAAACATTTAACTTTGCTTTATTTAATATGTTTTAATTTTGTGTATTAATCGTAGTATTTTTCTATAAGCTCATAATGATTATTCTGTTACAATCTTAAAATGATTTGATGTTGATATATTTTTTTAGTGCATTAGCTGATATAGCAGGAGGAAAGAAGAAAGTATTAATACCATATAGAGATTCAGTTCTTACTAAATTATCACAATCTGCTCTTGGTGGAAACAGTCGGACTATAATGGTTGGTCTTTCTTAAAAACTTTTTGATTTTCATGAACTCTTTACATCTCTGATATATAATTTCCGTTAATATTACTTATGTAAAACTATTCATAACCCGTATGGCGTAAAAATTGACATTGTATTTGTGAAATTAACCCTTTGGTACCTGGACTACCCACAACTGCCTGAAACTCCTGTTCCCTCTCATACCTCAGTCTATGAATAGCTATAAACTATTTAATGACTTTCAACGTGGAGGTCCCGTGTTTGATCCCGGTAATGGCTGAGAAAGTTCATCTGGATTTTCCAACATGATTCCCCTTTTGTCAGTGGTGTAGGATGGAAGGCTTGGCAAGGGACAACGTATAGTCGTTCTGACGGGATGAAAAAAGCAAGGTCCTATGTACACATTGGCATGCATGTAAAATAAACTGTGACAGTTGGAAGTCAATATAAGAATAGGCTGTTGCTTGGCTCTCTGGGTAAAATTTTCCACTTAGCACACTGCATGGCATATGCCCTTCCTCAATTGGCCTGTAGGAGATTAAACCACATTTCATTTCGTATGTAATGACAGTCTACTAGTTCTGTTTGAAATTTGTTACAAAGCTATGAAAATTGAGGTAGTCATTATTTACATGTATCATGTGTTACAGGGGTTACATATTAAATCATTTTGGATTAATGTGATTGAAATTTGTATTATTCCTGAGAAATTTGGAAATTTGTATTATTCTTGAGAAATTTGAATTATTCTTGAGAAATTTGTATTATTCTTGAGAAATTTATATTTAATGTAATTGTATTCTATTTAAAGATCGCTGCACTGAGTCCAGCTGGTATTAATTTTGATGAAACTTTATCTACATTAAGATACGCAGACAGGTAAAGGATACAATATATTTTAACTCAGTTTTTTTTTGTAAAGTCCATTATTGTCGTTAGGACAATAACATTAATATTAATTTCCTGGATATTTTGCTGTAGTGGAGTGGTTCCTATGTGTCAAAGTTTATGGAAATCTCATCTTTAATGATAAAAATAGCTTTTTGGTTCCAAGAAATGTCTCAGCAGATGTAGGGGTTGAAATAATGAAATAATATGTAAAATATCAATTAAGATGTTGCAAGCATGAGATTAAACTGTTTGTTTACAGAGCAAAGAAAATACAGAATAATGCTGTTATAAATGAAAGTCCAACTGAAAGATTGATTCGTGAATTGAAAGAAGAAAATGACAGACTTTTAGAAATGTTGAAGTCGCATGGTAAAAAGGGCAATAATTCAGAAGGTAAGATCAAGGGAAAGCAGAGCTCTCCTTTCATTCACATCCGCCAGTCACGACTGACTGACAGTCACAATGTCCAACTGGAGAATTTATGTTAGTCAATTAGAATTTTGAAATATCTTTGCTAATCAGAAGTAAACAAGATATATCTAAGAAATAGGAGACAGATTTTCTCCTATTTCAGAAGGTTTTGGACTCTTTTTTGACTCTGCAACAAGAAAAGAAGAAATAAAGTATTAACTTTTAACAACTTCTTGGTTAAATTAAACCTCTTCTATTGGCTTAGTAAGTTTTATAAGAGTCAACGCCAACAGACTATGAGGCGCTGGGGTAAAGAATTGTAGTATTTAGTAAATATCTGAAACAGTCAATAAATGATGATATAATAAATGAAATACCCCTTCTTTATTTTATAGAGTTAAAATATCTATTGGCTGAAAATGAAAGACAGATGGGTAATCAGTTGTCATGGGAACAAAGATTGGAAGAAGCAAGGTAATTCTTACAATATAAATTTTTTTCTGACAATATAGTGATATTGGGTGGAGCTTAACCATGCAATAACTAGACATGTTCAATGTTATTGCACTCTCTTGCTGGTTTATACTAGTTTTAGTAAAAAGCATATAGAGAAGTGGGGTGGGTTTTCTGTGCAATAACAACAAGCATGTTGAGCAGGTGTCAATGTTACAAGTCATTTATAGCATGCTTAATTGGTTAACAGGTTTAACATCTCGGCCTACAGCCTCGATGTTTAAATTTGTTAACTCCTGAAAGCCATGTGTTACAAACTTGATAAGCAACTAATAAGGATGTACTTATTGTGCTTCTATCAGTAAAAAAGGAATGAAAACAGGGAAATACAACAAAAATATAAATGATAGATAATCTCCTGGATTACATTCAGTCGGATTAAACAGATGTCCATCAAAAAAATTTTCCATTTACAGGTGATGCTGGATTGTTCAAATTGTCTGCAGAGGATACTGAATGTGAACCATTTGTTGACTAATATTCCTTTTGGAGATTCACTTTTACATTATCGTAGTTTTCAAAGGATTCAAAATTCCGCAAATGACGATCGGCGGGTTTGAGTACCGTAGAATCTAAAAATGGTTTTAAATGCTTCAGAATAATTGTAACCCTCTACCACGAAACCAGGTGCTTGTCACCCATGTTTATTTTGTACTACGGGCACAAAAGCATAAACCGTATGCCTTCTTGTTGCCGTGAATGAACCAAACTCGAGATGATATGACAAATTTAAAAAGAATTGCATTTTTGGAAAGCTTAGGCTGTGGACTATTCAAATATGCTGCCAGGTCTATTTTTTTCATAAGGGGGGTTGGATGGCCGAATGGTTAGCATGTGCGCGCTGTATCATAAGGCCTGTCATTGAGTCAACTGCCGTGGTTTTGAATCCCCGGTTGTATGTGACAAGGAGTAGGGTCGCCTGTCCAACCTCATGGGTTTTCTCTGGGTCCTCCGGTTTCCTCCCACTGCCCTAAGCGCAAGCGAATTATTGAAATAAAATTAAACCATATGTTAGTCCCATAATGACCTAGTTTGTGTCGAGTGGACGTTAAACACCATTTCTCTCTTTCTCTCTATTTTCATAAAAATGACCCAAATCCTGGTTTTGTGGGACAGCTAACGTTTGTGCATCATATGGATATCCAGTCTTGATACAAGTATCATATATCTTAATTTTGTTTTACGACAGATCTGAATGGGAGAAAACATTTTTAAACACATCTAAAGAGAAGGCTGACTGGGAACAATTACCATATATAATGAATATTAATGAAGATTCACAGTTAAATGGTGTTATTAAACATTGTTTTGATAAAGGTAATTTCTTTGCATCTTAATTAACAGGATACTGCTATATTTCTTGTATTCCTAATTCACTAATTTGATGGTGGGCTTGGACAAAAAAGTGGTTTAACACATGTGCATCAAACCATATCAGCTGTCATTGAGTCAAGTGGCGTGGTTTCGATTTCCCACTTGTATTTGACAAGTAGTAGGGTCGCCTGTCCAACCCAGTGGATTTCTCTGGGTTTTCGGGTATTCTCCCACTGCTAAAACCCCTATGTGCAAGCAAATTATTGAAATAAAATTTAACCATATGTTTGTCCCGTAATGATCTAGTTTGTGTCGAATTGATGTAAAAACCCATTTTACTCTCTCTCTCCAATTTGATGACCAAGTGGACCAAAGCAGTGAGGAGCTACACTGAGTCAGTCATGTGCAGCTTGGTTGAAGACTGGGGAGTTGGCAAAAAAATCATCTGATCCCATGTACACATCTTGCATGTAGTATAAGAACACTTGGTGGTTGGAATGCAAAGAAAAGTGGGTGGAAATTCCACTGTTGGAACAAAATATTGCATGGCATATTATTATGTCCATCTTGGGCTGAAAAGTAGAATGACAAAACCATTTCTTAGGTTCTTCAGTTTACTGCCAATGACAATGTGCCTCACACGTACAGATTAACAAAATAAAGATACATACCAGGCTGTGTTTATTTTACTCTAAACCACATTTCTCTTCCGCTATATACAAAATATCAAATGGAAATATGTGAAAATTTGATTGTAAAATATTTTACAGGTAAAACTGTGATTGGTAAAGAAAATCAAGATGGTGTAAATGTAGCTATAAAAGGTTTCAGGTAAAAATTATTTTAACATACAATTCAAGCACTTTTTTTTTTCTTCTGGATTGACTATCTGATCTGAAAAACTATGGTAAGAATGTGGATTAGAATGGGATTTCAGTTTTTTGATATTAGGGTTTTTTCTTCTTTTGTTAATTAGAGGAATTTGTGGTAATAGCAGGAGATGAGTTCCATTCTACTACAATCTCTTATATTCATTTTAATCAATAGATATCAAATGGTAATCTGTAAAAACTTGAACAGTTTAGATTAAACATTCATTATGCAAGAGCTAAATCTGCCTATTGCAGATCTTTCTTTAGGCCTGAAATGTTATATAAACTATTAATTAGACATTTATTAACATGACAAGATCATAATCAACTCTCGATGTCAACGCTAGCCTGCGATATTTATTGGATTAGGATCCGATTTGTTGCTCAACTTTCATTCATGATTTAATCGTGAAATGGATAATCGAGACTATGTTTTTTATCGTACCTACTTTAGTAATGATGATCGAGGCTAGGCCGAAAATTCAGTCACTAAAATCTTGGTTCAGAGTGGATCAATTTGACCAAAATTTTCAGCAAATTCCCTTTACATTATCAAGTTTTTAACTATTATAGTGACAACTGCCAGCTCTTTATCCAATCTCCCATAGTGTATCTTTAATTAGTTTTCCAGATATTACCATCTGAAAACCTATTTCAAAATAAGTAACTCATATAGAAAGGCAAACATCACATGATAATATTATATGAAGATTTTAAACTTCTATATTTTTGTTTTTATAAAAATTCAATAAATGTATCAAAATTGATATTTTAATAAAATTTATTATATAAACCAGAAATCTACAGTAAGTTAAATTCTATTACTACTAAGTTTAAATTTTGCCTTGTATGTAATAATATAGCATGTAATATAACATCTTTTGGTATTGCATTTAAACTTCTGCCTTGTGTTGAATGGAATCATTTTAATTTTCATGATTTTAACACAATTTACCCAAATATTTATTGAGATGGAATTTTTGGTATGCTCCTCTAACATATATCCATTTATGTGTGGTTTAAGTTTAATAGGGGATCACGTGGCTAAGTGGGTAAGACGCTGGCTCGCTAGCCTGGAAGTCGGATGTTCAATCCCTGCATTGGCCGAGAAAGTTCATCCAGATTTTCCGGCGTGGTTCCCCCTTGTCAGTGACGCAGGACGGAGGGCCTGACAAGGACAGCTGTCTAGTCGTTCGGATGGTACGAAAAACCAAGGACCCGTGTACACATTGGCATGCACTTAAAAGATCCCTTGACAGTTGGAATTTGATATAAGAGTCGGCCGTAGTGCCGCTGTCCGGGCAAAATTTCCCTCATAGCACACTGTATGGCGAATGCCCGTCTTCATTAGCCCAGTTCAGAGTAGGACGTTAAACCCCATTTTATTTCATTTTTAAGTTTAATGGTTGAGAGCGAGACATTACCTAATGTCTTTCTTGAAACCATTAAACAACATAAACTACAGACACTATCCCACATGTCCATTTCACGATTCCAATATTTCATCTAGTATAAAATAATTTATGATTGGCACATTGCCTGTACCTTTATTTGAAATAATTGTATACCAACATCAAAGAATGACGTCACATCTGTATTTTAAATATATATATCCATATATATATATCCATCATTTGCCTTGATCCATGTAAGGATAATGAAGATACTTTATTTAGTATGTTATTTTTTATCTTTTGGTATTTATATTGTGACTGAAAGAACTATTTTGAATTTTTCTTGAAATTATGCTTATATGATGCATGGACATTTGTATGTGCCTATATTTAATGTTGACATACATTGTTGTCACTTCCTTCTTGTTTTCTGCTCACTTGCTTGTGAACATGATAAAGTCTTTATTTTTGGTCCAATTTTAGTGAAATTCTGTTTGTTGCCTTATATCGTGGAAAAGTTTGAATTTGAACGTGATTCATCAATTATTCTCAGAGTTATTGTCCTTGTTATGGCCAAATTACGTGGCTTATGAAGCTGCAGTCTCTACATTTTTCATTCGATTTTAATGAAAACTTGATATATGACCTTAAGATCTCATATGAGCTTCATTGTGATTGATATTTGTCAATTAATCACTGACTTATCACCCTAATTGACTTAGTCAAAATACATGCAGATTATCTTGTGAACTTAATTCATTATCTTAACATGTTCAAATAGTTGAGGTTGTATTTTACTGTGAAAGTCCAACACCCAAAAATAATCCTTTGTTGACTGCTGCCTTTTAACAAACCTTCAAGTAGGCGTATTTGCCATTGTGACTGCTCATTGCTTCATTGTGTCAAACTAAATTCTTCCATGCATATTTCTACTTTTATAAAAGTTTAAAAAAAATTGAGTATATCCTTGATTACTTCTTATAGAAATACAGTTTAGGAGGTTATGATCAATCTCTAAAAAATCAAAGGTTACAGAAAAATTTCCGAACGCATTTAAACCCCAGTCTGTCAGGTTGTAGGATAGAGTGTTTACTTTAGACTGCAAGGGCCATGCTGCCAACCAGATCTACCCACCATTACCAATCCAGCTTTGGCAAGATCATGTCCTTGTCGGCAAAGCGGGCCAGACTGCTCTCGCTGGCACAGTCTCATCATTCTTTCTTACAGACTCTTTTGTGATTCCCTATTATTTGTACCTGGAGAAGGGCACTACCCTGCAAAAGTCATTATATCTTTACCTAAGGAAACAGAATCGTATAAACCTTCTAATCAATCGCATCTCCCGTCTCCTTCCCATGCTAGACTAAACTTATCATTGTAGCTGAGTTGGTTAAGAAAGTAGAACGTTAAACCCATTTCATTTATTAATTATTACTATCTGTATAATAACATGTATGATTATATTACCAGTATGCAAGCTGGACATGCTGTGGTATATAATGCTATATATTTATATTACAGTATACAAGCTGAACATGCTGTGGTATATAATGATGGTAGTAAGATATATATAGAACCAAGTACAACTCAATCACTGATCAACTGTAACGGCGCCAGAATCAAAACAAAGACACAATTACATCATCTAGTTAGTATTTTTACAGAATATATTATTTAATAACTTGATTGTCTGATAAAAATAAAATGTGATATTTACAAAAGCTCTTGTTTAAGTGGAAGATTTGTCAAATTTTTGTGTTGTTGTGTTGAATTGTGCATTGTTTTTTTTTTTTGAAAGTATCAACTTTTCTATGTCTTAACCAATACTAAAATATACTCCAATTACTAATTTAACATTATATTGCGCCTGGAGGTCTGGTGTTCGATTCCTGCATTGGCCAAGAAAGTTCATCCAGATTTTCCGGCGTGGTTTCCCCTTGTCATTAATGCAGGACGGAGGGCCTGACAAGGACAGCTGTCTAGTCGTTCGGATGGGACGAAAAACCAAGGTCCCGTCTACATATTGGCGTGCACGTAAAAGATCCCTTGCCAGTTGGAATTCGATATAAGAGTAGGCCGTAGAGCCACTGCCTGGGCAGAATTTCCCTCATAGCACACTGTATGGCGTATGCCCGTCTTCATTAGCCCAGTTTAGGAGCAGAACAATAGGACGTTCAACCCCATTTCATTTCATACATTTTATTGCCTGCCCTGGTAGGTTTTCTATTCCTTTCACATCTAAAGACAGCTGCATACAAGAAAATTACTGAAATATCAAGCCTGAGATAAACACTATGACACCTAAATCGATCACAGACCTTATGATCTAAAGTGTTTGCATTAAGCCCCACCCACCCCCTTTTGTATGGGGAAACTATCGAAATAATATTACCAATTAACAAATTAGGTAGTCAGTCCGGACTGGCATACATGTTTGAAGCAAGCGATCCATTCAATTTCCTTGTGTGGAATATGTCTTTGAAAATATGTATATCTTTATTATATTTTTTAATTTTTAGGACAGGTTAAAGTTTGGTACCACAAGTTTATTTTTGTTTATGAGTTTTACATCAGAAAGAGGACCACAAGACCAGATAGATAAATATAACTACGATTATTTTATGACCGAGATAGCAGAGCATGAAGGTTTAGCTGCAGAACTACAGACGCCAAGAACACACGGTGATGAAGCTCAATCAAGTACTACAACAGTGTTTCATGAATTTGTTGATCTAATGCCTTTAATTACAGAAGCTAATGCCATCAGTGAAGAACTCAATAAAGTAAGTTCTGTTTTTTGATTTTGAAAATTTCCCTTAGATGCTTGTTTCATCATTGTCAATATTTGACAGGCTCTGTCTAAATGATACCAAATGTAGCTAAGCAAAGATTTATCTTCTGTATGTAAATACCTTTGGCATAAAAAATGTAATATTTCTTATTTATTTTTTACAGCATGTAAAATTTGAAGCAGAAGTAAAAAGTTCAGCAAGTCATGAAACAACTGCCAAATCTAAAGATAAAGAAGTTCTTGTTAAAGTAACCAATACTCTCACTAGAAAGGTAGTTCCTGTTATTTACTCTACTAGAATTAGGTCTACCATAATATTAATGTACAAATTATTTATATGAGCTGCCTGGGTAAAATTACACCATAGCAGACAGCATTTCTCATTTGCCTGTCTTCATTAACTCATTTGATGTTGAAAAGTAAATCGTTAAGCCCCATTTCATGACATATTATAGGAAAAGGATATATTATTATTGTTAGGATGGAATAATTATGAAATTAATAGAAATTAATGTAAACTTCAAATGGCAATAGTTACAGTTGATCAATCCTAGTAATATATGCAGTAATATGGGAACTTGTTATTGTGTTCTCCCCAATACTATGAGTATATTTGTCATTTGTTTGGGCATGTTGTGACTTTAAATTCGGGAAGTGACGGTGGCTAAGTGTTCGATCTCTGTATTGGCCGAGAAAGTTTATTGGGATTTTCTGACGTGGTTTCCCCTTTTGTCAGTTGTGCAGGACGGAGGACCTGACAAGGACAGTTGTCTAGTCATTCAGATGGGACAAAAAATGTATACATTGGCATGCACGTAAAAGATCCCCTAAAAGTTGGCCATAGTGCCGCTGTCCGGACAAAATTTCCGTCATAGCACACTGTATGATCTATGCCTGTCTTCATTAGCCCAGTTGGAGCAGAACAGTAGGACGTTGAACCCCATTTGATTCTGTTATTATAGGTATGGATATGGAGTAAAGGAAAGTTTATTAATCGTAAGAATATTATGGATCAGATGTATAGTGAATGGAGTGATTCAGGTCAGGTTAAAGTCAGTAAGAAGAATGATCCTTTCTGGGATCCAGTAGAGGACGTCTTTTTAGGAAGGTAAGTAAAAGATACTTTTAAGATGGACCATACATTTCACATATTTAACATTTACATATTCCTAGATGTTTGATTATTTTAATGAGTAAATGTCATGTTTTAACAGTGTTTTCATGTTTGGATGCATGTATAGGAAAGGCAATCTATAGAGAAATATTTAAATAACTGAAGAAGGACACCTTTTGTCCAAAATGTCTAATCAATAAGACTGTTCATTCTAACTATGGAGTTCGTCTAATCTACAATGGTTACAGCTGTTGCATCTCGTATCGTTCTCTTCCTGAGCCCCTTATGTATGGCTGAGATTCCAGTACAGATGTCCTTCGATCACTAGTCTCCAGCTATCCTAGACCTCACCTTACGAGAGTTGTCGTAGTTGTCGTCGTCTTCTACTCCTAAATAACAGAATTATGAAAGGGGAATTATCTATATTGTATAAGTAGAGAAATAATGATAATTGAAAATTAGTAAAGTAAAACTTGATCTGTTTTAACAAGCAAACCTCTTTCATGACTCCTTTTCAGCTACACAAATTCTGGGAATAAGAAATTTGAAATTGTCTTTTGTATTCAGAACACCAAGTATAACTACCCAAAGAGCCCCAAAATTTGATGTTAAATACAAATGCTTGTCACTCTTTACTGTTAAACTTTCAAAATTCAAAGCAAGGAACACTATGCAGATATTAAACATAACAGGCCAACGCCGATCGAAATACACTTCAATTTAAAAGGACATTTGAGTAGAAATGTTATGATCAAAATTAAAGAGCTTTTTAAGACTGACCCAGATAATGGCAAAAATGATGCCATCAGAAAAAGCCAATAAATTCAAATGGATTCACACTTTAAGATGGCATTAACGATAAGGTATAGTTCCGAAAGGGTCCCCCACTTTATTGTTTATTTTGTTTTATTTCAGCTGTCATGTTTGGTTACAACCAGTAGCTTATAGAGTAGAGGTTGATGAACATTTTGCCGTACATAATTATCACGGTAAAGAGGAAGCTGTAATACATGTACAGATTGTACCTTGTAACGAGAGAGGTAAACCAAAGATAGAAGATGATATACTTGTTGATTCAGATGAATTATTAGGATGTCCGCTACATTTTCACATCAAGTTACCACAGTGTATGGGTGTCAGATGGGTGATGGAGGATAACTCTCGAGGAGTTTATTGCAGGTAGGTTAATAGTAAGAGCAGGAGGACCCCACAGCACACAAACAATTACAACAAAAAAAACAAGGAGCCGGACGCAATATACAGAAGAAAAAAAACAAACGCACATATCAGTCGATCCCAATCAATCATTTTTCAGAGAGAGAGATGGGGTTTAACGTCCACTCGACAAAAACCAGGTCATTTCGGGCCTAACAGATGGTTCAATTTTATTTCAATAATTCGCTTGCGCGACCCGGAGGAAACCCACGAGGTTGGACAGACGACTCTACTGGCTGATTTTATCCACCATTGTTTGTCTGAGAGGGCCTGTCAATTAAAATTGTCTATTTGTTCGGATAGGACAAAAAATGAGGTCCAGTGTACACAATGAAATATGTGTAAAAGAACCCTTGGCACTGGGAATTCACAGAAGACACTCGTCTGTGCTACTTCCTTCATAGCCCCCTGCTTGATGTATGCCCATTTTCATTAGCCCAGTTGGTGCAGAAAAGTAGGACTGGAAACCCCATTTCATTTCTTCTTTGTATTCGACTCAAGCTGCAGAAGAGAATAGAAAACTTTGAATTCTGGATACATGTACAGATATTATTATGTAATATATCACATGAAACCTTGTTAAATAATAATAAAATGTGTATTTTTGTTGTGGTTTTTTTTCTAGAGTTGTGCTACCAGATGAAAAACATCAAATTGTAACAGACAGAATTTGGAACAAAATTCACTCCGAATTGGCATTCTCAAGACAAATTTCTTATAAAAAAGTTTCTGCCAAAATTTTACAGAATCTTTTAACACAGTCTTTAGTGCTTGAATTATGGGGAACACAAGGTAAATAAAAATATCATTTTTTTGATTACAAATGCAAGTTACCATTTTATTTAGTAGCAGTAAAATCATTAATATATCTTATTAGTTTTAGACATAATTATGGTTCTTAGGGTCAAGTCAAATTATTGGATTATCTATAGGTTTGATATCTATAAGACAAAGTCTTTCAAGTGTCATATAGGTTACAGCAGTAACATAATCAAGATATCTGAAATAGAACAATAAACTATAAAGGGGGATTAATTTTGACCTTGCACATGAAAACAACTTGCGTTTCGGCTACCTTGAGCAACTGAATGCAACTGAAAAAAGTCGACCTGAGCGCCTCTTACAACTCAAAGAAATAAACTGCAGTCAGTTGCACATGTTCAACTTTCTGCAACTCGATGCAACTAGCGTTCTTACAACTAGTAGTGTCAACTCTTTCCATGGAGATAACATCTCGGAAGCGAACGAAGACACACACTTTTCAAATGTTGATAATGTCGACAATAATATATTAATAGAATTGTTGCAAGACGAACCATGCCTTTGGGTTGCTTCTTCTAAGTTATTTTCCATTTTGTTGATCACATGATGAATAAATTAACAGTTACGTGTTTAGTGTAATCGCTGTCAGTTCCGAGTCGACATGAGTGCTCCGAATTCATTTGCTCTCAATTGTCCTCAGTTGCTGACACAATCGACATAAGCACACTTGCAACTGATTGCAACTAGTTGCTTTGAGTTACAAAGCCGACATATGACCCCCTTAACACATACTTAAAGAACAATTTAATTGCATGGTTTTGAATCCCCGGTTGTACATGACAAGGAGTAGGGTCACCTGTCCAACCTCATGGGTTTTCTCCGGTTTCCCCCCACTGCTAAAGACCCCTACACACAAGCGAACTATTGATATGGAATTAAACCATATGTTAGTCCCGGAATGACCTACTTTGTGTCGAGTGGAGTTAAACCTCATTTCTCTCTCTCTCTCTCTCTCTATAGATTTAGTCAATTTCCTTTTTTTTTATATTAGATAAAACAGAAGTAGAACATACAGAAGAACATGTCAGTCGACATCTTGACGTGGATATTATTTCACCAACAGTAAGTTATATAAATCAATTCTTCAAGTTCTATAACTTTTGGAGTCCATAAATTCTGGTAAGATTGATTCATTTGAATAATTTTTGGACTTACCTGCTATTTTTGCAGATAACTTTATATTTTGTATGGTCTGAAAGATTGTATTTGCATCTTAATCTGGAATATTGTGTCTTCATGAAATAGAATTTAAATGTCATGGGGTTCAACGTCCCACTTTTCTGCACTGACTGGGCTAATGAAGACATGTGTAATCATACAGCGTGCTACGGCCTACTTTTACATCAAATTCCAAGAAGACCTTGGTTTTCTGTCCCATCGAAACGACTAGACGGTGCCCTTGCTATGCTCTTTCTGTCCTGCTCCACTGACAAAGGGCAACAACTCTGGAAAATCCTGGGGAACTTTCTCAACACCGGGATTAAACCCTGGAACTCCTTAACCACTGAGCCAATAGGCCCTACTTATTATTATGTTCTTAATATTTAGAATGGTGCTCCAGATTATAGTTCCTTACAAAAAGAAAATAAACAATTAAAAGAAGAACTGGAAAAAAGTAGAAAAACAGCTCACCATCAGAGTAAGTTAATGACTGTTATCATATATTTTATCATCAAAGAAACTAGGTCATTTTGGGACTAACATATGGTTCAATTTTTTTTTTAATAATTCGCTTGCACCTCAGGTCTTAGCAGTGGGAGGATACTGGGGGACATGGAGAAAACCCACAAGGTTGTACAGGCGACCCTATTCCTTATCACATACAAGCAGGGAATTGAAACCACACCACTTGATTCAATGACAGACTTTATGATGCAACGCGCACGTGTTAACCATTCGGCCATCCAACCCCCTTTGGTTTTAATGTCTTACTTTCCTGCACCGACTGGGCTAATGAAGATGGTCATACGTCATACAGTGTGTTATGAGTGAACTTTTGAACGGACATGAACTCTATGACATGCTTTTAGTTCTAATTCCAATTGACAGGTTCTTTTACGTGCACACCAATGTTGAGACTGTGTATGCATCTTTATATGATAATTTGTCCATTTTGATGTTAGATGATAACATTATAAATCAGTTGTATATTGCTGTTACCCCTGTCTGTTCAGCAATCACTTTCATTTTCCTCTAGTGGTGAGGTTTGGGTTTGGGAGGGGCATCATAAAGTGGAATAGCCTAGGGTTTCTCGTCATCTAAATCTGGTACAGGATATCAACTTGGGAATCATATTAACTTGTCGTACTGTACCACCCAATCATCAAATGTAGAACTTGTATTAATCTGTTTTATTTTTCCTTATAGATGGTACAACAAATGGTCTGGATGTTGATTTAGCTAAGAACATTCAGATTTTCTTCAAAGATATTCGTTCAGTTCAACATCAAATACAAAGCATGAAAGATATTGGTAAGAATAATCCTTTAGAGGCATTTACCGGTAGTAACTGAATAGAGCAATAAACTATAACACATACTTATGGAAGAACAATTGATTTATTTTGGTGACTCTTTATTATTCTTACATAAGTATGTTAAAGTTCACATTCGTATTTATTTATTTTTCTAATTGGCTTAAAGATACATTATGGGAGATTCAATAACGAGTTGTCAGTTCTCATTATAATAATTAAAAACTAGATAACGTAAAGGCAATTTGCTGAAAATTTCATTCAAATTGATCCACTATGAACCGAGAACTAAGCGGATGAAACTTTTGCCTAGCCTCGATCATCATTACTAAAGTCAGTACGATAAACAGCATAGTCTCGATTATCCATTTAATCATTTAATCGAGAAGGAAAGTTATGCAGTAAATCGGCTCACAATCCACTTAAGATCGCAGGCTAGCGATGCCATCTAGAGTTGATTATGGTCTGGATAAGTTAATTAATGTCTAATTAATAATTTAGATAACATTTCAGGCCTAAAGAAAGACCTGCAATAGACAAATTTAGCTCTTGCATAATGTATGTTTAATGATACATCCAATGATTGTACAAATCACATAAAACGATGCAAATAAATGACAGACTTAACTTAATATAATATACACTCTATCAGAGTTAATATAATATACACTCTATCAGAGTTAATATAATATACACTCTATCAGAGTTAATATAATATACACTCTATCAGAGTTACCATAATATATACTTTATCAGAGTTACTATAATATAATATACACTCTATCAGAGTTACCATAATATATACTTTATCAGAGTTACTATAATATAATATACACTCTATCAGAGTTACCATAATATATACTTTATCAGAGTTACTATAATATAATATACACTCTATCAGAGTTAATTAGCAAATTAATACTATACATATTTATAGGGGTATCAAAGAATCAGAGTTAAGATAGAACATATTGCCATTTTGGAATCACTCAAGTTAGGGTTTGCAGATATTTCACATTCAGCCTTGTTTCTTCAAGTTCATATTGCACAAGTCCAAATTGAATGTCAGTCTTTGCCGTCAGGTTATTCCAATCTACACCGGTAGTATTCTCCTGTGGGATATGTTTAGCCTTATTCATCGAGTTGCTTCATTACAAATGTCAACCGAAAGCATTCTGCCATGCGATACATGTGCCACTTTTAAAATTTTCATTTTGTCTTAAATATTGGGTATCAGAAGCCCATCTTTTCATGGTAAGATAACAGCAACAGTGTTGATTTAAATTGACCAATAAGTCGTGTTTGCAATGTCAAAGACTATGGATGATATTGAGTTATCACCCAATAATACATTCTACAGTAGATATCGCTTGTGTGATATATTTCATAATCTACTGCGATATCTCCTTAGGAGATATCGCTTTACATGAATTTGATTGGTCAGTTGAAAAGGAACTACTTTTTTTTATTTTCAAAGAACAGTTCATTTCTTATTAAAAGTAATTTTTTTTTTATTAAAAATGAACTATTGTTATTCAATTGACCTTGATGGAAACACTGGGTCAATATAAAGGACTTTGCAATGGTTGAATTGCTGTCAAAAAATGATATATCACTACGCGGTAATGTTCAGTTAAAGTGAAATCTACAGCAAAGAATTATATTTATCTATTTGTGCATGTAAGAAGGGATTGGGTGATAAATAAAATCTCCTGCTCGTCTTTTTTAATATAAAAAAATATCAACACTTGTTGATAAAGTAAAAAAAAAACTCGGCAGAGCCTCGTTTTTTGTTACTTTATCAACTTGATATCAAAAAAGACTGGTAGGAGATTCTCTATTTAGTGACTTGCCTTCTTTAAAACATACATGTATGTTCATGATGTGTAATTGTCCACAGTAGCCATTGACTTATTACAGCACTTAAAGCATGCACCTTGGAAGGATTAAGCACTACTAAATGCACATTATTGTTCTAAATTTGAATTATACTACATGCAAAAGTAATAGAATTAGATGTAATTTAACTGTGTATTTATTTTTATAGCTGATGGAGTACAGAAAGATGGCAAATATAATGGTAACATGAAGGTCATCATTGAAGATTATGTCACTTCCTTAGATACCACTGATAAACAATTATCGACTTGTGTACAGGCCCTAAGAAAAAGTGTCATGGATACCATCAAGAAAAATAAGTCAAAGTAGACATATTAGTGCACTACCAGAGCTTGAATTCCTCAGACTTCAGGAAGAATTTTGTAAAGTGTTCCCATAGACTCATCTGAGTTCAGGCCTGATGGATTGTTTTTATAAAAAGAAAGTCAAACCTGTGATATCTATTGTCGATATTTTAATTACCAGTACCAGATTATTTAGAAATATTTTTGGTGGTTATCAGTATTTCAATTTCTAGAATAATCAGTATTTATTTACTAAATAATCAGTAATATTTTATTGTGGTTATTATCAGTATTTCAGTTACTAGAATAATCAATAATATTGTTTTTTGGTTATTATCGAAGATCTAAATTTTAGTTTAGATGCAAAAAAAGATCTGTTTTACTGTGATACAGTAGCTTTATATTGTTATGTATAATTGTTAGAGAAACCGTCCATTATGTAACTGTGATATTAAGCCACATATTTTAAAATCTAGACCCCCCATATTGTGGATAATTGTATTAAAACATCAACAATCAAGAAAAGACAAAACGAAGCCTGAACCATACTTAATCCTAGTACACTTATTAAACAAAAACTTTGCAGATCAATCATTTCCATCTTAAGTTAAGGCCTTTTGAATTTATGATTTTTGATTAAAAATAATAGAAACTATACATAAATGACTCATATTCTTTACTTAAAAGGGTAAAGCCAGCGGGCAAACTTAATAATTTTCATCAGATACATTAATGTAGACATGATATCATTTCTTGAAGGATGTTTGGTTGTTTTTTTTTTTAATAAATTTTTCTACTTTGTGGAATATTCAGGCACAATTAATAATTTTCATCAAACAGATACCGGTACATTAAAGTAGAAATGATATCATATCTTGAAGGATTGGGGTTTTTTGAATAAATTTTTCTATTTTGTGGAATATTCAATAATTTCCCTTGAACTGGATGTGACTGATTAAAATCACTATAGAATATGAAAGTTTGTTACTGATAGATTATTTTTATACTAAAAGTGCAATATGTATATAAAGATGTTATTGTGATATACTAGTATATATATGGTTATTTGTTTTTTAAATATTAGTATATTTGGTTATTTTCTGTCTTCATTAGCCCAGTCAAGTCTGTGTAGAAAAGTAGGACGTTAAACCCCATTTCATATCATTTGATATTTGGTTATATTTTTTTTTATATATATATACTACTATATATATATGGTTACTGGGGTATTTATTTTTATAATTTCGTTAAAGGGTAAGGAAAATCATCAGTTGATATTTCTACATGTAAAATATTATTTAGTCGCGATGCACTATTTTAAGCAATAGGAATCACTTCCAAACTACAATATTGTGAAAGATGAATCTTTAATAGAAATATCCGTCCAATAATGCCTCAACCCCATTCAGTATTTACAGAGATATATGACACTGAAATTTCATCGATCTACAATGTTCACTATGCAGTAAGCCAAGCACAATTTTGTTGTCCATGAAAATTTAATGATAGACCTGTCTTAAATCCGATTGAATTTAAGCCAGAACATTATCTGGCGTTCGTATTTTATTTCATTTATGTTAAATAATCAATTAGTGTGCATGAAGATGTTAGAAAGTCGATATTTTAGTGACAAATCCCAAAGGTGACAAGGAAATTCAGACATTTCCAAGAGTTGAATCTACATGTAAATGTTATTGTGTAATTACTGTATATTATATTTGTATCATTTAAATGTGTTTATAATTGTTTGTTATTGTATGTTAAAATAATATATCATTGTTATTGTGTAATTACAGTATGATGTAAATTTGTTTATAATTGTTTGTTATTGTATATTAAACTTATATATGATGTTATTATGTAATAACCGGTAAAGTATGTTATAAATTATATGTATAATGTACGTAAAGTAAACTTGTTTATAATTGTTTGTTATTGTATGTTAAAACTTTTATGTAAATAAAAAGTTATGTTTAAAATAAAGTGTTACACGAATTAAGTAAGTGGTTTATATTCAAATCAATGAAACCCTGTTCCCAACAGCTTCAAATAAATTGCTAATTGATGGATTCCATCAAAGACATACTCTAGCCGTTGTTAGTTTGCTTTAAAACCAGATTAATCTCGAAATGAAATAAAATGAATTGGAGTTTATATAATATCCTACTTCTCTGTATCAACCAGGCTAATGGAGATGTGAAAATTCTATGCAGTTTTCTAAGAGAAAAATTTTGTCCTGGGAACTGCGCTCTATAGCCTACACTGTATTTTTCAAATGACAACACGTTTTTCCATGCCAGGTCCTCCGTCTTGCAGCACTGAAACCAGAATGAAAATTCCTGAGGAACTATCAAGGCTAACACCCAGATTGAACACAGGACTGTGCTAGTGAACAAATTACAAACTTGTCTCCAATCCATGGAAAACTGCACTTCTTTAGCCCCAGTCCAACTAATTGACCACAAATACCCTCATTTCAAACTATTTATTTACATCTTTTTTGTATAATGTTTGATAATCTAAGATCTGTATTGAAATTAATAATATAAAAATCAATAAATAAATTCATCCATGAATAAATATAAATAGAGGTAATTTGATTAGAGGTATATCAAAGCCTCATACCAACAAATGTCTAGATATGTAAACATAGTTTGCCAGGCAAGTTAACATGTGCCCAGTTTCATTCACAAGTATTTGAGGGATTAAAATAAAACGTCTTACAAGTGCCAGGGCTTTCGTTTTCAACATTCAAGATTTTTTCACTATTTTGTAAGGTTTTTTTTTTAATCATACACAAGTTTTGGGATTACAGATGTGTATTGTAAATAATGATCACGATCCGAGGTTTGTGAAAATTAGTCAAGAACTCAACTCCATAGGGAGAGAATGAGAAACAGGGTTTAACGTCCAACACAAACTAGGTCATTCCGAGACTAACACACGGTTCAATTTTAATTCAATAATTCACTTGCATGTAGGGGTCTTTAGCGGTGGGAAGAAACCTGGAGAAAACCTACAAGGTTGAGCAGGTGACCCTACTCCTTATCATGTACAACTGGGGAATCTAAACCCCGCCAGTTGACTCAATGAAAGACCTTATGATACAGCGCGCACCTGCTAACCATTCGGCCATCCAAGCCCATAGTGTGGGTAGTAGGCCTACAATAGATCAAGATACTCTAATCGAGGGGCATAACTCTGGAAAGACTCAGAACACATTAAGAACTGATAACGATCTTTTTCTAACCAAATAATATCCATTTCTGAAAACTTGGTCAGAATAGATCAATCATTTCACTCTGTACATTGTTTATATGAATATAGTCATTTGTGTTTATTAACACTCCTACCAGTCTTGGGCAATAACTCTGAAATTACTTTTGCAACTTTGTTCTAAGTTTATTAGGATCATCTACACACCTGTACCAACTATGCCTGAAACTAAGTCAAATGAGATTTTTACCTGACTCACCACACCAAACAGGATAACTTCCCTTTATTAATACATTGCACACTGACTTCTAAATCTACACTTGAATATATGTTAACTTTAGGTTAAATTTTGACACTTGCATATTTTCTTGAGCTTCTTGTTAAAAAAATTAAATTAAATTATTTGCAAGATCGTTCTCATACTTTAAACTTACATTTAGCTACTGTTTTCATGCATTTCTAATTGTGCTTGACATATAATTTCTTTCTTTTCATCTAATATTTCAAAACAGATACATTTTTTTTCTGGGGGTGACCAGAAATCAACAGAAAGTTGTTCTCCAACATTTCCTTCTTTAACATAGCTTAACAACGCTAATTTAATCTGCGGTAATTTTAAATCAGTTCCGTCTTTTTTAACATTTGTAGAAACTAAAGCATCACAACAAAATTTTAAATAATTTGTCCAGTTCGTATGTGAATACGCATCACAGTCACTTGGTGGTATTATCAGAGGATATGATGAGACAGCAGACGGGCGCGGGTAACTTAGTCTCCATTTTAAAACTTCTTCTGGCTTAGAATATTTCTTATATTTCTCAGTCCACCATTCCAGAAATGGTTTTGGACGGCGGGTAGTTTTATCAACGCAAACTGTCTGAACTCTACATGCTGCTAAAGGTGTTTCTATTTCTGGATGAGATACTTCTGTTAAAATATTCAGTGATGATGTCCCTGCAGAAACTAATTTTTCTGTTATTATTAGCAGACTCTTGCTGGTCTCTTTCTTGTATAAATCTGGGCTGATGGTCAACGAAGATGTCCCAATAAAACCTAAGATATTTTTGTACTGTATATTAAAATCTAAGAATCCTCGTTCTGGATCATTCTGAATCATTCTGATTGCCGTTACATGAGAATGCTCTACCAGATTCCACCAAAGATAACAGACTCCAGGGTTTAATATTTGCTACAATAAAATGCAAAAGAAAAGTCTAAAGCATTATTTAACACTGTTAAGCTGTTCAGCCAGCTTATGAACCTTGGCTGTTTAGTAATGAAAATTTTTTTGACGGATGGATTATGGCGAGGGTAACAGCGGCAAATGCCTAGAGCCTGGGACCTCGTTTTTGCATTCCATCTGAATGACTATACACTGTACTTCCCTTGCCAGGCCCTCAGTCCTGCACCATTTACAAGGAGGAACCACGCCGTAAAAGTCCCTATGAACTTTCTTGGCCAACGCATAGATTGAACAGGGGACCTCCAAGTTAGCAAGCCAACGTCTTACTCTCTTACTCACTGAGCCACCGTGGCTCCCTTAAATAACTAATAAACATTATGTATACAAAATGAAGACTATGGTCTGTTTGTGGCAACTATTTGCATTTAATCAATGTAATGCAATACACATTTTAAAAGTTTGGTTGTCCGAGCATATCTATTACTTGGTGAAAGCTATTTCACACACCAAGCATATTTTTGATTTGTCAGTAATAAAAGCATCTACAAGACACTAAAAACCGAACCAGAGCAGCAACCCATTAAGTAATTATCATTAGAATTTGTTTTGCTTCCCGGTCTGTCCAATTGATGCTTAGTTTATAATACATGTACAAAACATAAAAATATCATGAAATTAACTGATCAAAATATCGGAAATCATTGAAAATCAAACAGTTTCTTTGTCTCATGAAAATAAACGCTGTGTATAAATCTAAAGTAATTGGGTCATAACTTTAGCGTCCGCAAGATTTTCCAAAGTGATCAAGGGCTGTAATTCTGACAATAGTGATCAGAAATTGCCGATAATCTATAGGCTTCTTTGTCTCATGACCTTAAACACTGTATAAATTAAAAATCAATTGGAAAATACCAGGGCCACAACTCTGGTAGTAATTATTTTAAATCATTGAAAATCAAACATTTAATTGAGAAAATTTGGGAGGTTTTCAGATACAGTCAGCTGTAATTAAATGATCATAATATATTATATTTATACAGATTGGACGACATGACTTGATATCTGTAATCTTTGATAATTAAACAATGTCAATGTGCCGTCATAGTTTGATTAATCATTCACCTTGTCCATCAAATGCTTCGTATGGAAATCCACCAGGGAGTTGTATTTTAACAATATGTGGCGCAACAAATTCTCGACGAAAACTATTTGTCAGTTGAAATGCAGTCCTGAAAAGAAATTTAACAAAATTATGATTTAATTAACTTTGCGATTTTGATTCATCATATCAAGCATTCCAGCTGGACATGTTCAGCAAATGTGGACTGAACAGAATCCATGAATGCCACGAAGTAGTTCATTTGTCAAGTTACACCGGGCCGAATGAGTAAACTTTGATGCATTATTTTATGTTCCTTGTGAAAGTCTATGCTATTCTCTGTGACAGAATGTTTGTGATGTGCTTGTTTACCTGTGCAGTTTTGCTGTTCTGTCTGGAAGGGTGTCTGAGATTAAGCGTACGATAATTATTTTCTCTAACCTTGATTAATGGTCAATTAGTCCCAATCCCATGGTGTATCCATGCTATACCACTTCCAGATATCCATTGAGGTTTTATTTGCTGTTTTTGTTACCAAGAGCCGCCAAGAGGGGTATTTTTACTACTGTGCTAATGGATATTGACAAGGGATATAAGGCTGTATATGGTGCGACCAATCAAGCAGGGGACCTGGGGAGAGGGTGCTGCTAGCTATGCTTGATTTTTAACTAACAATACAGTTCACGATTTCCAGCTGAGCTCAATGGATGAAGCTATATTATTGTAGGCTGTTAAAAAAAAATGTCTAATTTTCAGAGGTCACTATGCCAACAGGTGAATATTTTTTCTTGTAAGTCTATCATTCATAAGTCCATGACAAAATATGTTGGCCTTAGTGGAAAGCTAATCAGAGAGAATAAATTTCAAGAAGACAAGCATAAAGAAAATATATTAATATTGTCAATAATGAATTATGACTATAACCATGCTTTGTCGTGAGAATATAATATGTCAATTAAATCTATAGATATAGTATTACCAAGCAAAAGCAGTTCTTGTAGAAGACATTATTATTTTCTGTGACTATGTTACATTTCTTTCTAGTACAGATTCATATCATTTTGTGTCAGGCAGAGCAAAGGTCGGTTTCAAAGACCAAGGGAGATAATTTTATTATCTGCCCTTTTTTTGCTTTTTCATGTTTGAAATAAAGTGTTAAACAAATTAAGTACTCGGTTTATATTCAAATCAATGTAACTCTGTTCCCAATAGCTTCTAATAAATTACTAATTGATGTAATCCATCTTAGACATATTCTAGTTATTGTTATATATAGTTTTGCCATGGACCTTATAATATTATAAGGTCCATGGTTTTGCTTTAGAACCAATTAACCTTGACTGTAGTGTTTCAGAAATGAAATAAAATGAATTGGAGTTCATATAATATCCTACTTCTCTGTATCAATCGGGCTAATGGAGATGTGAAAATCCTTTGCAATTGTCTTAGAGAGGAAAACTTTGTCCTGAGATCTGTGCTTTACAGCCTATACTTATTTTAATCTACAACTGTCTGGGGATCTTTAAGTGCTGCCAAGGGTATATACAAGACCTCAGCTTTTTGAATGGCCACTCGACTGAAATTAAGTCATTTCGTGACATGACTAACATTTTTCAATTTTATTTCAATAATTTGCTTGTCCGTCTGTGGGAGGAGGACCCAGAGAAAACCCACGAGGTTTGACAGGCAACCCTACTCATTCTCACGTACAAGCGGGAAATCTAATCCACATCACTTGACTTAATGACAGACGGAGGATTGCATTTACCATACGGCCACCCAGCCCCCTCAACCATATTTGGATGGGAAACTGCACTTCATTAGCCCCAGTCCAACTAACTGACTACCAATAGTCCAATACCATCATTTCAAAACTAACATTCTTATAAAACTTTATTTATTTACATCTTTTTTGTAGAATGTTAAAATTCTAAGAATTGTATTACAAATAAATGTTGAATTTAAAAATCAATAAATAAATAAATTCATCCATGAATAAATACAAATATAAATAGAGGTAATTTGATTAGAGGTATATCAAAGACTCATACCGACAAATGTCTAGATACGTAAACATAGGTTGCCAGGCAAGTTAACATACGCCCCCAATAGTTTCATTTTTAACACTCTACCAAATTTTTTCCCTGTTTTGTGAGGTTTTTTTTAGCATTAACAACTTTGTGGATTGCATACATGTACTGTAAATAATGATCACAATCCAAAGTTTGTGAAAATTGGTCAAGAGTTCAACTCCATTGAGTGATATAGTTTAATCGAAAATCATGGGACATAACTCTGGAAGTACTTAGTGAATACACTCAAAACTGATAACTATCTTTTTCGATCCTATTCCTTTTCCTATTTTTTTCTGAAAGTTTGGTGATAATCAGTCAGTCATTTAATTTGCTATATTGCTTATATGGTAATTTGTGTTTATGAACTCCTACCAGTCTTTGGCAAACTCTGAAATTTGGATCATCTTCACCCCAGTACCAACTATGCCTTTAATTTTGAAGTCACATACGATTTTTACCTCACACTCCTCAGTATAGAGGATAACTTCCCTTTATTAATATGTAGCACACTGACTTCTCAATCTACACTTGCATGTTCACTTTTGAGTCAAAATTTTGGCACTTGCATATTTTCTTGAGTTCTTTGTAAAAGGCATGAATTAAATTATTTGCAAGACCGTTCCCATACTTTAAAGATACATTATGATTATGGGAGATTAGATAAAGAGCTGGCAGTTCGCACAGTTATAATACTTAATTAAATTATTTGCAAGATCGTTCTCATACTTTAAACTTTCATTTATGTTAATTTACAATCTACTAATTTCGTGCATTTCTAATTGTGCTTGACATATAATTTCTTTATTTTCATCTAATATTTCAAAACAGATACATTTTTTTTCTGGGGGTGACCAGAAATCAACAGAAAGTTGTTCTCCAACATTTCCTTCTTTAACATAATTTAACAACGCTAATTTAATCTGCGGTAATTTTAAATCAGTTCCGTCTTTTTTAACATTTGTAGAAACTAAAGCGTCACAACAAAATTTTAAATAATTTGTCCAATTCGTATGTGAATATGCATCACAGTCACTTGGTTGTATAATCAGAGGATATGACGTGACAGCAGACGGGCGCGGGTAACTTAGTCTCCATTTTAAAACTTCTTCTGGCTTGGAATATTTCTTGTATTTTTCATTCCACCATTCCGGAGTTGGTGTTGGGCGGCGGGTAGTTTTATCAACGCAAACTGTCTGAACTCTACATTCTGCCAAAGGTGCTTTTATTTCTGGATGAGATACTTCTGTTAAAATATTGATTGTTGACGTCCCTGCGTAAACTAATTTCTTTGTTATTATTAGTGGACTCTTGCTGGTCTTTTTCCTGTATAAATCTCGGTTGATGTTTAAAGAACATGTCGCATTAAACGCTAAAACATCATTATACAGTATGTTGAAATCTAAGAATCCTCGTTCTGGGTCATTGTGATTGCCATTAAATGAAAATGCTCTACCAGATTCCACCAAAGATAACAGACTCCAGGGTTTAATATTTGCTACAAAAAATGAAAAAGAAAAGATTATAGCATTATTTAACCGTGTTAAGCTTAAACCTCCAACTTATGAATCTTGGCCATTTGGTAATAAAAATTTTTGTCATTAAATCATACAAGCAATAACGGATCATGGAGAGGGCAAAAGAGGCACAACTCTGGTAGTAATTATTTTAAATCATTGAAAATCAAACATTTAATTGAGAAAATTTGGGAGGTTTTCAGACACAGTCAGCTGTAAATGATCATAATTATATTATATTTATACACCATGCAAAGATTGGACATGACTTGATATCTGTAATCTTTGATAATTAAACAATGTCAATGTGCAGTCATAGTTTGGTTAAACATTCACCTTGTCCATCAAACGCTTCGTATGGAAATCCACCGGGGAGTTGTATTTTAACAATATGTGGTGCAACAAATTCTCGACGAAAACTATTTGTAAGTTGAAATGCGGTCCTGAAAAGAAATTTAACAAAATTATGACTTAATTAACTTCGCGAATTTGATTCTTCATATCTAGCATTCCAGCTGGACATGTTCAGCAAATGTGGACTGAACAGAATCCATGAATGCCACAAAGTTGTTCATTTGTCAAGTTACCGGGACGTATGAGTAAACTTTGGACTTTGATGCATTATTTTATGTTCCTTGTGAAGGACTATGCTACTCTCTATGACAGAATGTTTGTGATATGTTTGTTTTCCTGTGCAGTTTTGCTATTCTGTCTAATAGGCGTGCCGTCTGAGATTAAGCGTATGATAATTATTTTCTCTAACCTTGATTAATGGTCAATTAGTCCCAATCCTATGGTGCATCCATGTTATTCCTATGCCAGACATCCATTGAGGTTTTATTGACTGTAGCTACGCATAGGGGTATTTTTACTACTGCACTAATAGATATTGATAAGGAATTGACTGTATATGGTGAGACAAATCAAGCAGGGGACCTGGACAGAGGGCACTGCTGCCTATGCTTGAGTTTTAACTCACAATGCATGCAGTATAGGCCTATGATTAATCTTGATTAATGGTCAATTAGTCCCAATTCCATGGTGGGTGTATCCATGTTATTCCCATTCCAGACATCCATTGAGGCTTTACAGCTAGGCTACTACGCATAGGGGTATTTTTACTACTATATACACTAATTGATATTGACAAGGGATTGATTCGATTATATGGGCAATTATTTCAGCAGGGGTCTTGGAGAGAGGGCGCTGCTAGCTATGCTTGAGTTTTAACTATGCAGTATATAATTTCAAGCTGAGCTTGACAATGCTAGAATTGTAGGCTGTTAAAAAAAAATGTCTAATTTTCAGAGGTGACTATGCCAAGAGGTGAATATTTTTTCTTGTAAGTCTATCATAAGTCCATGACAAAATATATTGGCCTTAGTGGAAAGCTATTTGGCTTGAATCCCCAAATACCCTAATCATGGAGAGAATAAATTTCAAGAAGACAAGATCAAATAAAATATATTAATATTGTCAATAATGACAGGGTCCCCGGGGCTTCGTCAAACATTTTTTCAAGGATATTCAAGGATAAATATACGTCAAATTCAAGGATTTTCAAGGACATTTTTTAGCCTAAAGTTACAATTTTTCATCTTAAAAATAACCAAAACATTACCAACTATCGTTATAAAACTTCCTAATCTAAACGGGATTTTCATATCAACTTACCATTATTACCAATTTGAAACAAAATTAAGGATCTCAACTGAAATTCAAGGATATTTTCCTATTTCCGCGAAATTCAAGGATATTCAAGACCTTGAAAATGAAATTTTAAATTTAAGGATAGGGCCTATTCAAGGATTTTCAAGGACCGCGGGAACCCTGAATGAATTATGATTATAATCATGCTTTGTCGTGAGAATATAATATGTCAATTAAATCTATAGATATAGTATTACCAAGCAAAAGCAGTTCTTGTAGAAGACATTATTCTTTTCTGTGACTATGTTACATTTCGTTCTTGTTCAGATTCATATCATTTTGTGTCTAAGGCAGAGCAAAGGTCAGTTAAAAAAAACAAGGGAGATAATTTATTACCTGCCCTTGTGTGAAATAAGTGTTACACAAATAAAGTACACGGTTTATATTCAAATCAATGTAACTCTGTTCCCAACAGCTTCAAATAAATTGCTAATTGATGTATTCCATTGAAGACAAATTCTAGCCATTGTTAGTTTTGCTTTAGAACCAGATTAACCCCGACTGTAGTACTGTTCCATGCAGAAATGAAATGAATTGGAGATTAATATTCTACTTCTCTGTATCAACCAGACTAATGGAGATTTGAAAATTCTATGCAGTTTTCTAAGAGAAAAATTTTGTCCTGAGAGCTGTGCGTGCTTTACAGCCTACACTTATATTAATCTACAATTGTCTGGGGATCTCATTTAAGTGCTGAGAGGGTACACACAAGACCTCGGGTTTTTTTTAATGACCACTCGACTCAAACTATTACTATAAATACTAAGTCATTTCGTGACGTGACTAACATTATTCAATTTTATTTCAATAATTTGCCTGTGCGTCTGTGGGAGGGGGACCCAGAGAAAACCCACGAGGTTGCACAGGCAACCCTACTCGATTTCTCACATACAAGCGGGAAATCGAATCCACACCATTAATGACAGACAGAGGCACGCATTTTTTCGGCCACTCAACCCTCTCAACCATATTTAGATGGGAAACTGCACTTCATTAGCCCCAGTCCAACTATATAACTGACTACCAATAGGCAATAGTCCAATATACCATCATTTCAAAACTAACATTCTTATAAAACTGTATTTATTTACATCTTTTTTGTAGAATGTTTAAATTGTAAATCCAAGATTAAAATTAAATGTTGAATATAAAAATCAATAAATAAATTCGTCCATGAATAAATACAGGCTAGACATAAATGGAGGTAGGGGGCCTATATAGTATATCAAAGACTCATACCGATAAATGTCTAGATATGTAAGCAAAGTTTGCCAGGCAAACAGTTTCATTTTCAACACTCTACCAGATTTTTTCCCTGTTTGAGGGGTTTTTTTTTCAGCATTAACAACTTTGGGGATTGCATATGTATACCTGTAGGCCTAGTGTAAATAATGATTACGATCCAAGGTTTGTGAATATTGGTCAAGAACTGAACTCCACAGAGTGGGTATAATAGGGTGATATACTTTAATCAAAAATCATGGGGCATATATAACTCTGGAAGTACTTTGTGAATACACTCAAAACTGATAAACTATCTTTTTCGACTCCATTCTTAACTATTTCGGAAAATTTGATCAAAATCAGTCCGTCATTTAATTTGCTACATATTGCTTATATATAAATATGGTACCGGTAATTTGTGTTTATGAACACTTCTACCGGTCTGGGGCAATAACTCTGAAATTTGGATCATCTTTACTCGAGTACCGTACCAACTATGCCTGAAATTTTGAAGTCAAATACGATTTTCACCTCACTCTCCTCAGCATACAGGATAACTTCCCTTTGTTAATACATAACAGTACACACTGACATCTCAATCTACACTTGCATGTTCACTTTCGAGTCAAAATTTTGGCACTTGCATATTTTCTTGAGTTCTTGAGTTCTTTGTAAAAGGCATGAATTAAATTATTTGCAAGACCGTTCCCATACTTTAAAGATACATTAGCTCCTAATGTAGTTTAATGTATGTTTAAACTTACATTTATGTTTGTTACAATATCATTAATATTTAGATATTGTTCCCAGTATTATTTAATTTTATTGTGCATCACTGTATGTAGGCCTATTATTAATGTAGTGCATCACATCAGGGGAGTTAACTCTGTTTTATTAAAAATGTTTTGAACTGTCATGGTTTTTTTCTTAAACAATGTTAATTTACAATCGACTGTTTTCGTGCATTTCTAATTGTGCTTGACATATAATTTCTTTCTTTTCATTTAATATTTCAAAACAAATACATTTTTTTTCTGGGGGTGACCAGAAATCAACAGAAAGTTGTTCTGCAACATTTCCTTCTTTAACAAAGCTTAATAACGCTAATTTAATCTGCGGTAATTTTAAATCAGTTCCGTCTTTTTTAACATTTGTAGAAACTAAAGCATCACAACAAAATTTTAAATAATTTGTCCTATTTGTGTGTGAATATGCATCACAGTCACTTGGTTGTATTATCAGAGGATATGACGAGACAGCAGACGGGCGCGGGTAACTTAGTTTCCATTTTAAAACTTCTTCTGGCTTAGAATATTTCTTGTATTTTTCATTCCACCATTCCGGAGTTGGTGTTGACCGACGAGTAGTTTTAAAAATGCAAACTGTCTGAACTCTACATTCTGCCAAAGGTGCCTTTATTTCTGGATGAGATACTTCTGTTAAAACATTGATTGTTGACGTCCCTGCGTAAACTAATTTCTGTGTTATTATTAGTGGACTCTTGCTGGTCTCTTTCTTGTATAAATCTCGGCTGATGGTTAAAGAACATGCCGCATTAAATGCTAAAACATCATTATACAGTGTGTTCAAATCTAATAATCCTCGTTCTGGATCATTGTGATTGCCAAAAAATGAAAATGCTCTACCAGATTCCACCAAAGATAACAGAATCCAGGGTTTAATATTTGCTACAATAAATTAAAAAGAAAAGTCTATAGCAAATTAGCATTGTTAAACACCGTTAAGCTGATACCGCCTACTTATGGGCCTAAGCCGTTTCGTAATGAAAATTTTTTGTCATTAAATCATAAGTCACCATTACTCTAAACTATTGTTTAGTTAGGAAGTGGTTAGAAATTAAACATTTAGTCATTAATTAGCATGTGCGTAACTATCTGTAAAGGACGCCACTTCTAGTTCTAGACCAATTATAAAACCCATTTTTATCGAATAGCAAACCTAACCAGTATATTAATCACTAATCACACTTTCAACAAATTAGTGGCATAGGACCTACTTAATGACTACCAATCTGATTAAAACACAGATCGTTTCGTTTTTATAGTTCAAAATTTCGTTTTACTTGTCTTTACTACACTAGGATCTGGAAGAGTTGTTATCATCGACGTGTTCTGAATGGTGTGAGGTATTAGCCAATGAAACGGTCTCAACGAGCTTTAGGCGTGTTTGCATGGAACTGTGGGTGATCAACTAGTAACATCTGGTAGTAATTATTGGAAATCATTGAAAACCAAAAGGCTTCTTTGTTTCATGGCCTTAAACACAGTGGGGTTTTCAAAAGTTTATTTGACTAATTTGAGAAAATTTGGGAGGTAAATAGCCATAAAGAATAATATATTATATTTATACACTATGCAAAGATTGGACATGATTTGATCTGTATGGATTGATAACAATGTTGTGTCTTTATACAATGTCAATGTCAATGTGCCGTCAAAGATTGGACATGACTTGATATCTGTAATCTTTGATAATTAAACAATTTTGCCGTCATTGTTTGATTAATCATTCACCTTGTCCATCAAATGCTTCGTATGGAAATCCACCAGGGAGTTGTATTTTAACAATATGTGGCGCAACAAATTCTCGACGAAAACTATTTGTAAGTTGAAATGTGGTCCTGAAAAGAAATTTAACAAAATTATGATTTAATTAACTTCGCGATTTTGAGTTTGATTCTTCATATCTTGACAACTAAGATAGTAGATTTTTAGTCAGAAGTTCTGGCATTCCAGTTCAGCAAATATGGACTGAACATAATTCATGGATGCCACAAAACGAAAGACACAGTGTAACTATATGCTCGAAAACTATATGGCAATTTCAAAGAGGTCATTTTTTTTTCTTGTACCATGACTGAGCCAAATCATAAATCTATGACAATTTTTTTGGCCTCATGGAATGTAGCCTACTTTGGCTCGAATCCCCATGTAGGCCTATCCTAATCAGAGGGCATAATCAAAATACAAGCATTAACTTGAAGGGACAATAACACTCTTAATTGCTGGCTTGACAGCTCCAAAATTTTTTTAAAAAATAGCCTTATTTTAAGTACTAGATGTGTTAGTGTCCTACCTGTTGTGTAAATTATCCATTAAATCCTATTTTAATTGTCCAGAGGGTTCAAAAATATTTTTAAATCCAAGTCACATTTGAAAAGCTTTACGTCAGGCTTTTCAAATCATTTAGTTGAATTTTTCCAATTTTTTAAATTAGGTGTGTTAAGATGAAATTTGTATCATCAATTAATTGGAATATTGTAAAATAGTACAATTTGTTGACCAGAATAATGATTGGGACATATGTCAGTTACAACAAGAGTGGTATTGAGCCTTTAAAGGAGCTAAATCGCCAACATTTGGGACCCAGTGATTACGTTTCTAGTGTAAGGAAAGAATTGTAATATAAGAATCTTCAATGAAAAAAATGGAATTAAACAGTTAGAAGGTTTAATGGATCCATGTGATTTAAAGCGTCGACACATGGATCCAAAATTTTCACAGTCTATAACAGAAGAATACAATAATAATAAATAATAATAATACTAATAGCTTTATTTCCAATCAAGGGTCCACAGGGGACATGGTACAGAGCAAACAAAGAGAGAAAACCCAAATGACAGTCAAGTAAGAAAATATAATAGTATACATAGCTCCCAACAGGGGAGATACACATAGAAGTACCTTATGCACTAAAAGGCTTCATGCCGAAAAAAAAAACGGCTCATGAGAACATTATTATTAATCATGAAAGGGAGATAAATCCACTTAACTCTTAATGTTACAGATCAATATTAGGACACAGATCACTAAAGATTTCCCCATTGACTCCAATGTTAATTCTCGTATCTTAGACCGGTTCTTCATGAAAAACTTGAGACACACAAGCTGGAAGTAGAGACAAGTAAACATGCAATTTCAGGCCCTACATTTCAACCTAACCAACCTCTCAACTCTTGTATCCTTCCGCATCAAAATTATGAATATTCACCAAAACCTGGCAGAAAATGTATTTTCAAACCCTTTTCCTCGATTCTACACCAAAAAGTCAACAAAAATCGCCATGCAAAAGGGGGAAAAAGGAAAAGGGAGAGGAAGACTAAAAATAGATTTGGCCCCTGTTTCGTGGGTGACGGCGTAGGAATATTTGGTGATCTGTGTCCATTAAGCATTACAGAACAGCTGTATTCATCCGCAAAAAAAATAGTACCTAAAATTCATGTACATTATATAGGTTTAAACGTCAAATGAGGTCAAATGAATAGAGACGTCTTTAATATATACTAAATATTTGTATCATCCCAAATCGACAATAAAACAGTGAGAAAAAGGAAAATCTAAGTAATGGCAATCTAATTAACATAAAATTTACGACATAATGGTTTCTTCAATGTTTTGATGGTGATCATGAAGAAAATAGGCCTACATCTGTTCTAAGGAATCCGATAAGATTTTCAAAAAAAAGATCAGTAGAATTATAGATTGTTATTCCACAAAGTCGAAAGGTATGTTAGATTTTTCATTCAGTCAAGTTAGAGCGAGTTTATTGCCGTACTTTGAGCTCCAAACCCAATAGAAATGAAGGCGGAAGTGGCCATAATAGTTTTAGAGATCACTACGTGATGGCGCTCCTGCGTCGCGACAAACGGGGCCGATTTGTCTAGAAATTGACAAAAGTGGGTCGCAACGCATATAATACTGTGATATGAATGTATATAAACTGATTTACATTCAATGGTTTCCGTTTTAAGTCCAATTTCAAATCAGTTATGTTCGGCGAAATAAGCCAGCAGTCTCAATCGAGTGCAAATTTCAGTCTACATCCGCCGTTCGATTTGGTGCAATGTGTCTAGCCTCGTCCCTCGAGTCTCTTTTTACAACTGGGGCTGAAGCGCATTATGGTACACGATTCGTGTACCAATGGTAAAATGTTTATTTTGTCTTAAATATTGGATATCAAAAGCCCATCTTATTCTGTTAAGATCACAACATCAATGTTGATTTAATTTGACAAATAAATCGTGTTTTCAATGTTGAAGAATTTGGATGATATTGAGTTAGAGACTTGGCTACTCCAAGAAATATTTAACATAATATTGTCAATAATGATGAATTATAGTTACCAAGCAAAAGCAGTTCCTATAGAAGGCATTATTCTTTTCTGTGACTATGTTACATAGTTATAATAAGTTATATAGTTCAGATTCATATAATTCTATGTCTAATTAAGGCAGTGTAAATTTATTTGGGCTCAGATAAGCAATTATTTGCCCATTGTTTCAATGTTAAATATGGCTGTAGCATCACAGGCTGTAGTTTTTTGCTACGGGGAATAGATGTCGACTGGGATGAAAATTTCACTTCCGACACAATGATTGCTCTTGAGGATGAAACTTTACCCCCCACCCTATCCCTCCGCTGTAATATCCAAAACTGCTATGAAATTGCAAGTTTGATCCCTTTTATCCAATTCTAGACCAAAAAGTCAACCAAAAAAGGCGGGAAGAGGGGAGAAAAAAATTAAGGGAAAAATTGTCTATTTAGAACAAATTACTAGTCCTATAGTCCATTTGCTTTTCTTTGTAAATAAAAAGACATGTTTGAAATAAAAGTATTACGCAAATTAACATACTCAGTTTATATCCAAATCAATGGAACCATTTTATTTTCAAAAAAATTGCTAATTGGTGTACCGGTATTCCATCTAAGACATATTCTAGCCATTGTTAGTTTTGCTTTATATTACAACTAGCAGGATACCCGGCTTCGCTCGGGGGTCGTAACTCCGAAACCGGAAGTGGTAGACTAACGCCACCTGGCCTATGTTACTCCCCAGTCCGAGCTACCCCTATACCCCAAATTTCAGACTCGGGGCAGACCTAGTGTAGCCGCCAACCCCGAACAGACCGGCTTCGCTCGGGGGTCATAACTCCGAAACCGGAAGTGGTAGACTAACGCCACCTGGCCTATGTTACTCCCCGGTCCGAGCTACCCCTATACCCCAAATTTTAGACTCAGGGCAGACCTAGTGTAGCCGCCAACCCCGAACAGAAAGACTTCGCTCGGGGGGTCATAACTCCGAAACCGGAAGTGGTAGACTAACGCCACCTGGCCCATGTTACTCCCCGGTCCGAGCTACCCCTATACCCCTAATTTCAGACTCGGGCCAGACCTAGTGTAGCCGCCAACCCCGAACAGACCAGTTTCGCTCAGGGGTTCATAACTCCGAAACCGGAAGTGGTAGACTAACGCCACCTGGCCGATGTTACTCCCCGGTCCGAGCTACCCCTATACCCTAAATTTCAGACTCGGGGCAGATGTAGCCGCCAACCCCGAACAGACAGACTTCGCTCGGGGGTCATAACCTGGCTTATGCTACTCCTCGGTCCGAGCTACCCCTATACCCCAAATTTCAGACTCGGGGCAGACCTAGTGTAGCCGCCAACCCCGAACAGACCGGCTTCGCTCGGGGGTCATAACCCCGAAACCGGAAGTTGTAGACTAACTCCATCTGGCCTATGTTATTCCCCGGTCCGAGCTACCCCTATACATGAAATTCCAGACTCGGGGATGACCTAGTGAAGCCGCCAACCCCGAACAGACAGACAGACACACGACAGTCACAAATATATATATAGATAGATTAATATAGCGCTCGCGTTACTATAATATATGAATTCAATATGGCACAGTACGTCAATTAATAAAAGATATAATTTATTGTGTATCGGTACATACAATAATCAATAGGCTATAGTATATACATGTAATACCGGTTACTAATATGTAATGATTAATAAAGTCGTGAAGGTCGTGATTTCTTAAAACTCTCTTGAGATTTAGAGTTTTTATACGCTCGCCCACATTTTCATGTGGACGTATATTGTCGTCGCCCCGGACGAAACTTGAAATATAGGTTTATCCTCAAAAGATCTCGGCTGCTTTCGATATTGGCATGTATCGGATCGAAACTTCATGGATTATGGCCCCTGATTGTACGAAAAATCACGTGTTTAGCTTGTGGACCCTATATAGGTCACAATTTTGAACCGATTTTGATGAAACTTGTATGTTTATAACCCAAAGATCTTGGTTCCTATCGATATTTGCGAAAAATCGGAATCGGATCGTAACTTCCTGAATTATGGCCCCTGATTGTCCGAAAAATCGCCTTTTTTAGCTTGTGGCCCCTCTGGAGGTCACAATTATTATCCGATTTAAAAAACCGTTACACCGTAAGGGAGGTTAAGTTCGAATTTCGTGAAAATTGAACCAAAACTGTCGGACAAAATGGCCGCCACTTGTACGCGAATAGTGTAAAAATTTGGTATATCAAGGCTGTGGACCCTGTAGAGGTCACAATTTTAATTCGATTTTGATTTTTGATGAAACTTGAAATGCGTGTTTATAACCTAAAGATCTTGGTTCCTTTCTATATTTGTGCATATCGGATCGTAACTTCCTGAATTATGGCCCCTGATTGTACGAAAAATCGCCTTTATTAGTTTGTGGTCCCTCTGGAAGTCACAATTATTACCCGATTTAAAAAAAAAAACGTTTGATTATTTCACCGTTACGCTGTAATGAAGGTTCAGTTCGAATTTCGTGAAAATTGGACTAAAATTGTCGAACAAAATGGCCGCCCCTCGTACGCAAATATTGTAAACATCTGGTAATGGTATATCAAGGTTGTGGACCCTCTGGAGGTCACAATTTTGTGCCGATTTTCATGAAACTTAAAATGCATCTTTATAACCCAAGGATCTTGGTTGCTTTCGATATTCGCGAATTTTGGATTGAAACTTCATGAATTATTACCCCTGGTAGTACGAAAAATCGCATTTTTAGCTTGTAGACACTCTAGAAGTCACAATTTTGATCCGATTTTGATGAAACTTAAAATGCATGTTTATAACCCAAAGATCTTTGTTCCGTTCGATATTTGCGCATATCGGGTCGTAACTTCCTGGATTATGGTCCCTGATTGGTCGAAAAAAAATTTTTTTTGTGGATTCTCTAGAAGTCACAATTTTTTTTTTCGATTTTAAAAACCGTTTAGATCACTATTCGACCATAATGAATGTTGAATCGAAATTTTGGGAAAATCGAAATGATTTGTATGCAAATTGTATATAAGTATGTAATTCAAAGGTTATGGACCCTCTAGAGGTCACAGTTTTTATCCAAAAATCTCAGTCCCTTTTGATATTTGCGCATTTCAGACCATAACTTTCTGGATTATGGCCCCTGATTGTACAAAAAATCGTTTTTGTTTTTAGCTTGTTCTCTATCCATCTCTTTCAAAATGTGGGCGTATCCTGTCGGGTAGATCATTCCATATCCGTGGACCGGCAACACCGAAGAACCAGCCCGAAAAAGTTTTTTGTTTTGTAGGTAGGACGATTTGAAAATCGTGTCGAATATCGCAGGATTGGGTTTACGTAAATCTATCAAGTAGGCTTACTGGGGAGCGAGGTTTTTAAGCCCTTTATTATAGTAGCCTCGAGAGTCACTCGACACAAACTAAGCTTTAAAAAATTATTGATTGTGGCAGAATATTTAGTCTGTCAATCAGTTTATTTTTAAGTCGAGCAAGGAAGAGTAGCAAGGATTCTTGGGAGTGTTTGTGGTGGCTGCTGAGAAATGGGTCAATTCAGATAATAGGGATCTTTCGCATCGGTACGAAAACGAACATGTTCGTTTACTTTAGCATCGGTACGAACACGAAAACGTCATCGAATCGTGTATTCTTGCGGTACGTCTACCCGTACACGAGTGTTCGGCCAGTGACGAACGTTACCATAACGCTCTGTTAGGCGTGTTGAGATGGATTCACGTAGGTATAGAATCGAAAATGTTTCTTGTGTCATATATTGAATTTTCCAAAATTTTTCGAGGTCTTGTGTATATTGTTGATTGTGTAGAATGTGCTCCAATGCAATATTCCGTTTGATTTGTTGTACATCTGCCAAAAATTCGATTGAAAACTTTGACTAAGAGTTAACCCCATCATTTTGGATGGTCTAATGGTTTAACGCGTGCGCGTGAAATTACAAGGTCTGTCATTGAGTCAAGCGGCGTGGTTTCGATTCCCGGCTTGAACGTGACAATGAGTATGGTCGCCTATGAAACCTCGTGGGTTTTCACCGGGTCCTCCTGTTTCCTCCCACGGCTAAGAACCCCTACGCACAAATCAACAGGCATTTAATAATGTTTATCATATTTATTACAAAATCAACACAGTAGAGTGCAGAGAGATAGAGTGACAAAAAAATTAAATCTAAAATTTTGTTGTACAAGCTGTTCTACTTAATTTGAATAATAGGTTTATTTCATCTGTTTTGACATATTTAAAATCTACCAGACCCTATAGGAATCAAGTTGTCAACCAAGACATCACTAACCCTCTGCACCCCACTGATTCAACAACTTATAAAATATATTGTAACAAGTGTATATTTTTAAAATAAAAAAACCCTAAAGTACCAATATTTCATACAAACAACCACATCTACTTAACATAGGTTGACATTAATTTGTATATTATTACAAGCAGCCATATAAAGTAGAATCTGCCATAAATGGCAGACGGAAAGTAAATAACCGTCTTATGGTTTATATTATGTAATATACAAAGACAGGTAGCACAACAAAGATAGTCTAAAACTAAAAAAAATAAAATATGAAGTTATCAAATTTGTTTTATGATTTAAACGCCAAAATCCTAAACTTCCCGTTGTTCTCCACTGTCGACAGAATATAGGATATCATATTTATGTAGAAACAATTTTGTTTCAATAACATTTACTGAACTAGTCTCTATTATTACTGAACAGGAATCTGCGACACTGGCCTATGTGATTATTATTAGTAAAGTTAATTAAGTAAATTTAAAGTTTTGAAATATACAGCAAAATCTCCATCCCCACCCAAAAAAGCCCCATATATTACTAATAATATTATGTTTGTGTAGCTAAAGCTTATGCCCGTTCGTATCTAGAGAGTTCGTCGGTAGGGACAAATTTGACGAAACTACCAACCAACTTACCGTTATAAGAACGGACTATAATCTTAGTCAGATAAATTTTCGAAATTATTAATCCTTCCTGATCCAATATTAGCTATGGATGAGTTGGAAATAGGGAAGTCATAACTGAAATATTATATCTTCTAGAAAACTAGCCAGACAACAATAACGTAATTATAATTTTTGAAGTTTATAAACAATATTCAATATCATTTAATAAACCAAAATAGAATTTCAATTTGTGCTGGTCTGTTCTAGTAGAATTTTTAATTTTTAGAAATCCTATTTTTTAGAATGCATTTTATAATTATATTAGGAATTTTATCTACATTTAAAAAGCTTAAATACGGTGATTATTGCAAACAATAAATCCCATATAATATTTTTAACACCAATATCAAAGAATATACTATTGTCAGAAATATAACAGTTTATAATATAATAACCCAAATATAATATTCCCCAATATAGTATTCTATATAATATTATCCTATATAAAATATTCTCCCCACATATAATAATCTCCTCACGTATAACAATCTCCTAGATATAATATTCAATGTAATATATTTACTATATTTTTTAAACCACTATAACATAATATAATACTACATGTAATATCATCGTATATATAATAAATATAACGTCAAAATAAATAAATTGTATAAAGTAAAACGTAAAGTGCACTTTTTAATAGCTTCATCGGTTTATTCTGAAACGACTGTAAAGGTATGATATACCATTTAAAATTTATTTAAAGTCCACAATTCGAGGTAGCTGCTGTCTGTCGTTTAACAAAGATCGACGGTGAGCGGGTTTCTGAGAAGATGGAGGCACTGAAGAAAATTTACGAGGTGCTTTTTCGGGACTTTTCAAGGTTGCACTTACATCCACTCTGGTGTAGATCGAAGGAAAATTGATATTCTGAAATTGAACTAAAGACGTTCTAAGCCCCTTTAGTACTGGGGTAGTGGATGTTTTAACGAAATCAGATCGACTTCTGATCTGCGGTAAAATTCGGTTGTTTGGATCAAAGAGAGATGGTATCGAATCTGAGCTTTTGACTTCTGTAGGGGCCCTAATATTAGAAACCACTTTCTTTATTCCGGGTCCTCTTGGCATCAGTGGTCGTAAAATGTTAGGTGGGTCATTTAATGAAGATTTATGAGACTGTCTTCTATCTTCTGGAACGATTCTGCCTTCTAATTCAAAACCAGGTGTCTGTTGATCAAATCTTCTGATTTTTAATCCTCGTGTTACCACTGGTGATATCATTTTAGACTTAGATGGAATCTGTTCCATTGGTCGTAGATTACTTACCACGGCGGTTATTTCAAAATTGGACTCATTTTCGTCTTCTCTTTTCATTGAAACATTTCTGTCATCATTAGCATTTTTGCCATCATCGCTCTCCTTTTCATCCGGTTTTATATGGCAATCAACAGTGGATATCTCTTGAATATCTCCGCTTTCCTGTTCTGCTTCACATGCTTCTACGTATCCACTATCGTCTAATTCTGAATCTTGGACATTTTTATTGGAAAAACACGGTTCATCATCGGTTTCCTGATCTGAAATATCTTTTGTTTCTTTGTAATATTCTTCATCTTCGCCATTCTCTTTGGGTTTACATTGTAAATGTAAATCGATGTTATCGGGAATCGTTTCAAGTTCCGTGGACATGGTATCTTGTTCTTCCACTGGTGATGTTCTTGAATGAGAAGGATTGTTGCTGACTTGCATGTCTACTGACGCCCTGTTGTCGGGACAAAAGTTTTCTAGAAACCTTTTTATTAATGCCTGTGTCGACATAGATTCTGGACACTGCGTTACAGGATCTAGTAATTTTTTCTCCTCTCCTAGTGCGAATTTGTTCTTACTTTCTGGTGTAGAGGGCACACAGTAGCATGGATGTGGCTGCAACATGTCTCTTTGAATCATCACCATGGTTTCCCTCAACTCCTCATTTTCTTGTCGGTATATTGCAGCATCACACCCATTCGTTACAGCTTTAACTCTCCAGGATCTTACATTCTGTACTTGTTTGTTAATCTCTTCTTTCAATACCACGTTTAGTTCGAAACATTCCTCGTACTTTTCTCGAAGATCCTCACTGTACCTGAAATAGAAATTCCAAGTGACGAATATTATAAAGGATGTTGGCCCAGCGTCATAAAGTAAAATACTGTTCTTTCTTTCAATTGACGCGGTATTCACGGTGGCTCAGTGAGTAAGACTAGCTAACCTGGAGGCCCCTTGTTCGATCTCGGTGTTGGCGTAAAAAATTCACCGGTAAGGTTTCCTCTTGTCAGTGGTACAGGAAAGAGGGTCTGGCAAGGTACAACGTTTAGTCGTTCAGATGGGACGAAAAACCGAGGCCCCATGTATACATTAGCCTGCAGTGTCTTACCTCAACTGACTTTTAACTTCATCCCGGAGCTGTTTGTTTGTAATTTCTAGAGTTTCCATATTTTGTTTCAATCTAGTGATGTAGCTTTCTAAAAATAAAATCATTAATTTATATTAAAGTAGAATTATCCCAATCCTGCTTGCTTACACAAACTACGACATATCCCACACTACAATGCTTTCAAATGTCAGTTTAGTTGATCCAAGCTCTTTACGTCCGCTCTCACCCAGACAATTGACGAAAAAGCCAGGCGTGAATGAGAGGCCAGTCTTGCATAGGGAACAAATGCAACAGTGTGTAGGAAATGATATCGCCTCTACTCTATGGTGCGGCACGGGTTCGATCTCGATGTTGGCTGAAAAAGTTCAAGGGGATTTCCCATCCGGTTGCCCCCGAGGTCCCGTGTCATCCCAAACTTATTTTGCCTCTCTATAGTTAGCTCTGCTTGATTAATTCTCGAAATATAAAGTATATGGATCTCTGTGTCACAGTATAAGGTCTCGTGTATAATATTAGCTTAAGTTATCCCAACAGGTAGCCATTTTTCAGAGCAGGGTAAACACAGAGTCATTTACAACTTTATAACTAGAATTAATTAATGTGTGCTATAATTTCATATCAATAATTCGCTTACACGTAGGGAGCTTTAGCAAGGTAGGGGGCAGAGATCGCAGAAACCCCATGGGGTTTGACTTTGTTGATAATTGATGATTACCTATATCTACTGTTTTGGTACTGGCTGTACTATTAATCTGTTCTGTTAATGCAGCAGTACTCCTATCACCAGTGTCTAAACATGAAGATGAAACATTATTATTACCTTGCACTTGTGCAATAGTTAAAATAGTTAAAAATATATTCAATGTAGCTATACGGTACCATAAAACTTGAAAAAGAAAATGTTATTACCAGAAGGAAATATTCATCCGGTGTCAGTGGCGTATATTCTTTATGTCACTGACGCAACATGACTCAATGACAGATCTTATGACCTAAAGTCCAAACGTAATGCTAGGGGTTTGTTTACTCTTTGGCCTATATAAGAGTAATAGTCTTCAGAATATGATATTTATATCTTTAGTATAATTTATTCTATTTCCTAGTGAACAATCTCAAACCATTCTCTTAAAGGACCGTTAATAACAATCGTGCGTTCACTTACCTGCTGGCGACGTAAGTGAATGACTTCGGGACTTTTCATCTGTTTCCTTGATAGGCCTGAGCAAAGGTTGAAACCCAACAAAATGATCAGGTTTACTCATGCTGGAAGAGATAAATATTATGTTGTTTAAATAATAATACAAAGTTTATATAGATTACTAGATTTTTAAAAATTCATTTCGTGACAAGGTTACGTTACCATTCTGGTAAGCCAAACAGTACCTATTGCAAAATTTAAATCCGGCTCTACTCTAAAGTGGAAGAGAACCTCACACTCAAGACCTCAAGTTCTCACTCAGGTTTAGGTTGTCACTTGTCAGTACACCTACTGTGTGACCTAGTAGGCCTACTTCCCGTGGTTGTAGAGACTTGAACTTGAAGTGGGACGAAATTTAGTGTGTAGGCATCTCTACTGACTCTAGTCACTTAAACAAACATTCCCTGAAAAGTTCAAGTCTCTATGACCACGGGAAGTAAGCTGTAGCACCATGGGCCTTTCTGTCTGACGTGGAGAGCGGATTAGGGGAACCGGTTGCCACATCCTACATACGACCCATGCATCTTTTCTTACTACATATTTCTGTAGCCTTGTGATCGTCTAGAATTTGTCTCTAGCTGTCTTTACTTCTGCTTAGTACAATTCTACATATGTGGGAATCTACCAACTTGCCAAAGATATTAATTAATGAAATATACTGCCATCATTAATTTCAAGAGCAAAAATTCTAGCAATATTATTACAAAGCTTACGTCTACGATAGACTAGTGCCCCTAGTGGACTTTGTAGCGTAGATAGCCTACTCTAGCGCTCACTTGTCAGGGGTAGTACTAGTAGACTAGATTATAGAAAATTTCACAAGTCAAGTAAGTACGGTATAAAAAAAGATAATTAATTCCGCTAGATTTTACACAGTCGCCAATTCTCAGACTATCTATCTATTCTAATTTTACTAACCCACTTACTTTATTTAATTTACCGTAGGCCTACGAGTACCGATGTCTAAGCAAGGCTATCGCATCGCCTATCGGTATCGACGCCTAGCTAACTAGAAATCCTGATTTCATTGCTTTTGAGTTTAGGCTTTTTAATACTTACTTTGTCTGGATCAGGGTTAAAAAATTTACAGGATTCAGAAACGCTATTTTAGTTTTAACCTCACGTTAATGCGTTGTACTTATTATAAACCCGGTGGAAACATAGACCGTACAGTTCTATGGTGGAAAGTTCTGGAACAATCATAGATATGATGGGAACAATAGCGCAACGTCACCATGGTCACGCTTAAGGCATACAGGTTAGGTAACTCTGCTCTGCATTACTTCTGTGTAGTCTTGACTTTCTAGACCAAAATGGATGTGTATATTGGAACCAGTATTGTCAATATAGAGTTATAGTTTCTGTAACTCTGTGATTGGAACCATGAGCATGGATTTAGGGGGGGGGGGGGTCGGAAGGGGGGACGAATAGATTTCTGTACCCCCCCCCCCATGATTTTCAGGACAGATTTTCAGGTTTATATCCACATGATGGTGAGCTTGTGTCTGTCTGTATATGGAACTGAATCGGGACTTGGAATAAAAATTGCCATTCTTTAAGCGGCACTTCGGCCAAGGGATCATTTGTGCATGCCAATGTGTACACGGGACCTCAGTTTTTCATACAATCCGAATGACTATACACTATCCCTTGCTAGGCCCTCGTTCCTGCACCACTGACCAGAGGGGAACCACGCCGGAAAATCCTGATGAACTTTCTCTGCCAACACCGGGATCGAACGAGGGACCTCCAGGTTAGCTAGCCAATGTCTTACTCACCGATCCACCATGGCTCCCACCCATAGACAAACAATTTATACACGTATAAAGAACACTAGACTAGCTCTCTTGTTATAAAACTCCATTTATTTACATCTTTTCTGCATAATGTTTAAAATTCTAAGAATTGTACCGGTATTACAAATAAATGCTGAATATAAAAATCAATAAATAACTTCATCCATGAATAAATATAGTTATAAATGTTGGTAATTTGGTTAGAGGTATATCAAAGACTCGTACCGATAAATGTCTAGTTATGTAACGCAAGGTAAAACTCTTCAAGATTTTTCCCTGTTTTGTAAGGTTTATAAGTATACACAAGTTTTGGGATTACAGACCTGTACTGTAAATAATAATCACAGTCCAAAGTTTGTGAAAATTGGTCAAGAGCTCAACTCCATAGAGTGTTGTTGTTGTTCTTGGTGTTTATCGTCCACTTCCACCGAGGGTGATATCGCAGGCAAGTTGCCATATTTTCATTTTTATTATCTTAGCGCACATGCCATGGTCTTTCCTGTGGGACGAAATGAGAAGGCGACCCTATTTCCAAGCCACATAGGCTCACACCAGGGATCGAAACCAAGACCGCAAGCCAGAATTGGCCAGCCAGCTGGAGCACGAAGCCCGACACTCTAGACCACTTGCATATTTTCTTGAGCTTCTTGTAAAAGACTTGAATTAAATTATTTGCAAGATCAATCTTATACATGTATTTATGTTAATTTACAATCTACTATTTCTGTGCATTTCTAATTGTGCTTAATCCTTCTGTCCATCTAATATTTCAAAACAAATACATTTTTGCACTTGCATATTTTTATTCAGTTCTTTGTAAAAGGCTTGCATTAAATTATTTGCAAGATCGTTTTCATGTTACTTTATGTTAATTTACAATCTACTATTTTCGTGCATTTCTAATTGTGCTTGACATATAACATCTTTCTGTTCATCTAATAATTCAAAACAAATACATTTTTTTTCTGGGGGTGACCAGAAATCCACAGAAAGTTGTTCTCCAACATTTCCTTCTTTAACATAGCTTAACAACGCTAATTTAATCTGCGGTAATTTTAAATCAGTTCCGTCTTTTTTAACATTAGTGGAAACTAAAGCATCACAACAAAATTTTAAATAACTTGTCCAATTCGTATGTGAATATGCATCACAGTCACTAGGTTGTATTATCAGAGGATATGACGTGACAGCAGACGAGCGCGGGTAACTTAGTCTCCATTTTAAAACTTCTTCTGGCTTAGAATATTTCTTATATTTCTCATTCCACCATTCTGGAAATGGTTTTGGACGGTGTGTAGTTTTATCAACGTAAACTGTCTGAACTCTACATTCTGCTAAAGGTGTTTCTATTTCTGGATGAGATACTTCTGTTAAAGTATTCACTGTTGACGTCCCTGCATAAACCAATTTCTTTGTTATTATTAGTGGACTCTTGCTGGTCTCTTTCTTGTATAAGTCTAGGCTGATGGTTAAAGAACATGTCGCATTAAACGCTAAAACATCATTATACAGTGTGTTTAATTCTAAGAATCCTTGTTCTGGCTCATTCTGATTGCCATTAAATGAAAATGCTCTACCAGATTCCACCAAAGATAACAGGCTCCATGGTTTAATATTTGCTACAAAAATAGAAAAGATTGACTTCTATAGTCTATAGCATGTTTAATCCAATATATAGCTTAAAAGATAGGTTGCCAGGAAACGAAACATCCGTCTACAACAGCTAATTTGTCCGAGGGGTCGTCAAGGGTTGTCGCATATTTATTCTTTTGTAAGTAATTGGGAGCATTTGCAAGACAATTTCATACTGATCAGATTATAATTTTCGTTGTTTGAGGGTTCACAAGTTTCTACAAGCTGAAAAAGGGCCTTAACTCTGGGAGTAATTTACAGCTAAATTGACCGAGGGGTCGTCAAGGGTTGTCGCATTTACAAGACAATTTCATACAGATCAGATTATAATTTTCGTTGTTTGAGGGTTCACAAGTTTCTACAAGCTGAAACCAGGGCCTTAACTCTGGGAGTAATTTACAGAAAATTTTGAAATTTGACAAGCTTTTTCGTTTTACTAATTTAAATAATATATATAAATTTCATACAGATCGGGTGATAACTTTCGAATATTCACAAGGTTCACAAAGTAAAACAAGAGCCATAAGTCGAGAAGTAATTGACGGAAATTGCTGAAATCAAACAGACTTCTTCGTTTCACTAATGTAAATGATGCATGTAAATTTCATACAGATCGAATGATAATATTTGTCGATCGAGATTGAAAATGTTGAACAAAATGAAACAAGGGCCATAACTCAAGAATTCAATAGGCATCGTCGTTTCACTAATCTAAATAATGCATATAAATATCACAAATATCGGATGATAACTTTTGGCGTTAGAGCGTCCACAAGGTTCCATTGGCCGAGAAAGTTCATCCCGATTTTCCGGCGTGGTTTCCCCTTGTCAGTGATGCAGGACGGAGGGCCTGACAAGAACAGCTGTCTAGTCCTTCGGATGAGACGAAAAACCGAGGTCCCGTGTATATATTGGAATGCACGTAAAAGATCCCCTGGCAGTTGGAATTTGATATAAGAGTAGGCGATAGTGCCGCTGCCCGGGCAAAATTTCCCTCATAGCACACTGTATGGCGTATGCCCGTCTTCATTAGCCCAGTATAGGAGCAGTGCCCTGTTTCTCGAAATCTTAACTAAAGATAAAATCCAAATTTTAGTAGATACTTCAATTTTGATTGGCTAAGCACTAAAATCAATCTAATATTATCCAATCAAATTACTAAAATTTGGATTTTATCTTAGTTAAAATTTCGTGAAACAGGCCCCAGAACAGTAGGGCGTTAAACCCCATTTCATTTCATTTCATTTCATGTCCACAAGGTTCAACAATGTGAAACAAGGCCAGGGCCATAACTCTAAATGGAATTAACGGAAATTGCTGAAATTCAATAGGATTTTTTTTTTTACTAATTTAAATGACGCATATAATTCCATACAGATCGGCAGATAACTTTTGATGTTAGAGAATTCACAAGGTGCAACAAAGTGAAACAAGGGACATAACTCTAGAAGTAATTAATGGAAATTAAATAGGCTTCTTCATCTCACTAATGTTAACAACATATTATCAATTTTAAAACAGTCGGATGATAATTTTTGCGTTAGAGCGTTCACAAGAAATTGTGGACGAGGTACGGACGGGGGCGACGGCAAGAAATATGTGGGCGTATAAAAACTAAAACTGTGTGGCTAATAAAAGTCATAAAGTAGCCTAGCTACATAGCCAAATCCAGGAGGCAAAGCAAATTGAGTGGAAATCAGAATCTTTGTGTCATATTAAAATACTTTCCTGCATTTGATTTTTGGGGATTATTATAGTCAATATAAGATTAATAATTTTGGAAAAACATTTGAGAACATATGGGAAGTTTTCATATACAGTCAGGTTTATGACCATAATATATTATGCTTTTACACTAAGCAATGATTATATATGGATTGATAAGAATATTACGACTTTAATCAAAAAATGTCATTGTGCCCTTAAAGATTGATATCTGTAGTATTTGATAACTACACTGTCAAGGTGACGTCATTCACCTTGTCCATCAAATGCTTCATATGGAAATCCACCAGGGAGTAGTATTCTAACAATGTGTGGTGCAACAAATTCTCGACGAAAACTATTTGTAAGTTGAAATGCGGTCCTGAAAAAGAAATAAAACAAAACTATGATTTAATTAAAAGCCAGATACAGTTACTTGTGGATCTGAGACATACATGTATAGGTCGCGGTATTTCCAAAAGGATAAAACCTAAATGTTCCAAAATTAACTACATAAATGTAGGCCTATGGGTTCAGATTATCCAGCATGGTTTCGATTCCTCATTTTTTACGTGACAAGGAGTAGGGTCACCGGTCTCGTTTGTTTTCTCCGGGTCCTCCGGTTTCCTCCCACTGCTAAAGACACACCTATGCGCAAGCGAATAATTGAAAGTTTGAACCTTATGTTAGTTTCTGTCGAGTGAAAGTTAAACCCCTTTCTTTCTGTCAAGCTGTCTCACACAGATTATTCACTCTCAGTGTTGCTATTGAATGTGTTTTGTAAAAGATAAAATTGAAGCTAATTGGTAGGCTAATAGTACAGTCAATATTATTGGCAATTTTGAGGTTGATTCGTCTTGTCCAAATGCACCCTGCCTGGCTTTAACCCCTATCATTTACCCTACCATTACCGGCAAGGAATTGCTAAACTTGTAAGATTATATGTAATTCAAAATGCACTTTTAAGCAATTATAATTCATACAAAGAATAGAGTGAATTAAATCAAAATAAATAAAAAATCAGAGGGCACAAATTTCAAGAGGAAAAGAATAACCTAGCAAAGAGTCACATCATCAAATTAACAAGCGGTTGCCATGCAAGATACGCCCACATTTTGCAAGAGATGGACAGAGAACGAGCTAAAAAAAATAATGTGATTTTTTGTACAATCAGGGGCCATAATCCAGGAAGGTATGGTCCGATAAGCGCGAATATCGTAAGGAACCGCGATCTTCTGGTTATGAACATATATTTCAAATTTCATCAGAATCGGATTAAAATTGTGACCTCTAGAGGGTCCACAACCTTCGTATTACATACTTTTGCACAATTTGCGTACAAAGAGCGGCCATTTTTGGGGGGCAGTTTCATTTCAATTTTGACGATATTCGAATTCAACCTTCATTATGGTGGAATGGTGATATATTTAAAAGGCTTTTAAAATCGGGAAAAAAAATGTGACCTCTAGAGAATTCGCAAACTAAAAATGCGATTTTTCAAACAAACCGGGGCCATAATCCAGGAAGTTATGCGCGATTATCAAACGTAACCAAGATCTTAATGTGTAACGGTGATATATTAACACGTTCTTTTTAAATTGGATAAAAATTGTGACCTCTAAATTTTGTACAATCAAGGGCCAAATTCAGGAAGTTACAATTCGATATGGGCAAATATCGAAAGCAACCAAGATTTGTGGGTTATATGCATTTCAAGTTTCATCAAAATCAGATAAAAATTGTGACCTTCTTTTTACTTGATAAAGATGGGAAAATCCTCATCGAAATATCGGTTAAATGGGGATCACGTGGCTAAGTGGGTAAGACGCTGGCTCGCTAGCCTGGAGGTCGGGTGTTCGATCCATGCATTGGCCGAGAAAGTTCATCCAGATTTTCCGGCGTGGTTCCCCCTTGTCAGTGATGCAGGACGGAGGGCCTGACAAGGACAGCTGTCTAGTCCTTCGGATGGGACGAAAAACCGAGGTCCCGTGTATACATTGGAATGCACGTAAAAGATTCCTTGGTAGTTGGAATTCGATATAAGAGTAGGCGATAGTGCCGCTGCCCGGGCAAAATTTCCCTCATAGCACACTGTATGGCGTATGCCCGTCTTCATAAGCCCAGCATAGGAGCAGAACAGTAGGACATTAAACCCCATTTCATTTCATTTCATTTATAATTGTGTCATGTGTTACTCTATAAGAGTGTACACAAGCTAAAAACGTGATTTCTCGTACAATCAGGGGCCATAATCCATGAATTAAGTTTCAATCAGATACATGTCAATATCGAAATCAACCGAGATCTTTTGGAGATAAACCTATATTCTTTAAATGGCATTTAGTAATTGGAACTTAATCAAATAAATAGTGTGTTAGATAATCGGATAAGAATTGTGACCTGTACTACTGTAGAGTGTCCACAAACAATTGCAGACGGACGTTCCGGCGGACAGGGGCGACGACAATATATAGAGAGAGAGAAATGGGGTTTAAGGTCATTTCGGGACTAACATATGGTTTAATGTTATTTACATAATTCGCTTGCGCGTAGGGGTCTTTAGCAGTGGGAGGAAACCGGAGGCCCCGGAGAAAACCCACGAGGTTGGACAGGCGACCCTACTCCTTGCCACGTACAACCGGGGATTCGAAACCACGCCAGTCGACTCAATGACAGACTTTATCATACAGCGCGCGCACGCTAACCATTCAGCCATCCAACCCCCCTGCGACGACAATATACGTCCACATGAAAATGTGGGCGTATAAAAATATATACTAATATAATATAGGCATATAATGATGCTTTAGCCTTTAGATCGAGAGCAAAGAGAGAGAGAGAGAGATGGGGTATAACGTCCACTCGAGACAAACTAGGTCATTTCGGGACTAACATATGGTTTAATTTTATTTCAATAATTCGCTTGCGCGCAGGGGTCTTTGGTGGGCGGAAACCGGAGGACCCGGAGAAAATCCACGAGGTTGGACAGGCGACCCTGCAGCTCCTTAATTGTCACGTACAACCGACAATACATGTTGATTAAATCTAGAGTACATATAATATTATATAGTAATACCAAGCAAAACCGGATCTTCTTGAAGACATTATCCTTTTCTGTGACTATGTCATATTTCTTAATCACTTCAAGTTCCAATTCTAATATACATAATATTTCTATGTCTGATATTATGGGAGTCAAAGCCGAGCAAGGTTCACTTTACAAGATCAAGGGAGATAATTTTATTGTCTGCTCTTTATTTGCTCTTTTCTGTAGAAGGAAGGAATAAGACTGAACACAGTTCCATTGCAAAAAGGTAAACATTTGTGAAAATATCTATTTAGTGAACAATTGCAGCCATTAATGCATTTTTTAGTTTGACATCTTTGTAAACATTTTATTTTTCTATATCTTTAATGTTAGAATTAAATAGATGTGTTCTTTTCTATTTAAAACAGTAAATATTGACAACGTACACCTTTTAAATGTCGTCAGACTCATCGAGGTAATCATCGACTGAATTATCAAAATCAAGAGAATAGTTGAGCCCCAAAAGTCATGAAAAATAACAAAAATGAAAACTGAAAGCCAAGTGTCTATTTGTCATAATTTGGGTCATGTCTGTTTACACTGCACCTGCCTATCTGGGTGATGGGATCAAGAGTTAAAATGAATTGTTTCTGATGATTTTGCCAAAATGAGATATTCCTACCATTTTGCCTGTTTTTAACTTTAGACACGTGCAAAGAAGTTGAGATATTATTCGAGGAATATTATATATGCACACAATAAGTTTAGATAAGACCTAGTCATATTAATTAAATCACCCATTTATAGTTACTATACTTGTAACGTTAAACTGTGTGTTTAACGTTACAATTGATACAGTCTAAGAATCCGTACGCAAGTTCAAATAGGTTCAAACGCACAATTGTCAACACATATCATTACAGTTTGTATTGGAATAAGTAATTCTATGACAAATAGTGAAGACTGGACCACTAAACAGTTAACAAACAGTTTTTCTTTGTGGTTATGCGTTCTACATTTGCATAGCGGTGTTTCTTGTGATGACGTATTACACACAAGCGGCCATGACACCAGCCTGTTGAAATTTCGCGTAGCAGTTGAGTTTCATCAAATCATATAATTATGCGGTAAGGCTTCACCTTTATTTCAATAGGAATTGATTTATTATATGTTAAGCTAAGTGCAGTACTGTTTTGGGTCAGTTTATGTGTAAATTAGGGGAGGTATAGGCCAGTAAACTTTTTGTAAAACTTTCACTAAAAAAACTTGCGCAAAGGAACTCCGTAAGGACGAGCCACTACTGTGGCTGGAGTAAGGCGGAAGACATCAGTAGTGGTACCATTTCTAACCCATTTATAGAGCAGCAGTTAAAAGTAGTTAAGTCTCTTATCTCAATATCATCCAAATTCTTACACTTTGACAACCCGAATTATTTGTCAATGTTATCTTACCGGGAAAAGGTAGGCTTCTGCAGTCGTTGTTTTTTTGTATTTTAGAGGAGAGCAGAGAAAAGCTCCCCTTAATGAACAAATTGAAAAAATCTTTCCCCTAAAAAAGCTCTCCCAGTTTCGATAAGAAGAGTAATTTAGAAATTAAGGGGAATGATCTGATATTAAGCAGAGTGATTAGTTGTTTGTATGGGAAATGGTTCTGAAGATCAACAACACGAATTGTGTACCATAGTGCGTTTCATCGTCATTTGTAACAAGTGACCAGAAAGAGCGAGGCTAAACATATTCCACAACTCATAACTTATCTGGACAGCATGCGCAATAGACTGGAATAACCAGACGCTAGAAATTTCTATTCAGTTGAGACTCATGCCATATTTCACTGGACCTAACTGATTTGAAATAAGAGTCAAAATGGAAACAGTTGAATGTAAATCGAGTCAAAATGGAAACAGTTGAATGTTTATCGGTTCATATACAATCAGATTACATTATCATATGCGTGTGCAAACCATTTGGGTCAATTACTAGGTCCCAAATATTAGCGATTTAGCTCCTTTAATGATAAACAATTTGAATTTAAACAAACAGTGTGATAATAAATCATGATAAAAATGAATGAATATTTAGCAACTACATGCAAACAGATTAGGCCTAATACAGACCTTGACCTTCATAAATCGTGGCCTAAAACATTCTTGGGATCATGCTGCTTAATTTGATACCACCGGGGGTGGATCGCTGCAACGAAGCGTGATTGGCAAACATACACATATCTTTATTTACATGTATATATATATACATGTAGATGAGTAATGACTGATGGCCTACTTCAGCTGTATTTGATCAAGTACTCCAGGTATGGGTGGTTGGATGGCCGAATGGTTAGCATGTGTGCGCTGTATCATAAGGTCTGCCATTGAGTCAACTGGCGTGGTTTCGATTCCCCGGTTGTACCTGACAAGGAGTAGGGTCGCCTGTCCAATCTCGTTGGTTTTCTCTGGGTCCTCTGGTTTCCTCCCACTGCTAAAGACTCCTACGTGCAAGCAAATTATTGAAATAAAATTGAACCATATTTTACTCCCCAAATGACCTAGTTTGTGTCGATTGGACGTTAAACCCTATTTCTCTCTCTCTCTTTCACTTCAGGTGCATTCATTTCGTGATCATCAATAATCATCACTAACACTTTTAAAAAGTCTTGTTTTCAGTTTCATTCAGTGCCAGTTTATACCACAATGGAATTTAAACTAGACCTACATTAGTCTATTATGTTACATAATACATTCTCATGATTCTCATAGTGCTCAATATAATACAAGTTGGAGAGAGTAAGACTAGGAACAATCATTTTATTTTCCAGAACCTTTAAGAGATATCCTCATTCCTCATATTTTATTCAATTTGAATTAGGGCTGTATTAAAGTATTATAATACTGCAATATATTGCAATACTTTTTGTTAAGTATCACAATATATTGCAATGCGATTTTTGGTCACAATACACAGGCCTAATTTGAATTGATTTGTCTACAGTTAGATTGTGTGCAGAATGTGGGACAAATCTGTCAGTGCACTGCTGAGAAAAATATGTTTTTATTATAAATTTACTAGGTGTACTCTTTTATACGCCCACACTGAAATGTGGTCGTATATTATTATTGTTATTGTTCGATTTATTGTCGTCGCCCCCGTCTGTCCGGCGTCCACAATTGTTTGTGGACGCTCTAGAGGCTAAAGTTAATATCCAATTGACTTTAAATTCATGAGACGAAGAAGCCTATTGATTTTCAGCGATTTCTGATAATTACTACCAGAGTTATGGCCCTTGATCAATTCAAAATATCTTATGGACGCTCTAGAGCCAAAGTTAATATCAAATTGACTTTAAATTTATACACAGTGTTTAACGTCATGAGACGAAGAAGCCTATTGATTTTCAGCGATTTTCCGATAATTACTGCCAGAGTTATGGCCCTTGATCAATTCAAAATATCTTATGGACGCTCTAGAGGCCAAAGTTAATATCAAATTGACTTTAAATTTATACACAGTGTTTAACGTCATGAGACGAACAAGTCTATTGATTTTCAGCAATTTCCAATAATTACTGCCAGAGTAATGGCCCTTGATCATTTCGAAATATCTTGTGGATGCTCTAGAGGCTAAATTTATCATCCGATTGACTTCAGATTGATACAAAGTTTAAGGTCTTGAGACAAACAAGTATATTGATTTTCAATGAATTTTGATAACTTGAACAGCTAAATCCATGATACCAAATGTTTCGTATACTAAACGTTAGCATGGGGCAGAACTTTATAAAAACCAAACCAATTGTAATGATTTTCTGATAATTACTTAATGAGTTGTTACTCTTAATCATAGTAAATTATAAATTTTTCATTACCGAAAGAAAGTAAAATTATGCGACAACTCTTGTTCACTGCCCAGACGATTTAGCTGCTGTGGGCGTATCTTTTTTAGTGATATTTAAGGAGGTAAATGATCGTTGGTCTCTAGCTGGTCAATATTTGGATTTTGATAAATTGGTGTTATTTTGAACACGATAATATTATGGTACATAATTTTTATACATATTCTTGTTGATGATGATCAATCTTTAAGGGGAGGCAAGGGTCGACAAATGTCAATTTTGACTCAAATTATCGATTTTTTATATTTGCATACTTGTGATGTTCATTCATTTTTATTTCACTTGTAATTAAAGAAAATACATATAAAGTGGTTTATGATAGAAAAAATGCACTTTTGAACACTCTTGCAATTCAAATTTTGCTGTTTTACCTCTTTATGTCTTAATTTCTCAAAAAGTAAAATATCAACAGTCGACAACCTTACAAAAAATCATTCTTGAAAAGTTTACAACAGATATGTCTGAAACTTACACACATACTTAAGTAATGTTAGTTCCATGCAAATAAGGATTTTCAGTACTCTAAATGAATTTTTAGTGTAGTAAATTGGCATTTGAAATCTCTCATTGAAAACAACATTTTTCATAATTTTTGTTTTGTTGAATAGAATGACATGTAAGGACAGAATAACAACACCATATTGATAATTGCACAGAGAAATGTCCTAGGAACATTTTAAAAAAAAGTTCCAGGCTTCTACCTTTGATACTTTCAGAGAACGATTTTTTTTAAGCAGTAAAAATGATTTTTTTTGTTTCCATGGTAACCAGTAAAGCAGATTCCCCCAAAACTGCCGATTAGCCTATTTTGTCGATGTGAACAATTCCTGAAAATTTCAAGTTGATAGCATTATTAGAAGCCAGTTATTTTAAAATTCATATTTGTCGAGCAGTGCCTCCCCTTAAAAGGATTAGAGTTTTTGATTAAATTGTGTAGTCCTATTATATATTTCAGATAGAAGATAAATGTAACTATATCACATACTGTTCTACAACATAAGGAACCATCTAATGTCTTTCTTGGTAAGTTCAAATAAATTACAAACTAAGTTTATTGTACAGAAACCTGATCTGTACACTTTACCTAATCTGTAATGTATTATCATATTGCAAATGCATTAAAGTCACTGAATTTAATTGAATAATACTTTAATTTCCAAACATTAGTTAATGATAATTTAATGTCTAAACATGTAAATTTTTATCATTAGTTTATTAGACATCACTGACCTTTGTTAAGGTTTCCTTTAATTTCTTTTCATTTCTTGTGCACAAAATATAACTTGTATGACCAAATTCAGATTGTTAGTTAAGTAGTTACCGGATGACTGTACTGCAATAGTTAATATTGGGCCTTCACTATAAAATGATAGTAATACATGTACTAATAGCCAAAACACTATAAGGAAAAATGGCCATTAAACTATTATTTTGTTTTATTGTCAAGACTGTATAAAATTACCGTACTATAAATCAGGACTCTTGTTTCAATCATCTATACCAGTCTTCCCAGTCAGTCTATTTACATGCTTAAAACACAATAATTACAGTCAAATTTATAGCTTTCATGTATAAAATCATTTAAAATATAACAAAAATAATAATAATCCTAAAAGATGGTTATTCTAAACAAAATACCTCAAACAACTACCACCTGCCCGGCAAATTTATTATATGAAAGCCCTGTTATACATATACAGACATATTGTTTTTCATATCACCTCATATTCATAATGTCATGTTATTACAAAATATATCTGTCTCATATCTTAATAAAATTTGTTTTCAGTATTGTCATTGTGAAGTGCATTTGCACCATTAGCAAATTGTCTGACAGAAGCTAGCTAATGTGGTCAAGGCACATTGTGTATGATGTATTGACACTGAAATTGACACTACACATGTTCCATTCTGTCAGTTGCTTGTTGATATGGTAACGCACACACTCATCATTTAAAATAAGGTCCTATAGCCACATTTCACATACCTCATGATCTGTACATAAAAGTCCCATTCTCTGCAGAGACTAATGTTAAAAAAAAGCAGCACATCAGCCATCATCATTCATCAAAAAATCAGAACCTTATACACGTTTTCTTTTTAAACAAATTCAAATTTACACATTTACCGGTAATTAGAATTAAATGTACAATATAGGGTATATCTTTTCATTTCATCCCTACACTTGATAATTGGGAAGCGGTATTAAATTAACTCTCTTATAATTATGACTCAAAATGTGGATATTTGAAGTAAACTATTATATGTATAATAATTTATTAATAAGTATTTCTATGCAACAATAGTGCATGTATTGTAAGTATTGATACCCAATACCTAGATTATAAGTATGAAAGTGTTCTAGCTACCAGTATATAGTAATAGAATTGATACCAATATCTAGTTGTAACTATGGAAATGTTACTAGCTATAGTAATAAAATTGTTATTATTAGCTAGATAATAACTATGCTAACGTTCTAGCTATGCTATATAGTAATAAAATTGTTATTATTAGCTAGATAATAACTATGCTAACGTTCTAGCTATGCTATATAGTAATAAAATTGATATCAATACCTACATTATGAATATCGAAGCGTTCTAGCTATAGTAATAAAACTGATATCAATACCTAGATTATAACTATGCAAACATTCTAGCTATGCTATAGCTAGAATATATATAAATATGGAAGTGTTCTAGCTATAGTAATAAAATTGATATCAATATCTGGATATTATAACTATTGAAAAGTTCTAGCCACATTATATAGTAATAGAATTGATACCAATACATATATCTATAACTATGGAAACGTTCTAGCTACCAATATATAGTAATAGAATGTGTTGATTAATAATATAAATGTAGAATGACCAAGTATTAAAATGCATCATGTGTCTATCTATTATATAGATGTAGTTTTATTAATGCAATAGGGGTGATGATTTTCCCATTTTTGATTCCCTTGTAAATCCCATTGGACACATACCGGTACTCCTTTTTTTTTTCTCCCCAATTTTATTACAAACTTACTTTTCTTAACTTTTAAACCTCATGTAAAATACTAACAGGGGAGATTATTGATTGAAGGCGTGGTGGGAACTCAATTACATTTTGCTTAATCGGAATAAAATGTCTGACCATTTTACATTGTCTTATGTCTGAGGTGGTAGACAATTAGTCAAAAACTTTAATGAATTTAAGGGGTTGGGTGGAAGAAGGGTTTAACGCGTCCACTTTACATCATAGAGTCCGCCATGGAGTCAAGTGACATGGTATTGATCCTACAATTGTACGTGATCACCTACTTAACCCCGTGGGTTTTCTCTGGGTCGTCCGGTTTCCAGCCACTGCTAAAGACCCCTACGCGCAAGCAATTTATTGAAATAAAATTGAATAATGTTAGCCCCAAAATGACCTAGTGTGTGTCGAGTGAATGTAAAACCCCTTTTCTCTCACTCTCTAGAACACTACTTATATTTTGTTTATTTAATACTTTGGGTTCGTTATTGAGGAGGTCACTCTTTCTTTTGTTTTATTCTTAGCACTGTGGGTGCTCGAAAGGGCGAGTATCCGAGTCAGATGGTCCAAGACCCTATGACCGCAGTACTTACACTGCACTGGTAAGGGAGATTTTGCATGCGCATGCAGCTTGAACTTTATAAGCTTAAAATATTATGCTCATATTCATATCTATATCTTGTTTTGTATATATAACCATACTTATTTATCCCATTTCTATCAAATTTACCCTGTTACCCTATTGTGTGCAGTTCTATTGCACTGATGTTTGTAACTTACACATGTGAATTTTAACCTAGTTGTGTTACCCAGCATTGCAACATCCTTAATAATGATGCAGTAATCAGTAATTGTCAATTCCATCTGCACATACTGTACCAAATAAAAACATCTGTTAAAGGAGTATCAAGATTGGTTCGTGAGGTATTAGTTTACAACTAAACAGGCTATGACCTTAAACTCATAATATTATATATTTAAGCCAGTAATTTTTATAATGAAGATATTAACTAGCTGTGTTATCTGTGGCTTGTGTCACCCACAGTTGCGATATCCATAATAACGCAATAATCATTAAAGATACATTATGTAAGATTTAGATAAAAAGCTGGTCCTTATAGCCATAGGCGTACGGCGAAATTTTTGACTAGGGGGGCGGTGGTGGTTGGTGTCCAAAAAATGTAGTTAGGTTCTTAGTATGTTACATAATAATAATAAATTCGCTGTTAAATTGGACACATTCAAGAACACAATATTTTTTTATACAACTTTTACAAAGTACAATTGTGTGCCCAAATTTTATCAGCATTTGGTGCCCAAAAAGGGGGGGTGGCCGCCCCCCCCAGATCGTACGCCTATGCTTATAGCTATAATAGATCAAAAATAGATACATGTAATGAAAAACATCTTGTGCAAGGTGGATAACTCCCGCTACCTAATATTGCAAAATGGAGTTTTCTACCTCAGACATCCTGTCATGGTTGCGTAGCAGACAAATTTCTTAATAATTCCGCACCAACTACATAATAAGCTACACCATAGACACTCAGCAAACCTCGGCACATTCCGGTACCCTACATCTAGCCTCGGCTGTATGACGGTAAGTGATATGTACCTACTCCTATAAAATTGCGATGTGGCACCGGTTTACTTATTAGGAAAACTTGCCGCTTTTTGAAAGAAGTTCTCACAATTGCGTCGTTTGAAGAGTGTGTAGAATTTTCAGTGCAAACTTGTCATTGTCTAAAGAAAATCGGATAAACTTGAGAGAAAAACAGCTTCAGACTTTGAAATATTTGTATGATAAAACATTCTTCAAAGGCGTCGTCATGGGCAATGCTGTTGGTAATCCGGGTACTGGAATCTGCTGAGGTTTGCCGAGGGACACCACATATTTTCTTGTAAACAAATAGTTCAACCATGTAGTGAATATCGAACACACATACATACAAACAAACACACAAATAAACAAACAACACACACACACACAAACACAAAAAAACAAACAAGGTTTCAGTTTTCTGTAATCACAATGTTACTACTAAGTTACAGTATAGTATATGCCTAACAAGTCTTTTCACTACCACCAAGGTAAAGCACTATGTCACTAATCAGAAGGTCTGTGGTATGATCCCAATGTTGGTCAAGAAAGTTCCATGGGATTTTGCAGTGTGGTTTTCCGTTGTAAGTGTACAGGACAGAGGCCTGGCAAGGACAGTGTCTAGTCGCTCGGATGTTACGAAAAATGCAAGGTCCTATGGTCGGGTTCTAACGGACTCCTCCACAACTGCAATAGAACCCTGCTTGTCTGTTCAGGATGATTGCCATAATTTTAAGTAAGGGAATCACTTCAGTCATTGGATGGACCAAAATACCATTTTGTGTGGGTTTGAATAAGAACAAACGTTTGAAATAAAATTCCTTCACACATATTTTTAAATTTTTTAAAGCATGGATTATTGTTGAGAACTTTTTTGTGTATTATTTCAAAGTTTATAACAATTTACGTCTCATTTTTAATTCTTTGTTTGATACCAATAATTATTTTAATATTGTATTTTAGTTAATTATATTTAAACCATATAATTTTGATATGATTTTAGTTTAGTTACCGATTTTTATTATCCTACTGCTTTTTTTTTCTTTCTGATAAAGTCTGTCATTGAGTCGACTGGCGTGATTTCGAATCCCCGGTTGTACGTGACAAGGAGTAGGGTCGCCTGTCTAACCTCGTGGGTTTTCTCCGGATCCTCCGGTTTCCTCCCACTGCTAAAGACCCCTATGCGCCAGCAAATTATTGAAATAAAATTAAACCATATATTAGTCCTAGTTTGTGACGATTGGACGTTAAACCCCATTTCTCTCTCTCTCTCTCTCTTTTTCTGATCTAATATAAACTTTACCCTGTATAAATATTAATAATCTTCTTTTGTAATACTTCTATTTCCTACATCACTTATCACATGACTTAATATATAGTTTACCTTTAAATCTATAAAATAATATTATTGTGTTCTATTTCCTGCACCACTTATCACATGACTTAATATATAGTTTACCTTTAAATATATAAAATAATATTCTTGTATAGTTCTGTTTCCTGCACCACTTATCACATGACTTAATATATAGTTTACCCTGTACACATATTACATAATCTTCTTGTGTAGTTCTAATACTATCTTCTGTTTCCTGCACCACTTATCACATGACTTAAAGGACAATATTTGGTGCCAATCATTATCACATATGTGATAAAACTAATTAAACACGTTCGAAATATAATTTTATCACAGAGATCATTGCTATGATAGCTGAGTAATATTGGTTTCCTGAATCGGAAGTGACGAATGCCAAAGGGAAACACGAGCCATCCCTCCATATAACTGACTGAAGAACAGAGTGATAACAGAAACCTGTATTACTCAGCTATCGTAGCAATGCTCTCTGTGATAAAATTATATTTGGAACAAGTTTAACCAGTTCTATCACATATGTGATAATGACTGACAACAATATTGTCCTTTAATATAACTTTTACCATGTACACATATTAAATAATCTTCTTGTGTAGTTCTAACATCTTCTGTTCCCGGCCCTACTTATCACGTGACTTAATATAATTATTATTAAATATCAGCTAGTCTCACCTGTTCACGTTGAAATTAGTTCTGCATGTGTCATCGTTATTTTCAAGCACTTGTTTTAATATTGATCTATTGTAAATCAGCTGTGTTTTTTTTATTGGATTAAAATGCATATTGTTGTACAGTATATTGATATACGCCCTTGATGTGTCATTATTTACTCAAGCTTAAAGAGATATTGTGATCAAAAGCTGAATGTGTCTCAAGTTTGCAATTTCAGAGATTGGCCATACAAGTACAATTGACTGATTCAGAAAGGAATATGACAACAGATTCTATATATTTTATACATAATCTAGTGATGGAGTAGTGTCATGCTCAACCCCAGGTACAAATTGGTGCACTGGTTGTGACGTTATGAGAGGAATTGTCATCAATTAGTAACAAACTAACCAGCGCTTATGCTATCTATATTAGTCTTCATTATCCAACCACTTCTGTGTTGTACTCAGCCACAGCCACGGTTACATAGAGTGAGAAGAAGCAGACACATAGTTTTATTTATAAACTGTGACTAACAGTTAACCTTGTAAGACCACAGCTGACACGTTAATTAAACCAAAATAATTTATACCTCAGGTTCTGCATTGTGAAAACTATTTTATTACTTAATAATAAATAAAATATAAAGAATCTGCAATGACTGAACTTCACCTTTGAAAATTGTTCTTGATCCTGTAATTTATTATATGATTAAAAATTCAATATTAAGTATGCAATATCTCTTTAATCATAAATACTGCCTGTTCAAATGTGCATGCTTAAGATTGGTCTTGCAAAGGACAGACATTTCTTGTATAGTATTTTTCTTTTGGGCTTTTTTGTACTTCTGCTCTGCACTATGCTCTGCATTGAGTTGCTTTAATGATTGTTAATTTTCTTCAATGCATGTTTGTTTTCTTTGGATCAAACAGATCTGTCTTTACTTTTCATACTAAATAGAATCTGTTACCTGAAGGCATATGTAATAACATTTATCATATTTCTAATTATAATTCTATATATATCATTATTTATGATTCTCTAGTATATATTAAACAGTATCATTACATGTATTTATTATTATCTATTTTGTTTAGCCTAATGATAGGGCAGAGACACCAGTAAAGACAGATGGAATGTCCTCATCAGAAAGTAATTCTATAGCCGGTCTGGAATTTGAACCTGCAGCAGCGTGTTATGAACTTTATACAACTATAGGTTTGTTGGTATTTTGGACATTATAACGAAGTTACTGATCCAGACTGTGCAATTTTTGCACAGTATTTGAGTTTTCATGGCTTAATCAATACTACAATCTACTCAAATTGAATATTGAACATTACAAAACAAAAATGTAAACGCTAGAGGGTTCAGTCGAATTAAAAATGGGCCATGCAAAATGTTGTAAAATTAATAAATGATGAACCATTTTTGAACTGATATTCCTCTTGCTGATTCGGAGGGGTTGGATGGCCAATTGGTTAGCATGTACGTGCTGTATCATAAGGTCTGTCATTGAGTCAACTGGCATGCTTTCGATTCCCTGGTTGTATGTGACAAAGAATATGGTCGCCTGTCAAACTTCATGGGTTTTCTCCGGGTCCTCTGGTTTTGTCCCACTGCTAAAAACCCCTATGTGCAAGCGAATTATTGAAATAGGGTTGAACCATGTGTTGGTCCCGAAATGACCTAGTTTGTATCAAGGGGACTCTTTCTCTCTCCTTTTCGTGATTCACCATTCACACCATTTTCACGGCATTGATGATTAGCAGATTATAAAATTCTAATTTATCATGCTGTTATTTTTGCTAATTCTGACATACCGTACCTTTTGTTTCATTTTCTTATGAAAGAGATTATTTTTAGATGTATAACAATGATTGACATCCTATTTATATTACAGGTAAAGGTCATAATGAAGCAGCTAATATCAATCTAGCTAAACATTTAACATCTGGTCAGTTAGTAGCTATTAAAAGAATTTGTTTAGAAACCCCAGGTTTAGATTATAACACCCTTCAGGTTAGTATTCAAATTCTTTATTATAACTTTAAATCTTAAAGATTTGTGTTTACTATGTTACTTTGAAAAAATTAAGAAGAAAAAAATTCCAAGATTGCATGGTCAGCATTGTTTTTGTATGAGGTCTGTCGCTGTTCCAATTAGTCAATGTCTTTTCCTAAAGCACCTTAAAATTATGGATTTCAACAAATTTGGTAGGTATGTTGATTGTGTGATGCTTGTCCAGATTTTTTCAAATACTGGTAGAATTAATTGGACGAAGTATGGGCAAATTTAGACACTGTTGACTTCTCTTGAATTTAAAACCTATTGCCAGGACTATCTTGTATAAAGCAACAGCTTGATATCATGTGGGATGTTATAGGAAGAACTTTTTTTATTTACCAAAATATTCTTTATGTTTTTCAGAATGAAATAGTTCTATGTCAGACATTACATCATAGCAAGATAATACCTCATTACTGTAATTTTATGTACTGTCAGGAACTATGGACTGTCATGCCTTTAATGGCTTTTGGTAAGTCTTACAGTATTCATTGACATGGATAATAAACTATTGGTAATGAATATTTTTTCAACAATCAGTTCCACAGTTTGTTATTTTTTTTAGGTTTATTTTGCAGGTGGGTGGAGGGGTGGGGGGAACATTAGTTTATTTACTTGTAAGGTATGCAACTATCCAACTGCCTTTCGGAGAAACCAGTAGACTATTAAAATGAGTTTGTCCATCCGTTTGTTTGGAACACAATTACTCTGCTTCTGATGACATGATAACCCTGATTCTATTTGATGAAATTAAACTTACTGTTTAGTTTCATTACATCAATACTTTGTCTAAGGGTTTTATTGCTTGATGCTTTATTTAAAGATAAATGTGAAAGTAATTAATTTATATTTTTGTCTGAAACTGATATCTTGTTTACTGTTTACCTATTTACAATTACTGTGTTAAATATTTCAGGTTCGTGTAGAGATTTGATTCATGCTTATTTTTCAACTGGTTTATCAGAACAAACAATAGCTTATATACTTAGAGATATTTTACAAGCTTTAGAATATCTTCACAATAGAGGAATAATTCATAGGTATGTACCAGCAATCTTATTCACGAAAAAAACATAAATTAAAAATACTTGGCTGACCAGTAATATCATAGTTTTCTTGTAAAAGGCCATAGAACTTTTTGGGATCTTTTCCGATCAGAATTGAATCAATTTTTGACTGATATTCCTTTTAAACATTCAACTATCACAATGTTGTAATTTGTAAAATCCCTCTTATAAGTCTCTAAATACCCATATTGAGGAATGGTACATAGGTATGTAGCAGCGACTTTTTTCACAAATAGTTCATTGGCTGAGCACTAAAATCAAAGTTGTATTCTTTAATAAGGCCTGTTTGAAAGATTATGTGTGAGTCAGCTGTATAATAAATCTCTAAATGACCACAGTACAATTTTTCACTCGATTTTAATTTTGATTATTATATGGTTATATTTCAGATCTGTAAAAGCTGCCCATATATTAATAGGAGCTAATGGTAAAGTATGTTTATCAGGTTTACAGTATGCTTACTCTATGATACAAGGTGGAAAAAGATATAAAACTGTTCATTCTTACCCAGATAATGCTATTCAATGTCTTCAATGGTTCAGTCCCGAAATTTTAAAACAGGTATATACATATTTATATAAAGATTAACAAAAGCTGATAACGATATGAGCATACTTATTGAACCGTCATGTATGTGTGATTGTTGTCCCATATAACTGTGTTAGTTTTGTTATGTTTTTAAAGGCTAAATGTCACTAAAGGATCATATATAATGATGGTTTTTATTCAATATCTATATTATGTACCATAAGCAAAAGAAGCTACCTGTACATATAGTTAAGCTTGGGTTGTTCCACCTACCTTAAATCTATATTTGTGATTGTATCTGTCTGTTTATTTGGGGTTGGTAGCTATACTGGAGCTGCCCCAAGGCTCAAATCTTGGATATAAGAGCAGCTTGTGCTAAGGCCTGCTGGTTTTATACAACATGTACTACTACTACCAGTTTTGGAATTATTCTACTTCTAGTTTAGGGCTCTACCCATGCGTATTCGAGTCAACCACTAGTGTATCGTAAAGATAATAACTTCTTATGTACTTTTATTGTAGAATCATTTCTGTTGGTGAAAATTCATATTTTAAAATTTTGTTTTATCGGCCTTACATTTAACATACTACACAAGAATCAAGCTAAATAAGATAAAACATCACTAGAATTGTGTATAGGTCACAATGTATTTTATATTGATGTATGTTTTATTACAGAATTTGGCAGGTTATGATACTAAGTCTGATATATACAGTATAGGTATTACCGCATGTGAATTAGGTAATGGTCAAACACCTTTCTCTGATATGCCTGCTACACAGGTAAGAATGATAAAATAATATGTTTGTTTAATGAGCATTGTAATTCTAACAACAATTTACTGCTCAGTCATTGTTTAAATTATATATTATCAAACAACAAGCATTAAAAATCAGAATCGGCAACTTTAAAGGTGTTTGTGCATGCATCTGAACCACCAAAAAAAAAAAAGATTTTATTATTGCTTGTCAGATAATCTAAAGTATCAAAGTGAATGAGACAGTTAGGTATGTGAACCTTCTAGAAAACAAGAGCATCATTGTCGTTTAACATTAAGAGTGTCACACTTGTAAAGACCAAGCCATGTGTAGTATAATTCAAAATCCTCGAAAAAAAATGGAATTGAAAAAGGTTTTAAATCAACTGGAATTTCTAAACATCAATCTTTAAAGTCTGTGCATAGAGGAAAATGAGTGAAATCTTTCCTTCTGTTGAAACTAAGTTCAACAAGATTGTAAAAAAAATTATACAAATGTCTTTTTACTTTTGTTTATGTTTATTCAGCTTATTAATACCTTCAGGAAACATATAAAAAAGAATTCTGTGTTTTTTATAATTTTAACCCAAATTATCCTACCTGATAAAACATTTAAAAGCTTGGCTATGTATTATATTTTAGATGTTATTAGAGAAGTTAAATGGTACTAAACCAATATTAGCTGATTCTACAACAGTAGCAGATTTTATAGTAGAAGATGATATTAATGGTAGGTTGATCAAATTTTAATGTCTCATCAAATTTCTTGACTTCCACATGTAGTAAAAGTCAAATACTGTAACCAGTGTAGGTTGCTATCTGGTCTGGCCCAAAAAAAAGGATCTGCAACCTTCCAAAAATACGAAATTCAGAATGTTAGAGATTATATTTGTGGTTAAAAAATCCTCGTTAGTAAATTCTTGAATACACTGAAGAGTAGTTTCAGAATGGATGCTAACCTTGAAATATATGTACAAAAATATAAAAGTTTTTGAAAAAAGAACTACATTATTTGTCGATTACTAACACTTTCGCTTATTTTATTAAGCTCTTCAGATAATCAACATTTTGTATTACCAAATATAAAGATAATATTGATAAAACCATCATTTCATATGTGAAATTACTATAGACAAAACATTATTCTTGTTTTCAGGTCAGACAGTAAATGAAGAAACAAAAGCTGAAACTGCCATTTTCCAGCGGACATTTTCACAGCATTTTCATAATTTTGTTGGTTTATGTTTAGAAAAGGATCCAAACCTTAGGTAAAACTTGCTAATCATTTCAATGTCATTATTATGATTTACTTTCATACATTTATATGATGGTTTTTAATATACCAATATTTTATGTAGTCATTTATCACGTTTACTCCTGTCTATGAAACCATATGTTCATTGTTTAAAATTCCTTGGAAGACGCTCTAGAGCATTGGTTCCTAACTTGGACTACTTGGAGTAAATTAGGCCTACCTAGTTGATAAATTTGCTAAATCTGTATTTGTACATATAATTTTTGAAGACAATTTGAAGTTGAGAAGCAAATAATTGAAGTAGCCTTGTTAAGTGTTATTGTTATTTGAACTTAATTATGACCAAAAAATAGAATTGCTTTATTTTGGTAGAGGTGTAAACTGAAATTATTGAACAAAACAAGGTGGTGTTAAATTTAGTTCAAAATGTTTCTAGGGGTAAACAGGAAGAAGGGTTGCGAACTCCTGCTCTAAAACTTAAGTTGATAAAGTTCACACATTTCAAGTTATCATTCTTACTGAATATATTTATTACTACAGACCAACTGCTACAGCTCTACTGGGTCATCCATTCTTAAAGAATCTACGTAAAAAGACAACAGATGTTTTACCTGGTCTTTTACATCCAGTCACACCTTTAACAGATGCCAGTAGACTTCCTAAAGGTACAGCTTAATATCTTTATTTATTCATGCTCCTATTATCTGAGAGGGGGTTGGATGGCCGAATGGTTAGCACGTGCGCGCTGTATCATAAGGTCTGTCATTGAGTCAACTGGTGTGGTTTCGATTCCCCGGTTGTACATGACAAGGAGTAGGGGCGCCTGTCCAACATCGTGGGTTTTCTCCGGGTCTTCCGGTTTCTTCCCCCTGCTAAGGACCCCTACCCTGTCCAACCTCATGGGTTTTCTCTGTGTCCTCCAGTTTTCTCCCAAGCGAATTATTGAAATAAAATTGAACCATGTGTTAGTCCCGAAATGACCCGGTTTGTGTTGAGTGAATGTAAAACCCCATTTCTCTCTCTCTCTTTCTCTCTCTCCCTAATATCTGACAAGGGGAGATCATTAGCAGTTGTCTTAGCCTAAGTGAGTCATTGCAAATATATTTTTGTGAATATGGCGGGTTAATTCTGTACAACTAGCTGAATCTCTGTGATACTTTATTGCAGTTTCCACATAATCTGGGTGATCAGCTCCGAAATTCTACCCTATTAACATAGGCCTGGATAACAATATTTGCATCTTTTTGCCATCCTGAACAGAGATCTAAATTATTCTTGATGAACTTTGTCTCAGTTCTTTTCTAGACCATTTTTTTTTGCTGTCAATTATTTTTATTTTATTGATTTTTTCAACTTTTTTCCAGATAACTCTGTGACTGAACAGCTAACAGACCAAATGTCATCAGTAACAATGGAAGATGATTGGTTGTTTTGAATAATTTATACTCATGAATATTCAGTGTTGTGCCATATGTATAAAAGTAACTAGCAATTTAACCATAACTACAACATAGTTACAGTGGTACATATTTCATTCATCCATCTTAGAAATAAACCAAAAGAATCATTAACACTGTACCAAAAAATACAGCCAGTTGATATCAAATCAAATTAGTCCAATGATTAAATATTTATTGTAAATATCCATTCACTGATCTATTTAAAACAACATGTATTATATATTCTCTTTGAATAGAAGTGTAGATTTATATAATCTTTTAGAGGCATTTACCAGTAGAAACTGGATAGAGCAATTAACTATAACACATACTTATGGAAGATTAATTACTAATGTATTTGTTCGAAGTTTTGAAGATTGTTTTCTCAAAGTTTTCAAATAAGTACAGTAACAAATGTGTAGAAGAGTTATATATGGTTCAATGGTCGAGAGCGAGACATTAAGTAATATATTGATACTGGTCGAGAGCGAGACATTAAGTAATATATTGATACTGGTCGAGAGCGAGTCTTTAAGTAAAATATTGATACTGGTCGAGAGCGAGTCTTTAAGTAATATATTGATACTGGTTGAGAGCGAGACATTAAGTAATATATTGATACTGGTCGAGAGCGAGTCTTTAAGTAATATATTGATACTGGTCGAGAGCGAGTCTTTAAGTAATATATTGATACTGGTCGAGAGCGAGTCTTTAAGTAATATATTGATACTGGTCGAGAGCGAGACATTAAGTAATATATTGATACTGGTCGAGAGCGAGTCTTTAAGTAATATATTGATACTGCACGAGGTGTTAGTGTTGTTTCAGTATATTACGCAATGTCTTTAGCTTAAGACCATTGAACAACTTAAAATACAGACACTATCCCTCACGTGCTTTTCAATGAAATACGTCACACAAGTCCAATATTTCATCTAGTATAGATAATGTACGATTGACAAGTTGCCTTTTGTACATAATTGGAAATAATGGTACGCCAACATCAAAGGATGAGGTCACATCTGTATTTTAAATACATGTAAAGACAAGAATTGGTGTTGTTGCTTGTCTATACATGTATATAATTACTCTACACATTTGTTACTGTACTTGCTTGAAAACATCTAGAGAATACTCTTTAAAACATCACACAAATAAATCAGTAATTGTTCTTCCATAAGAATGTGTTGTAGTTTATTTTTTTTAATTTATATAGATATTTAAAATCTACAGAATCTTAGTAATGGATTGTAAAATAAGCCTCCAATGTGGTCACATATGAATATGTCCAATATAACTACATATGGTCAGATATGAATATGTCCAATATAACTACATTATGATCAGTTATGAATATGTCCGATCTAACTACATATGGTCAAATATGAATATGTTCAATATAACTACATATGGTCAGATATTAGTATGTTCAATATAACTACATATGGTCAGATATGAGTATGTTCAATATAACTACATTATGGTCAGATATGAGTATGTTCAATATAACTACATTATGGTCAGAAATGAATATGTCCAATATAACTGAACATGGTCAAATTATGTTAAATGAAAAATTATTGTTTGTCAGTCAATGATAATAGACAAAGGGCTAGTGTTTCTTTAACACTGATAGCCTGCTACAGAATCAACAATGTTATTCATTAGTTAATGACATTCATATTGTTTTTTCCATAATGAAAAAGCTTACAACTTTTCTTAGCCCGGTATCTTCCCTAATAAGAGATGATTTTATTGTGTTCAAATGACTACCCGGTACATATAAAATTGTACATAGCATGGCACTGGTACTGTAAAACAGTTATTCAGAAATGGTAACAGATGTTTAGAAAGAGTAAGCAGATCATTTCTCAAGCATGATACCACTTTTATGAAACGGAATATAGGGTTTGTAATTTGTCAAGTCAGGATGAGAATAGGTTATAAGTTTGTGTGTATAAATGTATATTACACTCAAATTTCTTGAATACTTGAAGAGCCCCGGGGAAGAACGATCTAAGTCACCTTTTCAACGAACTCCAGTTAATGGTGCCATCTGGTAGCTAATTGTATAAGCTTTCTGTGGAACAATCAATTTCAGGTAAAAACGATTGGAATCACATCAAACCAAGGCCCTTCTGAAATGGCCTCCAAGACAAATATGTCTTTTATTTGACCTTAATTTGGCTGATAAGTGGAAGTCAGTTGTTGTACTGGTAATTATGATTCGTATTAAACATCATTTTGAAGTTGTAATTAAACCCACTTGTTCTATTCGCATCAAGCATTTGCGTCCAAAAGTCTGTTTTGCCTTTTATGCGAAAAGACAAAAACATGACTTAAATCGTTCTTCCCCTGGACTCTTCACTCGTATTAGATAATTACTGAATGGCTGAACTACTCTTTAAATGCAATCTCCAAATTTATACTTGAACATGATTGGACTGTAAACTTGTTATAGAGTACTTATTTGTATGATGTTTGTATTTTGTCAAGTCAGAATGAGTATAGGTTATAGGTTTGTGTGTATAAATGTATAGTATATTTAAACTAGCTTATTTTATTAACAGCTTTAATTAACATTCAAATTATAAATGTTTTTTATTTGTTTTGTGTTTATCAAGTTTGATTGCCTTATATTTCTAATCAGCCAAAATGCATTTTGTATATCAGATCGCTTTTTTAGTACATATATACAGACCTTGCCATTACATAATAATATGCTGAGAGCAAAATTGCTTTCTCCTAGTATGTTACAGTGGAATCCTGCTCAACATTCACCTCAGTATTACAGGCCGCTCACATTTTAATATAGAGACCACTCATCTATTAAAGATAAAAACTGGGAGGGTCTAGTGATTTAAAACTGGGAGGGTCTAGTGATTTAACATGTAGTTAGAGGTCTGTCATTGAGTCAAGTGGTCTGGGTTCGATTCCACATGCTTGTATGTGACAAGGAGTGGGATCGCCTGTCCAACCTTATGGGGTTTTCTCCGGGTAATCCAATTTGCTCCTACTGCTAAAGGCCCCTACTTGCAGACGAATTATTGAAATAAAACTAAACCATATGTTAGTCCCAAAATGACCTAGTTTGTGTCAAGTGGACGTTAAACCCCATTTCTCTCTCAATTGCAGGATTTCACTGTATTTGGAGATAAGTGAGTGAGCATCATAAAGAGAGTCTATAAAGTGACCATTTATCTGCTGTTTAAGATATGTGGATGGTCAGATTTCTACATTTTATAATCAGGCGAGATTAGGGGGATATTGTTGATCACCTTACTTGTATGGCAAGGTCAGATATATACATGTATGTCATTGGTGTAATACATCTGTGAGCTAAGTATAAATGTGACTGTTACCTAGTAATTATCAGTAAATAGTCAATTTTACCAATTTGTAAGGTAAAATATTTTTTAGTCTCTGAATGTTAAAAGGTTAGATTATAAGTGCTGCATGCATAACTCAAGTCATACTTGACTATTTTGGATTAATATTTAAGAATTTAAATACATGACCCTAAAAAAGCCATTTGAATGAAACTTTGGTTAAAAAAATTTGAAAGTCAATGTATTTTATATTTATATTTAGCGTATAATATTTATTTTATGTTATTTTTGAATTTTGTTTATTTATCAATTAGATGTACATATTTTACATTATTATGTATGTAAGTGTATATATTGTTATCAGTCCCAAGCTCCTGTTATTATTGTTACTGTAAATAAATAAGTATATTGTTATTCTGTTTCTTAGTAAACAGTACTTTAGCCATGTCTGGTTTCCCCTTGTCAGTGGTGCAGGAAAGTTCCCAGTTGTTTGGATGAGATAAAAAACCATTGTCCCATGTATATCATTGATAACATGTTGATGATTCCCTGACAGTTCGAAATTACATAAAGAGTAGGCTGAAGCACCACCACCGTGGCAAAAATTGTCTCATAGCACAACACACTGCATGGCCTATGCCAGTATCTATATTTTCTCTTTGAATTTGGGGGGGTTATTTCCCTGCAACAGTCATACACATTTTATGCTACATTAATTTTACATTGCATGATCAATTCAAGTAGATAAGAATGAATAAAGAAGTCATTTGAATTCCAATGATTTCAGATATTGATTGCTGGAGTTATTGCTCTTGATCACTTTATATAATTTTGACCGAAAGCTTACTAAATGTGAACATGTTTTGATCTTTTGAAGCTTCAGCCATAAAACTGATTATTTCATCAAGTTGCATTGTAATAAGGAAGATGAAGAATTCATTTGAATTTCAACACTTTCAATAATTACTGCTACAGTTATTGCCTATGATCAATTTGGTGAATCTTGTTCATGTTATTGCAGCAAATGTTGTTATGGAATCTATGTGACAGGTTTATCTAATGCATTGGTTAGATTTACCCTCATAGCACACTGTATGGCGTATGCCCATGCCGGTCTTCATTAGCCCAGTCGGAGTAGAACGTTAAACACCATTTTATTATATTTTATTGTATGTATTGTGTAGTTAGGTGTTAAAACTCATTGGTTAAAACTCATTCCGTTCCTATTAAATTTCAACACAGTTTAATAATTACTGGGAAAAAAATCATTGCCTTGGGATAAACACAAGTTACAATCCCAGTTGTTTAAATACGAAATTGTAAACATAATAAGTTGTTTTTACACCTGGTAACTAACTCACACTGCATGACAAATAACAGTGTGTCTGAATATGTTCTAAATTTGAAGGAATAAGAATGAATCACTTTTGAAAAGTAAGATTTTGTTGTTTTCTTTCGATTGGTGTCAGAATGGAATGAATCATGATAGCCCAGTTTGACAGGGATGGGGGGGGGGGGCAAATTGTTCGTGGAAAGGAAGACAAAACGTGGATAGTTAAAATTAAATTAAGAGTAGGCCGAATTGGTGCTGTCTAACAGATTTTAAAGTTTTCACAATATAGTCTCGATTGTCAAGTACCATTGCTACGATAATAAACAAACACCCATGACTTCGCTCCGAATAAAGTAATTTGACTCAGAATTTAAATTTATTAATTCTTCATAATCTATTTTTGAACTATTATAGCGAGCAGGGATAGCTCGTTATCTAAATCTTCCATAATGCACAAAATCATGATTGGGGACGAAACTGCACATTTTAGGTTAGCTAGTGCACATATTGAGGACACTTAATTTATAAATTGCTTTCAATTATTATTCGACTATAATTGTTAATATTTTTAGGTTTGGTTACATTCGTGTGTCATGTACTGTTGATGGGGTATATAAACTAATAATAAGATTTTTTTTTTCAATATTTGCTTGGCTTTTTTGATATTACTGGTTAGTTATAATAAGTATATAGTAACTATTAAGATATTTTCCATGGGAAATGTCCATATGCTGGATATAAAAGCAAATATTGATTCTGTATATTATTTTACATTATTTATTGATATTTAAAGAAATAAAATAACAAATTGGTCACTTCTGTTGAAGATATTCACGGATTGTTATCGAAATACAGTTACCAAAAATGCGGGCGTTAATCTTGTTGGGTATTCTATGTGGATGTAAAGCGGCGGAGACCATTTCAGATTATCCAGCCGAAGGTAAGGATTATAACAAAACGCAAATAAAACGTATATAGCAATATTCATACTTAATATGTATTATGTAGATAACGAGCTGGTAGTTCTCGCTATGATAGTTTCGATTATCCATTTTTAAATTAAATTATTAAATGGCGACCGTGCTTTAATTCGTTAATAATCATTGATCTTGGCAGGTGTATAAATGTCTAATTGATAATTCATATAACATTTGAGGCCAAAAAAAAAAACTGCAATAGGCAGATGTGGCGCTTACATCTTACATAATGCATATTATTCTGAGATTCTTTTAAATCTGATCTCGTAGATTCTCATATCGCATAATGCATATTATTCTGAGATTCTTTTAAATCTGATCTCATAGATTCTCAGATCGCATAATGCATATTATTCTGAGATTTCTTTATATCTGATCTCATAGATTCTCAGATCGCATTTTCCTTGGCTTCTCCGATTATAAAAGGGATTTACTAATTGCACATTTAGTTCACATTTCTAAGATTTCCTTATCGCCGATATTCCCACTTTATGGGGGTTTTTTTAAAGACGTTTTGATCACAATTTTTTCGGTCGATGCTCATAAGTTTCCTAGGTCCCTCATTGAAGTTGGATTCCGTGGACGCTGTTGTTCTTGTACTGACACTTAAGCAGGACAGTAAAATAATAATTTTTACATATTTTTGAGTGGGCGTTAAAACTTATTTCATATTCTCTTTCACACACCTGGTCAAATTAAGGCCACATCGATGTTAACTTGTGATCAAACAAAAGCAGGCAATAATTAACGATTGGGATCGCCAAAACAAAAATATATAGTCAAGTGAAACCAGTCGTTTTCGAAAGTGTAGGTGTACAAATTGCATACGACACCCATCGCTGCCATCATAAAGCATTATTGAAATGTGCCCCGTCCGTCCCGAACTTGTTTTCGGGGCAGGATGTTGACGACTGTGTCTTCTTGTAATAGTGTTGTTTTAAATGTAATTTGTAATTCCTACATTTTAGTGTGTAACTTGAAGCCAATAATAGGAATGTGTAAAGCTTTGATGCCAAGGTTTTATTATGATGTTGAGAGTAAAACTTGTAAAGAATTTTTTTACGGTGGTTGTGGTGGAAACAAGAATAATTTCCTTACAGTTGAAGATTGTGCCAACTACTGCATCAAGTCTATTACACCCATCTCTGTTACCTATCAGCTACAGAAACCTGAAGCAAACCAGAAAGTAACATGGACACCATCATATTCAGATACTCTACAAAATCCAAGAGATCCTCAAAAAATTGCGCTTGAGATACCTAAATAAAGTGTTTTGAGATACATAAAATAAAGAATTTTGAGATACATCAACACAGAGTTTTGAGATACATAAAGAGTTTTGAGATACCTAAAATAGTTTTGAGATATATTTCAAACATAATTTTGAGATATATTAATACAGAGTTTTGAGATACATAAAATAAAGAGTTTTGAGATATCATAAAGAGTTTTGAGATACCTAAAATAATTTTGAGATATATTAATACAGAGTTTTGAGATATATTAATACAGAGTTTTGAGATATATTAATACAGAGTTTTGAGATACAGTAAAGAATTTAAGAAAGAGATTTGAGATAACTAAAATAAAAAGATACCCTAATAAAGAGTTTTGAAATACACAAGTAAGGAGTTTTCAGAAACCTAAAATTAAGCGTTTTAAGATACCTAAAAAAAAAATGGTTTTGAGATTCCTAAATAAAGAGTTTGAGATACCTAACATAAAGAGTTTAAAATACCCAAAATAACGAGTTTTGAGGTATTTTCCTTATTATTCGTAGAAGGCGTTAAATTATTAGGAATTTTTATATAGTGTCACTTCCAACAAGAGCGCACAAAGGCGCTTTACAAAAGACATGGTAAAACGTACATGAATATGAATCTAAGATCACAGATATTAAAAGTAAAATATAAATTGGCACTGAAAGAATATGGTTGTTAAAGATAGGATACAGTTATCAAATGACACAGATAATTAATCATAAATATCCGTTTTTGAATCATTCCTCTTAATGTTTACTGGTGTGGATGGAATTAAGCAATGAATGACTTTTAGTAACATAACATTTTATTAGCTAACATAATATTGCACCGTTCATCATGCTCAAAATCTCATAATTAATGAAGAATAATACTTTGTACCATTCAAAATATAAATAAATAACCATCTTTTATTCTTAAATCTACATTACAAGAAAAACGATAATTGCGTTCTTTATGAGATGAATATTCCATTTAATATTCTTCTTTACTGGGATTGGGATTGTGTCACGTTCAATTTTGATATCTACATAGTCTTAAGTTATTTAAATGTTTCCATCAGAAGTAAAAGGATACCAATACATTTATAAACACTGTCTTAAATAATGTCCTCCTTTTCTGGAATTACGTAACTTTCGATATTTTCGTATTCTTCAGTTCGTTTTTCGACATTTTCGTATTCTTGGGTTCGTTTTTCGATATGTTCGTATTCTAAGTTCGTTTTTAAATTATGAGTTCTATATAAAAAGAAAAAAACCTTCTCGATTAAAGTTTCGCTGAATCCCAGGAAGATTTTTGAATAAAAACAACATGATCAACAGGATAGAAGCCATATTTCTTTACTCCCATTCGTTTCTTTTTGTACCAACCATACGCCATACCTTTATCATTGGCTGGTTTCTTTTGTTTTATTTTCATTCCTAAAAAGACACAACGTCGTAATTTATTACCATGAAGAAATTTCAGTGTCATGGCTAGCTAAAAAATCTTGACCGAGAAAGTTGCTATGGGTTTTCGAGCCATGGACGGAGGGCCTAGCAGGCCTAGCAAAGAAAGTGCCTACTATCTGAGATTTTGATTTACTCCAAAACTAAGCAATAAACAATTCTAAAACTAAACTCTGTGTTATCTTGGGTTGCTTAAAATCAAATTCACAAATATAGAAGTCCTCCATATTTTTCTTCCTAAATTCGTCTATGTGAATGTAAACAATCACAGACGAAACTAATCGGAAGGGGTGTTAACAGTTGTTTCAGAAGTTGGTGCATTGCATTCAGTCTAATTTGAAGGTAAACGGAGGCAATACTCCGCGATTTGCGACTGGGTTTCTCTTTTGGCCCAAAGGAGCAATACCACCAAGTTTTAAAACATTCCATGTAGGACTTTGTCTGAAAATTTTAAAATTCGACAGTGTTCTTCCTTACACCTTGTATACGCCCCTTAACAATGTTTATCTAGAGATTGCCGATTATTTACCGGACATTACCATTTCACTCACTGACAGATTATAAGGTGTCCTATTCATAAATATACATTTATTTTATTTCATGTTTCAAAGATTTTACCTATTTTGAGATGTAGTTCTTCGTTTCCTTTTTTAGTATAATTTTTGATAGCAGACACGTAGACATTTTTCATATTACTTACTACCAAATCCTGACTTCTCCGCACTGAAACAAAATATATGTATACTGTTATTGATAAGGACACTGGTAAGGGACATTTATGTCCTAAAATTAGGTAAATAGTTGCTTTGAATTTACTTAAGACACAACGAATAGTCATTAACAAAGATATTTCCGATATCTAAAGGCACACCCAGACAGATGGTTCTCATATATCTCAAAAGACTTTAATGTGGACTTTTTTTTTAATGTAAAGACTGTTCTTATAATGTAATAAAGTAAGCGCTCCTGAGTATAAAGGGAACTTCAGAGTGGGCTGACTTGGTCTCATCAACGGTCCAGGCTCCACAAAGCATTCTCAGACTTGAGTTAAGAATTTGCTAAACTTTCAATTACTGTGAGAAATATCTTTGATCCGGAAACACAAAACTTTGCACATAGTTTATTATTGATACATTAAAACAAGAAAAGTTTTATAAAGGGCTAGCTTGTACGAAAAAATAAAACACAACTGTCATTATAGATGTCTACGAGAGATAAAGACGGTGTTGTGGAATGGAGAGAAACCAATGTCATCGGTTTGAATCATTTTTGAACCAGTAAACGTAATTTTGGCTTTCTTCTGGTATGTTAAGGGTTTAGTCAGTACAGAAGCCGTGATGGTGCAGGACGGAGGGCCTGACAAGGACAATGTCTAGTCGTTTAGATTGGAAGAAAAACCGAGATCCTGTGTTGCTGTGTACACATTGACGCTCATGTAAAAGAAACCTTCACAGTTGGAATTCGAAATACGAGTAGGCCGTAGCACCGCTATCCGGGCAAAATTTTCCTGAAAGCACACTGTTAGACGTTACAGTCCATTCCATTTTATTTCATTTTATTTCTTTAATCAGTACAAAATATCGTGTTCTTACCATGTCGACTATAATTCTTGTCTTCATCATCGTCATCATCACCACTATCATCGACATCTTGCCAGTTATGTTTTTTAATTACAGGTACTGTATTATCATAAGCTATGTCACTAGATGATTGGATTAAATCGGAATCTGTAATAATATTAATAATCATTAGTCAATATTAATTTAATGACATCTCAAAGAAAGGATTAACTGAAAGCGAAGGTGGGAGGTGTGTGAGTGTGTGTGAGTGTTGGGGGAGGGAGGGGGGGTCATCGACAAAATTCTAAATTTATTTATTTTACATCTTGGAATTTATTTTTGGGACCAGGTGGGGCTTGGAAGTATCACCGATTTACTTACGTGCACCAGGACGTTAGTCCCTAACAAGTCTGAAAAGTTTAGCTGTCATGTACAGAAAAATAAATTTACAATTATTATTTGTGGTGAACATTTGCCGGTAAATGCTGAAATCAAACTGACACATTGCGCCTCCACACCTCACCGACCCTCCCCCCCCCCCATTTCCGTAATTCCGGTTACGTCAATGCTTCATTTAAACTATAACGTAATCAAGGAGTAAGACTACCGGTATTTGTAATGAATGGCTTAGCATTTGCCCCATGAATCCACCCATCACCAAAAATAACGTTAAACAAATCAAAAATATTTAAACTGTTAAACAAAAGGCGGTAATTTCGAGGAAAAATGGAAAAAAAAAATTGTGTCAGGCGTTCTGTACCCCTCTACTGTCTACGAAGAACTACCCATCCACCTAAGCTCACCTTCAGTCCCACAATTTCAACCACGAACAATAATAATATACCTTTATGAAAACTAACCTTTTTGACCCTTTTGACCTTTCACTTTTAGGGATTTACTACTGTTATTGGCAGTATCTAAAACTTCATTTCTATTCCCATCTGTTTATATATAAAACCTTCTCATTAGGGGAGTTCACAAACCTAACTTATCCAAGTTGAGAATCTTTGTGCAAAAACGCCAGAAGTATAAACCATTTTAACACCAGTATATCGCATGAGGCTATCTGATTAAAAGACAGATCTATATTTCGTTTCGCTTTTTTATACTTTCGATGGCCTGCACTACATGAAGATCTGACCAGTTGTTTTGGGAGGTCGCATCAGAGGTCATACGAGCGGCTTTTGACCCTATGACGTCAGACATTTGATTAACCACTCAGCATTCATGTTTCTAGTGGATTAACCACTGTTCCGTGCACCTCACGCCAAAAGCTCGCCGTAACAGACCGTTTCATTCCCATATCCTAACATCATCCAGAACACGTCAATGATAACAACTCTTCCAGATCCTAGTGTAGCAAAGACAAGTAAAACGAAATTGTGAACTATAAAAAACGAAACGAAATAGGATCTGTGATTTAATCAGATTATCGCATGAGGTATTTATATAGCTGGAAACCGTGTCATTGGGTTCCAAATTGGGTAATATACCACAAGCTCTAACTTATAGGGTATACATTTCTCATTTAATTCGATATACCAAATAATTATTATTGAAAATACTGCAGGTGGTTTACCGATCATTTGCTAACACGTTATGAGTGAACTAAAGGTGACGTTGTAAGCCAGTCCTCTTGAGTGACACCTTATAGCACGTGCTCAGAGGAGCCACACACCTTATCGCCAACGTCCAGAATATAATGAATGGGGTATAACGTCCTATTGTTTTGCACAGACTGGGCTAATGAAGACGGGAATACGCCAAACAATGTGTTCAATGTTGTTATGGGCGGGAATGGGGTGGGGTATTTTGCCAGGACGGCGACGCTAAGGCCTAGTACTAAATCCTGTTCCAAATGCCAAGGAATCTTTCACGTGCACGCCAACCGTCTAGGGCTACCAAAATACACAACCTACCATGTAGCCGTATTATTTCTACGTCACTCTCTGATGAACTACCACTATGATTAATATTAACATTATTATTTTGTGTTTCACGCCTCGCACCTACATACTCTTCAACGGGAATTGCCATGTCTAAAATATACTGGTGTGTGTCCTGTTTTCGGCTTGTAGTCCGCTTTCCTTCTCGTCTTTCTTTTGTAGTGTTGGTTGTTTCTTCTGACAGAAATGGATTCTCTCTAACGGGTCTAGATGTGGTTGCTGCGAATGATTGCATTAAATCTGGATCGGGAATATAGTTATCTCCACTTAGACACGTACTGCTACTAGGTGGTGTTACTATATCCTCCATTCTTCTTTCCTACAAAAAAACATACACTACAAATAAGAGAGAGATGGTGTTTAACAACCAATCGACACAAATTAGGTCATTTCGGCACCAACATATATGGTTCAATTTTATTTCAATAATTCGCATGGGCGTAGGGGTATTTATTAGTGGGAGGAAACCGGGGAACCCGAAGAAAACCCACGAAGTTGGACAGGCGACCCTAATCCTTGTTATGTACAGGCTGGGAATCGAAACCAGGCCACTTGACTCAATTCAATGACAAACCTTATGATTTAAAAAGCACTTTAGACCATTAGACCACGCTACATTAATATCCTTATTTATACATTAATAATTGTTGTTTGATGAATATACATCCAATAAAAGATATAACCCGGGCTTTCGATATCTCTCGATTCAATTAAATTTTAGTATGCAGCGATCTGTAGTGTGGTGTGCGTCGGCCCTTATACATAGTATGTGCTGCCGTTTATACAGCGTGTGTTCTGATCTGTGATCTGTGTATATGATAAGTATCATCAATGTACGTCGGCCTTTATAAACAGTGTATGTCGACCTTTATGAACAGTGTATGTATGCTGGTCTTTATAAACAGTGTATGTATGCTGGCCCTTATACACAGTGTATGTCGACCCTTATATATGACGAGCACTGACTTACAGGGTTTAATTTTATAGCTTGGCAAGAAACAGCATCTAGTCGTTCGGATGGGACAAACAAACGAGGTCACGTGACAGCTGGAATTCAATTGGTGTCCGGGCAAAATGTAACCACCCATAGCGTATGCCAGTCTTCATTATCCCGGTTAGGGCTGTAGGACGTAAAACCTTATTATTCATTAATTCATTTATTTTTCTACTGTTTAATACATCATATCCTTACCATGTACACTGGAAAATAATATTCTTCTAGTTTTGTATATAGAGTATTCAATACCAAATCATCTAAATCTAGATTATTAAATTTTTTCATAATCGCTGGATACGGGGATTCGTCGTTTAATGGAGCTTTAAATATCCGTGGACAGGATTTATCCAGTCTACTACATAAATTTTCACCAGCTTTTGTCCATGTTTCCATATTTTCCTTTTCTTTTTCGGACCATTTATTTTGAATTTCATTCATTTTCTGAAAAGAAATTAGGATAATCTATCCAATAACAATTTTATAGAAATGTTCAAGTAGTGTCCAGAATCTAAAAGGTGTTGAGTAAATTTGATAAGGATCTAGGATCCTTGAAGAAATCTAATCTGTAGGGTTCTTCCTGATCCTCTTATGCCCCATACCTTTTATCAAATTTTAAAAACATAAAATCGTTTACAAGGTTTTCGACAAAGAGGGGATAACTCGGGAACGGAAAGCTTGGGATGGGGATTATTAATATCGATAGGGATCGATGACCACAATGCTTCAAGTCACAAGGTTTTCGGCAAAGTCAAGTCAAATATGAAAACAATTCGTTAGAAACTATAGGCTCTATGGCATTTACACGGTTTTTGAAAAAGGGGACATAACTCTGGAACGCAGATAGTGTTCGCCTTCTCATGACCACGATGCTTAACACCAAATTCGAAAAAAATCCAACAAAAACTGTAGTCTCTAGCTCGTAAACATGCCAATCTGTAAAAAAAACGTTTCTTATAACGCGTTCATGGGGTTTTCGGCAAAGGGGTACGCTGAAAATAGGTAGGGTTCGTCCTCTGATGGCCACAATGCTTCATACAAAATTTGAAAAGAATCCGTCACAAGATTTTCGGAACGAAAATTCGCGTAACGCAGAAAATCGATAGGGTTCGTCCGCTCATGACAACGATGCGTCAAAAACTATAGCCTCAATCGCGTTCACAGGCCAATTGTTGGCAGACGGACCGACGGACAGGGTGACAACATACATGTAATACGCGCACACTGAAATGTAGGCGTATAAAAATCGTTATGTTACCGTTATAAAAGATTCTCTGCTATCATATTCATTCTGATAAATGGCTTTATATTTAGCTAGATAAACATCAGTTTTAGATTTTAATGTTGTTAGTTGTGCTTTCATTTCTTCTTTATGACAACCCTCATATTCATCCACCTGAATCTCTTCAACTAATGCTCTGGACATATCATAAGATCTGAAAAATTTCTAAAACAAAAATATTTGAGCTGATATAGAAGAATACGATTTTAAAAAAATATTATAGTGTTTAGCACACATATGTTCAGACACACAGTTACATACCTATTCAGCTACCGTTTTATTGGCACAAATCCTAAAGAAAACTTTCCTTGGCTCAGCTCCTGTCTACCAAATCATACAGTTCACTATTCCGCGATTGTCTAGCCTCGAAAGTGGTACGAACGCCAACTCGATTTAAACCGAAACTCAAATAGTATGTGAGAAACTAATGCCAATCACAATAATAACTTATTACGTTTACAACAAATTAATATTACATGAGTCCCTCCTAATGTAATACAAGGGATTCGTAAAAAAAACTATAGAATAAAACGAAATGTATATAATAGCAGTTTAAAGGGTGAAGCGTTGCTTAATAATAACTTTAGCAATAGTATAAGCACATAAACCAAATATAATAGAAATTGAAATGATATTATGCTTTCTTCTGGTCTGAACTTAAATAGGTTTTCAGTATACCGGTAAACGTAAATATTTCAATTTTTTTTATAAAAGGCAGGTAGGATAATGAAAAGACGTTTCGTGGCTTCGTTTTAGGTGTGAAATGAAATTAAAAGGGGTTTAACGTCCTTCTGTTCTGCACTGACTGGGCTAATGAAGACGGGCATGCGCCATACAGTGTGCTATGAGTATGAGGGGACTTTTGCCTAAACAACGGCACTACGACCTACTCTTATTTTGTATTCCAACTATCAAGTGTTGTATATACGCCAATGTGTACACGACACGGGACCTCGTCTATTCGTCTATCGGCAAAAATATACATTTTCACATGTCCGGTCCCCAGTCTTGTACCAATGACAACGGGGGACCATGCCGAAAATCCTCATGAACGTTCTCGGCCAACACCGATTTACCGAACCAATGGCTTACTCGCTGAGCAACCGTGGCTCCCACGAAGAGCACATCGGTGAGATAAAACAGGCTGATTCATAATAAAACAGGTTTAAAAGTATTGATATAAACTAACCTTTTGCGCACGTTTTACTTTTTGTTCCAAGTGTTTCCGTTCACTGCAAATATCAGCTATTTGTTTGTATAAAGTTCTGTTCATTTTAACATCAATACTAAAGTAAAAGAAAGAAAGTACATATATTTCAATCTGAATTTCTAAATAGCTGACCGTTCTTGCTAAAACAGTTCAAAAATAGATAATAACAAGGGGTCATGGGTTACGCCCACATTATGCAAGATTTAGAAAATAAGCTAAAAATAAGCGATGTTTCATACAATCAGGGGTCATAATCTAGAAAGTTAGGGTCCTATACGCGCAAGTATTGAAAGGAACCCAGACCTTTGGGATATACATATATTTTTAGTTTCATCAAAATGGGATCAAGATTGTAGACCCTCTAGATTGTGACCTGTAGAGTGTCCACAAACAAAATGTGAACGGACACCCGATGATCTAGAAAGTTGATTAGTGACTAGGTAAACCCTTGCATCAATGTAATATAATGACTTTGAACAAGGCAGGGAAATATTTCTCGTGTCGAACAATTTCATCACGTTTGTTTTATAAACTGACTGAAACAGTACCACAAATCAAATGACATCATTTAATTCTTAATGCACAAAGAAAAAGTAAAAACTGTAACTTAAGACTATAACTCTCTATAAGGCAATCTGATTAAAACACGGGTCTTATTTCGTTTCGTTTTTATAGTTCAAAATTTCGTTTTACTTGTCTTTCGAAAGTATAAAAAAAACGAAACGAAATATAGATCTGTATTTTAATCAGATTGCTCTGTAAGGAAGATATAGAAAAAGAAGATAGAGAAAGAGGAGATACTCTTATTTACTCTCTATAATTTTAATTGGATTCTCAGAAAAGTACATCATTGAAAAACGCCTGTCGATATCAGTACCATAAAATAGGTACTTACCTATCTAGAAAATCAAATGGTGTTTTATCTTTATTATATCCTTCCCATTGATCTTTGATAGCTTTTGACTGACTTTTTAACTCATTTATTAATATTCTGCCCATATCAATCATAACAATACTTGAAGGTGTGTCTGAAAATATTATATCAGATTCCTATATCACATCTATTTCTACACAGAGGAACATTGGGTTTCTAGAGAAAAAGAAAACCTGATAGTGGAAAAGGGCTTGGTGTTGGGTGGGGGCACAATTGCTTCTATCGTCTCGAAGGTTTCTCGGTTGTAAGGTTTCAATCGCTATCAGATATTAGTTGTACGTTAGTCTCAAAATAACCCAAGCAAAGTGTTCACGAGACGTTAAACACCACCCCATAGCCCTACTCGTTATTTTATGAACCCAACATTTTCCCACAACTCTATTAACATATGTTATCAAAAGAGGTTTAAAAGTAATAAAAGGCAAGTAAGTCACCTTGGTCATCTTTGAAAGCTGTTTCGGCGAATACTGCCACATTCTGTAAACTTTTAGCGAACTGAAGATGACTTTCCACCAACTGTCGGTAAATATTCTTCCAAGCTATGTAATTTCTTAGTCTAAAACCAGAAAATAATCAGCTATTAATCGGCCTTATTATTAATTTAATATAGTTAAAATGACTCCAGATGGGTTATTTTTCTAGGTGTATGTTGAGTCTGAGATTATGAATGTTGATCCAAAGCCTTCTTAGAACTCAAAAGACTGCATGAAATAGACCCCATTTATTAAAAAAAAAAGTTTAATAATAATAATAAATAAGGGTACCAGATGAGAATATCCATATTGCAGTGTGTCATTAATGTCACTTTAGCTGCGTAAATTGACCTGAGTCTGAGTGACAGAAACAAAACTACTGCCTATCTTACTTAGGTGCCTTTTATCTCAACACTCCCAGTCCCAATTAATAGTTTAAATAAGGTCATACTAAAAGGCCAGAAGCAGAAGAGAAGTCAAATTCAATTGAACTAGGCCTAGATATTAGGCTAGTGGTCAGTAGAACAGGCAACCAAACTCTTAAGTCACAGTAAGTGGGCCTAGTGAACAATGAAAGGATAAGGAATTAAACTCAGGTGAAAATTCCAGCTAGTCTTATTTCATTTAGACAGGTCCATAGGACTGCCACTCTTGAGACTAGACTAGGCCGGTGGCTAATTGCTCAATTACTGAATTAGGGCATAGAGATAGGCCTAGCCCTAATTAATAATAATAGTAATTTAAAACCAAGACTTCTGACGTTCTGTCGTGAATGATAAATTTACTTACTGTTTATCCTCTTTGTCAAGATGAAGTCGGGTCGCCTGTTCCATTTCAGATTTTCTTTAGTGATTGATGTATTTGTTAAATAACTTGTGTTTTCTCGTGTGAAAATGCATTTTATTTTGTAGGAAGTAGTTAGGAAGATCAAGTCAAATAATTTTCTAGAGGAACTTAGCAACAGTCACGTGATAGATATACAGTAAGCAGGGAGATAACTCTGTTCCACTATTTTGGCCCAAAGCTGTTTTTCCGTGCAGACTCGCGGATTGGCGGTATTTCGTTGTTTAAATATTTCTTTTAATTTACGGAATCATGAAAAGAACGACCTCTATTAAATGGAGGTTGTGAAACACTCAGACAAAAAACAACTGAAAAGAATGTGCGAATCTCAGTTACAAAAATGGTCGAATTCCAATAAAACATAGTTGAAGAAAAAAAAAATGGTCGAATTCAGTTTTACATACAGAATACATTCAGTATTTATAAAACAAAATTAGTTACTGACACCGTAAGCTACGTTATCCAGGCCTAAGTTATTTTCTATTTTCTTGATAACTCCTCAAAGTCGGATTGCTATTAACCAAATCGTAATCACAATAAGAATAAGCTATACAATTTTGTAACTTTTTCATTGTCGCTAACCAGGTTAAATCGGAATGTGTACCTAGTAGGCTTGTATATTAATTTTTATATATTAATTGGGCCTAAATAAATCAAAATATTCTGGGATAAATATAGCTGTTACGTTTAATTGGAAACTTTTGGAGAATCAGTCAAATTGGAATCATCCGCCAAAAATGAATAAGAATCAGCGGCCTTAACTTTAACAACAAATTAAACGTGGTATGAATCTGTCGCTAAACTTGACCCTGTAGAATTGATCCGCGAGGCTTCCTGAAGGGCAGGGTTGGCTTTAGGGTGCATTTTAAACCAACTTAGGAAATGTTGCATTGATTTAGACACTTTTATTCCGAAAAAAAATTTTTAAAAATAGATCATCCAATCTGTCTTGGTGCACATTTAGACATGCAGTCTAATAAAGTCATGAAATTATTTCCATTCCCCTGGCAACCTCCATATTTAAATTTTTCACAATGATTTTCTTTGGCATTAAAATAATATCTTTCATACAGATTCTCGCATGGCCCTTCCGCTTTAGGTTGCTGACAAACTGAAAATATACAAATATGATTTAAGTTTTTGTTGGGGTATTTGTCAATAGTGACCAAAGTATTGTAAAAACTCACCGACAAGGAAATGTTGTTGTTTTTTTTTAAATTATACATCATATCAAAAAAACAAATGATTTCATTTTAAAAAAAGTGACAAAATTATGGACAAAAACGGTCCTACTAATAAAATGTGACAGACAAGAAAAGGTATGTTATAGATATGTGTATTTTACTCATCGTATCCAAAATTTAAATGATTTCATAAAATTTAAGAATAATTAAAACTTTGACGTAAAATTGACAGTGACAAAATTATGGACAAAAACGGTCCTACTAATAAAATGTGACAGACAAGAAAAGGTATGTTATAGATATGTGTATTTTACTCATCGTATCCAAAATTTAAATGATTTCATAAAATTTAAGAATAATTAAAACTTTGACGTAAAATTGACAGATTCAAGATGTCTGCATGCATTTCATAATTCAAGCAGTTTTGTTTTTTTTATTTTAAAATATTTCCAGAGTAGTCGGTGGTGTAGAACAGAGGGTCTGGCAGGGGACAGTGTAGCCTATAGTAGTTTGGGTTCTTGTCTGTAGGTTTTGTGAATAAATTATCCAATGTAAGGTATAGTTCTTCATTGGCGGTATTACGCTGCTATTTAAAAATATCAATTATCTCTATTTTTTTCAATATTTTATAAAATAATTCAAATTTTGTAGGCCTATATATGATGTGTTCATGGGCGTCACATGATGTGATGTATAGTTTAAAAAAACAACATTTCCTTGTCGGTGAGTTTTTACAATACTTTGGTCACTATTGTTTTTCGGGGGGGGGGGGGTCTGAATATACTTGGACTCCCCCCCCCCCCCAAAAAAAAAAAAAAAAAAAATTTTTTTTTTACATAATTTACAACAATTATTAGGATATCTGTATAAAACCTGTACATATCCCAATATGGTTTATACTGCTAAAATAAAACACCCCCAATATATATGTCACGGCTACGCCTCTGGATGTGTTATGTGTAGAAATGTAGAATATCTATAAACATATCTTTCTTTGTCGGTCACTTTTTACAATACTTTCGGCACTACTGATACAATTTAAATGGACATCCATACATCCATGCCATACACCACGATCTGCTGGAATTCGAAGAAGTGTAAGAGAAAAACCACGAATTCTACAAACAAACTATAATTTCCTTCATGCTAATCTCAAAGCCTTCAGACCTCATTCCTTAAATAGGGAAATCACGAGAAGTTCGTGCCATCCCCGACAAAAATTAGTATAATATGGCATGAATCCTTTTGTATATTTTACGATCGAAAATCATACCATTTATCTCTTCACAATGAGTAGCACAGTCCTTTAGTGTTAGAAAATTATTGGTATTTCCCGCACATCCACCATAGGAAAATTCTTCGCACTTGTTCGATACCATGTTGAAATAAAATCGTTTAAAGGCAGCGTCGCACGGTCCTATGTCCATCATATTGTGACAAGCTACCGAAATAAAAGTAAAATAATATAATTTGTGATATTTACATCTGAAAACTACGGTCATACTTAAAGTTACAATTTCATATTTTCTAAGAAAGTCAAAACATAATTATTTCTATGTCTTTTGCTCAATAGGTTGTCAACTCACTATTATACGATCATAGGTGTCATCTCACACTTAAAACTCATTTACACTGGAAATAATAACACAATTACCGCCCAATTACCTCCCTTGTTTTCTATTCTCCACCATGGAGAAGCATTTTTCAAACGTTTGAATTGGAAGAGGAAAATGATATTTTTGCCAATTTCTCAACTGGCAATAGTGAATTATAGGATTAATAGGATTATTCTTTAACAAGGTAGGACTGTTTATAGATACCATCTATTTTAAGGCTTTATTTTAATAAATTTTAAAAATATAACGTAAAAATATGAAATTGCAACTTTAAAAGAGGATAAAATCCAAGATGGCGGCCAAACATTAAGTCTAACGAAATAACGCGTATATGGCATCTTTTTACGGATTTTGGTGATCACCGGGGTCATTTGTGACAGTTTCAGACAAACGGTGGTACCAATATGGCGACAAAATGGCTATAGAAGTTGGAGTGAAAAGAGTGGTTTCCCCATTGTCAGTGTCAGTGATGCTGAATGGAAGGCCTGACCTAGTCGATCGGATGGTATAGAAAAAAAACAAGATCCCGCGAATACGTTGTCGTGTACGTAATCGAACTCTTGACAGCTTGAATTCAATTGCTCTATGGGCAAAATTTCATTCATTCAGTGTGCCAGGCTACATTTGATATTTGAAAATAATTGCGAGTCACGTCGTCGGTTCAGTGAGTGAGTAGGGTCCGGGTTCGATTAAGGTGTTGGCCGAGACAGTTCTCCGGGTTCTTTCCAGCGTGGATTCTCCATGTCAGTGGTGCAGGACAGAGGCCTGGTAAGGACAGGTCTAGTCCTTCGGTTTGTACGAAAAACCGAGGTCCCGTGCACACATTCATAACGTGCACTTAAAAGAACACTTGAGAGATGGAATTCGATATTAGAGTAGGCCGTGGCGCCGCTGTCCGGGCAAAATTTTCTTCATAGCACACTGTAAGGCGTATGTCCGTCTTCATTAGCCCAGTCGGTGCAGAAAAGTAAGATGTTGAACCTCATTTCATTTCATTTGAAAATAACGTTTACTGCAAAGTCATGTCATTCTCGAGATATTAGTATGGCATACATCCGTTTGTATATTTTATAATGGAAAATCTCTTTAAAACAAATCATACCATTTTTCTCTTTGCACTGAGTCGCACAGTCCTTTAGTGTTAGAAAATTATTGGTATTTCCCGCACATCCACCATATGAAAATTCTTCGCACTTGTTCGATACTATGTTGAAATAAAATCGTTTAAAGGCACCGTCACACGGTCCTATGTCCATCATCTTGTGACAAGCTACCGGGGTAAAAAGTGAAAATAATATGATTTGTGATATTTACCGCTGAAAACTATGGTCATACTTCAAGAGAGGAGAAAATCCAAGATGACGGCCAAAAATTAAGTTTAGCGAAATAACGCGTGACAAGCTATTGATGCTAAAAATACGTATTTTGATAATTAAAATGAAAAATTTTACAATAAAGCAAATAAGCTACAGCAGATTAACACAAGGTTAAATTCCTATTCTGAATGCGTCGTTCTCGTGAGTGTAATTTACAATAGAAAGACAGGTCATTTCGGGACTAACACATGGTTGAATTTTTATTTCAATAATTCGCTTGCGCTTAGGGGTCTTTGGCGGTGGGAGGAAACCGGACGATCGGAGAAAACCCACGAGGTTGGACAGGCGACCATACTCCTTGTCACGTACAACTGGGGGAATCGAAACCACGCTAGTTGACTCAATGACAGATCTTATGATATAGCGCGTACGTGCCAACTATTCGGCCAGCCAACACCCCAATAGAAAAGAATACTAGTCTTACATTGTAATAGTTGGTTTGTATCGCTGGTAACGGTACTGATAAACAACAAAACCAGTAAATTATAAATTTCCATCTTAAGAGAATTAATATACTGACAGGGCCTTATGGTGGGATTTTCCTGTCAAGTAAACTGGCCTAGATTTAAATAGTATAGTTTATCTTATCAATACACTATCGTGTTGATTTAGTAGCTGGATTGTGGACGTGGTGCCGATGTACGATACAACCTCATTTAGAATTTATAATATTGTCATTCAACACGTTAGGGTTTACTATTAAATCATTGTGTTTTAATATGAGTTGTAGATTTTCCTTCTCACTTTTGGATTTCCTATTATTTGTGGTTAATACCCGTTTATGGTGTCTTCCGTCTGGTAATTTGTTCATTGTTACCAGTTTGTATAACCTGTCACATATTTGATTGACTGACTAACCTCTGGTAGCACTACGTTTCAGGCTTCTTGTTGTTTTGCTGTAAGATATTTTTCGGAAAATAACGGTAATTGTTTTATCACATCCTGTTTTCATACAGATGAACAAAACGTTTCCGGATTCGACCAATGTGCAGGAACTACGACACACATTTGCAGATCTGCCTCACCTCCCTAAATAAATTCAAAAATTCACTTAATATTTGGTTTTCCCAAAACAAGGTGGATTTGAGCAAGCAAATATTTTGTTCTCTCTTTGCTTTGACTTTTAATTCTGCATCAGGTAAGAAGAAATAGGTATGTAATAAAATAACATTCAATTTATCATTTAGATTATAATAGGTGTCATTCTTCCAAAGATCGATGTAAATAAAATAATCCTATGATGAAGTATTTTACCTTGATTAATGTAATATACTAGCATAATATTAAAATTGGGTTATTTTGAAGTCTTTAATGATAAAAACTTGCAAGAAATTTCAATAACATGAAGATCATGGATACCCCTTTCCAAACTCGAAACAACTATTTCAAACAACATCCAAATAGTCAATGAAATTGAATTCTTTTGTATGATATTTGAAGACTGGTCCTGGGGACATTATTATCAAATTTATCAGCATATCAGCAGCTTTATTTACAATGCCCCCCCCCCCCCTGCGACCAAAACCCAAATAATATTGGTTGCCTCAGTCTGCTCATTAATTATAGCGGTAAGTTCTCCAGCCAGTCAATTTGAGTATTGGTTCGGTCAGTCAAGACTTGCAAATATGACCAAAACAAAAGTCCTGACTACAAATTACATAAAATCCAGTGAATCCATGTATATCATTATTTTTATTGCATGTTAATCTTGTACATTAAAAGATATAATCAATATATTGTTATTTTACAATTATATTTTGAGTTCCACTAAACGAAAATAGCTTTGTAAAGCCAACATTATAAAACCTCGGCCAGTATTGGGGTAATAACCTCCAAAAATAACATGCCTTCAATTGATAATTTTTTTTTAAAGTTACCATGTGTCATTTGCATTTTTTTGCCCCCCAAAATTAAATTTTGGACGGCTTAATCCACATCTAAATTTATTCAGATTTATTAAAATAAAAACGCAAATAACCTCCCAGCTTGGATTCATTCAGATTGATCTTTCACAGTATTGTAGTTTAAGTAGTAATTCCACCGGTATCCAAATAAAACAAAATAAACATTTTTCCAGACAAGACGAAAAAATGGATGAGTATAAAAATACTCATTAAAATAACCTTAACAATTGTTGAACTCAAAAAGACGGATCAATGTCGGTCTTCAGTAATATCAAAAATATATACGTAAAATATATTGTATTGCATTGGTATACTACAAAAAGATATAGAAGAGTCTTTGAAATTCACATACATATATCAGTTGGGAATTCTGTTCCTTTGAAAGTAATGCACAATAGAATTTTTCCCTCTTAATGGTGTCTGAAAAGAGAATTAAGAAATAAAATGCTTATGGAACTGCAAATTCATGTGGTTCATTATATAAAGGTCCAGTTCATTATACCAAATCAAGGAAATGGAAGGCTAGCTTAAAGAACAGAAAGATCATGTACAAATTGTTTCATATCAAATTTCTCCACCTTCATTTGTGGCTGGAGAAAGTGGGATAGTATTGAAACTAAGAAGTTATGCTTTAGTATTTTGATTTAAATTACAAGCAGATTTTATCATTCAGTGTTCTGGTTTAACATGTATGCTACGGGCTAGTACATTTAAAGGGTTTATGATACAAAAGCAGGGTCTGCAAAGCAGTCTATCGAATCACACCTTTAAATGGTATGCAATCTTTGTTTAAAACTACATTTTTCTCAGAGACTACAAACAGAATCCTTCCATTTATTTAAGTCATTGGAATTTGCACCTAACAAGATAGAATTTAAATAAACAATGAAATCAAAATAATGAGATCTAAGGCATTATGTCGTTTTAAAGCTGATTAACAATAATTTATTAATTATCCTCAAAATTAACAATAATTACCTTTGGTCGAACAGGAGAAGCACTATCACTATTTTGACTAGAAAATTCATCACTTGATGAAACTTGTGATTTACCAGGACTCAACAAACAAGTTCCTTCATGTCCATCACGATGAAGCCTTATCTTCGTCAACCAATCTAACTTTTTACGACTCTGACAGTTCTCTTTATTACCTCGATAGGGTACGACTGGACTTCTACCCTCTACTTCATCTATCACAATGTTGGGTAAATTTTGTGTTGGTGAGTATTTTGGGGTCATTTCATTCTTTTTACAAGAGTCTAAACATGCCGGAGGAAGTTTTTCATCAGAATTAACAATACTACTTTCTTGAAGAATATTTGAACGCTTTGCAGGATTTTCAGATTCATCATCTTCAGTGTCTAGTTTACGTTTTAAAGAAGATTTTTGCGGTGTTGTTAATAACGGAGGAAGTGCCACATTGTTCAAATCGCAATTATTTAAACCTGATTCTTTGAAATTTTCTTTACACTGGCTCGAAAATGGCACTACAGGTTTCTTAACACTGGTTGTATTTGGGTCCACATTACTTATATCTTTCAAATTTTCAGGTTGAGAATTTACACAAGTTTTAGAAACAGAAGAAAACAAACTAAATGAACTCCTCCTTGATTGCATTTCGGTTTTCAGTTTTGGACTTTTTGCCTTTTGAGATGAGTTTTTAGGAGAATCACCACCTGGAGTTGCCAGACCTGATAACCAGGATTTTAAAGATGGTGATTTTGTTGGTGTTGGATCACTGACTTGCTTGGTTATTTTCTTTCGAGCTGGTGAAGCAGCTAGTGTTGTGATTATAGGATGACTGACAGTTGGTTTTACTCTAATGGTTGATGTTCCTACAAAAAATAATCAAAAAATTTTCAATTAAGTATATCAAATATTTGTGAAGACAAGGACAAACTAACACTGTTGTATCCTTGGTTTTAATTCTTCTAAGAAGAGAGATAGATAGACATTTACAGTAAATCAAAAATTATTATAAATAATCATCTTGTCTTCTGCTCCTAAAACCGTCAAAAATCTAGGAAAAATATGTTTAATAAATCCTAAATGCAAAACCAATCAACATATAGACAATGTATGGTGTATCACTTGAAGAACTATTAAAAGAAGTCATGTTTGTGTCATGTGATTTGGCTATCTTGGTAACTACATGTAGCAACAGGTGCGAAGCTGGAGGAAAATTCCTTTTTTTTCCACATCCGCTCACCATTAAGTTTATCAACATATACATCAAGCGTTCCCTAATGGTTCCCTAATGCCAACACGCCAGACAATCTATGCATGCAACATTTGACGTCCCTCGAGCAGACAGCCCTCAATCAATCATCAGGCTGCCAATTAGTGACACTCTCTCATTTTTGTCCTTTTTGTGCTCCATAGGTGTTTTTTCAGGGAATCCAGTATTTTTCTAGTAAGACTGAATGTTTCTACTTTCCATATTTACCAAAATTACCATACTTTTATTGGAAATAACCACCCGATAAATACTTTGGTGGGAGAGTAACTTTAATGATTGTCTTACCAATTTCTCTATGTGTGAGTTCTGCTATTCCAGTGACCTCCCCTGGAGCAGGTGTTTTATCACCCCCTCTATTTACCCGCCATATTCTCATTGTATTATCATCTGACACTGTTGCTATCTGTAAAGAGACCATTCACACAATCTTACAATCATATTGATAAATCTGTCGTAATTGTACACACTGTATGTTCTGTCATTTGCTTCGAGGACTTTTTTCCAAGGCGGCAGCATCATCACCAACTACATTCCTATTGAAGGCCATCACCCATTACATACCCCAAGGGTATCATATGTATTCACAAACATTTAAACCAAAATAGTTCAAGAATAAAACCTTTCCATTGGCCGAGACATAAAATGATGCTGAAAATTTTTGGCTCTTAGCCAATGAAAAGTGTTCATTTGTAAAATAATTTAGTTTAAGTTGAAATTTTCATGGCAATTTTTCATAGCGAGTAATAAATTGGTAGTGTGCAACAACTGTATAAGAACCCAACAGAGCATTACAGAAAAACACATATATGATCAAATTAATTATAATGGTAGGCACACTGGAATGAAATTAGTTATTATGATATATAGCCATGCATTGTAATTTGTTACCTTGGTCATATCTTGTCTACACCATGAAACACATGTAACTTCAGCATTGTGACCCTTTAATATAACTGGTGAATTACACGGCTTATCAACCTACAAATAAAATAATAATATATTAATTCATTCTCACACAGTGATGTATGAACATTATTCAAAGTTTATACACAACACAATTGGCTCGTACCATCTTTAAGAAGTTTATATCCCAGTGACTTCTTGAAATATAATCTAAATACCTTTTATCTTAAGCACATATTACAGACATTGCAAAAAATTAACTAGGGTCAACCTGCATCCACAATGTTACAATGTAAAGTGCAGGACAGTCAAACTGTTTTAGACATTTCCGTTGCCGTGGGAGATTTTACGTTAGCAATTTGAACTTTCCTCTTATTTAGCCAATGAACAGACGATTTGTCTTGGGCAAGAATGTTAACAACAAATCACAATGGCTTTATTCAGACTTCAACAAGAACAGATAGCTGATAAGAATGTAGTCACAATATCGATTTTATGTTATGCAGACCAAACAATAAGGAGTACATGTAGAATAACGATCTAATTTCAATAAGATTGTGAGGATTGTGATTCAGAATAAAGAGTATTTTACATAAATCATGTTTATAACAAATACTTACTTGCCAGATATAGGCCATATCATCACTTGAACCACTTACTAAAAATTTATCATCAGGACTCATACAAGTTTTAATATAAAATGTTGTATTTTTATGTCCTCGAATAGTTTTAACTGAAATAAACAATATCATTTGCATTAGGAACAGAATTAACTACTTAACTATATAGTATGGCTTTGATAAATGTTATGAAGGAGTATTTTTGTTTATTAATAAAGAAATTCTGGAAATTGCTAAAGTATAACAAATTAACTAAAACTGTGTAAATACATGTACATGTACAGCCATTTTTACACATTTTAACCAGCAATACAGCTATCTGATGAAAAAAGTAAACTACTTTCATTGGTGATCCTGGCTGGGACAATGTATAGTTGTTCGGATGGGAAAGAAGACATTACTGTGCATCTAAGATCCCTTGACAGTTGGAACTTGAATTAAGAGTAGGCCATTGTTCTTCTGTCCAAGCAAAATTTCCCTGTTTGGCATAAGCCCCTATTCATTAATCAAGTCACTGTAGAAAAGATGTTAAACCCCCATTTCATTTTCAATGTCATAGAGACATTCATATGATATATATAGTTATATTAAATGTGTTTATAATATTACCTGGTAAAGGGTTATATTAAATGTGTTTATAATATTACCTGGTAAAGTATTATATATATATAGTTTTATTTAATGTGTTTATAATATTACCTGGTAAAGTATTATATATATATAGTTTTATTTAATGTGTTTATAATATTACCTGGTAAAGGGTTATATTAAATGTGTTTATAATATTACCTGGTAAAGTATTATATATATATAGTTTTATTTAATGTGTTTATAATATTACCTGGTAAAGGGTTTATTTAATGTGTTTATAATATTACCTGGTCAAGGATTATATGATATATATAGTTGTATTTAATGTGTTTATAATATTACCTGGTAAAGGATTATATGATATATATAGTATAGTTGTATTAAATGCGTTTATAACATTACCTGGTAATGGATTATATGACATCAAATCATAAACATAAATAACATCATCTGTACAACTGGCATATAATCTACTATTATATGAATCTAATGTTAAACAGGAATAACCTGAAAATAAAAATGTGTACAAATTAGGACTCATTGGGAACCTGGCATTAGCCATCATAAAAGGATGACATCGCATCTATATTTTAAGGTCCAATATTTAGCATTGTAAGTCATATACCAGTATGTGGGTGATACAAAACTGACAATTAAATACATACCATGTTTTCTTTGACAATTTCCAGCATACGGGAAAACATAGCTAGCTATTGGTTCACTTGACATGGTATAATTCTTCCTCAAATCCCAAACCTTTACAAACCTGTAATAAGCAAATAATAATAAAAAAATCCAACAGCCTACATATTAATTACATCTTGCAAAACACAAATTTATTTTTTAGAAACTTGCTTTCTTTTCTTCTCAAGGGTGCAAACATTTTGTGCAAAGTGGTTAATTTCCATGATCCAATGTCCCTTTTCAATTGTCAATAATCTTTAGTTGTCAACATCATCTTTAAATACTGCACCATAATACAAAATCAAAAGCACCTTTAAATTTCGTGTAACAACCGGTTATTGAGATTTATTTTAATTCCAAAAGTTCAGCCGTTTGCTTTGCTATTACAAATTGTTAACAATAGGGCTGTGTAATGCGGCCAAAAATCATATTGCAATATATTGCGATACTTGACAAAAGGTATTGCAATATATTGCAGTATTGCAATTCTTCGATAAAGTCAGGGTTTATCACAAAGCACAGTTTTATTTTGAATAGTTTTACTTTTTTTACAACTTATTGTGTACTACAAAGTGTATAATATGACTGATAATGTGAATACACATTTCACTCTTTTTACTTTTACTAATTTGGTCTTGTCTTTGCAGACTTATTGTTTACTGCAAAGCCTAAATAATATGACTGATTATGAAGTCTTGATAATCAGTATAGCTAACATTTGAATATAAAATCCAATTAGAAAAATATCGATACTACAAAAATGTATCAATACAGTACATCGCGGACGTTCGTATTGCAAACTATTGAAATAGAAATATTTTTTGACAGATTTAGTTAACATATATAAATGTATACTGACCCATCAACAGCACCAGCTGATATTAAGAGATTATCAGATTGAAATGATACTACAGTTACACTCTGTTGACTATCCTGAAATATTTATTGAAACAGGGCTGTTAGATTCAATAAAATCAGCATTTTAAATTTAATACATCTATAGATTAAACAAAATTTGTTATTTAATTCTGTCTGAGGTTTAAGGTTAACTGGTAGTCAGTCCTTAAAGATATCATAAATAATCTTCAATTTGGCCATGTGTTTCCTTCTAAAGAGTTTTAAAATACATATTATACGTACCAGAGCTGGACCAAGTCTGTTTCTTTTACGTTGTTTTGTGGTTGAAATAACATGAGCATTTTTAATAGTATTGATTGGAGGAATTGATCCATCTGAAAATATTAAATACTTTAAAGGAGCTAAATCGCTAACATTTGGGACCTAGAAATTGACAAAAGTGGGTCGCAACGCATATAATACTGTAATGTGAATGTATATAAACTGATTTACATTCAATGGTTTCCGTTTTTACTCCAATTTCAAATCAGTTATGCTCGGCGAAATAAGCCAGCAGTCTCAAGCGAGTGCAAATTTCTAGCGTCTGGTTATTCCAGTCTACATACGCCGTTTGATTTGGTGCAATGTGTCTAGCCTCGTCCCTTGAGTCTCTTGATACAACTAGGGCTGAAGCGCATTATGGTACACGATTCGTGTACCAATGGTAAAATGTTTTTTTTGTCTTAAATATTGGATATCAAAACCCCATCTTTTTCCGGTAAGATCACAACATGAACGTTGATTTAATTTGACAAATAAATCGTGTTTCCAATGTTGAAGATTTTGGATGATACTGAGTTAGAGACTTAGCTACTTTAAATGTAAACCAACTGAAAATGACATATAGTATATCTTTTATTTCAATAATCTGCTTGAATGTAGGGCTCCTTTAATAGCAGGGGGAAACATGCTTCTTCTCTGTGCCAAGTGAGATAATGACAAGCATGTGCCATACTGTGTGCTATGAGGGAAATTTTGCCTGGACAGCAATTGAAATCAAGCTGTCACAGGTTTATCGACATGTAAGCCAAAGTGTTCACAGTTTTCTCTCCCATTCGAATGACTGACAAGAATAAATCATGCTGGACAATTCTGGGGAAGTTTATCGGCCGACACCGGGATTAACTCCTGAACCTCTTAGTCAGCCAGTGCAGTACTCACTGAGCCACTGTGGCTACATAAAGGCTAGTTAGGCAACAGGTAAAATAGATGTAGTGACTATAGATATAATACTAAAGTCCAATTGATGGTCAAGTCAAATTCTCACAACTGAGTTATATGGATACTGCAGCAAATGGTCATATACCAAATAATATTTACTGCTGGACTCTTATATTTCAACAATGATTTTCTGTTGTTTACACCTTTATAGTTAATGCTTAGGAAAAAATTTAAAATTACCTTTTTGATTACATCTTCTATCCCATAACATGATATGTCCATCTCTAGAGCCAGTAGCTAAAACAGCTAAAATAATAAAGGTAATTTTACAATATTTTATCTTCTGTATTATATGCAAATGAAATGAAAATTTGACGTTCCACTTTACTGCACCGATTGGGCCAATGAAGTCAGACTTACGCCATAGGTATGAGGTAAATTTTGCATGGACGGTGACACTACAACCTACTCTTATAAAAAATTTTCGTGCACACCACTGACAAGAGGACCCCATGTCGGAAAATCCAGTGGAACCTTCTCGGTCAATACCAGGATCAAACCCGAGACCACATGGTTACTTACTGAGCCAATGCGGCTCCTTGAATCGTATGCACTGTATTTACAGGTACCAAAAGAATAAGATATTTGAAGTCAAATATTGTTCAGAAATAGTTTTCTCCATTTCTAAAATTAACAGAAATTATATTAGAAAGGTTTTGTAATAAAAGTGAAACACTTACAATCATCAAATTTTCTAAATGCTACTGATCTGATACTACTTGTATGACCTTTAAAGGTTTCTAATTTTTTAGATGTAGCAGCATCCCATAATACAGCTGTCTGATCACCCGAACCAGTTAACAATTTCTCTTCTTTCTCCATCCAAGCAATATCAAACACAGCATTACTGTGAGCTTGCCATTCTGTGGAAGAAAAAATAACCCATAACCTAATATTTATTTTGTTGAGACATTTTTAAACCATTATTAGCTCATGTTTTAAAGGAGATTTCCCTCCAGCCCCCTCTTTAAAAAAGGTCATTGAAGTATGCAAATCAAAAGTCAGATCGGCCCAAAATATTGAAATGCTTGGAAATTATCTCCAACAAAAGGGGTAAAGTAGATATATCTGAGGACTCCATGGACTATAAAATACTGTTTGTCAACTTTGTGAAGAAGTAACTTAAACGCAGTAATAATAGCCTGATAATTCTATTACTCGCAGGATCACAAAAAAATGAAATATCAAATTATGCTGGGGAGTTCCCACTCTACATGTGCATGAGTTATAAACGGGTTTATCCATCACAGAGAGACAGCCCGTCTTCACCTGACAAATGGAAGTTGGTATTTCGTTAAAAATGTATCAAATAGCTTTAGATACATGTAGTAGCTTTTGACTAGAATAAAGAGTTGTAAATGTCTTCCACACTGAATTAACCAGTTTTATTCAATGAAATAAGATCTGGAATTCTAGGCATTAAATATTGTACTAGATTCCTGAAAATCTAACTTTCTGTAATTTAATATTACAGTTGATCAAATAGTGTTTTTAATTTAATCTATTACCTTTAAGAATGGCATCTGGACCAGATTTAGTTGTATCATGAAGAACTAAATAACCATTTTCATCAACTAATGCTAAAATATGACCAGCTGTAGATTTCACTATTAGAGAAACGAGAGAAAATACATTCATAACAAATATATATATATACATTTATATATTACAAAGCCACTCATCCTAGGACATATTCGATTGGTTCATTCCAAGCCCAGTCTAGAGTGCGAAAACCTACGGTATTGGTTTAAGCCGAACAATGTCAACAACATTGTCTTCAATGAGACAGCATACCATAGCTATCCCACAGTGAAACATCCCAATTGCAACTATGAACAGGATCGTATTCAACAGATATGATAAACTAAACGTAAACAGGAGATAACTCTGCATTACTTGATAGGGATCTTCCTTATATCACAATGAAAAATCACTTTGAATTTGAAACAAATCTGTAAAGATCCCTCACATATGGTCACAAGAAATTGTGGGCATATAATTTTTTTATCTAAAATTAGTACCTTTACAGAAACTGCAAGCAAGAGGAGGAACTGTTCCCTGAAAATTAAAATTATAAAAACATTAATTAATAAGATCCAAGCCTCCCATCAATAATGTTTTTAAATAAAAAGGCTACATTCTCCAACATACCTTGGGCAAGATGGTTAACCTCGTTATATTTTGCTAACACCAACAATGAACACAAACCCAAAATATAATGTAAACAAATATGACATACTATCTAATTTAATCTTTTGTCACGGTAGCTCAGTGAGTAAGGCACAGGCTCACTAACCAGGGGTTCCGATGTGTGATCCTGGTGTTGGCATAGAAAGTTCCTGAGATTATCAAGCCTGGCAAGGTAAAGTATCTAGTTGTTTGGATGGGACAAAAAAAATGTCCAGTGCACATTTGACAGTTGGAATTCACTTGCTGTCCAAGCAAAATTTCCTTCATAGCACTCTGTATGGTCGTCTTCAGTAGTCCATTTAGTGCAGAAACTCCATTTCATTCATTCCAATTCAAAAGATGGACATTTGTTTATAATTCAAGATCTTTTATGTATAAAATAGCAAATTGCTGCTTATTTCAAAAGGAATTAATTATTTAGACACTAATTTGGTTATAATTCTAAGCCAATAGGACCTACAATGTAATTATTTATGATATATTTTTTGGTAAAAAAACACTTTGGTAGAATTTATGATTATTTCATTCAGAAATAAAATGTTGTTGCTTGTAAAACTCACTCCATCTTCTTCTGATGCTAAGATATATTCTTCTCTTGCTCTTCCTTGAAAACTCTCTAATATACTAGACACATCAATTGATCCCCATAGGTCTACAAAAAGTAATTTACATTTTTATTAATATAGTCCAAAATTCACTGTCTCCGCCACATGGACTACCAAACTTGGGTACTATCAAAATGGGGGTTGGGTATCTGATTAGTCAGATATTTTCCTCCGAATTTTTATAAACTATAATTGGGGAATTTACCATTTAGAAATGGCTAGCCAGCTATAATACTAATATGCAGTCAGGATTTTCAGCAGTGGGGGAGAGAAATTACATTTCTCCATATTGAATTAAGTGTTTTAGAGATAATTTGCGAGTGCCGAAGGTGCATACCGGTATATTAACATAAAGCACACAACAGGAGTCTGGGACCCCAGTGGGGGGGAGGGGCTGGGGACCTCAGAAAATTTTGAATATTTTAGTGATAAATCGTGAGCGCCAAAGGAGCATAAAGATCGCAATAGGGGGATGGGGCTACCTCAGAAAATTCGGAAAAATTGAACGCTGTATTATTACTATTATTTAGATGCATTTCTGACTTTTTTGGACCCCCCTAGCCTAACTAAATGGAATCTGAGCAGGTGTAAGGGTGGTCTGGTAACAATGATACATTTCCCATGATACTTAATAATTATTTAAAATCCTTCCATAACTTTGAAGTACCTTTAGTACAAAATTAACATGGAACCCTCGCCCACTTGCTGTAAACTGTATGACCATCATGTTGCAGTGAATCGGGAGGGGGTGGAGACGAGATGTGGATGGGGAATATCAATAATCAACCACATACAAAATAGACCTTTATCAATATTTTCCAAGTCAAATTTTTAAAACTACCACCACATTTCTTGTTTACAACTTACTTTCTTTATTTACATTAGTTTGACCATAACAGCGTTTTAAAACTGAACTGAACATTATTTTACTCGTCCTATTTTCTGTCCATCTATTGCATATTCCGCGCGGTTTGACGTGTAGCCTCGTTTTCGAAAACAAAACGGGTGACCTTTTTTTATTGGAATAATTGATAAAAGTTTATAATTAAGTCGTTGAATCTTTTTCTAAATATTTCTGTTAATAACAGATGATGTTATAAGAAAAGGCTTCGCGATAGGTCAAAAGACCATCTCTCGGAACTTCGAGATTTCGGCAATGGGCGCAGCCATATTGGATTCTTCCAGAACCGTCTGCAAGCGTGACTAAAATCAACAAATCCAATCCGAGGAAAATCGGCTTGAATCCTTCATATTCAAGCATAATTTATTCTCCTCTGCTGCAGCTGAATCAATTTTAGAACAGTATGGCACCACCAAAAGGGCAAAAAGCGACTGGGAAACGGTCAGAATACCAGGATAAAGATAAACCATCGCAGATTCGATTCAGTAATATCACCGCTGCAAAAGGTAAGAATATCAAAAAGTATGTACCATAGGTTTTTCGTGACCGAGGTTGAGAAGACCGTTGGCATTGCTGTAACAATCATCTAGATTTAGCATACTAAAGTTGACTTCTGTTCAGCTTGGAAAGGCTAATGAAAGGTGTTAATCCAGATAAGTATCCAATGTAAACAATGAATTATTCATTCATTCCACATAACCTCAGTAAACCTGTCAGCGGGTTTATTCATCTCACACTGTCACAGCGGACTTAAAACTTGGATGTCAAATTGAGTCATTATGGTTTTTTTGCATCATCAGTCGAACATTAGTGAATAAACTGTAAAATAACAATTATGATTAATAGAAAGAATTAATATGTGACACTAACAGTAACAGGCCTGAGTATAGAAATGGTTCCACTACTGATGTCTTAACTTTATAACTGCCTTACTCCAGCCACAGTAGTGGCTCGTCCTACAGGAGTTCCTTTGCGCAAGTTTTTTAGTGAAATCACTATAAAAATGTTACTGGCCTATAGCTCCCTTAATTTACACATAAACTGACCCAAAACAGTACTGCACCTAGCTTAACATATAATAAATCAATTCCTATTGAAATAAAGATGAAGCCTTACCGCATAATTATATGATTTGATGAAACCCAACTGCTACGCGAAATTTCAACCGGCTGGTGTCATGGCGGCTTGTGTAATACGTCATTACAAGAAACATCGCTATGCAAATGTAGAATGCATAACCATAAAGAAAAATTGTTCGGTAACTATTTTAGTGGTCCAGTCTTCAATATTTGTCATAGAATTACTTATTCCAATACAAACTGTAATGATATGTGTTGACAATTGTGCGTTTGAACCTATTTGAACTTGCGTAAGGATTCTTAGACTGTATCAGTTGTAACGTTAAACACACAGTTTAACGTTACTAGCCTGAGTAGAGCGAAGCTGATGATTAGTGATTATTGTCAAATATAAAACCTTCATAATTAATTTTCTCAAGTGATACAAAAAATGTTAAATAATTTAGTTTTTCCAAATTGATTTTTATTGAGATCTAAATTGTATACATTAATTTTGTTTTTAAAAAAAGAACAAAAAAGTGAGAATTATTTTCATTGACGTCAAAAATATGTGATGTCAATGATTAGACGCGTCATAGAAATAGTTCTATGAGGCGCGTAATCTCGCTTGGGCGAGATTTGGTAAGTTGACATGCGCGTTGCATGTGGGTGACAATTTCAGTTATGCTCCTGTGTTACCGGAGAAGAGCTTTGCTCAAGCATTGCGCTTTGCTCGATTCTTTAGAGCTTCGCTCTATATTAGAATAAGCATGAATGTGACCAGAATTGTAAATACAGAAGAAAGAAAAATTGTCATCTAGTATAGTTACTATTCACCAACCTGTGAAAATGCCCTGCTTTGTGCATATTACAAGTACGATGGCACAAGTACTAGACAGATTAGACTAGCAGTAAAACTCGAATGTCCAGTACTTGCGATATCTGTATTGACTACATGTATGTACAGGGAACAGACATGACTGGCCCTGGTAATGTTTACTGTCCTGCCATCAAATGGAAGTGACTCCAGACTATTTGAGGTGATTTAGAATGCATATCTTACAATTTTTATTATGTGATTGACACTGCCTATAAATTGTACAGTTTGTTAATCTTTTGTAGCTGTTGCCGATGCTATCAGAACAAGTCTTGGCCCCCGGGGTATGGATAAAATGGTAAGTATCAGTACATTTTATCTTTAACTCAATGGAAACCATAGGGTTGTTCTAGTGAGTGAATATTTTGAATAAAATATTACGATATTTTCAAAATTATTTGACTGACATTTAGATATTCTAACTTATAATATTATTTTTAAACAGATCCAGGCAGCCAATGGGGATGTTACTATTACTAACGATGGTGCTACAATTCTTAAAGAAATGCAAGTTTTACATCCAGCAGCAAAGATGGTAAATTAGATCAAAATGTTAGACCTGTCTTGATTTTTTTGCCAGGAATGTATATTTGTAAGCCCACTCTACAACCAATATTTAAAATTCATATGTACATTAGTGAGACAACGAAGTCTCTATCTCATAGAGCTTCTGGAGTTATTGCCCTTGATCACATTGCAGAATTATCATGACAAAAATTATCATCTGTTCAACTTGAAAGTTTTATGCTTTGTAAATCTGTTGATTGTGATAGAATGTTTTTTTTGTTTTGGTTTTTTTTTTGCATTGTTTTAACTTTCTTTTAAAAATCATCATTCTTGACAGCTATCAGTTACTGAAATTACAGATTTCCTGTGCCAGTTAATGAAGAATTGTGCGAGTGAGATAAACTAAATATCAAGTATAAACTAAAAGAAAAGTTATGTTGATTCATTTAAAGAAAGAAAATTTTGATCATGAAATTTATATATATTTGAATATTTTTTCCATTTTAGCTTGTGGAGGTATCGAAAGCTCAAGATGTAGAGGCTGGTGATGGTACAACATCAGTTACTGTTTTAGCTGGTAGTCTACTAGATTCCAGTTCAAAATTATTATCCAAAGGTATCATACTCTATAATTTACATGTGACTTAATTAATGACAGATATTTTTAAAATTAATATTAATGGCTTCCCATATTTTGAGAAAGTTGTGTACACAAAATAAAACAGACCAGTTAAAGTTAATTTTCAAAAATTTGATAGTCCTACCTTTTAGTGAGTCCTTACTTAACCCTTTCAATGCTAGACGTAAATCCACTGCCTGTGCTAGACCCTTTTTGGAGGAAAAAAGGGTGTTTGGAACTGAATGCCAAACAGTACTTATGGAAGCTTTTATGAAAAATCTTTTTGTCTGTTGGGATGGGCATGAGGTTGGGCTAAGAGGAAAAAATAGAATTTTGGAAATTTGCATAATAATGTAGTCACGTGATGTCATGACGGCCATTTTGGATCTCATTTCTCACTAAAGCTAACCCGAAAACAAATTTTTCTCCATGAAAAACTTATGAGATATTGTTTTTTTCACTGGATTTTGATAAAGATATATAAAATGAACAAAAATATCAATAGCAGCCATGAGCAATGCCACCACGAACACACGCATCACGTCTCCCGCTGCCAGGACCACGTGCGGATTGCAATACCTTGTTTTCACTTTCACATTCATTTTCATCCCCAAGTCCCATATCATTATCAATATAGTCAGTCAATAGTACACGTTCGGGACTCGGGAATTGCCTACGTCTTTTACGATCCAGCAGGCCAGCATTATTATCAACATTAGAATTATTGTCAGAATCTACTGCAGACACGGGTCTATCGTGTTCACATTGGGCTTGTTCATCATGCACGGGAGACATAGCCATACATGTAGGCGGAATGTCACGCAACAAATCACACACTTAATAATACCATTACCAATCACTGTCCTGACTACTATCATTATCAAGTAACTGGAAACGAATTATGTGTATCACCCGCCTCGAAATTATCCAGCAAGACGTCATTCACGACCTCGTCGAGAGTGCATCGTCTACGTTGTCACTATGCACTCCGCCATTTTACGGTTTGCAGCTTTGAAACATGGAAATATGTTCTAGTGTATAGAAAATACAATAGATGGCACTTGCAGCTACAGTGCTAATTTTAGCGAGGGCTTTACTGAGTACACAGTAATACTGGGTACGCGCATTTTAACGACATTTTATAATACCCGGTACTACCGGGTAGACGCATTGAAAGGGTTAAAGCTGAATATAAGGAATTATGGTACATTTCCTGATTTATAAAATAAACTCTTCAAGAAAATACAGCACTGTAGAATAGATTTGGACTCGGAATCGGCTTGCTTGTTCAAGGATTTTAGGTCTTTTCCGCAGTGTTAGAAAATAAAACCAAAGGCTTAAGATTTCTACCTGTTTTGAAACAGTTTCCATTATATCTAATTCTTATTTGTTAATACATTTTTTGTTACAGGCATGCATCCAACTACTATATCAGAATCTTTCCAGAAAGCATCTTTGAAGGCTGTAGAAATTTTGGAAACTATGGTTACTCCCCTTGAATTGTCAGATCGAGAATCCCTTCTAAAAAGTGCTTCAACTTCCTTGAATTCTAAAGTAAGCAAGATTTACATGTCAAAGAATTTAATAATGCACATAACATTTCTACAAAAATAAATTCTTTATTAAAGATATTTTTCAACGGAATATTATTGTTAAATGTGGGGTTTTGAGTGATAGGTTTGTCTGTAGTGTTGATCTTTTGTTTGTCAACAATGTTATCAGTTAGGACCCATTATTGTATTTGGTCCAGGAGTGAGGTGGCCTTGTCTATTGGGTTTTAAAGAACCCTATATTATATGCTTGCAAGATTATGAATTAAATATTAATCAATACCATTTCCAAAATATCTGGTTATTAAATTGCCAACTGTATATGTGATTGTAGGTTGTTTCTCAGAATTCCAACATCCTGTCACCTATTGCTGTAGATGCTGTATTAAAGGTTATTAACCCTGCTACAGCTGACAATGTAGATCTCAAAGATATCAAAATAGTTAAAAAATTGGGGTATGTATATTGGAAATTTGTTTAGATTATTTTGATTCCCCATGTTGAATTTTTAGTGAAATCAGAAATTGTAGGTATTTAATAAAAGTGGATCCGAATTTCAAATATGACATATGGAAAGTGTATCTCGCCACATGTGACATAAAAATCTGGGTGCTGTGTGAAATTGATAGTGGACATAAAAGGTTCCTTTGAATCTGTGAAATATCTCACTTACATTTATTAGGATGACAAGTAATTCGTTGGTATGTTCCATTCTTTTTATAAACATGTATTTAAAACTCTATAAATTTTATTAACAGAGGTACAGTTGAAGATACAGAATTAATTGATGGTCTAGTCTTCAACCAGAAACTATCCTCATCTGGGGGACCAAGTAAAATAGAAAAGGCTAAAATAGGACTTATTCAGTTCTGTGTATCGGCTCCCAAAACAGATGTAAGTACATTCCCTGAAACTAACAATTATTACTGAGAATTTTTATATAGCACCAATTTCATCAAATGTCCTCAAGGCATACATATATTCTTGATGCAAAAAGCACACAATGGTGAAGTAAAATGTAACATTCAAGTGAAGTAATAGATGGTCTTCTAAACATTAGATAAACAAAATCTCATTCATATGACCACTCTTTTACAAAGTTAAAGCCTGACACCTGGAAACGGATCAATGTTCAAGCCACAGTCCTTTCAAACCACAACCGGTTGAACAGTCTCAAATAGTTTAGTCATTCAAAGCATGGCCATTCATTGCATTACCACAACATATTTAGAAGAAAAATAGCACTAGTCCCATACCTGTGATGTTATTTGGTTTGATCTATTCGGTAAAAGTTGTTTTCTTCTGATCTTAAACAGGAAGTTTACAATTATTTTTATACAGTATATGTAATTATTTTATTTGTGTTAGATGGAGAATCAAGTTATTGTATCAGACTATACCCAGATGGATCGAGTCTTAAAAGAAGAAAGAAATTATATTCTGAATATTATTAAACAAGTTAAAAAGGCTGGTTGCACTGTTCTACTTATTCAGAAATCTATACTCAGGTTGGTCCTCTTATATAAAACAAAAAAAAAAGGTCATGTTCTGCTTAAAATACACTTCTTCTTTAATTTGAGTCAAACACGTTTCTCGGTTTCATTGGATTTTATGTTTTTTCCGTTTCATGGGAGGTCTGTTTAATAATTTAAATATATAACCGTTGTCGACACAGTGCAAAATTTTTCTGCTCAGACTAAGCCAAAATAAGCAATTTGATTGATAGAGATTGTAGAATGTTCACATTTGTTGTATCTAATTGTAGAGATGCCGTTAGTGATTTAGCTTTACATTTCCTGGCTAAGATGAAGATTATGGTTGTAAAAGATATTGAAAGAGAAGATATTGAGTTTGTTTGCAAGGTAAATACAGAGAACTAAACAAGTTGTACTATGGTTTCTAACCAAAAGAAATTCCAGAATATAGTTGGTATACATCCAATAAATAATATTAATGCCTAATTGAAGAAATATGACTCGTTTTACATGGGTTTTTTCTAACTTAAAGGAATTCAGAATATGATTGGGTTTATTAACATCCAATACTTATTGTAATGCCTAATTGAGAGGAAGAATTTTAGAGTGTGAATGATCTGAATAATAAACTGGATTAGAACTGTTCAATAGAAAGTAATACTTTGAATACTAATAGTTGATAACATATTTTATTTTCAGACATTAGGTTGTCGACCTATTGCATCATTAGATCATTTTATACCAGAGAATATGGGTACAGCTGATCTAGTAGAGGAAGTAGCTGTTGGAACTGATAAAATTGTTAAAGTAAGTTCTAAATTGGAAAAAAAAAACAAAACAAGAAAACATTGCCGGTCTCAAAATATACTGCATATGGATTAAGTGTGCTTAGATATTGTTTACCTGCCCATTTCTGAATACGATAGAATTGAGTCTTCAGTCCGAAGTATGTGATTTTAGTTATTCTGCTGTCTATATGAAACTTGTTGTGTGCCACTTGTTAATCCGATTGAAGCTGAGAAATTATCTACTGTTGATATTTTGATTGTGTATTTCGTAATCAGTTGAGTATATTTTAACATGGACTAAGCTGTAGAAGATTTTATAGCTTTCAAAAAGTTCCAACGAAGCACCAAGGCTGTATCTTATAATATATGGATTTATTACAGATAACTGGTATAGCCAATCCTGGTAAAACTGTAACAGTTCTTATTAGAGGATCTAATAAACTAGTTTTAGAAGAAGCTGATAGATCATTACATGATGCTCTCTGTGTAATCAGATGTCTCGTCAAAAAGAAGTAAGCATTATGTTTAATATTTTGTCAAATGTCCTATTTGTTTGGAAAATACCTGTCTTCGGTAGCCCGTTCGGACAGTAGGACGTTAAGCCCCATTTCATTTCTTTGTTTGGAAAATTGAGTCATAACTAGACTAGTTGGATGTGTGATCTTAGTCTTAGCAGATATCATTCAACAAATTAGTCAAAATCAGTTACATGAGGTGGTTACAGTCACCTGGGCTGTAATAATGCAATAACTATTAGACTTTCCTCAAACCAATGATGCCCATTTCTTCTGTCAAGTCATAAATTCATAAATGCCAAGAACAAGCTTTGCAAAGAAATTTATTTGCAACTTTAGTCCCGAAATTACTAATGGATATTAAGCCCCATCTCTCTCTCTCTCTGTTTGAAACTTAAAGATACAATATGGGAGATCTGATAAAGAGCTGGTAGTTCTCACTATAATAGTTAAAAACTAGATAATGTAAATGGAATTTCAGTCAAATTGATCCACTCTGAACCGAGAATTTAGCATTTGAATTTTGGGCCTAGCCTCGATCATCATTACTTAAGTCGGTACGATAAAATACATAGTCTTGATTATCCATTTCTTGATTTCATCATGAATGAGCAGAGAGCAGCAGATCGGATCCTAATCCAGTAAATATTGCAGTCTAGTTATGACATCGAGATTTGATTATGGTCTGAATAAGTTAATGTCTAATTAATAATTTAGGCCTAAAGAAAATACCTGCAATAGGCAGATTTAGCTCTTGCATAATGCAGGTTTAAGTAAATGGTGGGAAATATTTGAAATGCTTTAAAGTGTCATGGTGGTCTGTGATTCAAAACAAATAGCAATCTGGCTTGATAGACATTAATTGGGATGCTGTTAGGAAGATGTAGCCTTTTGAATAATTGTGTAATGCAAATACTCGACTAAAGGCCTACTGATCTTCTGTATAAAGCACACAATATTTAGAAGAACTCTAAGACCCTAATTTGAAATATTTCATTTTTTTTCAGGGCATTGATTGCTGGTGGTGGGGCTCCAGAAATTGAACTGTCCCTTAGATTAATGGAATTTTCTAACACTCTGGCTGGTATTGAACAGTACTGTTTCCGAGCTTTTGCAGAAGCTTTAGAAGTTATTCCGTACACATTGGCTGAGAATGCAGGATTAAACCCAATTGCAACAGTAACAGAATTAAGAAATAGACACGCAAAGGGTGAAATAACAGCAGGAATAAATGTTAGAAAGGTAAAATATACATAGAGATCTGTGAAGACTAGATTGTTCTTTATGATGAAATAATTCATTGACCTGTTCTGAATCATATCAGTCCATGTGGAATAATGTTCCTGAAAGAATACTAGTCATTTACTCATTTTTGTCCCACCTTTCAAAAAAGGCGGGACACTTTTCTAATGAGTTTGTCCATTTGTCTGTCTGTCCGTCAAACTTTTGGGGACACATAGACTCTGTTTCTAAATTAGGTAGAATGTTAAAACATGGTTTAGAGATGTTCCTGAGCTGAATATCTTGACTGAGTTAGATGATTAGCATTTTTTTCTGGTGTGTTTGATCAGTTATAACCAGTTGGCTTGCTGGGTGCTTCATAAAAGATAAAATAAAAAAAAAGTAATTAATGTGTGTCATCTATTTATTTTGTCTATCAGCCTCACCTTTTGCTTGTTTGCTAAATGATGGAATAGCTTTTGTCTGTGTTAGTGCAGGTGTTAGAATTTTTGTTATCTTCACTTCATTCACCTTTGAAAGAGTATGATGTGCAAAGTTCTGTTAACTTCTATAGAGTTATCTCTCTTTATCTGTTGGCAGTAACATGTGAGGGGGGTTATATAAGACTTCACTTTTTTATTGACCAAAATTGAATATTCTCTGAATTACTTTGAGGTAGGTTCTAAAGCATTGTCATGGTCAAGTTTTTCGTCTTAACCTTTTCCCTTATTTTGTTTTTATCAGAGCATTTTCAGAATCTCCCAGCGTGAATAATTTGACAGAGATCCCACCAAATAATTAACATATCAAACCCTATGGAAATCAACATTTTGTTTCTCATTTAAAAAAATGTACTGTGCATTAGAAATAATCAGATTTAATTGAAACCAAAAGGTGTGTGTAATCCATTATGCATAACTGTGAAACTATGACTGGAATATGTTAGATTGTTCTTTATGATGAAATAATTCATTGACCTGTTCTGAAAATATCAGTCCATGTGGAATAATGTTCCTGAAAGAATAACATTATCTAGTCAATTTGAAACTGGTTAAAAGTTGCTTTTCATTTTGTGAAATTGTCAAAATCATCAAGATATGAATCTTTTTGACAGTCATCTCAACAATATATTCAAATTGATCCAAATAAAATATGCCTTGTTTGCATTTTCATTCAAATATCAAATTTCTCACTGCTTGATACATGCTAAATATGTATTCAGATTGTTTAATTAAAACAAAATCGAAATACAAACACTAGAATATCTCCCTACTTGGATCCAACCTTATTTAAACTATACAGGTCACAATTCAATGGAATACAATACAGGTCACAATTCTATGGAATACAATTACTGCTTATTACTGAGCGATGTTTCAACTAGGCTTCTCTAGTCATTATCAAGCAATGATAAAATATGAAAATATAACAAGACAATATATACATGTACACAACAATACTTATTTAAGGCCACACAAAATAAATGTCTTGTTTCTCGGGCAACTGACAGCTGAAACTGTAGGGAGGGAGGGCGGTTTCTTTTTTTTTTTTTACTCATTGATGGTGCAAAATAAAATTTGGCTATTGCTGAAAATTGTTGGGGCGGGAGGGCGGTCTTTCTTTTTTTTTTTTTTAAATGAGAAAGTCATTACTAGTTTACGTTTTTGCTTTCCGTTATATTCAACTTTATTGTACATACTTAAAACATAAACCCAAAATCAAGTCTACTAAAACACTGAGACTGAACACTGACTGAAAGGAAAATAATTTTCCATATTTAATTCACATAATTGAAATTGGTTTAAAATAAAATTCCATACGACTATGTAATAGCCCTCCATAAAGACAACAATATTTTTAAAAACTAAGCCTCTTTCACCAGGTGTATCATAAATAATAATCATGGTAAACAGTATTTAAAACTAAATCTAGTATCGCCGGTTTATTTATAATTATTTACCGAATTCCAACCAATGCATGTCACACCGTGTCATCGGTATTGGAGATTGCCGGAAATACTGTTTCTTGGGATATTCGGTGTGTTTCTCAGGATATTCGGTGTTCTATCCGGTGTTTATATTGAATGACTATTTAAATCTAACTAACAACTGGTCAGTAAAACCATCAAATCGGTAATCCAATTATTATTTTCCGGATTATCGAAACTACCGTAAATGTGCTAATAATGACCCAGATTCTAAGGTATGCATTATGACGACTATCGTCATCGTATCGTATTCTTAGCTATAATTAATTAACCTGTTCTACGGTTCATTATTTTATCAATAGGATTTTCCAAACAAGGACCGACTGAAGCCGGCAATAATGAGCCGATTACGATCGAATGATTGAAATATTGTCGCCAATGACTTTTAACACGAATCAAATTCTAGTTTATCAGGGGAGGTAATTAATATCACGTGATACAAAATGGAGGTTCTTTCGATATCAATAAAAAAGGCAAATCTGCCAAACTTCGCCATTGTTCGGATAAAAATAACAGCATGTTCATCTGAATCAGTTTTAATACATTTGAATAGATATACATGTATGGCGGATGTAGGTACATGCGGGATATTTTTTTTACGACTTGCTTGTCGATGTGCGGGCGGGCGTTACATATTTATTTTTTTTCATCAAGACTAATAAATAGACTGCACGCGCAACCAATTTTGCGTGCGGGCGGTGCCCGAGAAACAAGTTATTTTATTTGTGTTGCCTAATGCTGACCAACCAGAGATACCCCTTCTAATTAAAACTAGGTCCATGATTAAACTTTAAAAATATTGTAGTTTGCAAGGGATTCCTTTTACGTTAAATGATGCATCAAGATTAAAGAATTATATTGCTCATTTGAAGTAATCAAATTTGATTGAAGTCTGAAGATTTGTGTAATCCATTTTTGTGTGTTGTGTAACTATGAAACAATGACTAGAATATATTAGAATTATTCTTTATAATGAAATAATTGATTGACCTGTTCTGGAATATACTAGATTATTCTTTATGATGAAATAATTCATTGACCTGTTCTGAATCATATCAGTCCATGTGGAATAATGTTCCTGAAAGAATACTAGTCATTTACTCATTTTTGTCCCTCCACCCTTCAAAAAAGGCGGGACACTTTTCTAATGAGTTTGTCCATTTGTCTGTCTGTCCGTCAAACTTTTGGGGACACATAGATTCTGTTTCTAAATTAGGTAGAATGTTAAAACATTGCATAATATCTAGTCATGGTTTTAAAACTGCCGTCTTCATTAGCCCAGTAGGAGCAGAACAGTAGGATGTTGAACTCCATTTCATTTCGTTCTAAGACTGGGTAAAAGTTACTTCAATTTCTATGAATTTATCTGAATCCCGCAAATAAAGAACATCTTAGTCACATTAATAAGATATTTAAATTGATCTAAATGAAATATTTTCATGCTTCTAAATAAGGATACTTGTCTCAATGTCGTGATTTTAGAATAAAGCTAGTAATTGTGTCCCATTACTAATAGCATTACAAATTGTGTTCTGTTAATTTTGTCATTTTTTTTGTTGGTATCACCTGATGTGGAGTGTATTTATTTCAAGTTTTTGTATTTCAGGGTGCTATAACAAATATTCTAGAAGAAAATGTTGTTCAACCCTTGTTAGTTTCTACTAGTGCTATATCATTAGCTGCAGAATGTACTCGATGTATTCTTAAAATAGATGACATGGTAAGTAGTATACCTCCATTTCCCCCATGCCTCCTCCCTTCTCCCCTCTTATGTGGGATATCACTATTTTTTGTAGCCAGAGAAATCACAAACTTGTTTATCATTTTCCTTCATGGTTAGGCATCTAATATTTTTTTTATAATATCTGTGGGTCACGTGTGAAATAAATGTGATAACCCTGACAAATGGGTTAACCATGTGATCTTTTAAACATGTGTCAATGAGTTTTGAAGTGGTATGGTTTCTATCCCAAGGTTGTACAAGTAGATGAAGTAAAACTGCACCATAAGTTAGTGCCAAAACCTAAATGACCTAGTTTGGGTTGAGTGAAGGTTAAACTCTCACAAACCATATGAATTATTTAATTATCATTATCTCCAACCTCGTGGGTTTTCTCCGGGTCCTCCAGTTTCCTCCCACTGCTAAAGACCCCTAAGCGCAAGCGAATTATTGAAATAAAATTAAACTGTATGTTAGTTCCGGAATGACCTCATTTGTGTCGAGTGGATGTTAAACCCCATTTCTCTCTCTCTCTCTTAATTATCATTATCAGTATATAAAAAAGGCCTTTGATTTGATTGGAATATATTGTGTGTGAAATTAGTAATCTGTTTATATGGTACACCCAACGGAAGTGTCTATGACAGAATGACAGTCCCACACTTCAGTGTAACAGTGTGGAGGCAGGTTGACCCTAGTTACTGTATGAGCGATGTATAATATTATTCTATATTATATTTTTTTCAGGTGAATACAACTCGATGAAGACCTCATCATAATAATTGTATACATTTAAACTATATCATTGTACAGTCTCATCTTTATTGTGATAATTAAATATAGTGCTTTTTCTACTTCAATCCTACCGAGCATATTGCATCAATAAATTATTTACAAAAAGGAATTGTTTAATATTTTTTCAAAAAATATATGTAGGAAGCCATCTTTCCTCTTCACATGAGCTACATGGGGACAGAACTCTGCTTGATAGTTGAGTATCGGAAGAAAACCGAACAGCAGTACAGAATTTGAAGTACCATGACCTGAATATAGTTACCTCAGTTTAACAGATAAATGGACCGTGACATGCGAATAGCTCTTTGAACTGGGTGGGTAATACAAAGCGGTGTATAGAATTTGATAATTGATTTACAGTTATTATTGAATCACATTTTCTTAGTCAGTGCAAGTGGGTCTAGATCTAGCTGCAGATTATTTTTTAGATGCAAGTTTTGAAATTTTGCGGTGGTCTCAAATTGTAATATATTCAACATTTAAATGGCCAAGAATCAAATGATGATGATGAATAAGGAAATTATTAGTTTGATTTATTTGTATATAGTTTGGTTTTGTAAAATGAAAATCTTTCTACATAACGTATATTAAGTCTGTGTGGGATATGATCCTATTCAGTTTTGTGTCAACAACAAAGATCAAAAGTTAAATCATTGGCATTTAGTAATTGAATTGGAATATACAGGTCACATTTCTGTTGACTAAAATTACTTGGCAATATTTCGACTAGGCTTCTAAGTTCTAAAACAAAGATCAAGTCCAGAAAGAGTCTAAACAGTTTGTTTCCGTTTTCTACCTCCAATGACCTGGGTGATCCTTTTATTTTTTAATTGTGTGCAAAAAGAGCCCCTTTCCATTGAAACATTCTAGACTTTTATATAAGGTTCATAAACTTTGGGGGATCACGGTGGCTAAGTGGGTAAGGCGCTGGCTCGCTAGCCTGGAGGTCGGGTGTTCGATCCCTGCATTGGCCGAGAAAGTTCATCTCGATTTTCCGGCGTGGTTTCCCCTTGTCAGTGATGCAGGACGGAGGGCCTGACAAGGACAGCTGTCTAGTCATTTGGATGAGACGAAAAACCGAGGTCCTGTGTACACATTGGCATGCACGTAAAAGATCCCTTGACAGTTGGAATTCGATATAAGAGTAGGCCGTAGTGCCGCTGTCCGGGCAAAATTTCCCTCATAGCACACTGTATGGCGTATGCCCGTCTTCATTAGCCCACTTTGGAGCAAAACAGTAGGACGTTAAACCCCATTTCATTTCATAAACTTTGAGATTATTAAAACTGATTGGTTTCTGGTATGAAAAACTGGTTTCTATAAAGGGAGACAAATCTATTTTGACTGAAGCCACTACTCAATTTGATGACCGTGGGTCTTAAACATCGGCAGGTTCCGGTACTCTAGCCTCAACTGTATGACGGCAAGTGATATGTACCTACACCTATACAGTTGCGATGTGGCTACCGGTTTACTTATTGCCAAACTTGCTGCTTTTAGAAAGAAGTTCTCAAAATTGCTTCGTTCGAAGAGTGAAGAATTTTTATTTCAAAGTTATCCTGGTTTAAAGAAAATCGGATAAACTTGAAAGAAAAACGGCTTCAGACTTTGAAAGCTTTGTATGATAAACCATTGTTCAACGGCGTCGTCCACATTTTCATGTGGACTTGTATTGTCGTCGCCCCTGTCCGTCCGTATGTCCGCCCGAACGTTCACACTTACTTTGTAGACACTCTACAGGTCACAATTTTTATCCGATTTTAACGAAAGGGACAAAATGGTCTAAAAGTATATAATATTCAGGTTGTGGGACCTCTTGAAGTCAGAATTTTTATTCGATTTCGATGAAATTTGAAGTGTGTGTTTATATCACAAAGATCTTGGTTCATTTCATAATCACGCATACCGAAAAGTAACTTCCTGGTTTATGGCCCCTGATTGTTCGAAAAGTCGCGTTTTTAGCTTGTATTCAATTTTAAAAACCGTTTAAATATATAACCGTTACACCTAGTGTATTTTGGGTTCAAATGTCGTAAAAATCCGACCGAAAATGTCGGACAAAATGCCCGCTCCTTGTACGTAAATAGTCTAAAAGTATGTAATACCAAGGTTGTGGACCCTCTAGAAGTCACAATTTTTATTTATATTACAAAGATCTTGGTTCCACTCGGTAATCACGTATATCGGAAAGTAACTTCCTGGATTATGGCCCCCTGATTGTTTGAAAAAATCACGTTTTTAGCTTGTGGACCCTCTAGAAATCACAATTTGTATTTTATTTTAAAAAACGTTTAAATATATCACCGTTACACCTCAGTGAAGGTTTGGTTCAAATTTCGTAAAAAATACCGCCAGAAAATACCAGACAAAATAGCCGCTCCGTGTACGCAAATAGTCTAAACGAATGTAATACCAAGGTTGTGGACCCTCAATAAGTCACAATTTTTATCTGATTTTGATGAAACTTGTAATGTGTTTACTCAGGCCCAGTGGCGGCGCCAGCCGTCGGTGAATGGAGGGGCAAAGCTGGAGCAAAGTCCAAGGTTAAGGGGGCAAAGGCACGACCTTCAACTAGGGGTAAGGGGCCCCCAGAAAATTTTGAAAAACAGGTTGCCGGAAATGCAGCCTGGCAGTATTTCAGGCACTGATCGATGAGGTAAAGTGTCAAACGAACGGACTTGTGAATCACGACGAAGCCCACTCACGAGCGTCAAAGTAGGGAGTCCTCCCCCAGAAAATTTTGAAATGCCGGAAATGCTGTCACAGTATTCTCTCAGGCCCCGATCGTCGAGATAAATAGATCTGACCAGATACCGTCCGTCGCCTGATCACTAGTTTATCCGGCTAGAGAACAAAATGTCAAACGAACGGACTTGCGAACCTCAACGAATTCCCCTTGTGAGCGCCAAAGTAGCGAGTCCATTGGCGACCTCGCCAAGAAAATTTTGAAAAATAGACTGTCGGAAATGCTCTACAACATGCAAGTTTATGACTGAGTGGGGATGTGGGATTTATTCACCGTAGAAGGTATTGATTACCGAAACGTATCACAAATACTTTTTTTTATTTTCTAAAATTATTGGGGGGGGGGGGCAAACAGAGGGCAGACCAGATTAATTGGGGGGCAAATGCCCCCCCCCCCCCCTGGCGACGCCACTGGCCGTCCTGCTTCGCATTAGATCGCACCTTTTGTGGGCCATTATTGTATGTTAACTTCGGATAGTATATAGGCTACCATAGAATTATGCCCGGCGTTCGATAATATTCGTTAAAACGGATTTTTTTTTTTTTTTTTTATATCAAAATACTAAAACATCACGTTCGTTTATTTGTTACATGTATATTTGTTGTATTGTATTAATGTCATTTTTATAATTGTATGCTGCTCACTGTTGCAATAAATTTACTTACTTATTACTTTAAAGTCCTAACCTCTAACCCAAATTAATAATAATAATAATGATAATAGTGTATATTTATAATGCGCAAATGTCCATACACATACATATTATCTGATTTTTTTGATTTTTTTTTTTTTTTTTTTTTTTTTTTTTGAGCCAACGTCGCTAAAAGCTCAGTTACATAGATATTATATGTAGCTGTCTGAAAATGTTGGCGCCCACGGCGCTCGATTCCATTATATCATTATTCTTCCACTCCTGATGTTTGGTCTTATAGGCCTACTCTCTCTTCAATATCATATTCACGGTTACAGCGATCGCCCTGTTAGTACATGTAGTAGCATTAGAGAGTCGTGGGGCGACAGACTATACAAATGTTCTCACAATTAAGTCGGAATTAACATACAGGCGTTGAGATTCTGTCCCATTTCTTATCCTCTCGTATACAGAATTTGCTCCCATCAATGAACTCAAATTCCAGGAAATTTAGGCCCAGTCCCCCAAAAATTAAGTTTAATTGCCTATTATACGCTGCTATCTGAAAATCTTTCGCGCCTATACGTCCATTAGAGCATCATTCTTTCGGCGAGATAACGATCGGCGAACAACTATAATGTTCTATGGATTAGATCATGTTATAGCCAGTATTTTGTTGTCATTCATTGTAGGGTGGGGTTGTGGATGGCACCCTATATTTGGACCCCCACCCTATTCACAGCTTCTAGATCCGCTACTGGAAGTAGGCGTTAAACTCTCTCTCTCGACCTGACAATGCTCAATTATAGAAATTGTACATTACACAAGAGAAAACAATAATACATCATGGAAGGGTACTAAATACATGGGATGCGACGAAGACGACAAAAAAAAACCCACACAAATTCTAGTATATATTATAGGCGCAAGCTCTTTGATATGTTAGCACGCCAAAGACTATAGGGCAAGAATTTATTTTTGATGTGGGGACATTCTAAATGTAGGCCCACAATATCAAAAACATTTCACAACGTTTGGCTATTCCCATGACTCAGTCGGAGCAGAACATTAAACAAACCCAATTTCATTTCCTAAATAATCAGTCAAGCTTAATAAGGCCATGTGTTTGATAGTCTAAACTGAATTTACTCTGAAAGTATGACATTTTTAATGACCAAATTGTATTGCTAGTCATCAAAAAACGTCAACGGTTTGTTACAGAACGTCAGCAAGTCTGTCGTTGATATCGACAGGTCAATCTGATTAAAATACAGATCTATATTTCGTTTCGTTTTTTTATTCTTTCGATGGCCTACACTACCAAGTGTAGTAAAGACAAGAAAGACAAGTAAAACGAAATTTTGAACTATAAAAACGAAACGAAATAGGACCTGTGTTTTAACCAGATTGACTGACAGGTGTACTACGTATTGGCGGACTTCTGCACACCTTGTTCGGTGGGTTGGATATGCTTTCCAAACATGTCAAGAAAATTTATATTTTGGCCTATAGTAAAGTGATATTGTATCTTTTTTGTCTATAAATTGAAACTTTCTGTTTCAATACAGAAATAACTATTTAATGTTGTTGTAAATTATTTCTTGTGAATTCAAAACATTAAATAAACTAAATCGGTTTAGTAGTTGCCGAAAAAAAATTTATTTTTAAATAAATGATCTTAGCGATTTTACCACAAAATTTGAATGCCTGAAACGTTTGATCTGGGTTTTGGGTGGAGCTGTCGTGGTTAAACCATCAACTCCATCAAGATTTCTAAGGTAGGCTACCTTACCACCGCACACGGGCACGTTCAAAGAGTGGCGACACTTTTTCAATAACACGTTTTGTTTATTTCTCCATTATTATATATTTGTGAATTGAAATGACATAAATTGGGGGTTTAACGGAAATGAAATGAAATGGGGTTTAACGTCCTATACTGTTCTGCTCCGACTGGGCTAATGAAGACGGGCATATGCCATGCAGTGTGCTATGAGGGAAATTTTGCCCTTACAGCTGCGTTACGGTCTACTGTTAGAGATCTGTTACCTGCACGCCAATGTGTACACGGGACCTCAGACCTCGGTATTTCGTCCCACCCGAACGACTATACGTTGTCCTTTACCACGCCCTCTAATCCTGCACCACTGACAAGGGATAACCACGCCGGAAATTCCCGATAAACTTTCTCGGCCAATGCAGGGATCGAACACGGGACCCCCAGGTTAGCGAGCCAACGTCTTATTAGCCGTCGTGGCTCACGGGTTTAACGATATACTTTTCAGCACCAGCCTATTTACAATGAAGACGGGCATACGCTAATGCGGTGTCGTATTAGGGGGAATTCTACCCGGACAGCGGCGTAGTCAGGGGATCAGTGTTTGTGACAGTAGATTTGTGATATAGTTTCAGATTTATCTTTATTGGCCTGGATGATGCAGATAAAAAATACATTAAACCTATTTCATGTCATTTTCTGATAAATTGGATGTGACACGATACTGCAATTCTCTGCTAATCGTTGCCAAATATAAATGGGCTTAACGTCCTAGCCTTCTTTCATACTTCTTTACCGAACAAAAATGAAAAGAAATTGAGTTTAACGTCCTACTGTTCTGCTCCTACTGGGCTAATGAAGACGGGTGTACACCGTGCAGTGTGCATAACGGAAATTTGGTCCGAATAATGAACTTTTCCTCCCACTTTTCATCGAGTTGCCACGTTTTTCCTGCACCACAAGTGGAACCCGAACACTGATCAGCACTGGATATACGCTAGGCCGCCTTTCGCAATACCTCTATTATGTGAAACAGATTGAGGGGAAATCAGACTGGAAGATCAAGAGAAACACCAGGATCGAACCCGGGAGTTCCCGTTTAGTTTATACACGGGAAAAATTCAATGGAATGGGGCTTTGATTTCTATTTAAATGGCGAATTTCGGTAATAGTTTAAGATATGCCATTCACTAAAAAGTTTACCATTACTGAAATTACAGTATATATTGCTAACTCTTCATTTAATTCAAACTGCCATGGGTTCTTTTAAATGAACGTCAACGTGTATACACATTGTAATTCCGTTTGTCGTCCTGTCCGAACGACTAAACGCCGTTCCTTGCCAAGAAGATTGGTGATTGAAATGATTTCTTGGTGCTGATCTAAGTAGATCCATGCAAATTATTTCTCCATTTTTGTGAAATGAAATAAAATGGGGTCTAACATCCTACTTCCGTGCAGCAACCGGGCTAATGAAGACGGGCATACAGTTTTAAAGATGGGCAAACGTCATCTTGTAGAATGTAAAATATCCTGTCGTTAATGGGTGTATCATACATTTTCAAAGAAATTAATAAGAGAGAGAGTGAAAGATGGTGTTTGACGTCCACTCGACACAAACTAGGTCATTGCGGGACTAACATATGGTTGGTTCTATTTTATTTCCATAATTCGCTTGCGCGTAGGGGTCTTCAGCAGTGGGAGGAAACCGGGGGACCCGGAGAAAACCCACGAGGTTGGACAGGCGACCCTACTCCTTGTCAGTGAAATTAATAAATGAAATGGAGGTCTATTGCGCCAAACATATGATGAGTAAAACCATGACTTATCGGGCTATATTGCACCAGACACATGATGAGTAAAACTATGACTTATAGGAAATAATATCATGGCAAGCATATATTTGTAAAATTTCTCTGTAGTTGGGAATAGAGATTCAGTCATTGTTTTGGAGCGATGAATAGATTATACTATTTATAGATAACTAAACATAAATTTCTTAGAAACTTATTCATTATTTCGGACTCGGAGTAGGGCTTTAAACCCCATTTCATTTTCATTTCCATTATTGCCGACAATGAACAAAGAGAGCATGCATCAGATTTCTGGAAAGGTGGCGTATGGTTCTGGGTTTTTATCAACTTGCGCCTCGGGGTGCGATGGTTTGAATTTTTCAGGAGCTTGCTCTTTTAGACAGGTGTTTGTTTTTGCTAGATACACGTGTTGCGTACACGAGAGGCACTGTTGGTTTTAATCTTGATCGTTATCTTCTTTCTATCTATCGGGTTCTTGATTGCTAACCTGTTATTTCTAGTTTTCGATTCTAAACTCGGTGAAAACGTCATGACTAAGAAGGTTCTTGCTCTTGACAAACATGAAACGTCGTCCATAGTTGACGCCATAAGAGGCACTACTGGTTTTTATTTTATGATCAGTAGTGGAATACCGCGTTTTATCAGTGAAATAAAAGTGTTATTCCACTGGCTAGTTGTTTTTACCTAAAATGATTGTAAAATCATAAAATAAATAGAACATTTGTCGTTTTGTCGTGAATAACATATTTTATTTCATCTCTAAGCAAGAAAACTTTTATATTTTCACTCATGCTACGCATTCGTGAAAATATAAGTTTTCTTGCTTCTCGATGAAATAAAATATGTTATTCACTCTAAAACAACAAATATCCTCCATTAATTTTGATCGTTATCTTCTTTCTATCTATCGGGTTCTTGACTGCTAACCTGTTATTTCTAGTTTTTGGTTCTAAACTCTAAACGCGCACCCGGTGAAAACGTCATGACCAAGAAGGTTCTTGCTTTTGACAAACATGACGTCATCCATAGTTGACGCCATGAATAAAACTAACGGGAAAGGAGTTAAATTTATAGTGTTTTATTAAAATTATTCTATTATACAAAAATAATTATTTTCACACGCCAACTAAATGCCAAAAAGTAAGAAGAAAACTTTCTCAATTGAATAAAATTTAAAACTTGTTTATAAAAATTACTTTCGTTTGCGATTAAACGCGCACCTCCTATACACGTCATGATAAACACGACGTCATATACCGTATGAGGTCATCAATGAAACTAAACGAGAAAAAAATAGATTTTTATTTTGACTTTTCTTTTTCTTTTTTGAAATAAAAATCATTGTTATCTAAAGTCTTTAACTACTCCGAAAACTTTCTTCCCGGAACAAATTTTAAAACGTGCTTTACGCCGAAAAAATTATTGTAGAAGTTAGCGATTTGTTTGTTTTTGTAACGCTGAATTCGACTAAAAAGAAAGTTCAGAGTTTAAATTGTTTACATTTGAGATGCGGGTCATTTCAGTTCTTGCAATACTCGGCTTAGCTAATAAAACGGATCACAAACAATCTACAATATACGAAAGAAAATTATATCATTATAAACTCATTTGATATCTGAAGTTAAAACTCCATTTAATGCGAAATTAATTGCATGTTTATCGACATTGTATTCCCAAAATATCTTTAAAATAATTCTGGAGAATTCCCTTTTCTAATATTTAAGATAAGTTTGGGGGGTTTTCTGCGCCAGATATTTAAAATTATGCGGATAAACCAATTGTATAGCTAAATTTTTCGTCATCACAAAATCATTCTTTGAATCGACATCTTCTATTCATTGTTTTAGTGGCAGATTTATGGGTGGATGTATTTTGGCCTAGAGCTAAAAATAGATGTATATTTTTTTTTATCATTATTATAAATATTTGTAGTTTTAAAAGAAATTAAATAATGAAATAGAATTTTAATGCTATGTTGCTCCAAAAGACTTATGTATATAGTGGGGTTAAAGGGCAATCGATCGTATCGGGGTCACCACTTGACCTCTCAGACGAGACTATTCATTTACTAGCTTCATATAATGCACTTCTTGAGTTTAGGATACAACTGTCACGCGCGGAGAACTATATTCTGGCGCATTTACACAGTGGTCAGTCGTCTTGACGTCACAAGTTGCTATGATACCACTTTTTTTCTCTGGTTCTAAGTCGCGGAGTATTACTATGATATTTAGTGACTACTTTACATCGGTAATCTTTTTGTTATGGTCTACTTGGGCGGATATGTTGATGGAGATAGAAATAATTGAGAAAGCCCAACTCATGCCTTGATTGGCATATCTACCACTGGCCACTATGCAACAATTTTAAATATAAGAATTAAGCATATACTGATCGTAAAAAGCACCTATCTTGTTCAGATATTATATACAAATACCCATTATAAAAATCAATAATTGCATAAAGTATGTTGCTAAGAGTCAGATTCTATCAAATGGTGATACTGGTCGAATGAATAGCAATTGATTTATCGATTTTAAACAAATTTAAAAAATGTTTTCAAAATTTTGAAAAAATTCACATAGATATCGAATTGAATTTAATTATTGGTACCAATAGTTTGGGCAACAAAAATGACGAAGTTTGATACCCTGCATGCCTAGGTTCTGTAGAATACCTATCTCAAGTGTGTGTTTGGAGTGAAAAGCGAGCGTTGCCGAAGGACGAGTGACGTCACGTATGAAAGAGGAGGAAGACAGAAGGTCCGAGAAATGGCGACTCCATGATCTGTCGCTTCGGGGGGTGATTGAAGTGGGCCATGTTCAGCATCCACTCGATCACAAAACTTATATTTCTTTCATATATCATATAAGGATTATTGTTACCGGTTTACGGATAATACGTGTTCGAAATGGCGGCAAATATGTACAGAGTTGGAGGTAGGTAGATTTTCAGAATATGGATACAGCATGGACGGGCCCTCTAAACCCACGCGGCTTGATATTAGTACCTACGATAACTTTAGGGTGTTTACTATATTGTCCCTAATCCCTGCTAAATCACTATAACTTGCATATGGAACTATTTCAGTATTTACAATGTATTTATTTAATGAAGGATGTATAATGATTGACATTGATTATTTTAATTTGATCATATATTCTAAACGCGCATTCATGTAAGTGTGTAATTTGGTTCAAGTTCAATACCCCAATCAATAATTTATGGTGTATCAGTTTTGTTAAGAAATCGCATATTCAATAACTACATACCCCCATTCATAAAAATATATGGATATTTATGTATTTACTATGTGTGTATATCCCCCAATCTATGGTTAAGTCCCCGAAGGGAACTATTTCCCGTCAGTGGCTTACTCGTATACACCGGTATATTTAGCAGTGCACACAAAGAAAGATTTTTTGTTTCCCTTTCAGATTATGTCTATTTTGAAACTTCGTCCACATCACCCTTTCAAATAAGACGAATCGAAGAACTTAACAAGGTAAAATAAAGTTTTATTAAAACTCTTATAAACTAGAAAGTGTGTCCATGATCGGGAGCATTTAGGTTTTTGAAGACGGACGCGTGGAGTGCTGTTTTTCAAACAGACAAGTATTATTGTTATCCAATGCTTACATGGCCGACAAACTAATTGACATGTCTTCGTGTCTATTTTCAGACTCCAAATGGAAATGTGGAAGCAAAAGTTATGTGCTTTTACCGAAGAAGGGATATATCGAGTTCACTTATTATGCTGGCCGATAAACACCAAAGTAAGTGGATGTGATTTGTCTATGTGTATTCAATGTTTATTCAGATAACCAAGTTAATGATGATCTGCACGCGCCATCAGAGGCACATAGCTAAGGTGACCTACTTTGAACCTAGTTTAGTCACTTGAATGATAGCATAACTGTAAAAGTAGGCTTACACTGAATCAGAAAGTACAACTCTTAAACTGAATATTTTAATACATAAATAGGCCTATTAAAAATATATTTATTTTGTGTGGGTGGGCATTCTTAATTTATATGTTGTGTTAGCAACAATAATTTTTAAGGATTAATTTAATATTGAAAGCCAAATTTGGGCCTTTCAGAAAAAAAAGTAACAAAATTGTGTGTTTTTGAAAATTATTATTTTGTTAATTTTGCACTTACACTGCTTACACATTTAATAATGCCATGGCTGATTCAAAATTAAATAACAAGATCTGCTTAATTTCGGACAAAATTAAAATTGTCGATTATTGGGGATTTTTTTATGTGGGGGGAATTTTCAAGGCCAACAACGAGATTGAACCTGGGATCTCCTGGTTAGTGAGCCAGCGCCATACTAATTGAGCCACTGCGGCTGCCTAATCTTATAGAGCTTCATCCGTCAATAATTATAGTGCTGGCAGGATATATTAGGCTTGTCTGCGATATCACCCTAGGTGGAAGGGGACTTTAAAAGGAACCGATATAATGTTGAATTGATGTGTTGCGATTTACCTTCTCATGCATCGTGTATTGATTCATGAGACACTGAATCGATGTATCATGATTCTTTTTTCAGTAAGTAACCTGCCACTCCTAACTATCCACGTCACACATTATCCATAGGTACACAAACACTCTTAAATTGTTTTGGTCCCTATTTTGATCCACATCAATATTGTGATATAAACAGTTTTATTTTTTCGACATTGGCTGGACTAAAAATTTCAATATTCATTTATCCTGTTGTGTTCTTGGTAAATATTACCTGGTTATGTATTGTGATACGATATTACAAATCATATCGCAGTACCTGAACCGCAATATGCATCGTATTGTGACTGCAGTGGCAATACTCAGCAGTAACTAAATGCTCAAGTTTTTTTTACCTGAAGTAAAAGCTGTTCAGCTCCTTAAAGTTAATTTTGACACAAAATGAATAATGTATAGTTTTTACATTATACTTTTGTTTCTTAGAAAGAGAAAGAACAGTTTATAGGAATTTATGATTTTTCGAATTGAGTGCTGAAATAGAGCAGGCAAATATATTGTAATATAATATCCTATAAGTACATAGTATTTTTCCATCTTCATTAGTCCAGTCTTCCCAGTTGTTGTAGAAAATTAGGACGTTAAACCCATTTCATTTCACACTAGTTCAGCTCTGAACGTAGGTCTTATTACACTCGACCTCTACGTTCAGGGACTGTCTTATTGAATCCCTGTCGAAAATCTATCGCTTCCCAGTCAATTTTACTGGGCAACTTTTTACTGCTAACTGGTCGCATGTCAGTCCCTGTGAGTGTAAAATGAGACCTACGTTCAGAGCTGAACTAATTTCACACATGTTATCTTTAATCGCTGTCCATTTATCATAAATATCGAAGTCTAATTAAATTCTCGGATTATCCACTGCCCATGTTTTTTTCTGTGGTTTTTATCTCAGAAATTGTTCTACATTTAAGTGTCACTTTTTCCTAATCCGCTCACGGTCAAGTTGATCAACATCAAGCGCTCCCTAACGCTGAGATATCACACAATCTTCGCATGCAACCTTTGACGTCACTCAAGCAGACAGACTGCCAATTAGTAACAGCCTCTCATTTTTGTCCTGTGTGTACCCCATGGGTGTTTTTCAAGGAATCCAGTATTTTTCTAGAAAGATTGGGTGTCTCTACTTTCCATACGTATATACCAAAATTGCCATACTTTTATTTGAAATAACCACCCGATAAATACTTTTGTGGGAAAGTATCTTTAAAGAAACTGTAATACATGCAGTATAAAAATTGTAGGGCAGTCTGAAATCTGTGACAGACATTGTCAGGCTCCAATTCAGGCTTTGTTGATACTAGTTCACTATTTACAGACGTGCTGATTCAGGGCCTAAAACTGAATTGTTTTGAGGATTTTTAGTACCTGGTTGGATGGGTATTAGGGATTATTGAAGTGTATCAAATAAAAGATAGGTGCTTGTGAGATGGTCACTGTTATTGAAATGAAGCCGCTGTCGTCGCACCTTAAACTGTGCAACCAACCGTTAGTATACATGCACTAAATTCTTGTCCTATTCTAGATTCAAGTTGTTAGAAAGAAAATAGGTTTAACATCCACTAACATAAACTAGGTCATTTTGGGACTAACATAGGAAACCTATGAGTTTGGACAGTCGACCCTACTCCTTGTCATGTACAGGTGGGGAATCAAACCATGCCACTTGACTCAATGACGGACCTTCTGATCCAATGTGCACACGTTCATCATTTGGCCTCCCGCAGAGCTTGAGGAAAGAAAAGATATTCTTTTTTTTTTCCATAAATTTTAAATGTGAATATATTCTAAAATTTAAAATACTGTTATTTGAATATATTCTTAAATTATTCATTTTTGTGATTTCCAATTTCCGTTTTCTTTTGGAATAATTAGTTTGGTGACACATGTTATCTTGATTCGCGCTTGTATACACCTGTAGAATTTAATTATATTATTGCTTCATCTATCAGCCTGTGTTATAATATGTGCAAATATGTTTAGCCATTGACGACAAAGTCAGGAACTACCTATTTATAGCTTGCTGTCTTTCTCGCATATTATTGATTATTTTATTCCAGATAGATATTGAATAGATCTATATATGTAACCTATAGATAAAAGGACAAACCTATACTGTGACTGTCTGCAGCAGTAAAATTATAGTCTTTATAGTTCATATTTGACTCATACTCACCATATAAAATATAATTATATAGTGAGCTATTTACCTGTTTTAAGGCTTCTAATAGTGTAATCAAATAAGTTTTTGTAGGATTCATTTTTGTATGTAGGTTGGTTACCATGAAAAGAAATGGGGTTTGATGTCCTTCTTAAATGTACCAACATTGCTAATAAAAATGGGCCTCAGCATGCAATGCATTGTGTCAAGAGGAAAATTTTGCCTAATCTAAGTTTTTGTAGAATTTTTTTTTTATATAGGTTACAATGAAATTGGGTTTAATTTCTTACGTGAATGCCCCAACATGGGTGTCTGCTTGTAATGTACTGTGCCACAAGGAAATTTTTGCCTAAACTTATTTGTTTTTGAACTGTTATGGAATCTTTAAAGTGCTGCTTATTGTAGAGAAAACACAGGATTAAACAATGCGATGCCTTTTCTTGCCAGGCTGTCCGCTCCGACCCTGAACCACTCACTGACTTGGCAAATCCTGCTTGGAATCTTCCTTATCGAACCCAGGACTTCCTCCTGGCTATTGAGTCAGGGCCATGGATTCCTAAGAGGTTTTGTCAGAAATTTCACCTTGCATAAATAAAATTGATAAAACCACCCAAAAATGTCTTATATGTAAATACAAGGTCACTGTGACCTAGTTTAATACACTAAATTGTTAAGAAGTGATTAATGTTTTTCAGGCCAGTTTCAATTTTTATTAAATATTCTACTTAATTTTATTGTCTAATTATAGCTCTTATATTAATGTCAAATTTAAAGTTTACATAGAAACTGATTTAAAGTATTTTTCCTGTACAAACATTTTTCACATATTTTTGTCTTAATGTCAGATGTCATCATGAAGATTTGTATTGTGATAGACATTGATATATATCTAATACTGATGGATGATGTTCAATTTGGATTAAATCATTCTTCAAATAGCTATAGAGGGAAAAATATCTACTAAATTTCAAATAGAGCATGTTTCATTTATTATTTATTTAAACATTGTAATGGTGCGCTGTGACAATAATGAAGGCAGTTATATTATTTGATTCCAGTTCAATACTGATTGAGATGTGCTGCTTTGTTCTGTAGTCTGTAGTCTTGTGTACTGAATAAGGCCCAGGGATGACACATTCAGTCATGATACAAGACAAAGAAATCTACCATGCCAGCTGTTCATGTACTAAAACAGTTAGGCCAACAACAATTAAACATCTGGAATCATTTATAAATTTTTAAGGCCAAACAGTCTATTGTTGCTTTATATTCTGAAATTGCATTTTACATTTTTTAACAAGACTGGGTGGATATATTTGGGGTTTTTTCCAAAGTATGCAATAAATTATTCTTCTCCAATTAACTGTTTAAATCCACTTTGTAAGTAAACAATTTAGGTCATCCTTGTCTAATAACAGATAATTGATATCAAGCTTACAGGATATTAACTAAACTTTCAGCACAAACTTTCTGAGGAAAAAAAACAACAAATGTCACTCCTGATTTAAAAATGATTTAAATTGATAAAAACGAGTAGTATACAATTTAAAATACTATATGAACAACTAGATTTGGTACTCTGTACAAGATGATTTTAAGTCCAATATTCCAGAATTTTAGACCATACACAGTAAAATGTAGTTTTGCCACACAGCACATTGGTCCAAAAATGGTCAAGATCTGTCTGTTCTAACCAAAACTATAGTCTATGGCCATATAAAGTTCATTTTACTTCCTATAAATTTTTGCTTCCGTGTATGCTAAGAAAGTTCTTCAAGAATTTCCTGCGTGGTTTCCTTCTGATCAGTGCTGCAGGACAGTTTGCCTGATAAGGAACGGTGTCTTGTCATTCAGATGGTACGAAAAACTTGAGGTCCCATGTACACATTAGCGTGCATATTAAAGACCCCTTGATAGTTGGAATTCGAAATAAAGAGTAGGCAGTAGCGCCGCTGTCGGGACAATTTCCCAAATAGCACACTATTAGTAATCATATATCTCTAATTCTTTGTAAACTTTTGATGTATATGTTCTTGTTTTAATGTACAAATTGTAATGTAATTATGCACATTTTAGTATAAAAAAGACCCTCAAAAAGAATGGGGTGGTTTGTACAAAAACGATATATTTGTTATTGTCTAATATCAATAAAGTTGGCCGTGTGTAATCAATTGAAACAAATAGTAAAAGTATTTGATTCATTTAAATCTTTTGAACCAATCTGTCTTTTAGTAAGAGTACATGAATCTTTGTGTATATGATTAAACAGTATATTAAATATGAAGTGTGAACTTTTAAAGATAATGCTTGAGATTAGTCAATATTTGAAACTATTGTTGCCTTATTGAATCCTCCTCAAACATGTGGAGACATGCCGGTCCAGGAATTACTCAAATGCTCAAACACATGCTGCTACATGCAGTACACATAATACATTCCAGTATGTAAATGAGGAATGTAACGATTTCTGAATAAATCAGTATTAATGATTTTTAGTCCTTAAGTGATATAGATAATAGGCAGTATTCATTACTGACTATTTATTGGAAACTGGTGGTTTCGATTCCCCGGTTGTACGTGACTCGCCTGTCCAACCTCGTGGGTTTTCTCCGGGTCCTCTGGTTTCCTCCCACTGCTAAAGACCCCTATGCACAAGTGAATTACTGAAATAAAATTAACCATGTGTTAGTCCCTTGCATGTTGTATCAATTAAAAGATATTTTAGCCCATTTTAACATTTTTGTGTTGTATCGTTTTGCTATCATAGGTTGCATATGATCAAAATTTACCCCTGTTTTATGGTCTTTACCTGATAGTGAAAATCTTATCAATCTACATCTGTGGTAATGTAGTTTTCTACAGAACCAGACAAAATTATATCTGAATAGCTATCCACATTTCTATGTGCTTTGAAGTATATTTATTCATTGTAACTTGAAAGGTTTTGAAATGTTATGAAATGTTATAATGGAAGATATGCTCTGATTACTGTTAATTAGTTGGATTGACAGATACATGTATATGATCAATACAACGATAATGAAAAATATCTTGATAGATAAATATAACCATGTATATTTTATACAAATGAAATAAAATAAAATGAAATGGGGTTTAACATCCTACTGTTTTGCTCCTAAACAGGGCTAATGAAGACTGGCATACGCCATACAGTGTGCTATGAGGAAAGTTTTGCCTGGGCAGTGGCGCTACGGCCTACTCTTATATCGAATTCCAACTGCCAGGGGATCTTTTACTTGAACGCCAATTTGTACACGGGACCTCGGTTTTTTGTCCCATCCGAATGACTAGACAGCTGTCCTTGTCAGGCCCTCTGTCCTGCATCACTGACAAGGGGGAACCATGCCGGAAAATCCTGGATGAACTTTCTCGGCCAATGCAGGGATCGAAAACCCGACCTCCAGGCTAGTGAGCCAGCGTCTTAGCCACGTGATCCCCTATTTTATACAAAGTTTTTGTGTTGTATTATATTTCTGATAAGTGAAATTGAACATCCTAATTTTCTACACTGACAAGGCTAATGAAGTCTTTGATAGCCATGCAGTGTACAATGAAGGAAATTTTACCTTGACATGATTCGATTTCCGACTGTCAATGGGTAAAATGTTGGCTTTGCTAGCCTGGAGGTTGCGGGTTAGCTCCCGGTGTTGGCCTAGATAGTTTATAGTTTCTGGCGTGATTTACCCATGTCAGTGGTGCAGGATGTAGAGCCTGGCAAGGACAGCTGATTACTCATTTGGATGGGATGAAAAACTGCATACACATTGGAGTGCATGTAAAAGATCCCTTGACAGTAGGAATTCGATATAAGAGTAGGCTGTAGCACCTCTGTCAGGGCAAAATTTTGCTCATGGAACACTATAAGGCGTATGACCGTCTTCATTAGCCGAGTAGGACGTTGAACCTCATTTCATTTCATTTTTAATGAGCTGTGTCAATAATATACACCTGACCAAGTTTTTCGTTCCATTTGAACGACCAGACACTTTTCCTTGTCAGACTCTCCTTCCCACACGTTTGACAGGGGAATGAGGCTGGAAAACCGTGAGTAACTTTCCCGGCCAGGAGTGGGACCTAGATAATGACATCATTTTTCTCTGTGCGTACATGTAAATTCAATCTGATTAAAATACAGATCTATATTTCGTTTTTTTTTTGGGGGGGGGGGGGAGAGGTATACTTTCAATGGCCTCTACTACATGAAGATCTGACCATTTGTAGTGGAAGGTCGCGTCAGAGGTCATACGAGTGGCTTTTGAGCCTATGATGTCAGACATTTGATTAATCAATCAGCGTTGATGTTTCTAGTGGGTTACCCTCAGTTTCGTGCACCTCACGCCAAAAACCGTTTCATTGGCTAATCCCTCACATCATCCAGAATGTGGGTAATATATAACAACTCTTCCAGATCCTAGTGTAGTAAAGACAAGTAAAACAAAATTTTGAACTACAAAAAAATGAAACAAAATACGATCTTTGTTTTAATCAGATTGATATAAACCATATATATTTTTAACACAATTTTCATGTGTTAGCGTATGTTCATGGATAAAGTGACTTATTCAAGGGTTCAACACCAAGTCCAGAACATTTAAAATGATATAATAGATATTTATAACAAATTGCACATGCGAAATATCCTTATAAGTTTTCTTTATTTTTTCAGGTTTATTGGAAGAAAATGGAGAGACGGAGGGCAAAACGGAAGAAACGTCTGAGAAAGGGTCGCATCAGTTGAAACATAGAGAGTTGTTCTTATCGCGTCAAGTTGAGACATTACCAGCCACACATATTCGTGGAAAATGTGTTGTTACTTTATTAAATGAAACTGAAGCCTTGACTTCGTATCTGAATAAAGATGACATGTTCTTTTATTCACTAGTCTATGATCCCCAACAAAAGACACTCTTAGCTGATAAAGGTGAAATACGTGTGGGGTCGAAATATCAAGCTGAGATCTCAATATTAATAGGAGAAGGTAGGAAGTGTATATTGTGAATGGAATGAATTTGTGCTTTAATTGGATGTGTTAACTTAAAATGGATGTGTTTTGCTCTATAAATCTAGTGGGATTTTCATAGTCTACTTGGCTCATTATGTCTTACTTTTAAATCATAATTTATTCTGTCTGGTTTTAATAAATATTTTGCAAATTTTCAATTCAAACTCAACCCATGACTATTTTTCAGTCATTTTTGAATTAATGACTTTTGACCTTAAACTATTTATTTAAAACTAATTTTTGGCAATATCGTTAAAAGATTGAATGTTAATAATGAAAGTTTGGTAGTTAAAAGATTGAATGTTGATAATGAAAGTTTGGTAGTGTAACTTGAATATTTGTGCTATATTATTTAGGTGAAGACACCAGAAAGTTGGAAGATCTTGAAGCTTTAATATGGCAGCCATGTCCTGATAATGGAATCACAGATAAAGAAATAGATCAATTTCAAATAATAGCTAAGTAAGTAATGTAGCATACAGACGTCCTCTAATTTACAAATAACAGCTAAGTAATGTAGCATAGAGACGTCATCTAATTTACAAATAATAGCCAAGTAAGTAATTTAGCATGGCGACATCATCTAATTTACAAGAAGAAAAGATTTATAGGCCAGTTGAATCCAAGCTGGAAGGTTTTGATTTTAATTAGTTAATTAAATGTTAATATTCAATCTGAGTACATATTAGTGTGGATTAAGCTGTGAGGAATTTTGATATTTTAGCGAAAAATGCATTGACACATTATTTCACTTAAGATAATAGATAAAAAACCTCTTAAAAAAATGAATAATTTGTGTTATGTAAAATAGGTGAGGTAATTTAAAGAGCAGTTGAATTTTAGATTCTATTTAGAATTTGTTGTACATATGCCAAAACAAGACTGTTGCTGTGACTGTTTTCCTGTCCGTCTTCATTAGCCCAGTTCGGAGCAAAACAGTAGGACGTTAAACCCCATTTCATTTCTGTATTCCTGTACTATTTTGTTCAGAAAAAATTAACTAGGCAGCTTGAATATAGAACTATCAATTTTATAATCCTAATGATGAAATTTACACCATCACTGACCTGTTCTGAATAATATGTGGACTTGATGGTCTGAAAGGATTTATATTTAGTTGATTATATGCCATCACTTTCATTAGGCATGGTTTCCCCTTGTCAATGGGTGTATGGCCTGACCAGGAACAGTGTCCAATACTGAGGTCCCATATACACGTTAATATGCAAGTAAAAAAAAAGAACTTAACCATTTGAATTTGATATAAGAGTACATGTAGGTAGTAGCGCTGCTGTCTGGGCAAAATTTCCCTTATAGCACACTGTATGGCTAGGCCTGTCTTTATTAGCCCATTATGTGCCTAACAGTACAATAGGTTGAACCCCATTTCATTTCAAAGCACAATAATGTGGACAGCTATCTTCATTAGCCCAGTCAGTGCAGATATGTAGAATGTTGAACCCTATTTCATTTCAAAGCACAATAATGTGGACAGCTATCTTCATTAGCCCAGTCAGTGCAGATATGTAGAATGTTGAACCCTAATTCATTTCAAAGCACAATAATGTGGACAGCTATCTTCATTAGCCCAGTCAGTGCAGATATGTAGAATGTTGAACCCTATTTCATTTCAAAGCACAATAATGTGGACAGCTATCTTTATTAGCCCAGTCAGTGCAGATATGTAGAATGTTGAACCCTATTTCATTTCAAAGCACAATAATGTGGACAGTTATCTTCATTATCCCAGTCAGTGCAGATATGTAGAATGTTGAACCCTATTTCATTTCAAAGCACAATAATGTGGACAGCTATCTTCATTAGCCCAGTCAGTACAGAAATGTAGGATGTTAAACCCTATTTCGACGTTTATGTTGGCACAAGAAGTTTAATTGATGTTTTTTGTTACAGATCTGTAGGTACGTTTGCTAGAGCATTAGATTGTACAAGTACAGTTCGTCAACCTAGTTTACATATGAGTGCAGCAGCAGCATCCAGAGATATTTCACTGGTTAGTAACTTTATCGATATTCTTATTAAAATCCAGTCCTTCATAAAATTTTGGAGTTTGGTGGCCAAATGAGTTAACGTGTTCGAGTTGGAACATAAGGTCTATCATTGAGTCAAGTGAAATGGTTTTGATTCCCCACATATACGTGACAAGGAGTGGGGTCCCTGTCCAACCCTGTGGGTTTTCTCTGAGTCCTTTGGTTTCCTCCCACAGCTAAAAAACCCTACACCATTATGTTAGTCCCGAAATGACCTATTTTCTAACCTATCACTATTGAATGTACACTGTTGTAATAAATAAAAAAATAACTCCAAATCTCAAAATGACCATTTGTTAGTCCCAAAATAAACTATATGTTAGTCTCAAAGTAGACTATATGTTAGTCTCAAAGTAGACTATATGTTAGTCTCAAAATAAACCATATGTTGGTCTCAAAATAAACTGTTAGTCTCAAAATAAAATATCTGTTAATCTAAAAAAAACCTGTTAGTCTCACAATAAACTGTTAGTCTCACAATAAACTGTTAGTCTAAAAAAAAACTGTAGTCGCACAATAAACTATATGTTGGTCTCAAAATAAACTATATGTTAGTCTCAAAGTAAACTATATGTTAGTCTCAAAATAACTGTATGTTAGTCTCAAACTAAACTATATGTTAGTCTCAAACTAAACCATATGTTGGTTTCTAACTGTATGTTGGTCTCAAACTGAACTATATGTTGATCTCATAATAAACTGTATGTTAGTCTCAAAGTAACTATATGTTGGTCTCAAGTGACCCATATTATAGTGTTTTATTGTCAGTTGATTTTAATCATATTATGAGATGTTGTCTACTTTATTTTTCAGTTTAATGCCATGCATACATTACATAAATATTCATATGATGTAGCTAGAGCAGTGACGAGTCTGGTTCCTGATGGTGGACCTGTTCTCTGTAAAGATGAAATGGAGGAATGGTCGGCGTCAGAAGCTAATTTATTTGAAGAAGCTATAGACAAATATGGAAAAGATTTTAATGATATTAGACAAGATTTTGTAAGTAATATTTTACAGATAATGTTCTTTCCCTTTCTAGGGGGTTTGGGAGGCTGAATGGATTAACAAGTGTGCTTTGAGTTAAGTGGTATGATTCTCTGCTTGTATGTGACAAGGAGTAGGGTCACCTGTCAAACCTCATGGGTTTTCTCCAGATCCTCCGATTTCCTCCCATTGCTAAAGACCCTTAGGACTTAAGAAACATATTTTTCAAGAAATGAATTTGAATAAAGTTTTTTGTTCAGTAAAAACCTTGGTGTTTCCATTTTTTGAACACTTTAAAATTCTCTATTTGTAAAGCTATTGAGGAAGACAATAGTTAAAATTTTCCATTTGTAAAGCTATTGAGGAAGACAATAGTTTGAACCTGAGATTTTAATTAAAGATATTAAATTGTGGTTTATTAAAAGTTACTGACATATGTTTTATATTTTTTGTGATTTACAGTTACCGTGGAAATCATTAAAAAGTATTATAGAATATTATTATATGTGGAAAACAACTGATAGATATGTTCAACAAAAACGAATTAAAGCTGCTGAAGCTGAGAGTAAACTTAAACAAGTTTATATTCCTAATTAGTAAGTTATATATTGTATTAGTAAATGGGGAGGAATTCACTGGTCTTGTCTAATTACAACAAACTGACCATAAGTTTCCTCAGTACATGACAGTTTTCCTTATTATCTCAATTATTAAAATATTGAGCAGTTTACTGGAAAATAGGCGCTATATAAATACATTATTATTATTATTATTATTATTGAATAATGATTAAGACGAGAATATAAGTAAAGTTGTTATCAATGATGATATTAGTAAAGAAGTTGTTTATGTATTTCAGCAATAAACCCAATCCTGCTTTATTAACTGGTAAACTAAATGGAGATCAGATGACAGGTAGAGCCTGTGAAAGTTGTTATTGTAAGTATCTATCTATATATACACTGTAGAAATCTCTAGTCTCTCCAAACACACACAGCTATTTAAATACAAATACTTTTTAAAATCTATGACAACTCAGTTTTTCAAAGTAAAAATAATGGAATACTTTAATTATTAGATTTTCTGTTATTAACATTGTGACCTGTTAAATGAATCGGAATGCTGCAGCACCTGAATCTTGATTGTTATAATACACATATATGTAGATATATTTTGTATTATTTAAATATGTAAAAATTTGGTATTTCAGCTTCTCATTCTAATTTATGGTATTCATGGGGACCAAGTCATTTACAATGTAGACTTTGTTCTTCGTGTTGGTCGTACTGGAAAAAATATGGTGGACTTAAGATGCCAACAAGATTAGGTAAGTCCATATCCACCTGTACAGTGAAAGTATTAACTTTAGTATTAATTTAGAATTTTTAACAGTTTCAACTCCTCCTCTTGTAGTTAACTCGATAAAGGCCAGGATACCATCCCTTACTGTAAATAAAGTTGATTGCCAACTAAATTAAGAAGTATAATTTTCAAATATTCCTTTTTTAAGTTACAATAAGTTAATACATGGCCATACTACAGTTTGTTGAACTTTATGTAAAGACTGCATGCTGTATGTTTTTATAAATATAAATGTTGTATTAGTTTTAATGATTCGTACTTTTATCTATAGATGGTGAGAGACCTGCACCAAATGCAAGAACTGGTCAGTTTAGTAAGTAAAGCACTATTTAAATTGCAAGAAAAAATATTTTAAAAACAAAAAAAAATACCTATTATTTGGAACAAATGTGGTCTAAGGGGAGATAACTCTTTATGATATACAAGATCAGGACATAACTGTATTTCTTTGTATTTTGTAGCATTTACTGACAGACCTTCTGCTTTGAATATCATGAGAACACATAGATGTACTATAGCTGGATGTGGAAAAGTGAGTTTAAAATATTTTTAATGGAAAGATTTATAAGTTTAATATTAACAAATGGTCAGTCAGTAAAAAAAGAACTAAAGCACATGCTTATTAATCCTGGAAAGGAAAAATTGAAATAGCATTCATTTTGTGGAAAATTTATGTGACACTATCAAATTAAATATTCAGTTTATAGTTTTGATATAAGATTTATTTACATGTCGCTAATTTTTTTTATTTTATTTTTTTCCCAAGGAATTCAAGTTAAAAACTCATCTGGCACGTCATTTAGCAACAGCCCATGGATTAGCTATCAGGCCAGGTAGTCCTAAACCAGTGATGAAAACGCGAGCAGCTTTCTGTCTGGTTACGACAGCCTTAACCCGTTTATCTCGAAGATTATGTAAAGATATTTTAAGACCAAAACATGCAGCTCGTTTGCCTTTTGTACCCATCAATATAGCAGCCATCAAACAAGAATGTAAGTGAAGATTTGTTTATCATTATTAAATTACTCCACCACAAAATTGGTGTGTGAAAAAGAAAGTAGATCTAAGCAGGAATCTAAGAATAGATTCAGATCTAAATCAGGGACCTGGTTTCAGTCATATTTTTCAAATTAACCATCTGGAGAATTTATCTGTCAATTTAGAAGATCAGAATTTAAAATAATTTATCCTTAAAACATATCCAATGCAGTTAAATATATAGTTTGATGTGTAAAAAAACTAAAAAATTGGTATAGAAATTGATATAATGTTAAGAAGATTGTCATATTTTGAAATACTATCTGAGGTACGTCAAAAATTGGCCGACTGACAAGATTTTGAAATGAAAACCCTGATATGATATATGTGGGTATCAGATTGTGGTAAAAGAATATTACAATATTCCTTTAATATAAATGTAAATTATTTCAGCCTTAAGAATTTATCATGAAAAATTAGTAATAATCCTGTTAATATTTCTATTTAAACAGGTCAGTTAAGGTTAGAGGAAGGAGGGAAATATGTTCCGAATATCCGATACCGAAAAAATATCTCCTTGGAACCTGTTTTATCTAGATTAGGGATTGACATTCGACAAGAAAAACCTGCAATACTCGGACGTCATGGCACTAAGGGTAATTATTTTTTTATTAATTAATGTTTTAATTTTACAGTACATAAAAACATTTATTTATTCTAAAGCAATTTTTTGTGTCATCAGAGATAAAACAAAAAATTGTTCTGGCTCCAAGTTCACAAAGCATTCTCAGATTTAAGTTAAGAATTAATCAAAATTGTTTGCCTTATTTTAACTAAAATATAGCCTTTTATAAAACTTTTGTTGTTTTAATGTATCAAATACATTTTTTGTTTCTGAATCAAAGATATTTCTTATAAACAGTGATTGAAAGTTGAGTAAATTCTCAACTTCAGTCTGAGAATGCATTGTGAACTTGGGGCCTGATAATGATTACACACATCACCATAACAACAGCATTGATGTAGATTCCATTCCCTGATCAACATTTCTTTATTTATACATGTTCAGGTAAGCCAAATGAACGAGTTGTTGACAGCCAAAAAGTAACCAGTGGTCATCCTTCCATCATGAGAAAACGAGGCTATGAACAAAGTAATGGTGTTGATGGTGAGTTCAATTCACTGCAATATAAAAGGATTAATAAAATTTGTGTATCGACTCTGGAGCAGATTGTTACTTATCTGTCATTTTAACAAATTATAAGATAATAGATTGTTGTGAAAGTCGAATCTTGAAATAGTATTGATTTAATAAAAATACAAGAAATGTTAATGAATGAATAAATGTGGTATTTTCTTGAATATCTCATCCATTACTATTCATAATTAATGGAGATTTCTTCTCTGAATGTTGCAAATATAGCCATACCATCAACGATTTGGATAATTACCTGTATCTAAAATGCCATAAATTTTCCCAAACACCTTTAACGTCATAACGACCAAACCTTTATAAGGAGTATGTACTCCTCTACACCTAATATACATTTCATTATACTGACTGGCTAGGCAGGGTAACTACATGTACGCCAAAATGCCTGATCGATTCATAATTAAATAAAGGCTCTCTTGAAACTTGTCATTGGACATTTTATCATTACAGGAACATACCCAACCCTAGACCTCATACATGGGTCATTTTCACCTTTGAATTCACATAGTGTTTTGCAATCCACACATTACGTCTCTTTTCTTTCCACAACCCTCAGTCACACATACATAATGCATCATTTTCAAATTCACCGTTTTTTGAATCACACATTTATGATTTATAAACATTAGATAATATTTAAAAAAATATTTTAATGCTATTCGTCAACCAAATAGTGAATTTGGAGTTCTGAAGTTTTTTTGTTTTCTTTTTTTAAAAAATGACCACAAATTCTTAAAATTGAGATGAACAAGTATTTTCTTGCAACTGATGATAATGTTTTGTCATCTATTTTAATATTAAATTCTATTGTTTAAGGTCCAGCTTCTAAAAGACCCAATATGAGTGGTATCAAATTACCCGGACTTCCTATGAAAGGATTAGGACCTCTGGTAAGTTGTTTACAGTGATTGTGATTTAGTACCAACAGATCTCTTTAATGTAATAGCCTCGGGCTAGTTTTATGAGAGGTTTATGGTGACTCGTAAATCAGTGGGTAATCTTGGTTGGTCTAGTTGTGGCAACAACAATAGTATTTGGATACAAACCCCTGTGGAGAGATGTAGTGACTAGGATACTACTGTTGAATGTAGTAAAGGAAGTATTTTATTAATGTCTGTAATGTGATCCTGATTTTAATCTTTTCTGTGTTTTAATAACCTTACGTATCAATTAATTAGGGCATAAATAAACAAATTCTCATCTTTTTAAAGTTAGGATTTCTTTATTAAATTAAATTAAATGAATAAGACCCCCTAAAATTGTACAAATTATGAAATCTTTAAGAAAATTTTAAAGAAAATTATAAATTTTATGTGATTTCTCTCTCCAGAGGAATTCCATTGAACTTGGTATTGGTATGAATCGAAGAAACAAGGTTAGAGTTGCACGAGGAAATAGAACCCCCATGATTAGTTGGATAGACGCACCGGATGACGTGTACTTTCTAGCTACTGATGCTACTAGGTAATTTCATTTCTCATAAACTTAATATAATAAGTCTTTTCCCCACCTTTATTTATAGACTACACTTTCTCCTCCGTTTGCTTTTTAATATCATTCTTAGGTTAGCCTTGCTATTATCCATATTTTTTCGGTGCGCTCCTAATTAGTTCGCTTTTTTCCTTACTAAAAGGGTTCATTTTAAGTTAAAGCTTGAAATTAATTTTGTTTTTCTCGCAATAATATCCCCTTTAAATTTAAAGAGCATGCTTTTGTCAAGTCTACTAAGTTTGATATTAAGTCGTTAATATTCGATGTTGTGACACGTTGATTTATGGTTGTGGTTCTGTTAAGCGTTTTATATAAACTGTCAGCTGTTTCTAGGGTTGTTATGACAGGTCTGTGTAGTATTCTCTGCCTTATTGTAATAATAAGATATGAAGTTCTGATATTGAAAATACTAAAGGCATAATCACACTAGAGGATCGATCCTTTAAGATAAATCCTAGCAAGAGTTTTAAATAATAAGTCCTGTATCTTATTATTGTTTGCTTTGGCCAGTTTTTTTTTGTTTTTTTTATGTCGGCCATTTTGAGAAGTAGTTTGTATGACAAATCCTACTTGAACAGGACTTGTATACTTTAGGATTGACCTGTAGGCCCAAAAATCTGTTAACTAGGACAAATCTGACAGTTCACAGAAAAGGATTTGACCCATAGACATCACACCTCAAGATAAATCCACTAGTGTGACTTGGCCTTCAGACTCATGTGTTCATTGTGTATCTTCGTTTCATCTTTCTGTTGCATTTGTCACTCATACAATACAAACGACGGCTTATTTATCATTTCATACTGTATAAAAAAATATTATTCTATATTTTAAGGAAATTGAGGAAAAAGGTAACTCAAATGGATCATAAGAGAGCTGGTCGTAATCCGTGGCGACGTCTGTTACTCAAACCAGAAGTGGTAGTGTTAGATTGAATATAGTTAGAACAGACGGTAATCATCCAGTATCAAAAATGGGAATCAACACAAATCTATGTTTATGATGTGCTAAATAATCTGGCCATAGATCCAGATTCCGCGTGTGGTTGGTGCATGGTTTATTAATCAGCGATGTTCTCGCATGTGTCAAATTAACAACTGTGTTAGTCACATTAAAAAGCCACTTTATTGTTATCAAGCACACTAATATCAAAGAGTTCTGTATAATTTATACAAAGTTTATCATCAGTAATGACATTCAACAGATCGTTACTGTTTCTTCATCAAAAACAACCAACAAATATGTCTAGAAATAAAGTGATCATTTCCAAATATCTTTCTTACTACAAAAAAAAAAAATATAACCATCGATTTGGTTTCACATCTCAGTGAAATATTAATTTATCATTTGCTCATTGAAGAGCTAGAAACAGTTGGGAAGGAATATTATTTTTACACTACGCAAATGTTCATGTTGTTATCATGTGACAGGTTTATCATACTGATTGGTTGAAGGGGGTAATTATTGAACTAATCAGAGACAGCATAGCTACATAAATTCCAGTTCCATTTCTGTCTTATTATTTTTGTGGTGTTTTTTTTTAAGAAATCCAGAAAAATTCTGATCAATTATTGTTTGACTCTTGTTTCTATAATTATTTACACCTATATTCCAGAAAACTGACGAGGCCTAAATAAGAGTTCATCTTGACCATAGTAAACCAACTCTGGTTAGTCCTAGTCAGTATTCTTGGAATAAAAAAAATCACCAAATTGACTGAATCTAGAAGCCACGGGACAAAGGTCTTAATTTTGAAAATCATTTTTTTCTTTGATGATTTAACAAATGAAATTTGAATAAATAAAAATTGAAAGATCGAAGTTTTCAAGAATAAGGCCTTTGTTCTATTTATTTATAGTGGAAATATAATGCAATGAAATTTTTACTTTTTTTTTTTTGTGACAGGGGTTGATTGTTGGATACTGAAATAGATTTACTATTTTTATAGATTGTACAAAAAAAAAAACTAAACAAAATTATTGTGAAATGAAGTTGTTTTAAAATGTGTCTTCCATATTTGCGATGTCAGTGTAAATTGAAGTGTAGCTAGTATAAACTTTTGTCTTTATAATTTGTATTGTTTTACAAGCCTGAATCATGTTAACATTAGAAATAGTATTTATATTTTCATAAACGACCTTATCCAACCTTTACGTATTACTCTTTCTCTCTCCGCTTTTTGATGTTTTTATGTTTTTATTAAGGAAACTCTTTTGTTTATTCACATGTTTTTTGGGTACAAAGCTCTTGAACACTAAACTGACTAATGCTGTGTTGTCCATCGCATATTGTACAATTTCATCAGTAGATTATTGTAAATATTTTAGCATCATTGTCTGTTGTGTATTTTTTGTTGCTATGACAATTGTATAGAATTATGTACAGTTGTTTTATTTTATTTTTTTTTTTGGTAAATTTATTTTCTTTTTCTTTTGCCGCAATCAAAACTGTCTTGAAATACTATAGTATTATACAGGCCCACAAGCCGTCAGTTGAAGTAGGTTTAGTTTATGAGAAAGTTGATAATGAATTTTGATATTCCTTGCTAGCATGTCATTTTATGACAATCTCCTATTTTGTCAACAATTTATTTCCTACTAATTTCTGCAACATGTACTATTTCTCAATAAAGTCAATGGCCTGAAATCGGGGTTGAGTTTTTTTTCTTGTTCCACATACTAGTTTCAGTTTGTACCTGATAAAATGTTAGGCACTACTTTGAACTGTGTGTGACAGGTATTAAGGGGAGGCACTGCTTGACAATATGAATTTTAAAATAACTTATTTCTAATAGTGATATCAGTATGAAATTTTCAGGAATTGTTCAAATGATTCTTTATAAGTTGAAAATTAAATTCTGCATTTCCATGGTAACCAATAAAGCAAATTACCCCCCCCCCCCCCAAAAAAAACAAAAACTGCTTCTTAGCCTTATTTTGGCTATTTGAATAATTCCTGAACATTTAATGTGTTGATAGCACTATTAAGAATGAGTTATTTTAAAAATGTTATTGTCGAGCTGTGAATCTCTTTAATACAATCAATATAACACTGAAAAATACCCCAAAAAATCTGTGTTGAACTGGACAAAATGATAGGTACCAGATGGCCAGACAAAGTCTGAATTGGTGTCTGATGATGATGCCTTGTTTCCAGGGTCCTTATTCATAAAAACTTCTAAAATATTTTAAGAAAGCGACATCTCCATTGCTTGAACAGGCATTATGCAAGAGCTAAATCTGCCTTTTGCAGGTTTTTCCTTAGGCCTTAAATGTTATATAAACTATAAATTAATATGAACGTTTGATGCCATCAAATGCCTCCAATGTTAAGTAGATTTAAATACGTTTTGGGATTACCTTAACAACTGTAGCGTTGACCGTCAAGGCTGGACTGGAATAGTATGGCCAATATCTAGACTGAGTGAATTAACTTGACTGAAATTTTCAACATATTCCATTTTATCTAATCTTACCTAATGCTGCTTTAAGAGCTGAAATTTGTACAACGATTTTAACCTTTAACCAATGAAAAGAGCTTCCCCCTTAAAATAGTTCAATTTCAGTTTTTAAGAATAAGGCCCAGTGGCTGATTTTTATGGGGGACATTAGAAAGATATGAATTCTATTGAGTAGTAGATTATTATATTTTTTTAAGCAACATACTGTGGAAATATACACTTTTTTTTAATGACTTTGTTGTCATTTATCACTGTCTAAAAATAATGTGACGACATTCTCAGCAGAAAACATAAATAAATTTCAAATGTAGACACCAGGTTACCATAGTTTCTTGTCTAGAAGCAATAATAATTTATTTATTATACACGACAAACTTCCTGGGAGACATCGACAAACTTCCTGGGAGACATCGTGGCGCGGTCAGTATGGTGCTGAATCACTAACCAGATCTTGGGTTTGATTGAAGTGTTAGCAGAGAAAGTTATTCAGGAATTTCCAGCCTGCTTTCGCCCTGGATAGATGGCCTGGCAAGAAAAAGCGGCAAGTCGTGTGTATACCACTCACAGCTTCTATAAGATATCTGGACAGTTGACAATCGAAATAAGAGTAGGCAACATGTCATCGAGACATTTTAGACATTGGTATTACTTACAATGAAAGAATCTGGATACATCCACCTTTATTCTGATTGGGAACCATGGTGGCTCTGTGAGTAAGATGTAAGGTCCGTGTTCAATCCCTGTGTTTACCCAAGATGAATGGTACGAAATAAGATAGATGTATAACAGAAATGAGAAAAACACTTATTTGTTTGAAGTTCTTAGAACATTATACAAAAAATATGAAAATATATACAATCAAAAAACATTTCTTGTATACACTTCTCTTAAACATCTATGAAATTTACATTTTTTACCATGGATCAACAGTTTCATATATAAATACAAGATGTTTTAACTCCTAACAATCAATCGGAACGAGCCACATGCATGCGACTGGTTCCTCTCACAAGTTTCCTAGAAAACATTTATCTGCAATATGACCCTAGGTAGAAGCGGACATTATTCCCAACCCTCTTAACAACACTAAATTAGCATTTTCAGTTCTTCAGTATCACTCTAAATAGCCTCAGATTAGTGAATTTGCTTGGTTTAATTTCAAAACTTCAAAATTCAAAATAGTAAGCAAAAGCTAAAGAAGTAAAACCTATTAAGATTTTGAATACAATTACAAATTTCAAATTATTTTTCTGATTTTAATGTTGTGTCAGACGCTGAAATCTAGCCTGTTGTTGTTGTCGTAATATCATATCATCGTAAGATTTCACAGTTAAAGTTTCTTTTGGTCCCGTATTCCATGTGGCTCCATTTTCATCAATAATGGCTGCCTCAATTGTTATTCCGTGAATACCAAGTGCTGGGAACGGTAGCAGGAAGTTTACACAGAAATAGTCATTGTGAGGTTCAACTGTCCTTGTGAAAAACTGAGAGGTTGCTTCATTCATCTTAAATGTAATTAAAAAACAGTTACATAAGATAAATGTATATGAAAAATAATTAATATTTTGACATGCTAAGCATACAAATTATCTCCCTTGACATACTTATTCTAAACCGTCTGCATTTTTCATATAATTTCTACATATTGAGAAATTTACACATGAATTTTAAATAAAAAAGGTCATGTTTTATTACGAATCACCAAATTGTAGCATTCTTTGGTCATTCATATTGGTTTTGGGAATATCCAATAATATAACCATATTGTTGCTCTGGATTCAAAAGGTTGTATTCGTTTTATGCCAAATTGTTTAGGAGAGTCATAATATTGTACAAAACGTCCAGTCAAAATCTTTGGTAAGTCCCATTTTCATTCAATATCTAAATACCCACATACAATATCTTGAAACAATGTCTATAAAACCACATTTTAATGTCTTAGAAAAACAATCACTTGACGAGAATATGTGCAAGAAAATTCTGATTCTGAGAAAGCAAAAATGTGAATTTTATAAAATATGCCATATACAACCTTTTGACTCCTCACAGTCCATCTGCTAAGTGGGTCACATTCCATACCCAACAGTTTCATGGCATGCAAAAAATCAATTAAACTGAAATATTGATCATGTAATTCTCACCTTGTTATTTGAACTTGTAGCTGAACTACGACTTTGTAAATTAGTTTTAGCTGTAATAGTTACACATTCAACTTGTCTATATAAACTATCATTATGTTGTATAACCCCTTCTACCTTTAATGTCATATGAGTATCACATCGAATAGAGATAGGTTCTTGATGTATATTTTGTTGTGGTGAAACTGCCAACTGTAAATAAAAACACATCGTATCTATGAAAACTAACACATTTTTAATATTTATTTCTATGTCAAGAACTAGGTAAGAATTGTTGTTTTTAATTAAATGTTAAAGTCTTTGGATGTTAATTAAGAAATGAAATGAAATGAAATGGAGTTTAACGTCCTACTGTTCTGCTCCTAACCTGGGCTAATGAAGACGGGCATACGCCATACAGTGTGCTATGAGGGAAATTTTGCCCGGACAGCGGCACTACGGCCTACTCTTATATTGAATTCCAACTGCCAAGGGATCTTTTATGTGCACGCCAATGTGTACACAGGACCTCGGTTTTTCGTCCCATCCGAACGACTAGACAGCTTTCCTTGTCAGCCCCTCCGTCCTGCATCACTGACAAGAGAGAACCACGCCGGAAAATCTGGATGAACTTTCTCGGCCAATGCAGGGATCGAATACCCGACCTCCAGGCTAGCGAGCTAGCGTCTTACCCACTTAGCCACGTGATCCCCTATGTTAAATTAAGGGATGGGGGAAACTCAATCAGATTAAAATACAGGTCTATATGTTTTTTTTATACTTTCGATGGCCTACACTACATGAAGATCTGACGAGGTCGTACGAAAGGCTTTTGACCCTATGATGTCAGACATTGATTAATCAATCAGCGTTGACGTTTCTAGTGGTTTACCCACAGTTCCATGCATCGCACGCCAAGAAGTCCCCATAACAGATGGTTTCATTGGCTAATCCCTCAAGCTATCCAGAACGCAGGTTATATAACAACTTTTCCAGATCCTAGTGTAGTACAGACAAATAAAACGAAACTTTGAACTAAAAAATGAAACAAAATAGGATCTGGGGGGAAACTATTACATGAAATTTTCCTCAGTTGACAAAAGAATAAGAGGTATTTGTGGTGACAGGGATATATTTGAAAGAAAGAAGCAGGTTTAGAATGAGAATTACCTTGACAGCTGTTGATTGTAAAGATTGGAAGAAGTATCTAGGATAAGGATGAGATGCTTGTAACATTAATTTAGCTGATGATGATAAAAACTCAATCTGGAAATAGTCAATTATAAATTAAAGATCTGTATTTTCTGTTCTACACCGCTATGATTAAAGCAAGTATTGCTTATTAATATTTTGTCTTTGTACACTTAATTTATGAATGAGCATAACTTCTTATGTTTTCATAGTAAATAGTAATAAATCAGAGCCATCTGTGATAAATTTTAGCTTTCTCTTATACTGATATCATAGCCATACTATATGGACTCATTTCCTCTGATTTCATGAATGTAGCTAATCTATTTATGGCAATTCCTTTTTTTCCCCTTTGTATGTCAATTTTAACTTTTTGGTCAAGAATTAATGAAGTTGCTTTAAATTTATATTTTCTGCCAGGTTTTATTAATATAATATTCATGATATTGTGGCTGAAAGATCAAGATGTAAACAATCTTCTAGTGAGGAAATTACCACAAAGTCTGCAGATTCCTTTGACTGCGTGTATAGAAAAATATTGAGATGTTCACAAGTGCCCTGCAGATTTTAATCAGATAAATATAACATGTTGGGCTCTGTATGGTTATAAAGATCAAGATCATCGGAAAGTTCAAAATAATGTCATAAGCCATATATTGGAGTCATTGGGGAAAGAATTACGTCTTGAGTCCATATTGCGGATGTTAGTGAGACCTGAGCATATTACACAAGTAAATAAACAAGCCTTCTAAGAGTATTGCTGTCCCCTACTGACCCCCACCATCTTTTACAATACATACATTTATAAGAGCTTAATACCATGGGTTCCATGTCAGCCGTATATGCCGGTCAAGATCGAGGGCTATGGAAAATGACTGAAACTAGATTTGACTCAGTCTGCCAACCTTCAGTCATTTAACTTAAAGTTTAACCCAAAGCACCTCTGGAAAACAGAATTTTCATTTACTTTTAACGGAACCCCACAGAACACAAATTTGATCGGTAACTCAACTATATACAGAACTGAAAGTTTACTAAAAACAAATCTGGACAAGAAAAATGGCGAAGACAAAAGCAACAGTTTCCTCTGGTTTCAATGGTAGGAGACTAATAAAGGGATTAAAAATAGTGCGGTGATATATTACCTTACTAGTCATATCCGATATAGGTGTTGTATGTAAGGTAGTATCCAGATTAATAGAGATTTGTTGTAAAGCTAATCTAATTGATCCATCTAAATCTTTATCACTTGTTTGATGCATTTTTCTTCTTTCTCCTAATAAACCAGCTCTAAAATATAAGCGAGAGAGAAATGGGGTTTAACGTCCACTCAACACAAACTAAGTCATTTCTGGGCTATAAAATGGTTCAATTAAATTTCAATAATTCGCTTGCACGTGCGTATGGGTCTTTAGCTGTGGGAGGAAACCGGAGGACCTGGAGAAAACCCACGAGGTTGGACAGGCGACCCTACTCCTTGTCATGTACCATCGGGGAATCGAAACCTCGCCAGTTGACTCAAATGACAGACCTTATGATACAGCGTGCATGTGCTAACCATTCGGCCATCCACCCCCCTGTAAAATTTAAAGTGGAATGGATGAAATTTGTGTCCTGAAATGACAGCAGACAAACCACTAACTCTGGTCAGTTGGATTACACCATAAATAAATTCTTGTTTTATATGAAATAATAAATTGGCTTCTACATTTACTCTAACTACTAATTTGACTTAGTACATCAAATAAAACTATGATATTCATCAAGTTATTTCCATGAATTACTGATTCACTTGACATTACTCACCCTGTATGTACTAAAGATACTATTGTAGTTATACTAGATTTAATCACATCACAGCTCTGCTGTAATCTTTAGAATGTTAAAGGAAATAAGTTCCGGTAAAAACTAAATATACATGAGGCTTTAATATTCTACCATATTAAAGTCACAAGGCTTCAAAATTCTACCATATTAATGTCACAAACAGAAGCATAACATAATTAAATTAATTCAGCAAGCATAGGATTAAACTTCCAACATTTCAATTTGTCAGAAAGATACGATACGATCTACAACAAATGTTTTAGATTGTCATTCCTAACCTCTACTCTAACCCTCGCACTACCAATTGATCTACAACAAATGTTTCAGATTGCTATCCCTACCCTAACCCTACCCCCATCAATTGTTTTATGTAGAAATAAAGGATACATATCAACATTTTGTAGTGAGAGAGGATCAGCATCAAATGATGACCAGTGTAGCTCAGATATCTTAACACTTAATTCTTCATATTCCTGAACACATTTCTCCAACTGAAACACATAAAATACAACAACTAATATTCCTGAACACATTTCTCTAACTGAAACACATAAAATACAACAACTAATATTCCTGAACATATTTCTCATAAAATACTACTATTATTCTTTTGGGTCAAATCAACAGATAGAAATGGGGTTTAATGTCAACTTGATACAAACTAGGTCATTTTGGGACTAACACATGGTTCAATTTTATTTCAATAATTTGCTTAAGAGTAAGGGTCTTTAGGAGTGGGAGGAAACTGGAGGGCCCAGAGAAAACCTACAACATTGTAGTTTATAAAGGAATTCAAAATCTTTGAATTTTGATTAGCAACCTTAAAGAAAAAAAGGCACAAAACAGAAAAAATAACTAAATATAAAAGTTTTATACCTGTCCTATAATTTGACTCCATCTAGCACTATCTTGACCATTAGTAGCAGCAAGAGCAGAAGCAATAGCTGGTGGTGGTGATGTACGGAATGTATTACATGTTAACAGTAACTGTTGATGAGCCTGTAGTAGTTGTATACGAACACTGATATATTCTATAGGAAACTTGAGAGAAAAACTTTGATTACTGCCAGCCTGAAATAAAAGAGAGAGGGAGAGTTTAACTTCCACTCAACACAAAGTAGGTCAAATCAGGACTGGAGAGAGAGAGAAATGGGGCTTAACGTCCACTCAACACAAACTAGGTAATTTCGGGACTAACATATGGTTTAATTTTATTTCAATAATTCGCTTGCGTGTAGGGGTCTTTAGCAGTGGGAGGAAACCGGAGGACCCGGAGAAAACCCATGAGGTTGGACAGGCGACCCTACTCCTTGTCACGTACAACCGGGGATTCGAAACCACGCCAGTTGACTCAATGACAGGCCACCCCCCCCCCCACCTGGAGGAAACCTGAAGACTCTGAGAAACCCTACGAGGTTGGACAGACAACGCTACTACTTGTCAGTTGACCCAATGACAGATTTTATGACGCGTAAGACAGAGAAGAACCTTCAGGATTTTTAAAATGAAATGAAATGTGGCTTAACGTCCTACTGTTCTGCTCCAGCTGGGCTAACGAAAACAGGCATACACCACACAGTGTGCCATGAGGGAAATTTTGCCGAACAGTGGTGTTACACTCTAATATCAAATTCCATCTGCGAGAGGATCTTTTACGTGCACACAAATGTGTACACAGGGCATTTTTAAAGCCGGGGCTAACAAGTAAAGTGTGCCCAGGCATTTGTATGGTATGAAATACTACCAATCCCTGTGTGCACACTGGCATACAAATCAAAGAAGCCTTCTTGGTGGATTCAATTTGAAGAAATGTAGTTAAAAAAGCAGCTGTCACAGCAAAATTCTCTTCAACACATTACACTGCTGAAACAAAAATAACCATGCTTGTCTCAAAATACAATCCTAGAAATGTGCCTCACTTTGTTTAATTTCTGCCCTATTTTGTCTTCAAAGAAATTCTAAGCAGTAGACTACAAAATAAAATCACCTTTAGAGCTACAAGAGCTTTCTGATAAAGTTCTAGGGCATCAGAAGAACATTTAAGTAGATTAGAGTTATCGGCCTTGACTGAATTTATCTTTGTTTCAATCTGACAAAGAAATTCTAAAGCTGTTAACCAGTAGTACAGGTTCTCAGATGCTATCTGTAAATAAACATAATAAAATCAAGAATCTAATCAAACCAAAACAGTTTAATTATCATTAGACCTTACTTTCATTACTCATAAGAAAGGTCTAATAACATCTGTATGGAGTTTGTATTCTACTGACAATACCTGGCATTTCATTTAGCCAATAAACCAAGACGGTGGCTTGGGCATTGACTTGAGAACAGAGAATTGATATATAAGCAGTTAGACCATATAAAAAAGACAGCCTGGTTCTCAGATATCATTGTGTCCCTTTTTATTTACAAAAGCAAAAAATATAAACATTCTCATTAATTATGCATAAATCTGGCTATTGCATGTCTTTCTTTAGGCCTTAAATGCAATCTGATTAAATCACAGATTCTATTTCGTTTCCTTTTTTAATGTTCAAAATTTCATTTTACTTGTCTTTACTACACTAGGATCTGGAAGAGTTGTTATATAACCACTGTTATGTTTCAGATGGCTAAATGTCACTAAAGGATTATAATTCAAAAATGGCTGTAAAATAGAAACACTTCACTAGAAGGACATAATCTATGATAATGAAGTATAAACATTCTTACTTCTTTCTTCAACTGATGGAGCAATATTTCCGCTATTCCACACTGGCTATACCTCATGGCCTGACGAACAATTTTATAAGCAAACCAGTGATTGGATGAATCTACTGACTGAAGAATAAGATCTTTGATTTGATTGGGTATTATAGCTCCTCTAGCAGCTTGGAACAACAAAGTACATAAGAAAACCTGAAAACAAAACAATGGTATATTTTAAATATTTCATATACTAAAGATACCACTAGTTTCTATAAATAGATAATTACCCGTTTATTACTGATATCACTAGCTTTTATTGACTGTGTATAATATATAATTACCTGTGTATTACTGATATGACTAGCTTCTATTGACTGTGTATAATATAAAAGTGTATTACTGATATCACTAGTTTCTATTGACTGTGTATAATATATAATAATTACCCTTGTATTACTATCACTAGTTTCTATTGACTGTGTATAATATATAATTACCTGTGTATTACTGATATCACTAGTTTCTATTGACTGTGATAAATAAGATAATATACTCGGTACAGCTCCCTGTAAATTCTGACTATTATCATCTCCTACAGCAGCTAAACTTTCACATAATAACTCAGCATGTTTACCTGGTAGTAATAAAACAGTTTAATACAATTAACTAATTATAAACATGTAGTTGGTAGCAGGACAATTGGTAGCCTATTCTTATTTCAAATTCCAACTGTCAAGGGTTCTTTTACGTGCACACCAATGTATATACACAGACCTCGGTGTAGTTGGGAGCAGGAAATTTGTAGGCAGGACAACTGTTGGATGAACAATTACTGGCCATTTCTTCAATTTTTTTAGGTCAGTTTATTAAATAATGTATAACAAAACATAACAACATAACATTACCGACAGTTGTCCAAGATCCATGTAGTTATCGGTTTTAGAGTTTCAACAATTAAATTATCAAAATTTTGACCAGATTGGTGTTTTCTATTTATTGAAAGAGAATATGTCAAAGAGACATAAGAACGTAGTATTGGATTGACTTTTCAAGAAACAGCAAGCATACTCTGCTTAAGAAACAAATATGGTATAAATTTTTACCTTGTGCTTGAGGTAGTAGATTGGCCATGGTTTCAACAAAAGAACAACAATATTGTGGTGAAGCTTGACAAACCTGAACAGCACACTGAAGACTCAGCTGTAATAATGTTATAATATATTACATAAAAACAGAAACAATTTCAGATAATCGCTCTTAATTCAGCTAAAATCATACTTTTGACAAATCTTAGTACCAATGGGCTCTAGTATTTTTGCCTTTTGGAATTATAGTGTATTGGTTATTCCTCATAATACTTGCTGAGTTATTGCTATTACAAGAACAGTGTAGCCGCGAATGTCATTGCTACCATTGTTAAGATAATAACCAAAGTCTCGATTAACCATTTTTAAATCAAATCATTGAATGGCCGAACCGTTCTAATCTGCTTCAAATCGGAGCCATCCGATGGCATCAAGAGTTGATTTCATGTTAATAAATGTCTAATTAATTAATAAATTAGATAACATTTAAGACCTAAAGAAAGACCAGTGATTGCAGGATTTAGCTCTTGCGTATGTGAAGTGGGATTATGTAAGAAACATAATATTATTTTTTTATATGGCCTTGCTTACCTTTAACTCTTTTAAAGGACATTTTTCATTACTTATAAGTAAAATAAGATGTGTCTGTATCATTGTAATTTCCTCTGATATTTCATTATTTAACCCTACAATAAAACAAAATACATCTCAATATTCATAAAGATAAAGAAATGAAATATATTCATAAAGGTAAAGAAATGAAATATATTCATAAAGGTAAAGAAATGAAATATATTCATAAAGGTAGAGAAATGAATCTATTCATAAAGGAAAAGAAATGAAATCAGGTTTTATATCTTACTTTTTGAGATCAACTGGGCTAATGAAGGCAGACATTTTGCCCAAACACTGGTGCTTACAGCCTACTTTATTTTTGATTACCAACTGCCAATGGTATAATAGACAGGGCCTCATTTTATTTACAATCCGAAAGACTAGACACTTTTCCTTGCCAAGCCTTCCATCCTAACACCACAGACAAGGAGAAAACAGTGTGGAAAATTCTGAAAAACATTCTGGTTAGCGAACTAGAACCATACTCATCAAGCCACAATGGCTCCTATTTACAAAGGGCAAAAGTGTTCTTACATTTGATGGACAACAATAATGTTCTAGGAAATAATATTACAGCTGACCTAGTATAACCCAACATCTCAAGATTAATATTAGTTATTTTCATGTTGATATAATGTAATTTCTGTAATTTTTATAAATTACTACTCACGTCCAGATTTAGCTAATACGGTCATCAGCTGTACTGTTCTAGTGGATAATGTTAGGTTGTCATGGTAACAATATTCTTGACAAACTGCTTTTAGCTTGGCTTCTGAAATCCAAATTAATTATTAACATATAAATTGGAAACAAAAAGAGAAATTTGAATGGTTGAATGTTTTGTTCTATAATGTGTCTTTCTAGGTATATGCCATGTTCCTGAAGCATCAACCGTGAGTTTTATAACATCTAGCCGTTGTCACATTAGTCAAAATTGCTGAACTTATAGGTAGGTTATTGCCCTTTACAGCAGACACATGAACAATAGCATTGTCCAATCAGGTTGTTACACAAACACACTCAAATCTAACACGGTGACCTCAATGGAAACCTTGACATTGAATGAACCTTGAACTTTGCAACTTGATTATCAAGTGCAAGACTTGGTATTCGTGATAATATTTTCTATCAAGGAATCTGAGATACCCCAGCTCAGTCAGTAGCCAATCAAAATTAGTGACAAAATATGCAGGATATTAAGTGAAGGGCTTGATTAGATGTATGGATAAATCAATCATAAGAATCCATTGAAATAAACTCTTGCATAATAAAGACAATTAACAATACATAGAATTCCTGCTAATGAGAGAACTTGTGCCTCAAAATGTAGTGGTCTCACTGATTAAATTAACTAAAATTCTTCACCTCTATATACATATACAAAATTTGAGTTAAAAATAATAATCCCTCCACAAATATAATGACGCTTTTTTGAATACATGAGTAATTATAATTTATCTTACCTGGAAGTATTGGTATAAGTTGAACTGCTACAGAATTACAGATTGTATTTAATACATTTACAGCAAATATCTTTAATCTTATAGATGGTGTACACATCATAAAATCACTTATAGACTGAAAACAGAACAAATATCTTTAATCTTATAGATGGTGTATACATCATAAAATTACTTATAGACTGAAAACAGAACAAATATCTTTAATCTTATAGATGGTGTATACATCATAAAATCACTTATAGACTGAAAACAGAACAAATATCTTTAATCTTATAGATGGTGTATACATCATAAAATTACTTATAGACTGAAAACAGAACACATATCTTTAATCTTATAGATGGTGTATACATCATAAAATCACTTATAGACTGAAAACAGAACAAATATCTTTAATCTTATAGATGGTGTATACATCATAAAATTACTTATAGACTGAAAACAAATATCCTTAATCTATCAATAGGATTAAAGATGTAGAGGTCGTACATAGTGAAAGGTGTAAAAGAACAAAGAAATGAAACAGATTCGAACATCCAACTTTTCCACACTAATTTTGCTTTTCATCAAATTCCATCGATAAAGGGTTCTTGTAGGTGCATGTCTACGAATACATAGGTAGACTTCTGTTTTGTATGTCATTCGAATGATTTGACATTCTTCCTTTGTCAGACTCTCAGTCCTTTATCAATGACAAAGAGAAATCTGGCTAGAAAATCTTGAGGAACTTTCCCAGCCAACACAGGGATCAAATAACGGACCTCTTAATTAACAATCTGATTAAAACATAAATCCTATTTCGTTTCGTTTTTTATAGTTCAAAATTTCGTTTTACATGTCTTTACTACACTAGACTCTAGAAGAGTTGTTAATATTGACGTGTTCTGAATAGTGTGAGGTATTAGCCAATGAAACGGTCCGTTACGGCAAGCTTTAGGCACGTTTTGCACAGAACTTTGGGTAATCCACTAGTAACACTAATGCTGATTGGTTAATCAAATGTCTGATGCCATAGGCTCACTTGCCGCTTGTATGACCTCTGACATGACCTATCACAACAACCGGTCAGATCTTCATGTAGTGTAGGCCATCGAAAGTATAATAAATGAAACGAAATATAGATTTGTATTTTAATCCGATTGTTTAATTAATGAACCAGCACCTTAGTCACTGCGCCACCATGGCTCCCAATAAACTCTTAGAACATAACACAATCAGAAATGAAATGGGGTTTAACGTCCTACTGTTTAACACGATCAGATATTCACAATAGATAAACATACCTCAATATATTCTGCTCGCCATAAATGTGATGATATTTTAGCAAGCTGTTTTAAATTGTTTAGACAGATTATTTTGACAGATTGTCTGCAGTCTGTTTGTAAATATGAGAGTAGTAGTTGAACATGTTGTTGAACAGTAAATAAAGATTTAACAGCTAGTTGAGTCATGGTATCTAACGTCAACAAAACAAATCTACATGCTGGATATCCTTCCAGTAAACTTGTACAAACTTGCCAGGCCTGAAAAAATTAACGAAAGAATGCTAAAGTATTGATAATTGAATTTTAAAGAAAGATAAGGAACATTCATCCATCAAATTTTAAGATTTTTAAAAATTCTAAATCTTGGTGTCAATAAAGGTTTGATTTTAAATTACAAATAACACATTTTTTCCAGAAGTTTTTTACCCCCTTTGATTCTGATTTATCACCTGCGATTGGGAATGATGACTTACCAATGAAAAACTTTTATTTAGGTTAATTGTACTGTACTTTGGTGTTAGCACTTTGAGCTTCAGAAAAGAGAATTTCCAATTTTCTTGGATGAGTTCTCTCCCTTACACCACAAATACAGATCACATATTTCAAAGTGTTTGTATTCAGTGAAGGTGGATGGCATTAAGATAAATGAACAAAAGATTTAAATTAAATTCAAGGCCACATAAATTTGATTTTCTGTTCTTCGGGAACACCTATTAAAAAATTTCTTCTGATTGTTTCAGGAAAATGACTAATTTAAAAACCAAAGTTACTTGGTTGCACAGTTTAAAAGCTTTTAGTTCAAAATTTTATTTTTTGGAATTTTAAACAAAATATCTTTCACATGATCTCATGTGGCTATTTCTGAGAAACAGAAAATCAAATTGGTTTGGCCTAAGATATAACATACTTTGGAAGCTGTAGTCATATCATGATGCATATGTTGAAAGATAGGAATAAGTTGTAACTTCATATCTACTGGGGTAGCTAAACCAGAAATCATTTCAGCTATTTTACTACAGATACCAGCTGCAAAGGTCCTGTAAAAACAATTTTATATTAATAAATTATAATAATATAATAATAGTTTTTATAATCATCACTTTCATTCAAATAACTTTTGATAGAAAATGGTCATAGATTTACCACCATAAATCAAATATAGGGGATGAGGTTTAACATCCATTCAACACAAAATGGGTCATTTCGGGGCTAACATATGATATGGTTCAATTTTTTTCAATAATTTGCTTGCACATAGGGGTCTTTAGCTGTGGAAGGAAACCCACGAGGTTAGACAGGCTTGGTACAAGTGTGGGATCGAAACCATGCCACTTGACTCAATGACAGACAGTATAATCTAAAATGCACACGTACGACCATTCAGCCAACCAATCCGCCTTTAAATCAAATAGAAGTACTGAAACATTATCATGTGTTTAAACATGTTTATTAAATCTAACCCTCTCACATTTAATAACCAAAACAAAAAAAAATCTATTGTTACAAGAGGGTTTGTTCATAATCACTAATCACAATTTCTAGATTATTCAAAGCTGTATGTTGTACCCTTCAGATGTTATGTAATCAAATATAGTTTTGAATAATATAGAAATTGTGATTATCAACATATTTTCTTTCATTATTCAGTTAATTTATACTTACTTTGACACAGCAGAAAAATGATCTGCAGCAAAAATAGCAGCCTCAACTTCCACAGCATCGTGTGAATCTAAACTGAAAACTATACTATGATGAACATTCTTCTTTTCGGAGATAATACATGCTATACTTCCTAATGTCCTAAAAAGAAACAGATATGGGGTTTAATGCCCAATCAACACAAACTAGGTCATTTCGATACTAACTAATAGTACAATTTAATTTCAATTATTACATACAAGCTTGTGAATGAAACCATGCCACTTGACTCAATGACAGACCTTATGATCTAAAGAACATGTGTTAGACAACTTGAAATTCTATATACCCAGCTCTAATTTTCTAAAAAATAAAAGATTTTAATAATAAGGATGATATTTAAAAGAAACACTCTGGGTGCTCAGGAGCATTCTGAATTAAGTGACCTGGAATTGATCTCTATCAGTTCTGCCAGACTCGATAACTAAAGTGAGTAGAATCATGACAAACACAGGGAACTTGTATCAATGGTGATACATCCGAACTAATAGACACTGTCTGTCCTTGCCAGACCCTCTGTCCAGCACCACTAACATAGTGAAAACCCACTGGAAAATCCAAGGAATTTTCTCAGGCAACACCGGGAGTGTTACTCACTGAACAACAGCGGCTCCCATGAGGTTAAGAGAATTCAATTCAGGGACATTCCATTCAGTATGCTCACTGTAATTTATTCATAACAAATACATTCTAGTTTTAACAGTGGTCAGTGACTTGATGACTTTGACAATCTGCTACCCTACTTGATTGAACTGTGATACCTTCAGAAACTTGTTATAAACAGATTGTCAGCATTTAATATAAAATAAGTCTTTTAGCATCAGGAATATTAAAACCCTTGATTTAATCTAATGATGTACTGAACATTTTTAACAGGGACAGTCACAAGAGGTATTGTGCCTGACAAAGCCTGAATGTGTGCTACATATAAGAAGAGAGAGAGAGAAATGGGGTTTAACGTCTACTCGACTTATGGAACTAACATATGTTTCAATTTTATTTCAATAATTTGCTTGCGCGTAGGGATCTTTAGCAGTGGGAGGAAACAGGAGGACCCAGAGAAAACCCACAAGGTTGGACAGGCGACCCTACTCCTTGTCACGTACAACCAGGGAATCGAAACTACGCCAGTTGACTCAATGACAGATCTTATGATGCAATGAGCACATGCTAACTATTCGGCCATCCAACCTCCTCATATAAGAAGAGTATGCTGCATAGCTAACTTTCCACCAGAGCTAAGGATCCATCTGAAATAACCATTTATGTTTACCTTAAAGTAATAGCTCTAGCTACAGGATCGTTACTATGTAATACTGTAAATATCCTTTTAATAAACTCATCAACATTTATAATCTTATCTAAATGTTTTTCACTTTGTTGTGTAACTTTCAAGATGCACAATCTAATGAAGTTGTTGCTGAAATGTATAAAAACTCATAAATAATAATAAATAAATCTTAAGTTGATTCATAAACTACATAGGCAATCTACTTGTGATTGTTGAAATTCGGTAAAAATATGGTTGAGTTGACATGAATGACTATCAAAATTTGCTTAACTATTGTTGGGACACAAATAAATGAAATGAGGAGTAACGTCCTACTGTTCTGCTACAACTGGACCAATGAACACGGGCATATGTCATACAGTGTGCTATGCGGGAAATTTTGCCAAGAAAGTGGTGCTATGATGGACTACATTTATATCAAATTCCATCTGCCAAGTGTTCTTTTACATGCATGTCAATGTGTACATGGGACGACGGTTTTTCATCCCATCCAAACAACTACATATTGTTCCACGCTGGTATATCCAGATGAACTCTCTTGGCCAACACCAGAATAGAACATGGGACCTCTCTGAGGCACTGTGGCTCCCGAGACACATATAGAGGAATTCAGGCAATGCCTTACAAAATAATAGGTCAGCGCTTTCATTTTCAATAAGTTGGTGAGAATAAGTTTATTTAGAATCTGATATTACATAAAAAAAGTAACATTTCAGAGGAATTTATCGTTTACCATACAAAACTGTTAAAAGACACTTCTAATGGAGAGAAGTCAAAGCTGGAATAGTCTCACTGGACATTAATTAAAGATATTTAGTAATCATTTCATAATAGTACTGTCTGTACTTCTAAAAATACATCATATACGTAAAATATCTTACCCGCCCCTGAAGACATCTGCTAATTTTAATAAAGCTGAGTTTATAAGAATAGGAAAGGGATACTTTTCAAAAAGTTTTGGAAACTTTACAACTGCTTCACACTGATTTCCAATCTTGATAGAGCGCAAACCTGCAACAAAACACATTTCATAATTTTACTGACAATAAAACTGGAGTATATATTCTAAATTTGGGAATTTTGGAATAGACATGTGCCATGCAAAAAGTGGTAGCATGATTTACCCATATTTACCCAAATACCCTATTATTTCAACTCCTATTACAATCATTTATATCAATTTTGATAATTTACTGTTCTTTATGCCAAATTGTCATTAGGGTTTCACACTGCGTAGCTTGTGTGAAACACTATTGTTTTTGTTAAAATTATTCTTATTATTATTCTTATTATTCTTATTATTATTTTTTTTCCAATTTGATTGTATCTCAGAAACTACTTGTCGGATTGATTCGATGTCTTCGGTTTTACTGGAAAAGTGGGTGTGACTTAGAGATTAAAGCTATTTCGAACGTTCTGCGACAATGCGAAATGTCCGAAATCGTCGATTTTGTCGATTTTTGAAATATTGCCGTAATATTAACAATAATTGTCGGATTTTAACATTGGATGCATTTTGACATAGCCAGAGACAAGGCACATAGCCACGGTTCTTTAGATTTTTGATTTTCCACGAATCGTCGGAGATATTAGGCGCCAAATTTTGAAAATTTAAATTTTTACAAAAAACTTTTTTATTCATGAATATTTTAATGTGGTATTTTACCCAGGGTTAAAGAGTCATCTGATTTGACCAAAAATGGCACCATTTTTTGTCATCGTAAATTTCCTTGACCCCCATTGGCTAATTCAGTTTTTCAGTCCTGGATTAATTATTTATTGCTCGATTTGTATAAAACAAAGTTCATATGCTCCGTAATCCAAAATGTCATTTTTTTTGTTACCGGTAAAGTTACCTTTCGGCAACGGAAGTGACGTAAATTTAGCAAAAACTACAATTTTGACAGTTCGGTACCACTTTTTGAAAGCAAATATTATTTTTTTCAAATCTGGTATGACTGAAAGTGTGTGCCCTGTAAAGGCGCAGAAAACATCGGGCTCATTTTTTTTAATTTCGATTTCGTTTTCGGGTCATTTTGATTTAAAGGTGAAAAAAGGTGAAAAAATGAGCTATTTACAACCCATTCAGGCTTTTCATATTTTAAAATATTTCTTCGCAACTTTCATAAACTTGTAGCATTAATCCATACGAAGAGAATCTATCTCAAAATTAGTTTGTAATATGAGCAGTTGCCGAGAAATGGTCAATTTTGCATGAGTCACTCTTTACGCTATTGTGTCTGTAAAAGAGTCAATTATTATTGGATTTTCATAAAAGTGACACCATTTGATGCATAATGTCAATTGTGACTAGTTCAACTCAATTTAACATTTTCCATGTCACCGGAAATGACGAAATTTGGGTAAAAACTGTATTTATAGCCTTAGAAACAAATAATTTATTGAAATGAGTCGTATTTGTTGTTTGTTTAATATTTTGATATTTGATTCTAATCAACTAATAGAATGAACCCATACGATCATATAGGTATCACAAAATGGTTTCTAACTTTGTTGTTTGTTTAATATTTTGATATTTGATTCTAATCAACTAATAGAATGAACCCATACGATCATATAGGTATCACAAAATGGTTTCTAACTTGTTCAGTTGTAGAGAAATAGGTAATTTTCAACAGGTCACTTTTCAAGGTTTTTTGTCCATAAAAGTGTCAATTATTATTCGATTTTCATGAAATTTTCACTATGTGATACCTAATGCCATTTACGATTTCATACAAGTAATTTAAGATTTTCATTATCACAGGAAGTAACGTCATTTTGGCAAAAACTGTATTTTTAGCTTTCAAAACAGATATTTTATTCAAATGAGTCTGAGTTGTTATGTTTTTAAAATTATGATATTTGATTCCAATCAACAAATAGAATAAACCCATACGATCATACAGATTCCAGAAAATGGTTTCTAACTTGTATGGTTGCAGAGGAATTGACGGTTTTCTACAAGTCACTTTTTAAGGTTTTTGGTCTATAAAAGTGGCAATTATTATTCGATTTACATAAAATTTTCACCATGTGATGCCTTATGCCATTTCTGATTTCATAAAACTAATTGAATATTTTCATTATCACCGGAAGTACTGTACACTTACATGTAACAAATATATAAAATGAATTGATATTGCTGGATTTGGTTGATTCGGCGTCCATTTTATTTGATGTGTGCAATGATGAGGTGGAAACCTGTTTAATGGTTTCATTGGTACCGGAAGTGACATATGTTTAGGGTAACGTGGCACCGGTGAAACCCGTCATTACTGCATCGCAGTTCTAGTTTTCAATTTAAAATTGTAGTGTTTTTGTGACCAAATGAGATGTTGAAAAAGCCTGCAAAAATACAGACTACCATCTATCATAATGCAAATGTTGAAATTACTGGTAATTAAATTGTTTTGGGGGAAAAAACCCCAATATTTCATGATTCATATTTAAATTGCTCACACCAGATGCTACATGTTTTAGTTCAAAATAATATTGTGGGAAGTCAATAAAATACAGACATCGGGGAATGAAATTGATGAAAATAATGTAAATATTGAAAACAAGTCACAGTTGACAAGTGGCTATGATATCATGTGTGTTTTTTTGGGGGGGAGTATTTAATATGCCAATCAAAACAAATGGATTGAAGAATCGGTTGTGGTTACGTAGGGAGAATCGACAAATTGTTGAAAAAATGACACAAAATAACAGCAGGTAAAATCTAGGATTCAACAGGAATTGCATTTCTGTTTTTTTTGTAAAGTAGGCCTGGGTGTACAGGCCTACATAGTACATTTATAAGATATACGGCGGATAAAATTTCAGATTTCAGTGATCAGATAGTCAATCATATGTTGTTCAATATGAGATCCTAATGGTTCAGAATTTGTTAAAGTTTCATATCAATGAGACCTTTATCAAGTTCCGTCAAGGCAGAGTTAGCGTCTTGTTCCTGCTCTGCTGTGACATTTTCTGAAATAGAGGAATTCATATTTCTTGAGTTGGACATGGACGCGGCCATTTTGAAATGATATTTGTTACAGGAATATAGAACGTAACGAAAGGTAATTAATTTGACATTTATCGTTGTTGTTATTCTTGAAAAGCCTTATATAAGAAAACAACTATAGAAATAGGCATGCTCTTTGTTTAACAACTACAGATGAGAGATATAAATGTGAAAATACTATGTTTTAACATGATAATTCGTTTCAGTTTATATTTGATCAAATAAAAAATCACGTGATAGTCAAAATGGCAGACGATGGAAAGAGTCTTTCTGCATTGTTAAATGGCCTAACAAGGCGAATTTACTATGGTGAAGAGGAATTAACAGATGAATTTCTTAAAAATGAAATATACCCAAATTTGACCGAAGAGGAATTCGAGCATTTGGTCAATAGAACCATACATTTAATGAAGGTGCATGGTTAAATTTAGATACTATAAAAAGTGGGTGTGTCAGTTGGAACTGCAGGGAGAGAGAGTGAGAGAGACACACACACACACACAAACTAGGTCATTTCGTAACTAAAATATGGTTTAGTTTTATTTCAGTAATCCAGAGAAAACCCATGACGGGCATGAGTTTTGACAGGCGACCCAAATCTTTGTCAGTTAAGCCAAGCCGGGAATCGAAACAACACCACTTGATTCAGTGACAGACCAGATTCAATGCGCACGCGTTAACAATTCAGCCACCCAACCCCTCCACTGCAGAATTAGAGAACACATCCAAACGTACACGAATGGTGCTATTTCTAGAAATCAGTTTTAGCATCTAAGTTTTCCTAATTTTTCAAACAAGGGAACAAATTGCTGCTGCGATAAGGATATGAGGGTCACTATTTACTTATCACCGATATTGTCTGTATATTGTAGGCCTGTTTCAATCTGTTTCACAGAGGTATTGCGAAGACTAATAGCTCTGTAAAAGATGATTGCTTTATGATGTAACATCAGATCATGCTGCGTCAATCATTGGCTTAATGGGGTGTGCATTGTTTACATAAGACGCCACTGGTCTGGGCAGAATGGTGCATTTTACATACCCATTTACACTAAATAGGAAATATTTTTTACCTACATATACTTGAACACCTTTATTTATTTTTCTAATGCTGAAAAAAAATGTTCTAGAATTTAATTTGCAGAAGGAAAAAAGTTAATATTTGGGGATTATTAAACATACATTATGGAAGAGCTAAATCTTTAGGCCTGAAATGTTATCTAAATTATTAATTAGACATTAATTAACTTATCCAGACCATAATCAACTCTCGATGTCATCGCTAGCCTGCGATATTAACTGGATTAGGATCCGATTTGCTGCTCAACTTTCATTCATGATTTAATCATGAAATGGATAATCGAGACTATGTTTTTTATTGTACAGACTTTAGTAATGATGATCTAGGCTAGGCCGACAATTCAATCGCTAAATTCTCAGTTCAGAGTGGATCAATTTGACTGAGATTTTCAGCAAATTCCCTTTACATTATCTAATTTATAACTATTATAGTGAGAACTGCCAGCTCTTTATCTAATCTCCCGTAATGTATCTTTAAGTCACATCAATGTCATCCCTATCAGTGACTGTAGCGGACTAACGAATATTCACTGCTGATCAGTGTAAGAATAATACCATTTGTCACTGAATAAGACTGACCAACACTGAGTCTCATTTTGGCCAGGGCGCACTCCATGTTATTCCCATGTCAGACATCCTTTGAGGAATTTTAATGTGGTTAACACGAGCGGCCTAAGCAATCCATTCAACGACAAAGCTTTAACTTTACACAGGCTCTTTCAGGTTACCCAGTATAATATTATGATCATTACCTTTTTTTACGCCTATAGTCTCTTTCATCCAGACAGAGAACAAATGAGGATAAAGAAGATGAAAGGCAGTATGCAGAGAAATATTTTTTTCTATAGAATGCCAAAATCTATCATAAATTTCAGACACCAATACACTGACAATTCAATGTATTTTCTTTTAAGCTGTTATGCTGAGCTAAATCTTAAAGCCCACACTGTATGCATTCATGTCTAATCTACTTACATGAAATGCACCCGTGGCATTTTGTTTCAATAAAACCAATACATATTTAACAAACCGCCACGAAAGACCGGTCATATATATAACATGCCAAAATACAGATAACTACCTGATGATGCTCATGTATATGTCTTGATTTGGAAAACCCCATTTCACTTCTTATCTCTCTTCATTTATACAATATTGTTAGAAACCTATTGAATGTGACCATAATTCTTCTTCACTTTATTTTCCTTTTCTATTTAGAATATGGTGTCAGCAGATATGGATATGACTCAACTTGAAATGTTTCTTACAGCACAGATGAAAAAAAGGGAAGGCGCAATGACAGAACAACAAGCAAATATTTATAGAAAGTTTTGGAAAACGCATAAAACAAAAATACATGATAAAATTGTTGCACAAACTATGTGGGGAAACACTCTTCAAAAAGTGTCATGGAGAATCGATTTAAAATCACAAGCCAGAAGATCAGAAGACATTAACACTTCCTCTGCCATTATGGAATTACAGATCGGAGAGCATCAAAATAAAGATAAGGTAATGTCACTAATCAGCATGTCCTGTAAGCCTGTAAGGAAAGAAGTGAATGGGTCATAAAGGTTGTCACTTCAGCATGTCCTGTAAGCCTGTAACAAAAGAAGTGAATGAGTCATAAAAGTTGTCACTTATCAGCATTTCTTGTAAGCCAGTAAGGAAAGAAGTGAATGGGTCATAAAGGTTGTCACTAATCAGCATGTCTTGTAAGCCTATAAGAAAAGAAGTGAATGGGTCATAAAGGTTGTCACTAATCAGCATGTCTCGTAAGCCTGTAAGGAAAGAAGTGAATGGGTCATAAAGGTTGTTACTAAGCAGCATGTCTTGTAAGCCTATAAGGAAAGAAGTGAATGAGTCATAAAGGTTGTTAACATACATGCATACTGAAATTAATGTGATCCTGTTTGTGGCTCAGTTAGTAAGACACTGGCTCACTAATCAGGAGATCTAGGGTTCGATCTCAGTGTTTACCGAGAAATTTACCCAGGAGTTTCCAGTGTGGTTTCCCCTTGTCTGTGGTGCAGGATGGAGGGCCTGTTAAGGAACAGTGTTGAGGTCCTGTGTAGATTTTGGTATGGACATAAAAAAAAATCCTTGACAGTTGGAATTTGAAATAAGAGTGCACCGCTGTCTTGGCAAAATTTCCACTATATCACACTACATGGCATATGCACGTCTCCATTAGACAAGCGGGTAGAGAAAAGTAGCATGTTAAACCCCATTTCATTTTATTCTGTGTGACTTCGTGTAATGTAATTTTAATATACAATTGAGGCCAAACAATTAATTTTTATTTAAAACTTTTGTGGGTGGCTACAAAATTTCTAATATGGTGCTAGTAAGTATTGGCTATAAGTACCCTGTTTGTGTTTTATTTTACAGTTAACGGAAGTTGTTAGATTTGAAATGGACGAAGATAAATTAAAAGATGTATTAAAAAGTATGCAAGAGATAGAAGAACAAATAGACCAGTATTGTAAAAAATGATTCCGGGTTTTTGTTATATACACCATCCTCATATAAACACAGTCAATATCATTACCAGGTTTGGGGACCAAGCAAGAGGTTTTGTTGTACTAATTGTAATCTTATTAAAACACCATGGGTACCATTTACAATCCAAAAATTCAATCATTCTCTTCATTTTGACTTAATTCCTCATCATAACGCATAGAAGGGGGTGGAGGCGGATTAGTGTAACACATGTGCTTTAGATCATAAGGTCTGTCATTGAGTCAAGTGGGGTGGTTTTCATTCTCCCAACTTGTATGTGACAAGTAGGTGGATCGCCTGTCCAACCTCATGGGTTTTCTCCAGGTCCCTTCCACAGCTAAAGAACCATATATGTTAGTCCTAAAATGACCTAGATTGTGTTGAATTGACGTTAAACCCTGTTTCTCTCTCTCTGTATAGTACAAGGGGAGATTCAGAGGGAAGGGGGGGGGTTCAGGAATGTATCTTACCTATAAAATATTGTACAGTGTACCCTATCATTTCCAAGCTGCATACTTTTTTCAAAATACCTGTATCTTGTGAAAAAGGTGCCCAATTTTAGTAAAACTTTTCAGTGAGAAAGACTTGCTTGGTCGCTAGGCCAATACTGATGATTGTGGTTTGTGGTTATAGTAAAATATTAATCATTTTTTATATTTATAAGATGTAATTGAATGAATTTGTAAATAAATACTATATCTATATAAAATAACAGAAAAAATAGATTTATCTTTATTATACTGGTGACAAGAAGTTTCCAAGATTTTATCCCTGAAATGATGTTTGTGTACTTAAAGATTTTTCTGTATAAAACCATAAATTATTCATTCAGAAATTGTCTACTTAGCGAAAAAAATAACTGTTGTAACATATGATGTATACAAAATTTAATGAATGGTTCCTCAGTACCCCCACCCCCCCAACGTAAACAGAAACATATTTTCTGAAAATAAAAATAAAATCAGAGACGAACAGATGTCTAGGACATGGGCAGATATACAAGGGTTTTAGAACAAGCATAATCCAGGGCTGTGATGGTAGAACAAAGTTATTTTGATTAACATCTTCAGAATTTAATTTTGATAGTTTTGTATAGTGTGAAATTTGGGGGCGATATAATTTGACACACAAAAATCAAACTCCAGAAATTTAGGAAGCTGTTATTTAGATGATCTATGGATATATGACAGAGTGGACATGGATGGACATGGACCATTGTACCTGTTAAAGAAGAAAGTAAAAGACACAAACTAACAATTATTTATCTTTTTGATTCATTTTATTCACAAAACTAATAAATCTAATTTACGAAATACTGGGTAATGATAAACTCCTGATGATCTGGCTTCTTTTCTACAATTTTTTTCCCCCCATCATTGGTTCACCTCTGGAGCTAATTTGATTTGGGGGGCAACTTGAAGGGAGAGGATTACTCCCAGGGTATGATATTCCTTGAGGGGCCTTGTCTGCTAAATCAGCCTCGGTGGAAGTAGGCATAAAGCTCCAGTAGAAGAAGACGAATTCCTTGAGAGAAAGAGGTAGCAATGCTTGGCTAAAATCGTCAGGATAAGGCCATACAAAAAAAAATATTCTGATTTTCAGATTCTCCCGTGTCACTTAAAAAAGGGCTGCATGTTTATATTTCAAAAAATAAAAATCTCATTAATAACCTCATGGAAATATTTCCCCTCGGTTACAGGAAGCAAAAAATTGATAAATGTTAAGAGACAGTCATGACTGACACTAGATAATAATACATTCCCATAAATAACATGATGAGATAAATGAAACTGGATAATCATACATTCCTATAAACAACATGACGAGATAAATATAGTGCCCTGCAATGTCAAGTTAGAATTAATTTAACCCAGTAGTGACTTGATCCTTTGACAAAATAAAAATACAAAAATAAAACTTCCCTTCCGCATCAGACTGTTTGGAAGGATTGTCGGAGAACAAGATTAATTTCTTTATTGGCCTAATGTTTTAATTTTTTTTTTTCAAACATAATTGTTATCTGATCATGTAAAAGCCTATTACTCTTATGGTTTTCCATGAATTGATTTGTTTGAATCAATGTGATATAGTACAAATTGCTTTGAACTTATTTTGTGGCATGTATTGTTTTAGTTTATGTGCAACATGCTTTGTTTGGTTTTGGTAAAGTCTTTTTAGAAAATATTATGTATTATTAATGCACAAAATGATAAGATGAAAATAAACTATTACTGGGATATTTACCTATTAGCTTACAAACATGTAATATATCCTGGGTATACGTTTTGCCTTTAAATTACATACTTGAAAAAAATCTGGGACGGTTACTTTAATGATTTTAAAATAAAATAAATACTTATTCTAACTGTTTTAGCCAAGTAATTTCCTTGCTTTTTGCATTCATGTAATAATCCTATCACGGGGTAATCCGATATTGTATCACACTGGCAAATATAACACTTATTTTCTTTTGCTCAACGGAAAGGAGCAAAGCCGGTTTGATTTAGGTCAAAATAGTGTATACATTTTAGTTATTTCGATTTAAGATTGGCTCTATGGGATTAAAAATTATAAGGAAGTCAGTTTGTTTATTAATTTTAGAAGTTGATTTTCATTTTTAGCTTACGGTGTCGACAGTTGAACACAGTCGCTTATATCTCAACACAGGTTTTGGACGTAAGGATTTCAACAAAGGCAGTCGACTGTTATCCAAGAAAACAAATGAAAATCCGCAATTTTATTTTTGACACAAAATTAATTTACATCTGATGCACTATACAAAGCTTCGAGATATTTTTGGACTGGGTTGTCGAAACATATGAATATGGGGAATGTATTGCGTTAAGATGTTCATAATTTTGCCTTGAGTCCTTGGCAAAAATCGTTAGAAATTTGAGTAAAACTCGACTAGAAATAAGACGAGGTTATGGTTTTTCGGCACCAAAAAGCCATGCAGTGTGCATGGGGAACTTTTGTCATAACAGCCGAGGCTACACTGTATAATCTGAGTTCGATTTCAGGCAATCTATAATGTGCTGCCAATAAGGCGTACGTCCCATCCGAACGACATATATGCGTCCTTGATGTATAAAGATGAACGACACGGATCTAATTTTACGGGTTTGTTCTCAAAATAAACAAGAGTTTATACTGTTTGACCGAACTATGTGTTTCGAAAATAAAATAGTTATTAAAATACGTAAGACATTTTAATAGAAATGAGCATATCTAAGCAATCACTGTATTGATAAAAAATGAAATAGCAGCTGAAATTATAACCGGAGATCAATTCTATCTGACTGTTTCACAAACGTGCACTACATGTACTATTTTTGCTATCTGCATAGTAGTGTGACTATGTACACAGAAATATAAAACACAAATTTATATGGAAAACAATCACTGGGTTTATTTCACACTACGTTTCAACAAGTTCCTATTGTCGTTCTCAAGTAGCCTAAGTAATACACAGAAACTAAAATTCCCCAAACAAATTAAACGCACCACTGATCCTATAGAATGCTCTGTCGGTGGCACGATCTGGCAGGGGACAACATATTATATATATTATAGTCGTTCGGATGGGACAGAAAACCGAGGTACTGTGTACATAGTGGCGTGCACGTACATGTATAGCCATATGCTGCCACATATATTGCAATGAAGGATACCACTTTCTATATTTTTCACAAGAAATTTACTGTAGTTTTGCATTGGAGATGATTAAATTGTTTTTATTTTCTAGAATTAAATTCTTCAGATTCGTTATATGTAGTTTTCTAGAGATCTTATTTAGTTGCTGTGGTCAAGTCAACAACAGCGTGCGTAAGAGCCCGATCGTGTACTCATAGGGGTGGGGGAGCAGAAAATGAAACAACCGAAATATTTCCCGTCGCCACCGGGAATCCCCAGAATTCTTTTGAAAAATAGACACTGCCATTCCCACTCGTGGGTATTACAGCAACTAGGGAGTCCAGTATATAGTCTCTGTTCACCCGAATACTAGATTTTGGGGGACAGAGTGCAGAAATGAAATGACCAAAAACGAAACTCGTTTAAATTGGAGCTGCGTGGGTTGGGTCCTTCAGAATTTTAAAAATGAAAAATATTAGACTGCAAAATGCAGTTTCCTGCATATAACCACACCATCAAATGATACCTGAAAAGTAGGCCGCGAATAAAACAGTTTGACTACTCTAGATTGGCACTATAGACACTGTTTATTTTCTTTTCTATTCATTAGTCAATTTAAAGAAATTCAGATTTCCGAAAAATTGAAGGCATAAAAATGATCAATGCCGCCCGAAAACTTCAAATCAATCGCACAATCAGAGTACACTCCAGACCGAAAAGTCAAGGGATTTTAGGCACTATATTTTGCCGACTAGAAGTCAGATCCCCCGCCCCCTCCTCCCCACATACATAATTTACCCGATTGGCCGTTTAAGCGATATTAATGTTTTTGCCTAACTGAACTGTTAATCCGCCAATTGACTTGTTATATAACGTTTCGTCCCGTCACTTTTGTTCTGTTGTATAGGCCCTATACATATATATAAATATTTATTTATCCGCTTAATACTTTTATACTTTTCGCTAATCACATTGTAAATAATTTCTCTATGTTTATATAACATGTAATTGTCTGCGATATCACCTCGGTGGAAGCGGACGTTAAATAAAGCTATTTCACACACACACATCGCCATTGATACATCGTATTATATCGTTCCCATGGGCTACTTATCCCGTACGTGACGCTGTGTGTTGAGCGGCGTTCCTAACATTGTGAGTCATCTGTACGAGTTATCCGCCCCTGTTATAGTTTAGTCAGTGCTCGCTTGGCATCATTAGCCGGTCACCGATCAGACGATTTTGATTTTATGCAAGGGCAAAGGGCGTAAATGTTGTGTTGTATCTCTTGGTGAAAGGCCATTTAGAAAGTAACATACAGTTATAAACACAAGGTATAAACAATGGATTTAGCCAAAAGGTGCTATGAGTTTGTTTCCAGCCCAGAACCGGTAGCTTCATTTCAAAAATGGTGTTCGATACGCCCAATACCGGCAAAGTCAGAAGTGAGTGTCGGTGATAAGCATTGCAACGGGAATTGTTACTGTGATGAGAAGGGGAATTCCGAACCAAAACACGGTGACAAATTTATAAAATCTACTACAAACTGTAAAAATTCTTCGCATGATATAGTATCAAATGGACACTTTAATGGTATTAATTCTGAATACTCAAATCTCAAGCAAAGAAATGGTGGAAAACAGAACCATTACCTAGAAAATACCAAAGTGGGTAATAGTGACATAAATCAAAATGGAACTTATTTTGGCAAAGAAGATACTCAGAATGGAACCCCCACCCTTAATGGCTATACACATACAAATGGAAAAAAAGTAACCACAGAGCCATCTACTGGGCCGGAATTCATTATAGGAAATTATCTAATTTTTGCATTATTTAGATTTGGAGCAGAATTAGGAAATGAATTCTTTTATATGATATTTTATTCATTTACGTTGTGGAATTTTGACAGTAAAATATGTCTGAAAATCGTCTTAGTATGGGTTCTTATAATGTACGTTGGTCAGTCGATGAAAGATGTCATTCGATGGCCAAGACCAGCAAGTCCACCTGTATTCCAACTGGAATCAAGATATGCTTTGGAGTATGGAATGCCGTCGACACATGCTATGGTTGGAACAGCAATACCTTACTGTTTGCTTATGTTTACACATGGAAGATATGAGGTAATTTTATTTTTTGTTGGGGCAACTTGAAATATGGATCAATTTTAGTTTACATTTTGCCTTTGTACTTTTATACTGTATTTTATATAGTTTTGGTTATCACAAACCACACAGATTCACTCTAATACCCTGGTGAAATTAACAAAAAACTACTGGACCCATCAAATACATGACCTTCCTCCTGTAAGTATAAAGATGTGTACTTTAGACATTTTTATGGTTCATGACAAGAATAAAATATACCCAGGGGCATGTTATATTCAAAGCAGATTGTATTTGAAATTTGAGACAAATTCAAGTCATTCAAAAAGCAGTTTACCAAATTCTCATGAAAAATACTTTTCTCTAAATTAGGTGAGTTCTTAGATTCTTCATAATGAGATGAATCATTAGGCCCCATCACATACAACAATAAATAACTTGAGTGGAATTTATTGTTTGCATTTTTAGTACACAAAATGTTTGTTTAAAATCATTTCTTTCCGAGAATGATAATACCTGTTTAGGTGACCGTATATTAATAGTGAGTGATTAGTGTGTGTATGTGAAATAGATTTATTTAACGACCCGCAGAAGTGATATAACCAAGTTATTGATGATTGCAGGAGTTATATAAAAGGTATATATATATAATTGTTTTTTTTAGAACTTTGTATATTGTATTCATTGGGAGTTATGAATGAATTCAATACACATGTATACAATATGCTTGTGCATTTATAATGGGTTGTTTATTAACCCTGAGGTTCTGGTTAATATAGATGTTCTTCATATTTAGAGTTGTGTATTATTGGTGTTATAAAACATTCTATACTGTATTCACTGAGAGTTATTGATGAATACACTTGCAATATGCTCATAGCTACTTGTAAAATGTACCTTGAATATGAATGGTATATGCTGTATGAGTTATTTTGTCAATAGTATTAGTTACACAGATGTTGTTACATTGTATATTATTACATGATGTGGTTTATACATTGTATGTATAACATCTACTGAAATATAATGTGGTTATATTATTGCATGATGTGGTTTATACATTGTATGTATAACATCTACTGAAATATCATGTGGTTATATTATTACAAGATGTGGTTTATGTATAACATCTACTGAAATATCATTTATTAAACTTGGAATACACATTGTTTGCTTGGTGCGGAGATGGGGGTGGTTAGTGTTGAAATGTTGTAGGCCTACTGACTAAAGGGGGGCTTATGTTGACCTTTCAACTGAAAGCAACTGGCATTTCGGCAACTGAATGCAACTGAAAAAAGTCAACCTGAGCACCTCTTAAGTATTTGTTTCCGAGTGGTTTGGGTTAAGATCTGTAAATCAGCAAGGCTGTTTGGTCAAAAACCCGAGGGTTGCATTGAGAATATACAATGTAGCTGATGATGCATGCAAATGCAATCTGAACTCTTTGGTTTGTCTGTAAAATGTTGTCAGTAGCGGACTGGGTTTTAAAACCGGCCCCAGCATCCTTCATCAACTGTAGGCCCATTGGATATATTTATATTTATATCCAGTTCCCTGGTCGTCCAAGCGAACTGGTATTGCCCCAGTGCCGGTATGGCCAGTCCGTCCTTGACTATTGTAGTAAAGTTTTTTTTTGTCCTCAATGCAGACATGTTTGATAAACAATCTAATTTTAAAATACAGTTTCTGACATCATCCTTTGATGTTAGTGTACCATTTTGCAAGTGGGGCATTATTTTATACTGGATGAAATATGGGACACAACAAATTTTTTTTAAATGAACGTGTGGGATAGTGTATCTGTGTTTTAAGTTATCTAATAGTCTTGGGCAAGACATTATTGAAATTTATTGAAACAACATCAGGCTAATACCCTCTAAAGCATCAATATATTAGTTAATGTCTCTCTCTGAAGTCTCAACCATTAAATTGCACATACTTATTGAGTTATTGCATACGTTTTAAAAATAGATACAGTAGCTTATCTGTGAAAGGATTTTCTTATTACAGCACATCTAAAATACATGTATCATCAGATATGTATAATATAGTAGAGGATATTTCATCCTATTGATAACTCTAACAAAATAAAGGATATTTCAGCTTATTGATAAATGACGTCATAGTGAACAGGTTCACACCTAGTTAAAATTGTTTATTTCGATATAACACGATTACATTACAGTGTAAGATCCTGTTACAAAACAGGAAGATAATTATATTATTTTGATTTTCAGTTCTGAGAGTCAACTTGTTACAATATATAAGCATTACATATTAATTAATTAATTGGCTGCAATTCTTGATCGATATCAAGTTTTTGATTTTTTTTATTCCCAACAATTTGTAGCCGACATGTATGATGATTTATGTAAATGGTTAGTTAAGCTTATATACTTAATCAACCGGCTAATCTCTATATTGAACTCAGTCGAGGTATTACCCGATGAACACCTACACCAAGTAGAGTTCAAAAATAAAAACGAAGTTTAAAAGAATCAACTTCATTAACAAAAATTAAACAATCAAAAACTAAACTGATAAATCAAATTCAAACGAAACAAATAAAACAAAGAAAATGAAAAGAGCAGTTCATTACCATTCTACATTAACAAAATAAAGGAAATCAACTTGTGAAAATTTGTTAAAAAAATAAGAGCAAAGTAACACTAATGTTAATACTTTTTTAACGAACATATCATAAATATAATTAATTTTACCTATAATATCTATTTCAGAAATCAGACTTTATTTTGCAAATAAAATAATCCAAAGAGTTGTGTACGACCATTATATTTAAACAGTATATTATGCTGTTATATATATGATAAAGTGAAAGTGATGAGAGTTAGAATTAATGTTAACAATTTGATAATTACTATATTTAATTTGTTAAATGTTGCCCTATGATAAAGTTGGATTCTGCTTTCTCTTGTTCAATCCATGCATCAACTGTTTCTATAGTTATGTCTAAAACATATATTATAAAACATCTCCCAAAATAATGCAAGTAAGATTAAGTACTGTTTGTACATCTAATTTTTCACAACTTAATCCATGCTAATATGTACTCAGATTGATTATTTAAAGTTGCAATTTCATATTTTTACATTACATTTTTAAAATTTATTAAAAAAAAAGCCTTAAAATAGATGGTATCTATAAACAGTCCTACCTTGTTAAAGAATAATCCTATTAATCCTATAATTCACTATTATTGCCAGTTGAGAAATTGGCAAAAATATCATTTTCCTCTTCAAATTCAAACGTGGTGGAGAATAGAAAACAAGGGAGGTAATTGGGAGGTAATTGTGTTATTATTTCCGGTGTAAATGAGTTTGAAGTGTGAGAATGACACCTATGATCGTATAATAGTGAGTTGACAACCTATTGAGCAAAAGACATAGAAATAATTATGTTTTGACTTTCTTAGAAAATATGAAATTGTAACTTTAAGATTTATTTGAGAAAACCAAAATATCAAAGGTAGATAGGGGGGTTGGATGGCCGAATGGTTAGCATGTGCGCGCTGTATCATAAGGCCTGCCTGTGGTAGGAATCCCCGGTTGTACGTGACAAGGAGTAGGGTCGCCTGTCCAACCTCGTGGGTTTTCTCCGGGTCCTCTGGTTTCCTCCCACTGCTAAAGACCCCTACGCGCAAGCGAATTATTGAAATAAAATTAAACCATATGTTAGTCCCGAAATGACCCAGTTTGTATCAAGTTTACGTTAAACCCCATTTCTCTCTCTCTCTCTCAAAGGTAGATAATCTCCCAGCTTAGATTCAATCACAGTTTTATTAAAAAACAAGTCCATTAAAAGATTTTACCCAACACCTATACATTAGGTGGCACTGGCTTGTTTATGCTGAATCTTACAAAGTGTTTAATTCATCATATCTGGGTGGAAATGAGCCATATTTGGGACTGAGATTCCTTAATGGATGCTTGGATTCATTCACTTGATCTGATATGTGAGTTTGTTGTTTGTAGTTTCTGTATATTGTGTCTTGTCTATAGATTTGTATTTTGTAATTGCTTGTGTGTGGTGCAGTCCCCCTGCACTTACTATTGTACATGTAGAGATTCAAGTTTTACAATAATATTGTAGTTTACAAGGGATTCAAAAATGAAATATCTTAAATGATGAACAGCAACCAGATCAGTTTATATTAATAAAATTTAATTATCTAATCTCTCCCTTGACCTACTGTTATATTTTGGTTTACAAAACAGATTAGTTTTTGATAATTAGAGTCACTCACTGACTGGTCAATGATTTATAATATCACATTTATTAACTCACCAGTATAGCAATAAACTATAACACATACTTATGGAAAAATGGCTACTAATTTATTTAGGCAAAATTTCGAAGAGTATTCTCCCAACGTTTAAAGCAATCTAATACAACAATACAAATTGTGAGGTGAATATATACAGAAAAATTATAATAAATCATGTTTTACATAAGTATGTGTTATAGTTTATTGCTCTATCCAGTTACTTAATGCCTCTATAAGATTTTCAGTAGCATAAGTTTTACTGTACTGATTTCAGTTGTTAATTAGATTATCATAAAGTACAGGTGTTAATTAGACGAGTCACTGACCATCTACACCTTTATGATAGGTCATTAGATAGGCCTTGCAGGTTATATACATGTATATGTACAAAGGTTGAAGTCCAACTAAAGCCACATTAAAACACCCCAAAGTACATGTTGATCATAGGTACAAATGTATTATTATAGGCTAATTTAGGGATCGACATAGATATTAGACCTTGAATAAACCCTTGACATAATATATGTCACATGGTACAGTAATTGTATAGTGAATTAATGTTTACTATGGATGATTTTTCTAAAGAGAGCCTCTCACATATTCAATAAAATACATTATGAGCACTTGTATACCTTGGACGGAGGAATAATTCTAAAGATAAACTGAGTGATTTAATAAAATATACCATATACATGTTATGTACAACATTGTATATGTTTACAATACCAAATTATGTTAACCCTACATGTTTATTCCATTAATTGGATAGTTTCAGTCTGATTTTAATCGTTTTATGTTTAATGTTCTAATATCAGTGGGGGGTTGGATGGCCGAATGGTTAGCATGTGCGCGCTGTATCATGAGGTCTTCATTAAGTCAACTGGCGTGGTTTCGATTCTCTGGTTGTGCGTGAAAAGGAGCAGGGTCACCTGTCCAGCCTTGTGGGTTTTCTCCGGGTCCTTCCAATGCTTGAAATAAAATTGAGCCATGTGTTAGTCCCGGAATGGCCTAGTTGTGTCAAGTGGACATTAAACCCCATCTCTCTCTCTCTCTCTCTCTCTCTCTCTCTCTCTCTCTCTCATATTTGTACTATATGATCAATTACCTATGTTTTGTGGTGAATTGTGTAGAGGAGTGAATTGGTTGGATTCAGTCAAGTCTAGTGTACTTTAACTGATAAAAGTAGACTCTCACTGTCATAGAAATTAGGTTAGATATATTAATATGTCGTCCAAGAATTAGAATAAAAAAGAAATTATAATTTTATCTTAAACCAGACTGGGAGAGTTTACAATTAATGAGGCATTTAATGAATGAATGGGTGGTAGGTAAATAAGATAAACATACATTATGCAAGATTTAAATCTGCCTATTGCAGGTCTTTCTTTATTCCTAAAATGTTATCTAAATTATTAATTATACATTGATTAATTTATCCAGACCATAACCAATTCTCGATGTCATCGCTGGATTAGGATCCAATTTGCTGCTCATCTTTCATTCATGATTAAATCATGAAATGGATAATCAAGACTATGTTTTTATCGTACCGACTTTAGTAATGATGATCGGGGCTAGGCCAAAAATTCAATCGCTAAATTCTCAATTCATAGTGGATCAATTTGACTGTAATTTTCAGCAAATTCCCTTTACATTATCTAGTTTTTAACTATTATAGTGAGAACTGCCTGTTCTTTATCTAATCTCCCATAATGTACTGTATCTTTAATTGTTGCATTGTGTTCATTCAATCGTTTTGTTAAAGCTAGATTCAATTGAATTGAACAAATCATTAAAGTCGTGATGCACCATTTTAAGCAGTGGGAATCACTTGCAAACTTCATTATTGTGAATGATGAATCCCTTATAGAAATATCGGTCCAATAGGCTTCAATTCCATTCTGTACATGTATTTACAAAGCTATGTAGAATTGAAATTTTATTAATCTACGCAGCTTGAGCTTTTATTGATAGCGGAGAAACCTGATAGGCCTAGTTTGATTGCAATTGAATCCAACCTGAGAGATGATCTAGCTCTTGGTATTTTGATTTTGTTTACCGGTACTGAATTACATGTTAAATAATTAATTAGTACATATTTAGGATGTATTAAAGGAGCTAAATGATTATTCTTTGGCACCTAAAAACGGACACAAATGGGTAGCGACGCATATAATAATGTAATATAAATGCATATAAATTGATTTACATACAGTCGTTTCTGTTTTTTAATGCAATTTCTAATCAGTTTTGTTTGACGAGATATGTTAAAGAGTCCATATTGAATGGCAGTCTTTAACGTCTCGTTTTTACAGTCTACACCAGTAGTATTCTCGTGTGGAATATGTTTAGCCTTGTTCATTGAGTTGCTTCATTCTGGCACGTGATTCGTGTGCCAATTTTAAAATTTTCATTTTGTCTTAAATATTGGATATCAGAAGCCCATCTCTCCACAGTAAGATAACAACATCAGCATTGATTTAATAATAAATTGACCAATAAGTCATGTTTGCTATGTCGTTGACTGTAGATGATATTGAGTTATAAGAGACTTGCCTCTTTTATATTTAAGCTGTGAGAAATTTGTTATTTTAGCAAATATGCAAATGGCACATCAGGACTTTATAATAAATCTTAAATTAACAATACATTTATAAAGTTAAGCTTTTAGATTGGGCTTTTAACTGAATAAATTATGTATATTACTTCCAGAAAATTAAAGCCTGTTTTAAGACACTTTATAATATAACATTAATCATGATCAAGTACATTTGTTTGCTTAGTTAGAATGTTATATACCCTACAATTCAGATATTTTTAGGTAAAAAACACCTAATACCCTTGCACAATATCAGATAAAAAAACCTATTGTATTTCAGTCATATAATACCCTATAGCTATATTTATGATAATAAATGCTCTATATGAATATGACATTAACTGTGCTGTTTACTTGGGTCAAATCAGTTCATGTATTATAACTTGTCTTAATGTAGAATTATTGAAAAACAAAATTTACGCAACTTTTAACTATATGACAAAATTTTCTTTACAATTTAGTTTTTTTGGTTGACACACATCCAGGTAGGGTGGAATGTGACCTTTATATACAAGTACATGTAACATTCCAGTCAAGCAGAAAGAATATTACCGGTGTGTCACTGAAAGTTAAATGAGCTTAAAGACATAAATTGATTTGGCATTGTTTAAAGCAGAAATTTTAATTCAACTAATTAATTTGTTTGAAGATTATATTGACATGCCCAAGAATTATAAAGAGGGGATTAGGTGGTTGAATGGGTTAACGTGTAGCACTATAGATAATAGGGGTTTGTCATTGAGATTTGGTGCTAATCATGTAAGTGACAATGAGTAGGGTTGCCTGTACAGCCATCATTGGTTTCCTTTCACTGCTACGGTAATTGTACAAGACGTTCATCCCAGAATGAGAGTGTTTGTGTCTTGCTCTCCAAGAACTACCTTAAAGTGTAGGTGACTAAATGTTCCCAAACTATACAACAAAAAAAAAACAAAAAATGTTAAGTCCTTTGACAAACTTTTTTGTGTGAAAATTTTCCAATTTTAATGTAATACAGTTGATACAAGATAATAAATGAACAGGCACCAGTTAGCATTACTGGGGAACTAATGGGGTGGGGGGGGGCTGTTAAATTTGCGTACTTTAGATCGTAAGGTCTCTCATGGAGTCAAGTGGCGTAGTTTCAATTCCGTGCTTTTACCTGACAAGGAGTTAGGTCACCTGTCCAATATCGTGGGTTACTCTGCGGTCTTTTATTAGTCCGGAAATGACCTAGTTTGTGTTTGGTTGACATTAAAAACCCAATTTGGCTCTCTTTGTCCTAATAAAAACCTCTACAAATAAATCAGTAAATATTTTGATTTTTGAAAGATTAAAAATTGGGTGTGGTGTATTTTAACCTGTATATTTTTTTTTTATTTTTCAGTATTCATTTGAAGTTGGTATATGTTTGGCTATATCATGGTGTACATTAGTGTGTTTAAGTCGCCTTTATCTTGGCATGCACACCATACTTGTAAGTTTTTATTCTTTCTGTTGGCAAATCCATTTGAAAAAAATATATGTGAAACAATAACTCAGAAGGGGTGGTTAAGTGACTTTTTAAAAAATTATTCGAAATTCAAAATTACTTTCTTAAAGGACAATATTGGTGCCAGTCATTATCACATATGTGATAGAACTGGTTAAACCGTTCCAAATATTATTTTATCACAGAGATCATTGCTACGATAGATGAGTAATCAATGTTTCAACGATCGGAAGTGACGAACGAAAAAGGAAAATATGAGTTATCGCTCTAAATAACTGACTGAAGTGACGGGTGATAACTTTTTTGTGTGAAAATTTTCCAATGTATCTGTTATCACCCGTCACTTCAGTCAGTTATATAGAGGGATAACTCGTGTTTTCCATTTGCATTCGTCACTTCCGATCGTTGAAACATTGATTACCCATCTATCGTAGCAATGATCTCTGTGATAAAATAATATTTGGAACGTGTGTTTAACCAGTTCTATCACATATGTGATAAATAATGACTGGCACCAATATTGTCCTTTAATTACATGTACCATCAGATGGAGCAGAAAAAAAGTAGGACGTTAAACCCTCATTTTATTTTTGTATCACCTGATCTGTTTGAAAGGCTGTAGTCTGTGTTTATGATAAAGTATCATATAGCAGATCATATCAATTTCAATATACATTTATGTCAGCCTCCTACAGAATGCATTAGTGCATTAAATGTTCTTGTTAGCTATTCTTTTTCATTAATTCCTCGAACAATGTCTTACTATCACCATACACATACTTAATTAGCACATTTCTTCACTAGAAAGGACTATTTTTATTAGTAACTTCACTTGAATGATTTTGTTTATACCCGTACTTTGTAATTTGCTTGATATGTATCAGCACTTTTATTAAATATTTACACATATATTATACTTCACACCTCAAATGAAATGAGGTTTACGTACCATTTTAATGCACCGACGGGCATGTGACATGCAAGGTGCTATGTGGGATATTTTGTCTTGACAGTGATTATACAGCCTACTCTTATCTTGATTTCCAACAGTCAAGTCTTCTTTGACGTGTATGCTAATGTGTACACAGGATTGGTTGAGGTGGTGGTGCAATGGGGCCTTCAAGCAAAATTAACATGGTTCTGGGACGTAATCAAATATTGATTAGATTCAGGCTAAGGTCTTATGTTCCCACTAATAGGAAATGAAATGAAATGAAATGGGGTTTAATGTCCTACTGTTCTGCTCCTATGCTGGGCTAATGAAGACGGGCATATGCCATACAGTGTGCTATGAGGGAAATTTTGCCCGGGCAGCGGCACTATCGCCTACTCTTATATCGAATTCCAACTGCCAAGGAATCTTTTACTTGCATTCTAATGTATACACGGGACCCCACTAATAGGACCCTATATTTATATCTATGTATTTCTGGCATGATGCCATGCATCTTCAATAGAAGGCTTGATCTCGCTTTAACTACGTACATCTTATCAAGGCCTTCACGTAATACCCTGATTTCGGCACTAATTTCGATTGGGTACAAGCCAAGCTTGTGAGCCTATCAGATTCCTCAATCGTCGCAAATGCCAAGTCTTGTGCTTTCAAGCTAAAAAGTCTACCTGTGATAATCGAGTTGCAAAATTCAAGGTTCGTTCCATGTCAAGGTTTCCGTGGAGGTCGCTATGTCAGAAGCTCTAATTGGACGCTACTGTTCACATGTCTGTAGATAATGTAGCTATAAGTTGGGGAATTGTGATGTAATCTAGCAACGTCTAGATGTTGTAAAACTCGCTCCAACCTCGTGGGTTTTCTCCGGGTCCTCTGGTTTCCTCCCACTGCTAAAGAATTATTGAAATAAAATGAAACCATATGTTAGTCCCAAAATGACCTAGTTTGCGTCGAGTGGACGTTAAACCCTATCTCTCTCTCTGGGTAAAACTCGCAGTCGTTGCTTCAGGAACGTGGATGCCATGGGTATCTATCTATCCATATCAGTCCCAACATGTTCTGCAGTAAAAGGCACAGTTTCACACTACTGAAGTAAACACAGCCATGCTCAACTCTATTTACAACCACACTAGAAAGCTCAGAGAATTTAAATATTTGTTTTTTCTTTTTCAGGATATCTTAGTTGGACTGCTGTCTGTCTCAATTTTGTTGTTTATCTTGGTTCCCTGGGCTGAAGTTTCTGTGCTTTTTCTTGTGGGAAACAAATATGGTGGCCCAATCAATGTGGCTTCTGCTCTGGCATTGGCTTATTTTTACCCAACACTGGAGTATCAAAAATGGAGCAGTGCCCGTGGTGATACTACTGTTTTTCTTGGCGTAGCCTCGGGATTGTTGTTTGGATCTTGGTTGAACTGTCAAACAGGTTTATTTGTTGAAGAGGAGATGACGTTTCCCTACGCTAGAACAGTATTTGAATATCAGATGGTCAAAAACACAATGGGACGATTAGTTATGGGAGTAATAGCTATAGCAGTCATGCGTTTTATAATGAAATTATTTACTTTTAGAACTCTCTGTTTTATATTTAGAAAAGATGCAAACGATCCGAAATCGAAAACTTGTGTAATGATCGAAATTCCCTATAAATATATCAGTTATTTTGTTCTGGCTTTTGGGGCTTCTTACCTCGCACCTCAGATATTTCAATATTTTGGTATGGATAGATCGTCCTATTACACAGAAATTTTCCAGTGAAAATAAGCTGTGGTCCGTTGGATGATTATCACTCACAAAACTGCTGAATCACAAATTTATTGAGGATCTTCGGAAACAGTAAAAAAAACCTCCTCAACCACTATTTTTAAAAGAAAATTGTTTATATAATTTGATTAACTTGGAGAAGGAACATGAAATGTAAATACATGTAATTTGTAGATTTTTTTATGTATATTGTAGATTTTGTATGTATCCGTCATTGTTTATCGTATCTTGTTTATGTTTTTATTTATATTTATATTTTCGTTAAAACCAAAAAAACTTGATTGTTTTATTGTGTATTCAAATAACAAAACCTGTTTTATTGACCATCATTTAGAAAAGCTTTTATTCATTAGCTAGTCAATTTGAGAAAGTCTGTCCAGTTTATTGATTAAACTCTGTAGGTGTGATAAGCTTTTAACAAGTTCCGTCTTCATTAGCCCAGTATAGGAGCAGAACAATAGGACGTTAAAACCCATTTCATTTCATTTTAACAAGTTATCTCCCTTGGAGGTATATGTAACAATGTGCCCCTCCAAGTAATGTAAACAGTATTTGAAATATGGCGGTAATTTTATAAACATGTTCATTATTATCGGATAAAATATCCTAAAAACCACGGTGAGCGACCTGAAGTTAAAGACTACAAATGACCAGCATCTATTAAACCATAGCAACGCATCTATAAAACCATGCATGTCATTGTGGAGAGAAATCTGGTTGTTTGGTCTTTTTAAATGATGACTAAAGAGACTAAACAATCAAGACTATTAACTTGATGTAGCCCCATGATTACTAATGAGACTGAACAATCAATACTATTAACTTGATGTAGCCCGATGTTGTTTTTTTTATTGGTTAGATATAGGAAATTTATCTGCTGTTCAACATTAAGAATGCTATTCAATGTCCAAGTTTATCATTAAGAATGCAAACAAAGAAATAAGATCATAAGGTCTGTCATTGATTCCAGTGGCATTGATTTTCTCCCACAGCTAAAGACTTCAAATTATTGAAATAAACTTGAACCATACGTTAGTCCTGAAATGACCTAGTTTGTGTCATTTGGACATTAAACCCTATTTCTCTGTGTATTGTATATGTTTATAAGATGTGCCAACACCTGTATACTCTAGAAACAGTATTTAAACAAAGTTCCTTTAATTTACTGGTTTTACCATCGCTCATGTGTCTTTAAACTTACTTGATAAAACATTCATTTCCCTACATTTCTTGTAAATAAATTCAACTGTTTGTCCTGTATTTGTCAAATGTGAACAATCTTGCTTTGTAAGTGCCATTCTGTAGTATTTATCATCAAGCACATGCTATTAATATTTGCACTGAGTGACCATAACTTGAGAATTGAGAATTCCAAACTGTAGACATCCGCAAAGCTCTCTGTTGGATAGAATGAACCCATGAATTCGAGAGCTGAATAGTGTATAAAACATTCAATCCATTTTTTTGTGTGTTTTTGACAAAATTTGTAACTGCAGTTAAGCCTGCTATAAATAATGTTGCAAATTTTATGTTTATTATTTGTCATTTGGCATACTGAAGAGTGCTATATAAGGCCAGACCAATTTTGTATTAAGTTCTTTGGGATCTTGTTAAGGGATGTTGTTTTTTTCCCTTTCAAATTTTGTAACTTAAGAATTTGTTTTATTCTAAGAAATGAGAAGCAAAACTTCAATGGATATTCTTGAAGAACTCAAATTCAAATTGGCACGGCCTAATAAATATTTAATATTTTAGTTTACTCCCGGTACTGTATGAAATATGTGACTAGTTTTGACTCATAAAACAATAGTCAAAAACTCAAAACACAACTAGACAACATGCGTGTCAGAGATGATCACATATATTACATGTATATATATATATATATATATTTATTTATATATCTATAGTATTTTTAAAAGTGAAAAAAAAAAAAATGTTTCTGTGTCTTTGCTATTTTTCTAATTTTACTTTGGCCAACAATTAATATTTTTATTTAATGATTTTAAACATCAAACAATGTTTAAACTCTATTATTTGATTTGGCGATGTTATAATGAACACATATATTGTAATAGTGGCCATTGTCAATTCTCAACAAAATTAAAATCATCCTACATGTAGGCCAGGGCCTTGGTTTCAGTCATATTTGTCAGAGGTTCAAAGAATTGAAATAAAAGACAAGAAAGACAGTTAAATTTATAGATTTCTTACGTAAAAAAGCCATTTAATTGGGATAATGCTAAAAATTGTCTTAATATCCTTAAGTGATTTTTAGAGGTAGAGGTATAATATTCATAACAACACAACTTTATGGTTTATTACATGCAACGTTTCAATACTCGTGCGGGGTTGGATGGCCGAATGGTTAGCACGTGCGCACTGAATCATACGGTCTGTCATTGAGTCAATTCGCCGGTTGTTTGTGACAAGGAGTAGGGTCGCTTGTCCAACCTTGTGTGTTTTCTCAGGTCCTCCGGTTTCCTCCCACTTCTAAAGACCCCTACGTGCAAGCAAATTATTGAAATAAAATTGAACGATGTGGTAGTCCCAAAATGACTTGGTTTGTGTCAAGTGGATGTTAAACCCCATATCTCTCTCTCAATACTCGTTTATTACATGCAAGGTTTCAATACTCATACAGGTATCTTTAAGAGTATTGAAATGTTGCATGTAATAAACCAAGAAGTAGTAAATCCATAAAGATGTATTGTTATTTATAATATTTTCCTTATTCAAGATAAACAAAATACGTTGACCTGCTGGCAAAATTTTGAAGTAAAAACCCTGGTCTAGGTGTTCCGAGTTTTGACTAATATTATACTTGCTCATGAATATTCCTCACTGTGATATATTTGTATGAAGTTTTATGCAATTGTTTGACATTCAGTCTGTTTTAATGCATAATTATATTCACATTCTCATTGTTTTCACGTTAAAAATATGTTTAAATCTATGGCCTTAAGATCAAATATTTTACCATATTTAATCTTTTATTAGATAGTTTTCAATGAAAAATCTTAATAATTTGAATATTGTATTCATAATTCTAGGGCTCACAGATTTGAAATATGAAGTTCATTGCACAATGATTTCTCATTTTTGGATCTGAATGTGATGAATGTGGAGAACACTATTTCTAATCCAGTCATGCGCCCCTTTGCCTTTGATAATAAGCAATCTAACTGTTTTATTTAGACACTGAATATGGTATCAATATGATGGTTCGGTTTGATTCGGTATCTGGTTCGGCTCTGGATAATAATAATTAGTTACTGGTACTTACAAAATCATCCTTAGACTTGACTGTTTTGCATGTAAAATGGCAAACTGTTTCACAGTAGTAATGCTAAAGCCTTCTTTTAACACTATACAAGATGACTAACCTTTAAGGTCACGCCCTGTATAGTTTTATGTATAAGGTCACATCATATAGCGTTGATAACACAGGTATTGCTTAGATACTGGTCCAGGCAGAATTGATGCCTTCTTCTACCTATTCACGCCTCTGCGTACAATTTTATGTATCCATTTACATTGAATAGGAAATATTTTTTATCCACATATACCTCAAACCATTATTATTTCTCTTAATAATTAAAAAAATTGTTTTAGAATTAAATTTACAGAGGAAACAAAGTTACTGTTGAGTGGTAATTAACTTGCGCCAAAGTCATCTCTATCAGTGATATTGGCAGCCAATAGAATATTTACTGTTGATCAGTTTGGTAAAAAAGTAGACATAATATAATATACTGTATTCAATATATACAATGTAAAAAGAAAAGAGTAAAAATATGTAAATAAATAAAAAATACAATATCAGATTAAAGATTTGTACTTATAGTAAACAATTGGGTTGTTAAGTCTCTCTAGCAGAGCGTTTCACAAAGATAGCAGAAAAATGTTCGCAGAACCAGTAATATGATAAATCAATTATCAAAATAGGGAACCAAACAGATAATGATTGCTTTTTCACTCAAGTCCCATGCAAAAGGAACTGGATATAGAATCAATCTGCAACCTCCTGAATAAAATGGTTTGGCGATTAGCTTTACTGGATTAGAAACAGTGTTCACCTATTTTGTGAAATATCTAAAATAATTTATTATTCCATCTGTTTGTGTATGCAATGAGCATCAAATGAATGTACATAGGTCAATCAAAGTCAATCAAATTCAATCTAAGAGGTTAAACAGAAGAGAATGGTATTTAAGGCCCATTCAACACAAACTAGGTCATTTTGAGACTAACATATAGTTTAATTTTAATTCGCTTTCACATATGGGTCTTTACCAGTTGGACAGGTGACCCTACTCCTTATCACGTACAAGCTGGGAATCAAAACCATGCCACTAGACTAAATGACAAACCTCATATTCTAAAGTGCACGTTAAACAATTCGGGCCGCTAAAGCGGTGGACAGGCTAGTCGGATGATTCGACCCTGAATTCCAGCTGAATGAGATTCGGCCGAATAACTGGACATACTAGGCGAATCCTTTGCTCGATTAGCCAATCGATTGCATCTCGATTAAACATGGTAGCGACCATGTCTGCAAACAATCACATGACTTTTCGATATGACTGGTGATTGGCTAATGAATTCTACAATCAGACGAATGCTTCGACGAAGCGAGCATACTAGGGGAACATAGTTCGGCTGAGTATATCAAACATGTTTGATTAGGGTGAATCATTCGGCTAATTTGTTCACCGCTTAAGAGATTAAAGATGAATGAAATGAATTGTGTTCTATTATATCAACAACTGTCTACCTCTACTTATAATTTCAAATTATTTATTCTCCACAATGAAATATGTATGTCTCAGTAACAACTCGTTTCTATCTAAGGCTAATGTTTTGTTCATATTTTCCTGTACTGACAGGCTTATTGCTATGTAATGAATGAAATTTTTTTCCATCAATCTGTTGTATATTAAGAATTGCCGACAGAATATCACTTTCCATACATGCTATTAACAATTTTTGGATGACTTAGCTGCTGTGGGCATGTTTTGTTGCCTGGCAAGCTAGCTTCTTTAAATTGGTAGTAAGACATGGATTTTAAGGAGAGTAGTAGCAGATTGTTTTTATCTTCATTTGTCATGATATACAGATATGAAAACAATTCCTGTGAAAGAAATCAAGCCATATTTATTTTATCCTTTGATGTTGGTGTACCATTATTTCAAATTATTTATACTAGATAAAATATCAGACTTTGTGTGATGATTTCATTGAAATGAAAGTGCAAGACATTGCGTGATATATTGATAAAACATGACGCCATCATGCAGTATCAAACTGTTACTTAATGTCTCGCTCTCCCAAATTTTTAGGATGACATAAATGTTTATAAAAAAAAAAGAGGAAGTGAATTTGTGCCATTTTTTTTCCTAGCCAAATGGGTTCCCGTGTACAAACTGGGTGATTGAATGGTGTATATGGACTAAAAACATATTCAAACTAATTAATTTGTCATAATTTTGCTTCAAATCCTTCTCAAACATTGTAATTGCGAAGGAATGTCCTACTATAAAAATTCGATCAAACCAGGTCATGCCTACGTCACGTGACTTACCTCTCTTGGAAGTCAGAGGAGAATTCATTGCATACATAAGACGATGTTGTCTTTAATCGCTTACTATTTATTACAAATATCGAATCCTAATTAAATTCTCGGATTATCCACTACCCGTGTCTTTTTCTGTAATTTTTATCTCAGAAAGTGTTGTACGTCTAACTCTTCATAAATTTTATCAACAAATGTACATCATGCGCTTGATGTTCGCGTGTGACCTTTGACATCACGCGTGCAGAAATTCCTAACCGTCGGGCTGTTGATTTTTTGTCCTGTATACGCTCCATGAGTGTTTTTCGGGGAATCCAGTATTTTTCTAGTAAGATTGGATATCTCTACTTTCCATATATACCAAAATTACCATACTTTTATTGGAAATAACCACCCGATAAATACTTTTTTAATTTTTATAGCAGGACATTCCTTCGCAATTACAATGTTAGAGAAGGATTTGAAGAAAAGTTATGACAGATTAATAGGTTTGAATATATTTTTAGTCCATATATACCAATAAATCACCCAGTTTGTACAAGGGAACTTTAAAACTGAAATTTGAAACTAAAAACTCTTGAACTGCACAACCATGTACTTTTGGATTTTAAAAAACTGTTTTTTCCGAAGACATTTTTTTACAGTTGTTCCTGAAGAATAGAAAATCAAATTGATGTGGACTAAATTTTAGTTGGACGACATCCATTACTAATAAATTGTACTAATTACTGATATGGGCTATGTGGAATTATCTTGAATCTTTTAATACAATGTATTAAAAAAAAAAAAAACAACCAAAAAAAACCTTGCTTAGCAGATGTTGTATTTTGAAATATATGAATTTGTTTGTACAATGTAATTTATTAAACTGAAGAGTTTTGTTGAATAAAACCAATTACCAAACCAATATTGTTCGGTGAATTTGCAACAACAGAGAGAGAGAGAAATGGGGTTTAATGTCCACTCGGCAACCATCGGGTCATTTCGGGACTAATGCATGGTTCAATTTTTTTTCAATAATGCGCTTGTGCGTAGGGGTCTTTAGCAGTGTGAGGAAACCGGAGGACCCGGAGAAAGCCCACGAGGTTGGACAGGCAACCCTACTCCTTGTCACGTACAATCGGGGAATTGAAACCATGCCAGTTGACTCAATGACAGACCCATACTGCACGCAGCGATCCATCTACGTCATACTTCCCAGAATGTGATTCTCAGCCGGAGCTAGCTGTAGATAGGCAGCCTAAGTTTGGGATGTGACAGACCTTATGATACAGCAGGTATGGATCAGACAATCTGAGGAATATATCGGTTAATGTTAAAATGGACCTCACACAATAAAGGGACTGACAGTCGAGACTTTGTTTATTATCATGGCAATGGTACTTGACAATCAGCTATTTCTTGTTGGAACGTGAAACACTCGTAACTCCACTAAAATAATTTGACGGAAATTTACAATAGATTCCTTTTTCATTATCTTTTTCTGAACTATTATAGCTCTTTATCTGAATCTTATATAATGCACCTTTAAGATGATGTATTCACTCATATGATAATGGGGTCATTATCTATTAAAATTATGTAATACATATATCTACCTAACTATCAAAGACGGATATCATGAATATTACAGGTTAAAGGTGAGACTATTATCAGATTGTTCTATTTCAACATATCTACAGACAATCTATGGGGATGAGGTGACACCTGACTCAATCATGTGTCACTTTCCAATACAAACTAGTAGGGTTGGGTGGATGAATGGTTTAATGCGTGCAGAAAAGTAGGACAATAAGCTCGATATCATTTCATATCTCAACCAAGTGCAACTGATTGATCAAAATAAAGAATTAGCATGTTAGTCGCAGAATTAACTCATTGTTTTAGAAGATAAGAAAGACTCAATTACGATTACCTTACCCTGATTTTTGTTTACCCTAAACTTTTCTCTCTCATTTCCATGGGAGAGAGAGAGAGAGAAATGGGGTTTAACGTCCACTCGACACAAACTAGGTCATTTCGGGACTAACATATGGTTTAATTTTTATTTCAATAATTTGCTTGCGCATAGGGGTCTTTAGCAGTGGGATGAAACCGGAGGACCCGGAGAAAGCCCACGAGGTTGGACAGTTGACTCAATGACAGACTGTATGATACAGAGTGCGCATGCTAACCATTCGGCCATCCAACCCCCCCATTTCCATGGGTCTAAAACCTCAGTCTTGGTGTGATTTTCTCTAGACAAATTCCAACACTAAAATTTCGGTAGTATTTTCAAGAACCTTACACAGTAAATAAGCTAGAAATACTTGTACATAGACAATACAACTCCAACTCCCCCCCCCCCCCCAAAAAAAAAAACCAAATTGTAACAAAAATATTTTTTTTTACCACCGACTGACCACAATTTTTGTTCCTTACACAACTGTGAATAGTAGATTGTTTTTGGAGGAAAGATATGATGACAAGGGGGGTCACATGGCTAAATGGGTAAGACGCTGGCTCGCTAGCCTGGAGGTCGGGTGTTCGATCCCTGCATTGACCGAGAAAGTTTATTCAGATTTTCCGGCGTGGTTTCCCCTTGTCAGTGATGCAGGATGGAAGGCCTGGCAAGGACAGCTGTCTAGTCGTTTGGATGGGACGAAAAACCGAGGTCCCTTGTACACATTGGCGTGCACGTAAAAGATCCCTTGGCAGTTGGAATTCGATATAAGAGTAGGCCGTAGCGCCACTGCCCGGGGCAAAATTTCACTCATAGCACACTGTATGGCATATGCCCGTCTTCATTAGTCCAGGTTAGGAGCAGAACAGTAGGACGTTAAACCCCATTTCATTTCATGATGACAAGGATATATTATATTTAGATACATTGCATTAGGTAAAAACAACAGATTTGTTTTAAATGTACACCAACAGGTGTACACCTCAGTTTTTTGACCTATCCAAATGACTAGATCCCTTTCCTTGCCAGAACAAGGATAGGAAATCCTGACAACACCAGGATCAAACCTGGCACCTTCTGGTAAATGAGTCAGCGCTTCCTTCACTGTGCCAACTTGACTCACACTTTAACATGTATTTTCACAAGGTTAATTGCTATTGTTATTGCTGAACCAGATGGTGCCACTGAAGGAAAACATTCTTGATAACCAAATCAATAAATTCTTCACATCCTTATCAGAGAACTATGACTTATAATGCCATATTAATGAACAAGATGAAAGCATGGGTTGAAGCATTTTAACTGACAATTCTCTAAAGACAGTTTAGACAATCAGAAAATTTCCAATATTTTCAATCAGCATTTACTGTTCATGCGAGGTAGTGCAAATTCTCTGATCCAGCTTAAAGATAGCTTTGTTCTTTTATGGAAACACTATTCTAGAAAGACAGTCATTGCTTTCTATATATATACATCAAAATCTGTAAGCATCTTACTATCTATTAACAGACATATAATTAATCATTAATAGACTACAAATATCTACTCATCATGTCAGACACGGATGTAAGATATTCTATTATTAAACCCAGTGGTGTGCCGATCTTTTAGGGAAGGGAGAAATGGTGTTTAACTTCCACTCGACACAAACTAGGTCATTTTGGGACTAATATATGGTACAATTTTATTTCATTAATTAGATTACGCAAAGGAGGTTAGACAAGCGACCCTACTCGTAGTCACCTGCAAGCTTGGAGTCAAAACCATACCACTAGACTCAATGACAGATCCCCCACCCCCCCCCCTGCAAAAAAATTGGAAAGGTTTTAGTAGGACTCATGTGATAATACCAAGAATCCCTCGCTAAAATTATCAATATTCATATTCTTCGAAAATAGATTGTTAAATACGTGTTTGTTTATAGTTGTGCAGAAATAGAGAAATGTGGGCACTCAACACTGCCACCCCACCACCCCCACATAAAATAGTCCTGTACGCCTACGATTATAACTGTTATAAAATCAATACTACATCAAGTTGAGACATACATATAAGTATTAATCACCTTAGTTTTTATTGATTAATACAAACAGATAGTTCTATAAATAACTGCATGCCAACTCAATTGATTTCATAATTTAATAATAATTACCTCCCTTACTACCATTATTACAGATGTTTCAAAAATAAAGAGAGAGAGAGAAATGGGGTTTAACGTCCACTCGACACAAACTAGGTCATTTCGGGACTAACATATGGTTTAATTTTATATACATAATTCGCTTGTGCGTAGGGGTCTTTAGCTGTGGGAGGAAACCGGAGGACCCGGAGAAAACCCACGAGGTTGGACAGGCGACCCTACTCCTTGTCACGTACAACCGTGGATTCGAAACCACGCCAGTCGACTCAATGACAGACTTTATGATACAGCGCGCGTGCGCGCACGCTAACCATTCAGCCATCAAACCCCCCTTCAAAAATAAACACTGAGATGGAATGAAATGAAATGGGTTTAATGTTCGACTTTGCGGCAACGAATGGGTTAATGAAGACGAGCATACACCGTGCAGTGTACTATGTTCTTTTATGTGCACAGGGCCTCAGTTTTTCATCTCATCCAAACGAAATGAAATGGCGTTTAACATCCTACTGTTCTGCTCCGACTGGGCTAATGAAGATGGGCATACGCCATGCAGTGTGCTATGAGAGAAATTTTTGCTCGGGCAGCGGCACTATGGCCTACTCTTATATATCAAATTCCAACTGCCAAAGGATCTTTTACGTGCACACCAATGTATGCACAGGACCTCTGTTTTTCATCTCATCCAAAAGACTAGGCAGCTGCCATTGTTAGACCCTCTGTCCTGCACTACTGACAAGGCAAAACCAGGCTGGAAAATCCTGAGGAAATTTCTCAGCCAACAAAGAAGTAAAGGAGCTTAACCTCTAACTCAATTTTATTCATGATATTCAAAATTAATATTGGTCCATTTCTATCAATATTGATGTTGTTATCTTACTGTAAGAAAAGGGTCATTTCGGGATTAACATATAGTTCAATTTCATTTCAATAATTTGCTAGCGCATAGGAATCTAGTGCATAGGGATCTTTGGCAGTCGAAGGAAACTGGTGTTGGATAGGTGAATTGAAATCAAACTAACAACATAGCTTGTACTATTTAATATCATCAACCATATAAACATTTCATTCATACTATACATGTATATTATCTTAAACATATTCATGTTTATCAACATATACATTAAGCACTCCCTAATGAAAAGAGGTTAGACAACCTACGCGTGCAACCATTGACCTCATTCGAGCAGGCAACCATAATCATATAGCTGCCAATAAGTGCACAGGGAATCCAGTATTTTTGTAGTAAGATTGGATATTTCTACTTTATATACCAAAATTGCCATACTTTTGTGGGAAAGTATCTTTAATTCTTTTTTCTCCGGTATATCTATTTATGATTTTTGAAAGAAAGCGGAGATATCTCCAGAACTAGCTGCTCCTGCTAATCGTCTAACTTGAGCTCGTTTAGTAGCTTGTTTAGCTGTAACTGTATGATGACAGATGACACATAATGTTCTCATATTATCAATATCACACATACCACCTCCTTCCCATACAGGTTTTATATGATCTACATGCCAAAACTGGAAAATAAAAATGTCACAAAATCGTACAATAATTTTCTTGCGTGTAGGTTTTTTTTTAGCACCTGAGAATACCCATGGAGTTTGGTAGGCGACCCTACTGATACGTACAAACTTGGGACAAAATCTACCTCACTGACCTAATGATCTAAAGTGAACACATTAGACCACTTGGCCACCCAATGTCTCCATGTTACATCAAAGTGTGAAATTGACAATCATACATGTATTAATGATAAACTGATAGGCCTTTACCGCTTTCCCCAAAAGATTTATTGCTCAGAAAATTTGGTGTCAAATGGAGAGAGAGAAATAGAGTTAGCAGTATGAGGAAACCAAAGGACCCAGACAAAACCCATGAGATCTGACCCTATTCCTTCTCACGTACAAGCAGGGAAGCGAAACTCCACCATTTGACTCAATGATAGGCCTTAAAGTCTAAAGCGAACATGTTACACCACACGGCCACCATATTACATCAAAATGTAAAATTGATAATTATACAAATTATACGTGTATTAATGATAAACTGATGGCCACTTCATTGTTTTATCAATCAGCTTTTTCAAACATCAAGCGGCTGAAACCGACTATAATTAGCCGATTAAGATCCCCGGTGTTACCTCTTTCCTCAAATTTACTGTAAAGTAAATGGGGACAAAAATGAAAGTAGAACTGATTACCTGTCCTTCCACTGGTTTTCTTGTCATTTGTTCTTTTATCTTAGACTTGAGTTTACAAAATTTACTTTCACTGATTAATTTGATTCTTTGTTTAACATCAGTAGTTTCTCTGTCAAATATTTTATAAAGAATAAAATAAATTACATGTACATCTTTTATAGATAAAGACAAGGGCATATGAAAATAACAACCTGATTAAAAAACAGATCTATATTTCGTTTCGTTTTTTTAAACTTTCGATGTCCTACACTACATGAAGATCTGACCAGTTGTATTAGGAGGTCACATCAGGGGTCGTACCAGTGGCTTTTGACCCTATGACGTCAGATATTGATTAATCAATCTGCTTTGACTTTTCTAGTGGTTTACCCACAGTTCCGTTCATCGCACGCCCAGAACTCACCGTAACAGGTGGTTTCATTGACTAATCCCTCACGCCATCCAGAATGTAGGTTCTATAACAACTTTTCCAGATTGAGAAAATAAAAGTTAATCCCATAATGAATTAATAGAATAAATACAGCATATGATTTGGTTCTTACTTATTAGTTGCTGAACAATCACAAGATGTTAAATCTTTAATGCCTGAAGGTAAAGGGCCATAACTCATAATTGTTACCAAATTTTGAAAGTTGTCAAACAGCATGTTTAATAATTACATTTTGAAACCTCTATCTAATTATTGATGGATCATAGTATATTTCGGTCACAAAGGTTATTAGTTCTAACCCTAACCAGTTAGCTACTATTAGCACTAGGTAGTGTCTATTTAACATTGGTTTTCATGACTAATATAGTATTTTTACAAATATGGTTAATTTTTTAGACAGACTAATAAATAATGGAACAAGTTTTCATGAATAATATAGTATTTTTGAGAATACGGTTAAAATTTTAGATAGACTGATGAATAAAGGGATAGGTTTTCCTGAACAAAATCATATATTTACGTATACAGTTAAACTTTTAGACAAACTGATAAATAAAGGGACAAGTTTTCATGAATAATATAGTATTTTTATCAATATGGTTCAATTTTTAGATAAACTGATGAATAAAGGGAAGGGTCTAAATGAATAATATAGTATATGTATTTATAGACTGATGAATAAAACAGTATGTTTACCAATATCGTTAAACTAACCTGATTTGTATATAAAATGAATGGGCATCAAACTGACAAACTTGACATATTCCATGTTCTATCTGATATATCTTATCACGACAATATCCACTATCAGTTTTAGTCTAAATACAAAAACATATATCATATTGGGAGGTTTATTACATTCTACAAGTTGAGAGCTTGACGACATTTTACAACAACGACATTTTACAACAACTCGAGAGGTTGACAATATTTTACAAGAGGTTGATGACATTTCTTACAAGTTGAGAGGTTGATGATATTTTACAAGTTGAGAAGCTGACAATATTTTACAACAAATTGGGAGGTTAATGATATTTTACACCAAGTTTAGGAGGTTGATGATAATTCACAACTTAAAGATACATTATGTTAGATTTATATAAAGAACTAGCCATTCTTGCTATAATAGTTCGAAAGTAAATGATGTAAAATGAATAATTTGAAAATTTCATTCAAATTACTCTATTACAAGCGAAGATATTAGCCTTTGAAGGTTTGACAGACGTGAGCAATAATTTCAACCACCGTAATGGTTGATCGAAGCTAAGTCTCGGTCCGCCATATTTGATTAAAACAAAGTATCGCTGAACCATTCTAATCTATTTAATATCGGAGAAATCTGATGCCATCGAGAGTTGATTAAGGCCTGGATCAGTTAATTAATGTCTAATTAATACTTTAGAAAACATTTCAGGCCTAAAGAAAGACCTGCAATAGGCAGATTTAGGTCTTGCATAATGCATGTTTAAGAGATTGACGATATTTTACAAATTGTCAATTCAAGGCATCATAGGCTTCACACCAGTACCATCAGATTATTTTCCTGATAAAGGCAAAATAAATTTTTCTAAATACCTGAATTAAACTTAATTCTTGATTTCATACTAATAATCATATATTATTATTTTACCGCATAAAAGATTGCTTGCCAGGCAATACAAAAAATTGTTGAAAATCAAAAGGACTCTTCCTTTCTATGGGACTGACAACCAGTATAAATTTAAGAAAGACAGATTAATAATTGCAGCCTATAAAGTGCTAACAAAGATTTCGTGTAACAAAGGGCATTAACTCTGGAAGTCAGTGATGATCGATGGAAATCAATAGGCCTCTTTATTTCAATGTGATAGACAATTTAAAAGATATAGGAATTGTTGTAGATTGTGTAAAAATAAATCAGGATGAACGACAAGAGTGACGTCAATATAAGGCAATAACTATAGATGTTATCGAAAATCAATGACATTAATAGTCTTCTTCATTTGAGGACGGTTGGACAAGGGTAATGTCATTATAGGGCGGCCACATTAAACAGTGGGTGTATAGAAACTCTTATCTTACCCAATGAGAATCAGCACAAGGTAAAGAACAGAATCTGTTCTGCCAAGCGTTGTTTGTTGATGTAATAGTATTATCAGTTAAGAGAGAATTAGAATATGGCTGTTCACAGTTTAAACATAGAGGTACACCATCTTTATTCACAACCTAAAAATGAAATATAACCAAAATAGATTAAATTCCTTTAAAAAAGGTCACTGTTAACCTAGTTGCCCTGAAATTCTTTGACCTAAAGAGATGAAAAATACAAATTCAAATGCCACAAGTATAGTTAAAAACAAGATATTTATTGTATAACACACAAAACCTTTCGACCATAGACAAAATTCATCCCAAAAAGATATTTATCAAAAAAGAGTGGAAAAAAAAATCGAGCTCGATATAATTTAGGATTCCCACACATCTTGATTAGAAATTAATAATAATATATTAATGTGCTTGTTGCAATTAGAAGCAGTATTTGTTTTTCAAAGAAAAAATGATGTTATTATTATCCATTAATTATCATTATGTTCTTCACACATTTTACAAATAATTCATTATCACCATGTTAACACCTGTTACAAATAGTACATTATACTATTAGGCCAAACCAATTTAATTTTCAGTTCTTCAAGGTCTTGATATATAAATAGCCACTTGAATCATGTGAAACATGTTTTGTTTAAAATTTCAAAACTTAAAAATTTGGAACTAAAAGCTTTTGAACAGCACAACCACATACTTTTAGTTTTTAAAGTCTTTTTCCAAAAGCAATAAGAAAGAAAATATCTACAGGTGTTACCGAAGAACAGAAAATGAATTTAGTGTGGCCTTAATTACTTTTTCATTATAAACAACAAACATAATCTCATTTACACACAACATAATATCATTAGAATATATCATATATTAATATATTGTTATCTTGACTTATTAAACTGGAAGTGAAATGAAATGAAATGGGGTTTAACGTCCTACTGTTTTGCTCCGAGCTGGGCTAATGAAGACGGGCATACGCCATACAGTGTGCTATGAGGGAAATTTTGCCCGGACAGCGGCACTACGGCCTACTCTTATATCGAATTCCAACTGTCAAGGGATCATTTACGTGCACGCCAATGTGTACATGGGACCTCGGTTTTTTGTCTCATCCGAATGACTAGACAGCTGTCCTTGTCAGGCCCTCCGTCCTGCATCACTGACATGGGGAAACCACGCCGGAAAATCTGGATGAACTTTCTCGGCCAATGCAGGGATCGAACACCCAACCTCCAGGCTAGCGAGCCAGCGTCTTACCCATTTAGCCATGTGATCCCCCTTGTCATCATATCTTTCCTCCAAAAACAATCTACTATTCACAGTTGTGTAAGGAACAAAAATTACACTGGACACAAATTCTATAGAATACAATTAATGCTTATTACTGACTTTATGAACCAATGACATAATTTAAATGTATGTGTGAAAAAAGCTTTATTTAACAACAATACCTTAGTTAATGATGGCCAATTAGTGACGTGCCATTACCTTGAAGGAGACCAAACTTAATTAACATAAAATTATTACGGAAATTATCATGTCCATTGTGCTTCAAGGTAATAAGTGGCATGTCTCTGACGGGTTATCATTACTAAGTATTGTTTATATATGTTTCATAATATATAGATAGAACTCAATGACCATTGAATACCGCTTGGGTTATTCAATGGTTCAAGAGAGTGTATCCCTGCAGAAGGGATATACACTCGAGTGAACCATTGAATAACCTGAGCGGTATTCAATGGTCATTGAGTTCTGTTTTTATTCTATAACTATATGAAAATCTCAAAATACACTGTACTACTCAGATTATCAAAAACAAAATCATCAATAACGTTAAAATTCATCATAGGTTCCCCCTTTTTTTCTTTCTTTATTTAAAAAAAATTGTGGTTGCTAGTGTTAACATCATTACAGTTTGACGTAATTCTGAAAGTGACGTCATTCTGGACAAAAGTAGTATGTGTACAAGCCATTGAATACAACCATAGGTTATTCAATGGCTGTATTCAATGATATTTACTTATATTTGCATGTAGTTATAGAATAAATTATTACTGCTTGATAAAGACTAGAGAGAGAGAGAAATGGGGTTTAACGTCCACTCGACACAAACTTGGTCATTTCGGGACTAACATGTGATTCAATTTTATTTCTATAATTCGCTTGCGCATAGGGGTCTTTAGCAGTGGGAGGAAACCAGAGGACCCAGAAAAACCCACGAGGTTGGACAGGCGACACTACTCCTTGTCACGTACAACCAGGGATTCGAAACCACGCCAGTTGACTCAATGACAGACCTTCGATACAGCACACACATGCTAACCATTCGGCCATCCAACCCCCTTGATAAAGACTAGAGAAGCTTACTAAAACCACAGCTCCATAATAAATTGTAATTGATTTCAATAGAATTGTGACCTGTGCATTAATAGATTTGTTTATCTCTGTCAAGAATAGTTGTAACGTAATTAATTTCCTGATAAACAAGCAATTAATCAATTTCCAAATGAACAACCAATCAACCAATTACCGGTTAAACAACCAGTTAATCAATTTCCTGATAAACAACCAATTAATCAATTTCCGGTGAAACAACCAGTTTGTAATTCCTCTGAACCCAGTGATGAATACCACTGTTTGTTATCATGTCAATATTTTTACCAATGATAGAAAATCGTATTTAGATAAGTATATTTCCATCACAGACCAAATACCATAAAAAAGTACCATCCAATGAATTTGACAACAGCCAATGAAATTATCCAAACTTATAAATCAAATTAAAGGGAGAGGCTACCCAAAAATTTTGTTCTGAAATTTTAAAGCTATTGAATTGAAAATGATACAAGTAGTTAGGAATTGTAAAAAAAGTTGTTGCCAGGGTAACCCATTTTTTGGGGAAAAAGTATGAAAAACATTGGTACACCCTATCTCTGTAACTAATTAAGATATCTTCATCAAATCTGTAGGATATATAAACAAATATCTACCCCTGAATCAGACAGAAAGCAATTTGAATTATTTCAAAAGTTATAAAATATTTCTCAAAAGACAAATATTGTGGTGAGGCAAATGATTTAAACACCATTTTCCAAGAAACTATGAAAATTATAGAGAAAAACTCTCTGTCTGATTTTAGTCCGAAAATGAGACATTTATCTTTATTAGTGCCAGAGATATGGTGTACCAATGTTTTTCATACTTTTTCCCCAAAAATGTGTTACCCTTGCAACATTTTTTTTTTCTTTTTTTAATATTAGTTTTCCCTTGTATATTACAATTCCTAACTACTTGTATCATTTTCAATTCAATAGCTTTAAAATTTCAGAACACATTTTTCAGGGAGCCTCACCCCTTAAGTTAAATTTTAAATAGTGTCTTCAGTGAAATATATATATATTATTTTTATATTCTTACATTATGTATTATCATGTACTTCGCTGTAACTTTGTAAGAGGTCATAATGTTAAATAAACAAACATCAATAAATAATACCTGAGCTATTCCATAATCATCTGATAATATCTGACCATCTGTAATTATAGGACTATGTTTAGCTATCTGACGTACAGTACCATTTATAGATGAAGCTAATTTTGCCGCTGCTGAACTTATATCTTCCTGAAATAGAGATCATTCATATCATTTATAAATAACTCAGTCTATTTCTATTCTGTATAGTAGTGCTGGCACGATATATTGTTGAATTGATGTATTGCGATTCACCTTCTCACAATAAACTTATTGAATCGCGACACGCTAAATCGATTTATCATGATTCTTTTTTTACGTTTTTTTTTTTGTCGCTTCAATATTGAATCGCGAGACGCTAAATCGATATTTCATGATTCTTTTTTATGTTTTTTTTGCCACTTCAATAAGTAACGCGTCACTCTTAAAGGGACAATAACACTCTTGCTGGCTTGAAAGCTCCAGAAAATAAATAATATCTCTATCTAAGTACTAGATGTTTAAGTGTCCTACCTGTTGTGTAAATTATCCATTACATCCTATTTTACTTGTCCAGAGGGTTCGAAAATATTTTTAAATCGAAGTTTCATTTGAAAAGGTTTACGTTAGACGTTTCAAACCATTATGTTGAATTTTTCAAAATTTTTAAATAAGGTGTGTCAAGATGAAATTAATTTGTATCATCAATTAATTGAAAAATTCTAAAATAGTACAATTTGTTGACCAGAATAAAAATTGGGACATATTATTCAGTTACAACAAAAGTGGTATTGAGCCTTTAATTATCCACGTCACACATTAACCATAAACACTATTAATTTATGGTTTGTTTTGGTCCTTAATTTGATCCACATCAACATCGGCAGGACTAAAGATATCAATTATTCAATCATCCTGTTGTTTTTTTGGTAAATATTGACCGGGTTATAAATCGTGATATGAATCGTATCGTAGTACCTACGTCATGATATGTATCATATCATGACTACAGTGGCAATACCCAGAACTATTGTATAGGAACACACCAATTTTATTGACAGTTATCTTAGACCACACCAATTTGATTACCTGTTCTTCAGGGTCTATATAAATAAATAGCCACTTGAATTATGCATTTTGGTTTTTATATAAGTCTTTAACCAGAAAAAATAAAATTTTTATAGGTGTTCCCGAAGAACAGAAAATCAAATTGGTGTGACCTACATAGGAAATAAACCAATCTGATTAAAATACAGATCTATATTTCGTTTCTTTTTTTTATACTTTCGATGGCCTTCACTACATGAAGATCTGACAAGTTGTACTCGAAGGTCGTGCCAGGGGTCGCACGAGCGGCTTTTGATCCTATGACGTCAGACATTGATTAATCAATCAGTGTTGACATTTCTAGTGGTTTACCCACGGTTCCGTGCATGGCACACCAAGAAGTCGCCGTAACAAACCGTTTCATTGGCTAATATAACAACTCTTCCAGATCCTGGTGTAGTAAAGACAAGTAAAACGAAATTTTGAACTATAAAAAACGAAACGACATAGGATCTGTGTTTTATTCAGATAGGCAATAAACATATATATATTATTTATATTTTGTAGCGATATGAATTGAACATGTATAGATATATATTATTCATATTTTGTAGAGATATGAAATGATCATGTATAGATATATGTTATTTATATTCTGTATAAATATGAATTGAACATGTATAGATATATGTTACTTGGTAATATTAACTAATATGTATATTGTCTACTTTTAAACATGATTTGTGGTGATACTAAGCTGGGGTCTATTACGTGCAGTACTTAATACGCCCAAAATTTCTTTTGTATTTATAATACTCAGTATTTACTTTGCGAAGTTAGGTTTCATGGCTATCTCAGTGCATTATCTACACGGCCAATGGGACGGGGCTACAATTAGGCCAAGGCCTGAGAGATGTGCAGTACTGACGTTTGAGGCACACAGTTTATTGGAGAAAAATACTTATTACTGCAAATTAAAATAAATTCAGGAGTTTCAAAACAAGCTTTGTGCTTTTCATTTTTTTCCCAACACCCCAACGGTTCTTTCACATGCACGCCAATGTGTACACAAGACCTTGGTATTTCGTCCTATCCGAATGACTATAATTGTCCCTTGCCAGGTCCTCTGTTCTGCCCGACTGACAAGGGGGAACCATGCCAGAAAATCCTGAGAACTTTCGCGACCAACACCGGGAGAAACCCAAGACCTCCTAGTTAGCAAGCAAACTTCTTACTCATTGAGTCACTGCAGTTCCCTCAACATTTTAAAGAGAATGTCCTATTTAGAAAGCTTCAATTTGTACCTTTGTTTTATGTCGTTGAGTTGAAGATGTTTGTTTACTACTAATCTGTTGATAAGCTGCTACAGGATTAGTAAACAATAAACCTCGATTTATTAATAATCTCTTCTTAGTATCTGTTAATCTGTACAAAATAACATCTAAATCAAACACAAGTCCAATATTTCACAATTCACAGATATATTTCCCCACTTGGAAAATATTTTAAAACCTAGAGTTGCCAGCCAACAAATACTCAACCAGCAGGTTTCTGAAGGGAGGAAAGGTAATTACACAATGATGTGAGTCAAAGGAAATGAAATGGGGTTTAACTTCCTACTGTTCTGCTCCGACTGGGCTAATGAAAATGGGCATACGCCATACAGTGTGCTATGAGGGAAATTTTGCCCAGGCAGCGGCACTATGGCCTACTCTTATATATCGAATTCCAACTGCCAAGGGATCTTTTACGTGCACACCAATGTATACACAGGCCCTCGATTTTCAGTTTCATCTGATTGACTAGACAGCTGACCTTGTCAGGCCCTCCGTCCTGTACCACTGACAAGGGGAAACCACATTGGAAAATCCTTATGAAATTTCTCGACCAATGCAGGGGTCGAAGACGCAACCTCCAGGCTAGCAAGTTGGCATCTTACCCACTTAGCCCCCATTTACGGTTTCAAAGCAAGGCTCCAGTAATATGTTCGAAACAGACGAAGCCCACTTCAATACCCCTTTCTAAAATTTGTTCCACATGGGATATTAAACAACACTTACAAGTTCCATTCTCTAACAAATTTTTGTACTAATCTGAGATGTGTTTGATATTGTAGAAGTTGTGGTAGATTATCAATATTACCAACTTCTATATCCAGTGGTAGAAAATTTATATTTAACGGCTCTTCTTCCTGAAAAACAATTCCAGTAATATCAGAATATTTTGGGAAGCTAATGAATTCCACCGATTGAACAAGGTTCATTATGTCCCCTAACATATCCACCGCCACTTAAGAAGTCATCCTTGCTAGCTATGAACTCTGTCCCCAACTATCGCAAATGAACAATCCTGCCAAGTCCTGTATTGCTTTTATAAAATTTGATACAGTGCATAACTCCATTGAATTTGACAGGGTTCCTTTCCGGTCTCAAATGATCAATCGAATAAAGTTTTGAAAAATTCCAAGGAGATCAATAGGGTTCTGCTGATACCGTGTCTGGCCATGATCTTAATATAACTTTTATAGTCCCGACAATACCATGGGCAGGCCTGGATATAGCGTTTTTAGTTGAACCTGACAAAATGGTAGGCACTAATGAACCAGTACTTGACATTTTTAACTTTGTATTAAATATATCACTAAAAAACCAAAATCAGTGCCAGACAAAATGACACTTCTGCATGACACTGTCACGAAAAGGCGCCTTATTTCCAGGCTTGAAAATGGGTAATATCAGGCAAATAGGTCAAGATGGATGATAATGATCTTACCTCATCAAATATATAAACTCTTCCTGTATATTTACTACAACAATACGTAAAATATTTATATATCTTCTCTGGTCTATTGGTATTATTACTTGTTGACTGTGGTATATTGGTATCTTTACTTGCTGACTCTGGTGTAATGGTAACATTACTGGCTGACTCTGGTGTATTGGTAACATTACGTGCTGACTCTGGTAAATTGCTATTATGACTTGCTGACTCGGATATATTGGTATTATTACTTGCTGACTCGGATATATTGGTATTATTACTTGCTGACTCTGGTATATCGGTATCATTACTTGCTGACTCCGGTATATCTGTATTATTACTTTGTATTAAACTTCTACCTCTACTTTTATCACTGCCAACAACAACAGCTTCATTACTTTTTTTCCTAGATGATTTAAACAACGGTTTTCTAGAACTGGATGCAGGTGATTTATGTTCTGATAAAATGGAGGACGAATGGGGGTTATTTGGTGTGACAGGTGTTGTAGTTTTTAATAAAGCTGTAGAGGTTTTAGAAACAGGCGTTTTATCGACGTATTTACTGGAAGGACTTGATTCTATTTCGTTAACCTCAAATTTGTTTTTGCACATTGTTTTGTCATTTTCCGAAGTTTTCTCAATTTCAAAATATTTTTGTCTTTTAGGTCCTAAAATAGTGGGTAATTCATTTTCGATGTCATCTGAGAAACTCAACTCATCATTTCCAACATTTTCTATAACACTGTTTTCTTGATCATCATCAATTAAATACTCCTGAACATAGTCAGGACGTTGATCAAATATTTCATCACAATTTTTATTTTCGATATCACAATCATGTTTATTGTCTTTATTATTATCACAGTTACTACCGCCATCAGTATCACTGTCCATATTATCGGCCATTATAGATCTTTTGGCATTTTTTGTTAGAGATTTAGGCCCTTTGGAACTACTTTTTGGCTTTGGCGACTCACACATTTCACAATATGGCAGTTCTTTATGATTGTGATATGTGCATAAAGAACAACTCCAATGACCAGCACCATTAATCTGATTCAGTTCATCATTTGTTTCAATATCGTTAACATCATTTTTATCATGTGGCGATGTTCTTGTCGGACATGACAGTCTGACATCACTACAATCGTCACTACTTGGCCAGTTTACACATGATTTCGGACTAGAGTTTGGACTAGAATTTTCATTTTCTCTTCCCAATAAATCAAACAGTTTTGTTCTCCTTCTAACAGGTTTAGTTTTCAAGAAATCTTCACTGTCGCTATCACTGTTTAAAACCATGATGTCATCTGTATCAAGGATCCTCGATTTCTTTGAACTACTTTTATTTGTCTCTTCTGGTGATCTTTTTCTTTTGTGACTTTTCTCCATTTTGCCTTGCTTACCTTTCGTTGGTGGTGTGAAGAAATCTAAGATGGATTTCTGATCATTAGACTGTAATAAACAATGAAAATCATTAAGAGATAGTCTCCTTATGGCAGTGATTCTCAGCCAGTGTGCCGTGGAACACAGGTGTCCCGCAACATCTTACTAAGTGTGTCGCGAAATTTTGAACAGCACACCAAGAAAGTTTCTCACTAAAGCTATTTGACTGATGAAATTTGAAACACTGCAATAAAGTAAGTTCATGGCTGTGTTTTTCTTTATTTAGTTTGAGTCATTCTATATGTCTATGACTGTCTCTGTCTACGGTTGTATGCTGTCTAAGATTTGCCATGTTTTTATTTTGCAAAATTCAAATATTTTTCTTATATATTTAGCCAGGTGTGCCACTGTTTTTCCTTGTGTTCCAAGGTGTGACGTTAACATAAAAAGGTTGAGAACCACTGCCTTATGGTATAGGTGTGGATTTTGAAATGGGTCAAGAACAAAATGAAATGTTTAGTTCTATTCATGTTTACATCTTCTTCCTCCTAAGGTGATACCACAAGTATATTAACATAATGGTCATTTTTATTGGCTATAGTTACAATGTATGTGCGCAGTGCTAGAGAAATAGAATTTTATTGCAACAGTATCCACTCTTTTTTCAATTCCATCTTATCTTTTACATGAACTACTAATGTAGCAAGATTGGTATAATTTTTGCTCTTTAAAATAGTAGCATTGTATTAATAATATCTTTGGATAATTATTAATTCACACATTGTATAGACGTCATATTGTTTCATATGGCCTTAAATCAAAATGAGTGAATGGTTGACGTATAAAAAAGAGTTGTAATTTGTTAAACATATCTGGTTCCGTGGGAATCAGAATATTATGTTTAACATATAATGATAAGATAAACGTCTTAACGGCATAGTAGTAAGAATAAAATACACAACGTGAAAAGAAAGCCAAAGAAGTGGAAATACTAGACGATTACAAGGCTACTAAGATATGTAGTAAGAAAAGTTGCATGGGTCATACACCAGATGAGGTGACCAATTTTACAATATGTCCGCTTTCCATGTCTGACAAACGACCCATGGTATTACACTAATTTGTATTTTAAGACCTTGGTTACTCAGTCCATCCGGAAAACTAGATACCCCTGACAAGAAGGCATTACCTAAGACAAGAGAATCAAAAGATTCTTCTTGGCCAATTCTGAGATTCACACCTGTGAGATTCTGGACTGAAATCTGGTGTTGAGAGACATAATCGTTTCAGAAAAAGATTAAGTTTACCCGTTGTGATTGAAAGTAAGAAGAGACGTCTATATCACTATTATCATCTTGAGAATAAACATCTGCATTAGATAACAATTCTACTTGATATTTATCACCAGCTTCAGCTTCTAATTCCTGTTTTTTACCACTTAATGTCGTTGTTGTCACCACTGTCTAAAACATTCACAAACAAAATAATAAATGAAAAAAACGTGTAAAATGGACTAAGCGGGCGTAAACAACTGCTGTTCAATCTAAACTGTTCACGTATTTGACCTAACATAATTGTTTAGAAATTACAATACTTTTACAAAAATGAAATATAAATCACTTTACATATATTCATTATATTAATATGTGCTTTTAGGACCATTTTTGTCTATTTCAAGGTTTAAAAGATATAGAGCCATATTTCCTTTAACATTTAATTAAGAAAACAATGGTAGATAATCTGCCAGCTTGGATTCAATTGGATTTAAACTAGATCCATCAGGTTTCTCTGCTACCAATAAAAGATAGCAGCGTTTTGTTATAATGAGCAGCATAGATCAATGGCATTTAAAACAACGCATCTTTAGAAACACTAAACCAAATTGAACCATTTTTGGACTGATAATACTATTATAGATTCAACTTTCACCATATTGCCCGTCTTCATTAGCTCAGTCGGATCAGAACAGTAGGACGTTAAACCCTGTTTCATTTCATTTCAAAATGTTGTAGTTTGCAAGTGTTCCTATTGCTTAAAAAGGCGCAGCAAGACTTCAGTAGTAAATCCAAGTACATTTTAACATGGATTAGGTCGTTAGAAATTAGACACTGTCAAAGCAAATGATGAACAATAGCTTTCATATGTTATAAAAATATAGAGACTATTAATAAAACTGAATACAACAAGGAGTTACATCTTAGGGTTGTTTGTGTTTTGAATACTATTCTGATATGTTACCTTTTTACATACAGCTGACCACACCCACTCATCCATGGTTCCCTTAGCAACCAGATAATGTACAGGTACACAACTAGTTTGACCAATACGATGAGCTCTATCTTCACATTGTACCATAACACCAGGTGTCCAATACATCTCGGCAAACACAACCAACTTGGCTGCTGTAAAGGTTAGGCCCTAATATATAATAAATCTTTTTAAAAAAATATACAACACACTTTATAATTAGAAAAAAATAATAACCTACTGATTATAAAAGAGGGTTGCCAGACTGAGATTATTTGACCAAAACCAGCATTTAAATGATGTTTCTCAGTTTTTCAGGGTCTCATAATTGATAGGCTAATCTGAATTTTCAATAGGGTCCCTCATTGGGACTAGTTAATCATATCAAGCCAGTTGTGTGATCCTGAATTTCCTTATGGTTTCTCCTTAGGACTAGTCAAAGTTTTAAATGTGGGTGTATAAAAATGGCACAAACTGATCTCTGTGACGTCAGTTCATTTCGAAAGCAGACAAGGATCAATTGGAAGATGGATTTTGGCCTAAACAGTTATTTATTCAAAATACAGAATTTATTACTATTATATGGTAGCTTCTAGGGATAGAGAGAAATGGGGTTTAACGTCCACTCGACACAGACTATGTCATTTCGGGACTAACATATTGTTTAATTTTATTTGAATAATTCGCTTGCGCGTAGGGGTCTTTAGCAGTGGGAGGAAACAGGAGGACCCAGAAAAAACCCACGAAGCTGGACAGGCAACCATACTCCTTATCACGTACAACCGAGGATTCGAAACCACGCCAGTTGACTTAATGACAGGCCTTATGATACAGCATGCACGTGCTAACCATTCAGCCATCCAAACCCCCGCAAACTTCTAGGCCTATGATCCAGACACATATAAAAACTTACCACACCGGCTGCTAATATACTCAATATAGCTACTTTAGTATCTGGATCAGATTGAAACTGTTGTACATACATCTGTAATAATTATACAATAAATTAAAATCTGAAACAAGACTTTTTCTATCATTGATACTTCATAAAAAATCTTACTGAGATGCCCTTTTCTTTATAGCACACTGCAAGACGTATACCTGTCTTCATTAGTCAGGATGGTTAAAAAAACAAGAGCATCGCTAACGCAGCAATATACGTCCACATTCCTGTTTTGTTTAATATGGTCCAGTTTGCTTTGAGGGTCTGTGAAATAAAACTGGGTTGTAGGACTGTTATCAGTTTAACACTTCGTTCACATTAACAGAACACAATTTTTATTTTAAAACAATCGATGTCTTTATTCTAAAAGCATGACGTTTCGAATAGGTATGCAAAGTTTCAAATTGCGGTCTGTAGGCAAAACACAAGACACACTAACATTAGGCGTGGCTCTGTCCCAAGGGGTCGAGCATGCACCAAAAATAATAATAGAGGTCGGCCTTAGGATTAAGGAATAAGTATAAAAAGTAGCCTTAGGCTATAAGGAATAAGTATAAAAATGTTTTCAAGATGATCGATTAAGAAATGCAGTCTGCAAGTGACACACAGACATAAAAAAAGAAAATGGGCGTAGCTCTGCCCCTGGGGGTTGGGTATTCACCACAAATAATAGGGATGTTCCTTAGGATAGAAGGAATATGTATGCTAGGTTTCAAGGTGATACGATAAGAAATGCGATCTGTAGATGACAAACAAATAAATAAATATAAGGGATGGGCGTGGCTCTGCCCCTGGCGGTCGGGCATGCACCAAAAACAATAGGGATCATCGTTAGGGTATAAGCAATTCAAATGAAATTTTTTCAAGACGATTGATTAAGAATTGTGGCCTGTAGGTGACACACAGACATAAAAAGAAAAGAAAATGGGCGTGGCTCTGCCCCTTGGGGTCGGGCATGCACCCCAAACGATAGGGATGTTCCTTAGGGTACAAAGAATAAGTATGCATAGTTTCAAGATGATACGTTAAGTAATGTGGCCTGTAGACGACAAACAAACAAATACAAAAAATGGGCATGGCTCTGCCCCTGGGGGTCGGGCATGCACCAAAAACAATAGGGATCATCCTTAGGGTATAAGGAATAAGTATGTAAAGTTTGAAGATGATCACTTAAGAATTGTGGCCTGTAGGCGACACACAGACACACACACCCACACATACACACACACACACACACAGACAGGGGCGACGGCAATATACGTCCACATTATGAATGTGGACGTATAAAAAGTAGGATGTTAAACCTAATTTCATTGGCATCTTAAAAACTTTTACAGATAACAAGCTTTAAGCGATGATCTTGTCAGTGTATTTATTCACTGTTAGAGCGATGAGTGATGTCATATATTCTTCAATACATTTGAGAAGTAAGTAAAGATAAAGGGAAAGAGAAATGGACATTAACGCCCACTCAACACAAACAAGGTCATTTCGGGACTAACGCATAGTTTAATTTTTTAGGGGTCTTTAGCAGTGGATGGAAACAAGAGGACCTGGAGAAAACCCACAAGGTTAGACAGGCGTCCCTACTCCATGTCAGTTACAAGAGGGAAAAGGAAACCATGTCATGTGAATCAATGACAGACCTTATGATCTAAAGCGCACATGTTATACCATTCGGCCACCCAACCGCCTGAGAAGTAAGTAAATCAATGTTGGCTATTTACCTGTCTATCTGAAGGACAAACAGTACCGTCGATTCTAATAAACTTTATTTTCTTCTCATATAATGTCTGCTGTATACCATTCATCATAACATGATGATACGCAAAGACTAAAAACTTTAAATTATTGTTCTCAACTAACATACTAATATAATCTTTAACAGGTCCAACCTTAAATACAAGTTAATCAAATAATTAAAATATTTCAACCATAAATACAAGTTAAACATACATTATGCAAGAGCTAAATCTGCCTATTGCAGGTCTTTCTTTAGGCATGAATATTTTCTAAAGTATTAATTAGACATTAATTAACTTATCCAGACCATAATCAACTCTCGATGTCATCATTAGTCTGTGATAATTACTGGATTAGGATCTGATTTGCTGTTTAACTTTCATTCATGATTAAATCATGAAATGGATAATCAAGACTATGTTTTTTATCGTATCGACTTCAGTAATGATGATCGACGATAGGCTGAAAATTCAATTGCTAAATTCTCAATTCAGAGTGGATCAATTTAACTGAAATTTTTAGCAAATCCCCTTTACATTATCTAGTTTTTAACCATTATAGTGAGAACTGCCAGCTCTTTATCTTATCTCCCATAATATATCTTTAATTAAATAATTAAAATATTTCAACCTTAAATACATGTTGATCAAATAGTTAACACATTTCAAACTTAAATACAAGTTGATAAAAGAATTAAAATATTTCAAACTTAAATACAAGTTGATTAAATATTTAAACACTTCACGCAACAGACTAAACATCAATAATATATGGCATATATTTAATATAAAAACCACCATTTGATAAACCCTGACAACTGATGACAATATATAAGATTAATTAAAATGTGGGCCTATAAAAAGGTGCTATAAACCAAAAACTTACTTTTGCCTCTCCTGTAAGTTGAAGTAGTTTAGAGATGAGACCAAGAGCATTTAAATCGCCCTTGTTATCAGCTTCAGGTATTCCCTCTACATCAGGTATAGGTGGTGCTAGAGGTGAATTAGTCTGTTTTAATTTTGGTTTCAAGTCATTAAATGTTGAACGAATATCCTGTCAATATACAGAAATAAATTACAGATTACATTTGAAAACAGAGAAATCTTGTCTAGAATTTTGGAAAATTTTGACATCAAATCATTGCAACATTACATCAATGACGATATATTCTAAGAAATTACAATTGAAATGAGTACAGATTTTTTTTTTTTTTTTACAAATTTAGCAAATTAGTTAAAAGGGGTCACCAATCTCCATTAATCTAGATTTTCTTGTAAAGAATACCTTCTTTAGTTCTGAGTCTTTAAGTTCAAATAAAACTTTTTGTCTTTGTTTTGGAGGAAGTTGAGTTAATACTTCTTTCTTCTCTCGTCTTATCATAACCATTTTAACCAATTTATTTTGTAATTCTTCTAAATTACTGGCACCACTATAAAATATAAATCAACACATACAGTCTATAAACAATTGCTCATTTTACAACATCTTCAGGAATATCTACATAGATTACAGATTACTAACTAGAAATAAAAATTTGTCTATCGTCCCCTGAGAGGTAAAAGGTCGCAAGTGACAAAACAGGCAAATTTGATATTTTTTCACCGAAAGTTTATAAATTGACCCCTCCAGATTATAACAAACAATGGTGACAATTGCAATGATACAAACTACAATATGGGTAATTAATATTAGGTAGTAAGTGGAAAAGCAACTTCTTTCTGGCAAACTTCTTTCAGGCTTTCCCACAAGCTAAAAACATGATTTTTCGTCCAATCAGGGGCCATAATTCAGGAAGTTACGGTCCGATATGCGCGAATATCGAAAGGAATCAAGATCTTTGGGTTATAAAATTACATTTCAAGTTTCAACAAAATCGGATAAAAATTGTGACCTCTATAGGGTCCACAAGCCAAAAACGTGATTTTTCGTACAAACAGGGGCCATAATCCATGAAGTTTCGATCCGATACATGCCAATATCGAAAGCACCTGAGATCTTTTGGAGATATACACCTATATTTCAAGTTTCGTTAAAATCGGATAAGAATTGTGACCTGTAGAGTGTCCACAAACAAATTGTGGACGGACGGACAGGGGCGACGGCATAATACGTCCACATGAAAATGTGGGCGTATAATAAGGTCGTAAACAGCAATAGGTATGTACCTTTGTTTATAGGTAGAGAGTAGAAAAAGGTCGTAAGTGACTTTTCCGAGTTACCATACCTGATAACTGAAAACATTATATTGCATGTCTAACTATTCCCAATCATAACATACTGTACAAAATATTAGAAAAAACAATAAATAAACAATTTTACAGGACCATTTTCAAACCTTTAAACTCGATTTTCTCGAAAAGTGAAAAATGTCACTTATGACCTTTTCCCTCTCAGGGGACACTATTTTTTTGGTATTGGCCCATTGGTGTACAATGACAACAGAATGGTCAAGCTTTTTTTCTTTTGTAAAGCAATAAGCATTAAACTATCATCTTATATTTTACTCAATCCCAGAATCTGTCTAGGTTTTAAGCTTTTTATTAATAAAGGGAAATAACTGATTTTGACATGATGAACATAAGAAGGTTTCAGACCACTATTTCTTAATAATATGTGATAAGTACATATACATAAGGTTAATATTGTCTATATAACAGGCTGGACTAGGAATCTGTTGATATGTTGTGTTTTTTTAACAATGAGCTGAATAACTGGAGTTATGTTTTACTGAATATGGCATGATATAATGTGTAATTTAACAAGCCTGTCAGAATCTCCTGCTTGCTAGCTGACTTACTCAACTCTTCTTCGTTTCATTCGACCAATCCACTCCATCTTAGCATCACAATATCTTGCAGTAAAATCCCACCAGGATCCAAAACCTCTCGGACATATGGCATCCAGTTGTGAGTATAACTGTAAACAAGAAAATATTTCTAAATCAATATCTATCTTGTAATTATTAATTTGGGAGATAAATAAATCATTCAGTTCTCCAGAAATCAGGATAAAGTAAACAAAATTTCACCAAATCTCCCCATTGCCAACTGTGAAACATTTCACCTGGTATAGATCTGGAATTTGCCAAGTGAAAGCAGGGACAAAAATAATAACAGCTCTTACAGACTGTATTCTTATTACCAACTAAATCTGATCTAAAGTCTCATTCTTTCCTTATGTCTTCATTATCCCAATTGGAATAGAACAGTATGACGTTAAATCCTATTTCTTTTCTTTTATTTCTCATGAAATGAAATGTGGTTTAACATCCTACTTTTCACCGACTGGGCTAATGGAAACATACGCCATGCAGTGCGCTATGAAACACATTGTGCTCAAGACACTGGTGCAACGGCCTACTCGAATTCCAACTGTTATGGGTTCTGTTAAGTGCACGCCAATGTATATGGGACCTCGATTTTTCATCCCATCTGTAGGACTAGACAATGTTTCTTTTAAGACAAACAGCACTAATGCAAACAAGGGCAGAAATATTGATGATTTTGGAAGCAAAAATAAACATGCTAATGTAAAACAACCACTCTTTTCAGTTAAAATATGCTTAAAGACCTTACTTCAACTGGCTTAGATAAAGCAGGGGTTCCAGATAATAAAATTCTTCTCTCGGCGGCTTGTACTAGCGGTACCACTGCCTTGGCACTAGCTGTTTTATTATTTCTAATATAATGAGATTCATCACATATAACAGCTTGAAACTTCTGATTAGTTAAAGCTTCTTTAACAATACGACTAGTAGATTTACTTAATAAACCATAAGTTACTATAGTTATCTTACAACTAGATATACATCTGAAAAAGACAGGTAAAAACTGCATTAAATACATTGAATAATATACATCTCTTTTATTTACACCTAAACTTTACTTATACCAAACATGCATACAAGGAGAGGGACACCCAACACTCCTTTGACAAGGTGACTAAAGCTAGACAGGCTAATACATCTGCGTATATCCGAAACGTTATTCATTAAACAATCTTCACTTCTACCAAGTCTGTTGTGCTACTGTTGAGCGGGGATTCTTAAATTCTTTTTATACCAAACATGTTAATCAGCTTCTAAACAAGCTTGGTTAACATCAGGTAGCAAAACAGATGTTCTATATTAGGAAGGTTCCCTCATTAAACATTACTGTAGTAACTTTTCCATTTGATTAACATTACTTATCATTGACAAGTTTGTGTTTTACCTTTTACCATGTGCAATAGCTTATGATATCTTAGCCTGGAATATAAACACTCCATTTGCTACAAGTAGTGATGGTTGCCCTGCAGCAGTAGGGCATAGGATGGGTCATGTTCCGGAAGCAACGACTACAAGTTTCACAACATCTGGCTGTTGCTTGTTTACTTCACAATTCCCGAACTTATAGCTATGTTATCTACATACACGTGAGCAGTAGCGTCCAATCAGAGGTGTGACATCGCGACCTCTACAGAAACCTTGACATTGAATGAACCTTGAACTTTGCAACTCGATCATCCCAGGTAGACATTTTAGCTTGAATGCGCGAGACTTGGTATTCGCGAAGATCAAGGAATCTGATAGGCTCACAAGTTGGGCTTGTACCCAATCAAAATTAGTGCCGCAATATGCAAGGTCTTACGTGAAGGCCTTGGTAAGATGTATGTAGTTAAAGTGAGATCAAGCCTTCTATTGAAGATGAGGATGGGTGTGCCAACCTTTTCCATGGATTGAGAAACCCAGTTTAACGTCTTAATATATTGCGCAAACCAGACTAATGAAGATCGGGTATGCAGTATGCACCATGCAGTGTCATGCTAGTGAAATTTTGCCCAGACAGTGGTCCTACAGTCTACACATCCTTCACTGGGATTGAAAACATGACCTACTTACTTGGCATCATTACCCATTTGAATGAGATTAATATCATGTGGGTGAACATCAGGTAGCCATTTTTCTATCTCTTCAATCCAACAATATCTTAATGAAGATGGTACAATAATCAACAGCGGCCATTCTGATTTATAATAATATGCTATACTTATAGCTTGTATTGTTTTACCTAATCCCATCTGGAAAAAAAAGACAAAACCAAGAATTTGTAGAGTACATGTATTAAATTTAGTTCTCTTCTTCAAAATAAATATCATACACTTTTAATACCACTTTCTTTACTGCAATTAATTAAAGCTTTGAGAATTCTGTACCATCTAGTATCTGCATAACAAGCATCTATCATTATGTTGGACCAGATTGAGTACATGTATAGACTATATTAGAAAATTAGGCTACTTAATGGGAGGGGGGGGGGGGGGCAATGATTTTAAAAATAGAATCTTGTTAGCTTACCTCATCTGCTATCAATACCCTGAAAAAATGAAAATAAACTATTTCTTCAAAATAATCACATTCAGATAATGTTTAATCTATATAATATAAAAAAAAATTATGTTGTGTGGGATTGAACAAATATATATACTTATATTAAACGGTATCATGATTTATTCAAATTCACCCAAACCTACACAAATTTCAACTCATATAATTATAATAATTTAATTTATATCTATATTTGATAATATACTTTTCTTCATGCCAATTTGTAATTTTTGATTAAAAAACTTGCTTGGAAATGGCATTTTGAGGGGGGAATTAAAAATTACAATTTAGTATAAAGAACGGTAGGTCCCCTATATTATCAAATATTGATAAAAATTATTGTGATGCAAGTTAAACTAATGGAGGATTTGATGTCAACGTCCAAACTTGCTTGGAAATCGCATTTTGAAATTTTGAGGGGCATTTTGACACAAAAACGTTACGATTGTAAATTAAAATTTACAATATAGTTTAAAGAACGGTAGGGTCCCTATATCATCAAATATTGATATAAGTTATTGTCTTATGAAATAATGGTGGATTTTTGGGTTGATTTGGTTGGAATTCCGAAATGAACCAATTCACTGCTCAGAAAATCTAACAGTCAAAGAATATGACCTAAAAACGAACATATTCAAAGTATTTGGGCGCATGAAATCAAACTATAAATAATGGGTTGTCAGAACTATTTTAGTCTGGTATTAGTGGTATATAAATAAGATGTTGCTGGTCAAATTTGATTTCCACTTGGGTTAATTTTTTGTGTTAGTCAAGCAAATTTTCCGTAAAATCTAGCAAGGGAATTCAATTTTCTATTGACATTGGTAGGTCCATTGGTTAAATTTTGCCATGATGATTGACAAAAAATTTATTTTTTATTTTTTATTTTTGACGAAAGTCAAACCGTCTCAAGTTAATTCCTTAATTACTAACAATCGGTTAAATAGGTTAGCCTAGATGCCCGTTTTTTCTGTAACATTTAGATCGCCTCGTTCCGCTCGGCGTGTGTACAGGAAATGTCATTTTTTTTTCAATTATCCGATCCTGATCAAAATCAAATTAATGGTACCTTCCATTTTTATTGACAGCAAACTCTATGCCTTCTCTCTGAAATACCATTAGCTTTTCTGAGAGTTTGGGGGGCAACCTGGATAATACTGCAGATGTTTTCATGTTGACAACAAATTTTTTTTTCCCGCGTAGTTTATCATACTTTCATTTTATTTTTTTTCAACTTCATATCTTCAATCACAAAATCAGTTAAAGGGAAATAACTCTAACTCTTCAAAGAAATATAAGGTTTCATTCAGACCACTAATAATATTAAAAAAAATCTTCAATACATGACAAATGAAGACGGCCATGCAGGATCGAACGGATCTCATGGTAAGTGAGACTGCGCCAAGCATCATGTTGATCGTAAACAAACTGGTGGAGCCATAGGTTTCTTTTGGAAGAGTGTTTCCCCAGGAAACTGCAATAGGTTCAAAAATTACAAATGTTGACTACACATTCCCTCTGCTATGACCCAGAGCAACTTCATAATGAACAAATCTGAAAAGAATCTTCAAAAGTAACATGTTCGCAAACTTTTGGGGAAATCCATCAAACTCTCTAGGAGAAAATTTTAATTCCGATGAAGATGGCTAAATTTGCACTTACCAAGGTGTCCCTGTTCGATCCATTTGGGTCTGAGTAGTTTTCGGAATAAATCTGATAAATAATTTGATTGCAGTGGATGGGACTACTATAGAAAAATATATGGAAATAGTAATGTGAATGCCGAAAAGTCTGGCACCTTATTCTAGAAATTTAAGCTAAAATATTTTAAGAATGTAGCATTTTCATTGGCTGGTCACTAAAATCATGGTACAAAATTCAGCTCTCATCCAACGAAAGGGCTGCATTCTTAAAATATTTTATTTAAATCTTCTTGAGTAAGCCATAAGTATTTGTCTGGAGAAAAGTTTACATAACCGACAACTTTGTATTAATTTTGACATTCAGAAAACTTTTGCAATTATTATTTTAAAGATAGTTAAGACTTTTCATCTCATGACCTTTTATTTTTAAGTTAGGGTTTAGGTGGCTATGATGATCCAATTGGTTTGGAAATCAACTCTATGGAGTGAGTACAAGTAAGGTCAGGGGCAATAACTCTAGAAAGTTTTGAAGTCACCATAGAATTAAATCAGATTTAACATCATTTAGTAAACATACAAAAAACATCAGCAGAATATAATTACTTTACTTTATTTTCATTTTTATGTTTGAACAGTTTTTATTTTTGGTATTTTAATTGTTATAAATATTCACATCACATTGCACTTGCAGACAAGAAGACTCTTGTAGTAAATATAAATTTAATCCATGGTGAATCTGTAAGCTATTTCACAGTCCATATACACATTATGTAACACACTACATATATTTTTCATTCATACACCTCTAGTTTTCTTTCATGAAATACAATACACTATGTTAAATAGTGTCTATCTTTATCAGTATTTCCATAATCAACTCTTTTTCGGAAACTTTTCAACAATGTCACTAACAGCTTTATCAATACCTTGTCCTCCTTGAAATATTCCGGAGTCAAAGAATCTGGCATAACCTATACTAGCCAACACTGAAAATATATAAAATATAAGATATTATTTTCATTATAAAATTTTTTAATGGAACAATATGAACACACCTCTATTTTTATTTTAACAAATCAGTGTAAATGTAGTTATTCAAGATCTGAGACTTTATCTTGAAACAATGATACTTCAACAGGTTAAAAAAGAGAGGAATGAGGATTAACGCCACTAAACACAAACTAGGTCATTTCAGGACTAAAATATGGGTCATGTTTATTTCAATAATTCACTTGCAAACAGCAGTTTTTAGCAATGGGAGGAAACTGGGAGAGGGAGAGAGAGAGAGAGAGAGAGAGAGAGAGAGAGAGAGAAAAATGGGGTTTACCACTCGACACAAACTAGGTCATTTCGGGACTAACACATGGTTCAATCATGTGCTTGTGCGTAGGGGTCTTTAGCAGTGGGAGGAAACCGGAGGACCCGGAGAAAACCCATGAGATTGGACAGGCAACCCTACTCCTTGTCACGTACAACCAGGGAATCGAAACCCTGCCAGTTGACTCAATGACAGACCGTATAATACAGCGCGCACATGCTAACCATTCGGCCATACACCCCCCCCCACCCAAGATATGGGTCAAGTTTATTTCAATAATTCAGCGGTCTTTAGCAATGGGAGGAAAATGGAGGACCTGGAGGACATTCATGTGTGGGATCAAAACTACACAATATGACTCAATGACAGACCTTATGATCTAAACTGCACACATTAAACAATTCACCCACCTAACTTCCCTTCTGCCCTTGGGTTTCCTTATGAAGAACTACACTTAGAGATATTTTCCCTCAAAAATAATTGGGTCAAATTATACACTCAAATTGCCTAAAAAAAACAACATGATGACTATTACAGACTATCAACCACAAAGCTTGATGTTGCTATCTTAGCATGTGCATTAATCATACTTTACTAGGTGAGGCCAACACCCATTCAATCATCCCTTGCAAGTGTAAAACATAAAGGCAATTACTGTTGTCTTGCAATTTGTAGATTGTTGAACAGATTTAACTTAAAGTATCCCCCAAAAACTAATGTTTCCATTATAGTAACAAATATATTTTTTCGGGTAATTTTCAATCAATAGTTGTGCATCCAGGATCTCGCTTAAACAATACATTTGATTCAAACAGAATTAATATGATAAATATAGGATATGAGAACAAGTTTTATCAGTTTATATAAAACCGCCTCCTTATTATGAATCAGGAGATTTACACAGAGAGAGAGAGAGAGAGAGAGAGAGAGAGAGAGAGAGAGAGAAATGGGGTTTAACGTCCACTCGACACAAACTAGGTCATTTCGGGACTAACATATGGTTTAATTTTATTTACACAATTCACTTGCGTGTAAGGGTCTTTATCAGTGGGGGGAAACCGGAGGACCCGGAGAAAACCCACGAGGTTGGACAGGCGACCCTACTCCTTGCCACGTACAACCGGGGATTCGAAACCATGCCAGTCGACTCAATGACAGACTTTATGATACAGCGCGTGCACGCTAACCATTCAGCCATCCAACCCCCCTAGGAGATTTACAACTGGTAATGATAATATGAACACATAAATTTAAATATATAATATACATGTAAACAGATGTACAATTTAGGTAATAATTTATAGTTGCTTAAAGGGACACTTCCACATTTTCCTCTGTGGAATACAAAAATTAATGTTAGATACTGTATTCCAAAAATATTCATTCAATCTTTTGTGTTTGATATCAAAGTAATAAATAGGAATTTCCATTTAATCAAAATGAAATAGGGTTTAACAACGTTATAATTTTTCGCAAAGCTAAAATATCAATTGTAGATGTTCTCCTGGTTGGGATTCAATGGGATTAAAAAGGAGCAGCCTCCAAAGATTTTACTCAACTCTTATAGTTAGAGCTGACTTGTATATTGTCTGCACAGGATTCTGAATGTTGCAAAATTTTACATTCATCATATTTTTGTAAACAGATCCATATCTGGGCTGATATTCTTTTCAGAGATTCAACTTTCACAACAGCATAGTTTGCAAAGCATTCAATATCCCTCAAATGACAATTTCTTGCTTTAATCAGGCTAATTTAAAACTTCATTACCTGTTGATATGACTGTACACTGCAGGTAAAAGAACATTCTTTTATTCTTAGTAGGCTGTTTAGGACCCACTTTAATGGCTGTTCTCACCACATATACTAGTGCTCCTGACATAACAACTACTGAAATCAGTTTACATGACAAACAGTCCCCTTCTTGTAAGGGTACATATTTTAACAAAGTTCTCTCTACTTTCTCTGGTATTGTTGGCTGACTACTCATAGACTTTAGTTCATCTGACTTATCACTAAATTCCTCTCTAATTCCTTGGATTTTTTTATCATGGAACTCTGCAATTGGCTTATCTTCCTCCAAACCAAATAACTTCTTGAGTCGATTCATATTTGATTCACTGAAAAATAGAACAAATTCAATAAGCTTTTTTTTTAAAACATTATCGAACTCTATCTGTGTTCCTGTCTTAACACTGAGGTCATCAGTTTTCTAGCAATGTAATGATATAATATTGGCCTACTACATGTACATTATGCAACAGACCGAATTTAAAATTATAACCTGTACACAATAGATTAAAAATCAACAGCTTTTGTAAATCAACAAAAAATTAATCTCAAGTTTGTTATTTTGGTGTCTTTAGACCTCATATTTGAAGAGGTAGCAGGTATCTTTTATTATGATTAAATTTTGATATTAATCGGAAATATTTTATATGAGTAAAAAATATGGGAATTGTAGATTTAGAGAATGACCAAAATTGTGATTACTTAGTCCATGATGTGCAGACTTGCCAGCTGGTTATTCATTATTAAAACATCTTAAATCAAAACACGACAAATATCCGAACCCTTTTATTTCGACTCACTGTTGGCTGTTAATCATCAAAAATAGAGGCCTGTGATAGTTGAGTTGTCAGGACATAAGGACTCTCGACTAGAATGTCCCATGTCTGAATCCCTGCAGAGCTGACAAGGAAAGTGTGCCTAGTCATTTGGATGGGACTAAAAACCAAGGTTGGATCCGTGAACCCATTGCTATTATTAGCATGTAATTAATGGTACTGTCTATGTATGCAAAATTCTTGTACCTAGTCAAAGTCAAACTGCACATGTAGTCTTAACCATGTACTGTAGAAATAAGTCTCAAAATGACATAGAGTATTAGTATTGTGTTGACGAGGCAATAAACCTCAGGCTCAATCCATTTTATTCCAGTCTACGATCAAAATTACCATCAAAATATATTCTAAAGTAAGCGACTAAGAGGAGTCAGACGGACTGTGAAACCCTTCCCCAATGGCAATGCTACACAAAATATAGACAAAAAACAGTGCATCCTTTCAATTTCAATATTTCTAATTTACTAAAGTCTTTTTTTTTTATTTTTGTAGTTCAGAAACAACAGGACATTATTTGATTACTCCTAGCTAGTCTTACGAGAGTCAAGAGTGCAGTGTATAAAACGGCTATCTTGTCAGGAATGTAAAAGATACCTACACTAGATAGGATATATCGTACTTAAAAAGATACTTCTCAGTTCTTCAGGTTACATTTCATATTATATTCATGCATAATACAAACAATTTCAGAGACATCCTCGATTGCATCAGATTTATCGCCCCTAGATAATAGCCTCGATCATCTGGGAAATCTGTTTTATCGTCTCCAGAATCACCAGCTGTCTTGCACTTTTTAGCAGAGGGGTTATTGAGAAGGGTGTGTGTTGTCAAACACCGATGATAAGAAACTTGCTTTCTAGGACCTTATTCAGATTTACAGGTTTGATAAAAGTATATATATTAGAATTGTAGGCTATATTATCTTGATCAAGACATTTAGAAAATATTTGCATTGAAAATTTTATTTATATTTATAATATACCGTATAAAAAATATCCTTCAGTAAATGAATAAATGAATTTTATCATATGACTTATTAGTTTTTTTTAAAAACTATTTAAAAATAGCATAATTCAATACCACAACTGAAAGTATTTATTTTTTAGTATTAATTTTATACACCTCATCGTGGGTGTATGTTAATTGTCATCTCTGCAGACTGTTCCGTCCAGATTTCTACAGGTCACTTAACTTATTGACTGATTAAAATTCAAGATATGCATCCATTTCTTGGATCAGTGAATTATGAACTTTTGGTTCAGAGAGAGAGAGAAATGGGGTTTAAACTAGGTCATTTCGGGACTAACATGGTTGAATTTTATTTCAATAATTCGCTTGCGCGCGTATAGGGGTCTATTAGCAGTCGGAGGAAACCGGAGGACCCGGAGAAAACCCACAAGGTTGGACAGGCGACCCTACTCCTTGACACATACAACCGGGGATTCGAAACCACGCCAGTTGACTCAATGATAGGCCTTATGATACAGCATGCACGTGCTAACCATTCGGCCATCCAACCCCCTCCTTTTGGTTCAGTTTCTAACTGATAACTTGTAAATTAAAAAGTGTAAAGTGGAGAATTTTAGATTTATTTTTCTATCAAGTTGGGAATATGACTGTTAAGAGACACACATATTATTCCTGTACAGATTGCGATGACTTCAGGCTTACGCTTAATATGATTGTTTAAAGAGTAACATATGTCACTCATGATTTCGACAGGAATCATAATTAGAATATAAAAATACAGACCTTCATGGAGATGTCGGTTACTGCACTGTCATCGTAACCCAGTAAACACAACCCTAGTCAAAGTTTTAAAATGTATTACACATAACAGATTGACCTTGGTTTTTCATCCCATCCGAATGACAACAAGGCATACTTTCTGAAGGAGCTACCACTGACAAGCTGTCCATCCATTGTTCACAATTTCTTGTGAACATACATACCATAGGCCTATTTATGAACTGATTACGCCTTCCTTAATTATTGCCCTTGATAACTTTGTAGAATTTTATGATCTAATCAATTAAATTGATATGCATTGTTTAAAGCTACGTTCCCAGAAAAGTATTTATCGCGTGGTTATTTCCAATAAAAGTATGGCAATTTTGGTATATATGGAAAGTAGAAATATCCAATCTTACTAGAAAAATACTGGATTCCCTGTATGGAGCGCATACACGACAAAAATATAAGGGTTTTTCTAATCAACGATTAGGAGTGTCTGCACACGTGACGTCGAAGGTTGCACGCGGAGATTGAGCGCTTGATGTACATTTGATAAACTTTATGAAAAATTAGATGTACAACACTTTCTGAGATAAAAATGACGGAAAAAGACGCGGGCAGTGGATAATCTGAAAATTTAATTAGGCTTCGATATTTGTAATAAATAGTCAGCGATTAAAGACAACATTGTCTTGTGTATGCAATGCATTCTCCTCCCGACTTCGCTTGCGTTGCTAGGTACCGAGAGAGGTAAGTCACGTGACACAAACATGACCTCTTTTGATCAATTTTTTATAGCCAGGGTTTTCCCCGACAATTGCAATGTTTTGAGAAGGATTTGAAGCAAAATTATGATAAATTAATTAGTTTGAATATGTTTTTAGTCTAAATATATCATCAAATCACCCAGTTTGTACCCAGGAATGTATCTTTAAATTAGTGAAAGAAAGACATCTATTGAATTGTTGCTTTAACATATTCTTTGGTAGACTTATCATTTTTTCTTCCATATCTTTAAGACATATTTTTAATTAGCCCGTAAATTTCAGCTCAGATTCTAAAAACTGAAATATCACTATCAGTAACAAATAGAAGATATAGTCTTAAAGAAACCAGATTGATCAAGATGACAAAAGCAACATTTGGATCCTGGAAATCTCCTATTTCAAGTAAAAGTGTAACAGAGAGTGCTGTTGGTTTGTCACAGATATCGGTAGACCAAGACAGTAGTTACACAGGTATTTAATACCGATATTAAACATTTGGAAACCTATTAATATGGGTTTGTCCGTCTGTCCGTCCTTCTGTCTGTCTGTCCATCACACTTTTTGGTACACACTAACTCTCTTTCTAATTGAGCTAGAATGTTCAAACTTGTCGAGGTGTTTATTAGGTCAATACCTTGATGGAGTTCGAAGATGAGCATTTTCCACTTAGGGTAAGCGGAGATAAGCAATTTGATTGGTTGATGCCTTAAATGGTACACGATAAGTGAGAGTGATGAAACTTGGTGTATAGTTTCATTACATCAGTACCATGGCTAAGTTCGATAATGAGCATTTTCTGCTCAGGGTAAGCAGAGCGATAAGCAATTTGATTGGCCAAGATTTTGGAACACAATAACTCTCCTTCTAATTGAGCTAGATTTTTCAAACTTGGTGTAGGTGTTTATTGGGTCAATGCCTTGATGGAGTTCGAAGATTAGCATTTTCTGCTTAGGGCAAGCAGAGATAAGCAATTTGATTGGTTGATGCTTTGGGACATGAGACTTTGGAACACAATAACTCTCCTTCTAATTGAGGTAGAATGTTCAAACTTGGTGTAGGCATTCATTAGGTGAATCCCTTGATGGAGTTCGATGATGAACATTGTCTGCTTACGGTAGGCAGAGATAAGCAATCTGATTGGTTGATGCTTTAGGGGCACGATAACTTTGGTTATAATGAAGTGGGAGCGATGAAACTCTCAATATAGATTCATTATATCATTACCTTGACTAAGTTTGATTGTGCGAATTTGATTGGTCAAGACTTTGGAACATAAAAACTCTGCTTTTAATTGAGGTAGAATGTTTAAACCTGATGTAGGCATTCATTAGGTGAATGTCTTGAATGATTTCAATGATTAACATTTCGATGCTTTGGGACCAGATAATCTTGATTCTATCTGATAGAGAGAGATGAAACTTAGTGTGTATAAGTTTGATTGCTCGATACTTTTGAAAAAAATAAATGTGCGATTAATTAATATGTGTCATCTATTTATTTTGGGATTTCGGCGGGGGACATCAGCCTCACTGTTGGCTTGTTATCCTCGGTTTTAAAAATACCATGTTCTATTAGTAAGTGCAGGGGGAGTTAGTTTGTGCCTTGATTTTCGTTAAGTTTGTTAGAGATCATTTGGGTGTAAGAAATAATTCTTCTATAAAAATAGATATTAAAAGAATAATTCCATTTGATTGACTAATAAAATAAATTTTAACTCTGAGGAAATGAAAAAAGTGTATATTGAGTGAAAATATCTTAGTATGTATTTTTGTGAATAATACCCCAGTTATATATAACTAATGATTTATTTATTTCAATTTTAAGATGATTACTGTAATAATTTTATAATTTTGTACGAGTTTCAATGTTTTACTTTGAATACAGATAATGTATACTGGGTTGAATCCCGTGCAAATGAAAATGGTCGTAATGCTCTGTGCACCTTTAACGTAACAACCAGGCAAATCACAACATTAACCCCTGTTGATTACAATGTACGGACGAAAGTTCATGAATATGGAGGAAAATCATACGCTGTCTATCAGGGAACAGTTTACTTTTCAAATTTCACCGACCAAGCTCTTTATGTTCAGAAAAATGCAACAGACCCCGTTCCTTTAACAGAAAAAGACAAGGGGCTACGTTTTGCTGATTTTTTTTATTCTGCAAAGGTAAATATATTAAAGATATTGTTGACAGACTATCATCTGTAGACTGCGTCATCAACACTACTTCCAAATAGCTCTGCTGGTGTTTATTCTAATTCTTATTTAGGAAATGAAGCTCATTTGTACATGGGGGGTTGGATGGCTGAATGGTTAGTACGTGCGCGCTGTATCATAAGGTCTGTCATGGAGTCAACTGGCGGGGTTTCGATTCTCTGGGTCCTTCGATTTTCTCCCACTGCTAAAGACCCCTACGCGCAACCGAATTATTGATATAAAATTGAACCATGTGTTAGTCCTGAAATGAACAAGTTTGTGTCGCGTGGACGTTAAAACCCATTTCTCTCTCTCTTGTGCAAGTAGCAGTATATGCAGATACTAAACGGTACAGAATTCTCAAAGCTTTAAGCACAATCGCAACTGACAAGTCTGCGTTGACTACACTTGTCTGCTTGATCAGAATATCATTTGGATTTATAGAAATTGCTTTTAACATAATTACTTGGAATGTAGCGTAGATGGTTCTATGTAGGGATTGGCAAACTATGTGTATTTTGAATTAGGTTGTGGAGTCTTTACACTCAGACATTTGTCAAAATTGTCTAAATGTGTGTATATTTTGTGTGTTTTGTCCGCAGGTTTGTCTTATGGGATTTGTTTGTATAGAGGTTAAAAACAAATAAATTATTATTGAAGATTTTTTATTTTTTATTTACCAGAAGCAAAGAATTTATTGCATTAGAGAAAGCCATGAACCAAAACAGGAAGCTAAAAACAGTGTAGTTTCTATTCACCCAACTACAGGACAACAAACAGTTATTGTACGTATATATTCTCCAATAATCTGGTTTTACAGAGAATTAACAGTGTTAGATAGCCCACATTGGAATGCATTAAATGTATATAAATTATTCAGACATATTGTGATTCGTTTTTCAACAAATGTGATTTTACAAAGAATAACACTTAAACGTATTCAACAATACATTAACAAAAGACATTACATAATGTCTTTATTATTATATTCTTTGTCATGTCAATATAACACCTTGTGGATCTTGTTTCGTTTTTAAAAAAACATTCTCCAAAAATTCGCTTTCTCTAGAATTTCTTTCTTTCCATGGAAGTTGACAGTAATCAAGTGATTAGGGCACTGGATTAGTGACTATAATGTCCCAGGTTCATATCCTGGTAGGGGCGAGCGGCACCTAGTCAGGGGTAGAGTCAGTGGAGCTGACGAGGAAAATGTTGCCAACGGGGGGGGAGGGGGGGACTTGGAGAGAGAGAGATTAATAAACATGCACTATGTAAGCCGTTAATAAACCAAGTCTAGATTATCAATTTTAATGTTATATTATTGAATAGCATTGAGGTGCTAATCAATTTAATACCTCGGCGATCTAATGACCTAGGGAGTTGATTATGGGCTTGTCATGTAAATAAACATCTAAATGATTATTCGTATAACATTTGAAGCTAGATAAAAAAAATCAAGAATCTTGCACCACAGGCATTAAGTAAGAAAATAAGTGTGTCTGTTAAAAGCAAATTTTTTTTCCTGAAGGTATACTGCAATAAAAAGTCAACATTCATTATTTTCACCAGGAATCAAACTTTATAGAGAATTAACTGTAGTCATGGCTCTGATTGTGTCCATGTAAACATAATAATAATTTAGCAATTTTTTTGTATTCTATTATTCACTTGTGCTTTGAATACACGTTTAGACCACATAAATTAAGATTCTCCAAAAATTGACTTATGGTTTTACCAAGAATTTACAAATAACAATGCCTTTCAGGTCAGTGTGACCTATACAATATTTATATGAGAAGCTTGACAACAGAATATTTCTACTCTCATATTCCCAGAATACAAGTAACCTGTGTGGCAAATAAGATTTAGGGCTTACTGAACAATTGTATATTTCATGGAAATCTATTTATATACATGACTTGTAATGAAATTAATAAAACATCCCCATGTTATTAAAGAATATTAATATCTGTGTATAGAATCATTGATACGTTTGATTCTATGTTGGTTGATATATGGATAGAAGTATTTTCTCCTATTAAAATTATTGTGAATAAATTCAAATGCAAGAATAATTTTAGCATGTAGCTACTTGGTATAAGTTGAACATGGTTCCCATTTTAATAATAATTGTCTGTTATGGCAATCAAGTGTTTTACACACAATTTGAGATCATAAGACATGTTATCTATACAAGTCATGGATTAAATCTCAGGTTTGGTTTTCTCTGGGGGTCAGTGTTTCATGTGGGATGGATATTACCTCCTCTCTCTCTGTCTGGGGAAATTTTCCCTCATAGCACACTGTATGGCATATGCCCGCCTTCATTAGCCCAGGTCGGAGCAGAACATTAGGAGTTAAACCCCATTTCATCTCTCTCTCTCTCTCTCTCTCTCTCAAGGGGTGTTATGTTTGACTATATCACTGATTTCTATGATAACTTTTTTTGATCTTATTTTATTTTAGAGAATGTAAATACACATTGAAATTAACTCAACTGGCTAAATAGATACATGTAGCTATAGAGTGCTTTTAAGGAATTAATTTCTTGCTCAGTTTAACATTATTGTTATCATGTTGGATATTGCTCTGTCCTACCTTTAAAGTAAATCTGTCATAGTTCCCAATCAAAGTTTCTGTATATTGAACCAAAATGCTGGAGATGATAGTATATTGTTTCTATTATTTATTATAGGCCAGTGGAGCTGATTTCTATAGCGATGCTCGAGTTTCTTCGGATGGTAAACAAATCTGTTGGATTCAGTGGATGCATCCTAATATGGTACAAATATGTCATTCTATCACATCATATTTATTTTTAGATATATGCCCTTTTTTCACAACCTTTATAACTTGTCTATTGAACAAAGAAAATGAACCTGTGAATAAAATATGTGCACTCAATATAACATGTATTGGTTTTTAGATCAGTGTCAAGAACATTTAGTCTATGTTTAATGATTGTATCACAAATAAACACTTGATAAAAAGGGACCAAACTGTCCCTGGTATTGGTTATTCATAAATGACCCCCCATTTTTATTTTTTTTTCTATAAGCAATATTTTTATTCAGATTTGTATCTGAATAGGGATTGCTGAACAGGCATAGCCTATGTTAAACCCCCCATTACATAAGTAATAGAATTTATTGTATTTCGGGAACCTTATTTGACCTGGATGTGACAAGTTGTAACTTAGCGTTATTTTAGGTGAATATATACAAAATGTTGATAGGTAAAGGCCCATATGAAATGGATACAATCTACGATCATTATATTTGCAAGTATAAGTAGAGTACTCTGATATTTTTTCTCTTGTTTTTGCAGCCATGGGACAGCACCAATTTATATGTGGCACAGCTGACAGAACCTGGAGAAACAGTAGTGGAGGGATCTGTCAAGAAAATTGTACGTTTGTTGGCTTCATGATACAAAACTCAGACATCTTTCATCTTTGTTTATGGGAAGCATATTGATTGACTAAATTGTCAGACACATTATGCTGTGGTTCATAAGTCTGTCATAAGGCCAAAAATAAAAAGAATACCTGTGTTCACGGTTACCCAACTAACCGAAATCGCTAATCCTAAATTCATTTTCTCATTTCCCAGGTCCTTAAGTATTTTATCATAATAAAATTTATTAAATATCATTGTCTTTATCTTAATATACTTTATTAAATATCGTTGTCTCTATCTTAATTTACTTTATTAAATACCGTTGTCTTTATCTTAATTTACTTTGTTAAATATCGTCGTCTTTATCTTAATTTACTTTAATAGATATCATTGTTTTCACAGTTTGATATTATATAATAATTTTATTATTACAGGAAACTGGCGAAAATAACAGTATTATGGAACCAAAATGGACGGCTAGTAACCAGCTAACATTTATCAGTGATCAGTCCAATTGGTGGAATTTATATACCTTGAACTCTTCAGGTCAAATAGTTAACCTTTTACCGCGAGATAAAGAATTAGGAGGACCAAAATGGCAGTTGGGAGGTTCAGCTTATTGTCTAGATCCTAAAGGTGGAGATAATATTATAACATCATATGGTGGGGTAGGTATGGTTTTCAATAGTCATCCTGTAAGTTAATAAATAAATAAAATAAATCTGACCTTTTGTCACTCACATAAGTTTCAATATGCATTTCTGTTTGGTAGCAAAATAAATTCAGGTTAATTTTCCATAAATTTGTGCTTGTGAAAGGTACACCCCCGTCTTTTACTAAACAATGATAAATAATCAGCATTAATACCTTTGAGATGGGCTCAATAATGTAGTTCTGAGATTCCACCATGAGAAAGGAACTACTCATAAATGCTGCAGTCTTTTTTGAAATTCCCAGCATATATATTTATCATTCCATAATGAACAAGGTTTAGGGAGAGATATTGAAATGTACTCTGTCTGTCCTTCTGTCCCTGTTTTCATTCCAGAGTATATCTCATAAGCCATTCAAGATATCTTTATTTAACTTTGTAACCCTATTTTAAAATATAGCTGTGACGTCACCCTTTGATGTTGGCGTACCATTATTTTAAATAATCGTACGGGCAACTTGCCAATCGTACATTATTTATACTAGTGAAATTTTGGAATCGCGTTACATATTTAACTGTAAAAGCATGTGCGGAGTGTCGGTATTTTAAGTGGTTTAATGGCCTTGAGCTTAAGACGTTGCATATTACTTAATGTCTCGCTCTCGACCATTAAACAATGCATAGTAGTTGGGCCTTTCCCTAATTAGAAATATCTCAGATTAAATACTTTTTGTGTTTCCATGGAAACAAATTTGACTTGGTTTTTGGTATACATGGGTGCAGGATATTGATGAATCTTATTGTTGTATTTTATAGGCTCTAGAAATATTGAACACAAAAACTGGTAAAACAGAAGAAATAAATTATACAGGATATATAAAACATAAAGATATAAACTGGTCATCTAGTGGTTATTTATATTGTATAGCTGATAGTGCTACACAGTTTCCATCTGTTGTTCAGATTGATCTTAATTCTAAAAAGGTAGGTTATACCTATTTATATACTCGGGGGGGTGGGGGGGAATGGATAGTGCATGCGCGCTGTATCATAAAGTCTGTCATTGAGTCCACTGGCATGGTTTTGATTCCCTGGTTGTACATGACAAGGAGTAGGGTTGCCTTTCTAACTGTGTGGGTTTTCTCCATGTCCTCCGGTTTCCTCCCACTGCTAAAGACTCCTACATGCAAGCGAATTATTGAATCAAATGTTAGTCCCGAAATAACCTACCTCCAAGCCACATATGCTCACACCAGGGATTGAAACCATGAACGCAAGCATGACAATCTAGTTCACTATGCCATACCCGCCATTTTTTGACTTGCATAGACTTACGATGATATCACTTGTGTACAGGTAAATAATCCATCCTTTTATTTTAGGTATCTGTATTAAAAGAATCAAGATCTTTGTCGATTGATCAAGGATATTTTAGTTTACCAGAAGCAATAACTTGGCAAACAAAAGATAAACAGGTATCACATGGCTACTTTTATCCGCCATGTAACAAAGATTATCAAGGAACAGATGGGGAGTTACCTCCCTTACTTGTTCGTGCTCATGGTGGGCCAACAAGTTGTTATGATAATAATTTAGATATAAAACTGCAGTATTTTACAAGCCGAGGATTTGCTGTATTATTAGTTAATTATAGAGGCAGCACTGGGTATGGTAAAGAATACAGACACAGCCTCCGTGACAAGTAAGATAATATTTGATAATTTCTGTTACTATTACTTCTGATGTGTTCATTCAGGACTCTGTTGAACTAAGGATACTAATGTGTATATTAGAATTGTATTGTAGAATGTATGATATATATTACAAGATTTACATATGCAACAGTGGTATCTTTTTTACATATGTTACGTCAGAGCTATATGTTTATATCTTAATTTCAAAGATTTTTTATATCTGAAGATAGAAGATTTTTTAAATCTGAATATAGATGACTGTTTATACCTTGATATAGATGACTGTTTATATTTCTTAATATAGATGAATGTTTATATCTTATTATAGAGGATTGTTTATATCTTAATATGGAGGATTATTTGTATTTGATTAAAAATAAATGTTTATATTTTAATAAAAATGAATGTTTATATTTTAATACAGATGATTGTTTATATTTTAAAATAGATGACTGATTATATTTTAATAAAGATAATGGTTTATATTTTAATAAGAATGAATGATTATATTTTAATATATACAAGGTTTGTGCATAATGTTTATTGTTTATATTTTAATATAGACATAGACAAACGTTTATTGTTTGTATTTTAATATAGATGGGGTTTATATGATGTAGATGATTGTAGTAGTGGTGCACTATATCTAGGTAAACAAGGTAAAGTTGACTGTAATAAGCTGTGTATTGATGGTGGATCAGCTGGAGGTTATACAACACTAGCATGTTTGACTTTTACAGATGTCTTTAAAACAGGTGAGTTCATCTTTAAATAGATGTAATACTGTAGGGTAGCTCAAATTGTTATAACTTTACTAATCATAAATAGTATATTTAAGGCGACGTTTCGAAGAGTATTCTCTCAATGTTATCGTAATTATAGACTTCGAAAAATCATCTTAAATATAAATGTAATACTGTAGGGTAGCTCAAATTGTCACTAATGATAAATAGTATATTTAAAATGACGTTTCGAAGATTATTCTCTCAATGTTATCGTGTTAATCCACTTCAAAAAATTATCTTAAACTAGCAGTACTTTTCCGTAAGTATGTGTTTTTGTTTTTACTCTATCCAGTTACTAAATGCCACTTAAAGATTATTTTAGTAATAATATACAGTCATACAGTTTTATCAGTATATGCTTGGGACAGGAGCCATGGTTATTGATTGTTAATGGTGCTGGACTCCTGGCTCACTAACCAGGAAGTTCCAGGTTCGATCCTACTAGTAGTCTGGAAAATTCCTCATCAGCAAAGACGGTAGGGCTTGGCAAATAAAAGCGTCTAGTTATGATAATCATTTGACATGGGCTAACAAAACCCTTGACAAGAGTAAGTGTCTGGGCTGAATTTCCCAAATAGCAGACTGCATGATGACGTATGCCCATCTTCATTAACCCAGTTGGTGCAAAGAAAAGTAGGACATTCAACCCTATTTCATTTTACACTAGTAACATATACTCAGCATAACCTGGTATTATAATAAAGGGGGGGGGATGGCCAATTGGTTAGAACATGCACGCTCTATCATAAGGTCTGTCATTGAGTCCACTCACTCCACTGGGATGGTTTTGAATCCCCAGTTGTATGTGACAAGGAGTAGGGTCGCCTGTCCAACCTCGTGGGTTTTCTCCGGGTCCGCCGGTTTCCTCCCGCTGCTAACGCAAACGAATTATTGAAATAAAATTTGAACTTTAAACATTTAAAATGCTAAAAATATTTTTATCCAGGAGCCAGTCATTATGGTATAGGTGATATTGAATCCCTGGCTGCAGAAACGCATAAATTCGAAAGCCGTTACCTTGATAATCTAATAGCACCATATACAACCGAGGGAAGAAAGATTTTACGAGAAAGATCACCAATTAACTATGTAGATAGAATTAATTGTGCCATGGCATTCTTTCAAGGAGATGAAGATGAGGTTATATACTATTTTGTAATTTTAATAATAAGTGCAGGGGGACAACACCACACACAAGCAATTACACAAGACAAAACTATGGACACTATGAAATATACTGACACCACAAACAACAAATGCACATATCAGATCAAGGGAATGGTTCCAGGCGTGTCCACTGCGCTATACAGTCCTGGGCCTGTAATAATATAGGCCTCATTCTAATCTAAATAGAAAAAATGTAACCGCTAAAATTTAAAAAAAATTACACTCCATAACTTAATTTACTCAACAAAAGAATTATTTATGTCTGGATAATCAAGGTCACATGTTTCCTGTTTTAAGTATGATCTAAATTACAAAACATCAGAAGTGGGAACAGTTTGCTGGAGCATGAGTCCGAGTTGAATCTGAGTCCCATGTCACTGACTTCAAGATTAAAAACCGATTCAAAGGTAGCTGATGTGATAAAGATTGTTCATAAATGAAATGGGGTTAAATGTCCTATTGTTTTGCTCCAACTGTACTAATGCTATGGGTGAATTTTGCCGAGACAGCGGCGCTACAGACTACTCTTTATATCGAATTCCATCTGCCAAGGATTCTTTTATATGCACACCAATGTGTACACAGGGCCTCGTTTTTTTGTTCGATCCAGACGACTATACTTTGTTCCTATTACAGCTACTGGCATTAACATATCACTAATAGAATGTTTTATTTTAATTTTGACATTTGTATAAGTTTTAAAGGCAATGGATGTTTTTAATGTATAATATTCTGTTATAGGTTGTTCCACCCAATCAAGCAGAAATGATGTATGCAGCAGTGAAAGCTAAAGGAAAGCCAGCTGCTCTAAAGATGTATAAAGGTGATTTAAAACTAGTAAACTTACCCTAATTATATTCTTTAAGTTCCAGTTTAGTAATTGGTCACATTTAATAAAATACAAAACTTTTATTGAATACAATTCCTGAATTTAATATAAGCAAACTTTACCACAGTGTTTGTTTTAGCCCTTTTTTTTTAAAGAGAGAGATAGAGAAATGGGGTTTAATGTCCACTCGACACAAACTAGGTCATTTTGGGACTAACATATGTTTTTTTAAAAAATTTTATTTCAACAATTCGCTTGCGCGTAGGGGGGAGAAAACCCACGAGGTTGGACAGGCGACCTTACTCCTTGTCACGTACAACCGTGGATTCAAAGCCACGCCAGTCGACTCAATGACAGACTTTATGATACAGCGCGTGCACGCTAACCATTCAGCCATCCAACCCTTTTTTCTTTTTCTTTTTTTTTTTTAAAAAACATTTCTACAGGTGTATATGAAATCAGTGCTAAAATCTAGAAATGCTTATATGTTTAATTTACTAAAATGTTGAGATCATTTTTATATTTATGATCTGTGGTTCTATGTGCAATACTACTGTAGTAAGAAAGAAGTTTGTTTGGTCAGCAGAATTTCGGTCTAATCTCTTTTAAATTCTAAATGCCAAAATATCTTTGATAGGGACAACAAATTTTTAAACATGTGCTTGTTTTTCGTACAATCCGACACATACCCTAGACATATAATTGGATTTGTCCATATATGTGATTTTGTCTTTGATTGGCATTTAGTAATTGAACATTTTAACACAAGGTACAATTTTATGGATACACAATTACTGAGTTTGATACTAAGCGACGTTTGGACGAGGATACTCTAATCTTTATCAAGCAAATGATACAGGTGTGTGAATAGTAGGAATATATATACAGAATATGCAACAGAATAACAATCAAATACAGTTAAAACTCAACACCTTTGATTAATGGCACTGTCTCTGCATCACATTAAAAATGTCCAATTGTTGCAAAATCTAATATACTTGTCCTCTGATGGTATTGTGTATCCATAAAATTGTACCTTGTGTTAATATGTGAACTCTGAAATAAAAGATTTTTTTTCTGTATTACAGGTGAACAACATGGATTCAGAAAAGCTGAAAATATTCAAGATGCTCTTGATGGAGAGTTTTATTTCTTTAGTAAAGTTCTGGGTTTTACAGCAGCAGACTCGTATAATAATGTAAGTTGATTCGCTTGTAGTTAATATTTTCTATTTATATTGTCGATCTGTCCATCGACACTTGCTGGTACTCACTCTCATACTACAAGATTCTTGACTGATTTTTATCTCATTTTCTTTCTGAAATAGTTAATATTGGGATAAAGATTGTCCAGATACTTGTTGCCTAACCTTTGATTGTTGATGAATGGAAATAAGCTAAAGTATTGACTCTACAAATTCGGAAATAATCCACATTTACAGTACAGGTTCAAAATCTCAAAACATTGTGAAAGTTAAAAAAAGGAGATTTGAGTGTGAGTGGGGGAATTGTGGTACTATTGGTATTACTGGGGCTTTGTGGATGACGAAGCTGCTGGTGGGCTGGCAAACTATGTTTAGTACAAGCTGTGAAATGTACTTGACCTTGTCATAAGTCTTTCTTACACACGTTAGTCTTAAACATCCTATCATCATCCTCTCGGCTCGGCTCAATGTGTATAAAACACACTTTCAGCTTCCTCTATTCATGAGCGGGGGCACGGTGGCTTGCTAGCCTGGAGGTCGGGTGTTCGATCCCTGCATTGGCCGAGAAATTTCATCCAGATTTTCCGGCGTGGTTCCCCCTTGTCAGTGATGCAGGATGGAGGGCCTGACAAGGACAGCTGTCTAGTCATTTGACGTGCACGTAAAAAATCCATTGACAGTTGGAATTCGATATAGGAGTAGGCAGTAGTGCCACTGTCCGAGCAAAAGTCGGAGCAGAACAGTACGACATTAAAACCCATTTCATTTCATTTCTATTCATGAGAATGGGGGTCTTGGGAGTGACCTCAGAAGTGGAATAGCCTACTGCCTTTCTTCATCTAAATCCATCACTGGTTGTACTTGCTTTATAGAATTAATGTCTCGTTTAATAAATATCTTAGTGTCATTGATATCTGTTCTATTTATATTTGTTTTTTTCCAGCTTACCATTGAAAACCTCAAATAGAAATCCACCACCATTGAACTGTGAACATAATATACTCAATTATATTAGTGCTAACCTTCATATCTTATTTAATTTTTTAATAACTGTTATTTTTGTTAGATTTTTAAAACATTTAACCATTTAATTATATTTCTGAGAATCATTTTGATACTAATATAAAACATAATGTGATACAGTATATGGATGGCTCAACATTTTGAGGTAAATAGGCACACTGATCAGCAATGAATATTCGCTACACCGCTACCATCACTGATAGGAATGACTTTGGTGTGGCTTAATGAGCTGGCAATATTAACTTTTTTCTTTCTGCAAATTAAATTCTAGAACATTTTTTTTTGAAGTATTAGAAAAAAATATAAATGAGTTTGAAGTATATCTGGATAAAAAAAATACCCTATTTAGAGTGGATGGGTGTATAAAATGAGTAAAACGCACGATTCTGGATGAACTTTAAACAATACATGCACCACTGAGTCAGTGATTGCAGCCTTGTGATGTGGTGTCACATTAGAAGGCAGTCATCTTATACAGAGTTATAAGAAGACTTTCGCAATTCCTCTGTGAAACAGATTAGTAAAGAGGATGTTTCGGTGTTTGATTTACACATTTAAACCCACTATTCTTAACAGATTCCTATGAAATCTAAGATTATCTCTTTATATATATTTTATTTGTTATTCTGTTATTGTACAGTTGTGAAAAATATCACATCAATGCTCTGTTTTGTATTTTTGTACCAAGTTTTATGATCTTGATATTGTTTTTGTTAACGACTGATTAAGATCTATATTTACTGTACATGTACCAGTAGTTGATTTGTTATCCTCTTAACGGTTTTCAAGTCAGAAATTTGGTGCCCAACAAATTTATTTTATACACATTCCAGAAGCAGCTATTTGAATGTAATATTAAGTTGAACAATCTGATTGTACTGCTGATATATAAACTTGTAAAAGAGTTAAAATATATCATAAATAATATTTTTTGAAGATCTTTGCCGAAAACAAGTGCTCATTGATTGATATTGCACAATATCAATAGATTAATGTTGAAGAATTGTATAATTAAATTGCAAAATGATTCTGTGATGTGGTCGTGAGGGAGGTATCTGAAAAATCACCCACCTACAGTCCCCTAAAAGGCCTTATTTTCTTTGTTAATTGCAAATAGCCGAGTGATAGGAATCGGGTAAAGACCTAGATTTGTAATTTGTTTTATTAGTTACATATTCTGTTAATTAGAATAATATCTATACAATACACAATGTAATTTGTTTCATTACGAATGTCCAGATTCTTGTTAAACACAATCATTTCATATACAAAATATGTTATTCTCTGTATCCTGCTGTATTTTGATTTGAATTCTGCAAAAGTAAAACCAGGATAGTTCTGAGTTTTCTGACTTATTTTGAAAGTATGAATACAAATTGTTTACTAGTATAATCTTTTGATTCAGTTGTGAAATTATTGGGTAGTTATGAATCATGTCTTGTTTTATATACATAGTATTATCCCAACCAGATAGTATTATGCCCGAAGGAAGACAGAAATGTCTACAATTAAATTATAACCACTTTAATTTTTAATAAAATATAGTACAGTAATGGATTTTATGCTTTGTTTTTCCTTAATAATACTTCAGTAAACCTTTTGTTTTGATTCTTAAAGAGGCATGCTGCTATTTCTTGTAAAAACTTCAAACATTCATATCTTCGTACGGAAATCAGAATAAATTAAGTAATTTGAATGAAACTTTTGATATATTCATTTTTGTCCCCCGCCTTTCGAAGAAAGTAGGGGACTATTAAAATGGGTTCGTCCGTCTGTCTGTCCGTCTGTCTGTCTGTCTGTCTGTCCGTCCGTCTGTCTGTCCGTCACACTTTTTGGGACACAATAACTCTCTTCCTAATTTGAGAGCTAGAATGTTCAAACTTGGTGTATGTGTTTATTAGGTCAATGCCTTGATGGAGTTCGAAGATGAGCATTTTCCGCTTAGGGTAAGCAGAGATAAGCAATTTGATTGGTTGATGCTTTGGGACACGATAACTCTCTTCCTAATTGGGCTAGAATGTTCAAACTTGGTGTATGTGTTGATTAGGTCAATGCCTTGATGGAGTTCGAAGATGAGCATTTTCCGCTTAGGGTAAGCAGAGATAAGCAATTTGATTGGTTGATGCTTTGGGACACGATAACTTTTAATTGAGCTAGAATGTTCAAACTTGGTGTATGTGTTTATTAGGTCAATGCCTTGATGGAGTTCGAAGATGAGCATTTTCCGCTTAGGGTAAGCAGAGATAAGCAATTTGATTGGTTGATACTTTGGGGCACGATAACTCTCTTCCTAATTGAGCTAGAATGTTCAAACTTGGTGTATGTGTTGATTAGGTCAATGCCTTGATGGAGTTCGAAGATGAGCATTTTCCGCTTAGGGTAAGCAGAGATAAGCAATTTGATTGGTTGATGCTTTGGGACACGATAACTTTAGTTCTAATTAAGTGAGATTGATGCAACTTGGTGTATAGTTTCATTACAGTAATACCTTGACTAAGTTTGATAATGAGCATTTTCTGCTCAGGGTAAGCAGAGCGATACGCAATTTGATTGGTCGAGACTTTGGAAAACAATAACTCTCCTACTTTTATTGTCCCCCGCCTTTCGAAGAAAGCAGGGAACTATTAAAATGGGTTCGTCCGTCTGTCTGTCTGTCTGTCCGTTCCGCTTATGGTAAGCAGAAAAAACAAATTGAAAAAGAAACTATTATAAATTAATTAAATATGTAGTATGCAATAATGAATTGACATTTAATGACAGAAAGAAAACAGTGAACTTTGCACAACTTGCAGCAAGATGGAAAATAGACCCGTTGATACAACCAAACTCTAGATATGTAGGCATAGAGCATGTTTTCCCCTTAATATGCTATAATTATTCCATCAAAAACATTGTATGCTTAGACTATAAGTAAAGATATACTGTTTGATTGTTCAATACTTTGTAAAAGATAATTTGTGATAAATTTATATGTGTCCTCTAATTATTTTCCTATTTCGGCGGGTCACATCAGCCTCACTGTTGGCTTGTTCATTATCTATTTTTGAACAATTTTTAGCAAGAACGGCCAGCTCTTGATCTAAATCTTACTTAATGAGCCTTTGAAAATTTAGACTGAAGTGGTAAAAGTTCACAATGGAAATGGTTTAATAAGCCATTTTTTAATATCTATTTTTATAGGTTTCATTCTGATGGGATTAATCTCCGCCATAGAATCGTCAACATTAACCTTTTTTTCTGTCCCCTGCCTTTCGAAGAAAGTAGGGAACTATTTAAATCTGTCTGTCAGCAATTTGATTGGTTGATGCGTTGGGATAAGATAACTTTAATTCTAACTGATGAAACTTAGTGGTGTATAGTTTCACTACAAGGTACTTCAAATTTTCGACTGAGTTTGATCGTGAACATTTTAAGCTTAGATTAACTATAGATAATCAGTTTGACTGCTCAATACTTTTGAAATTGATATATGTGCAATTAATCAATATGTGTCATCGATTTGTTTTGGGATTTTGGCAGGGGTCATCAGCCTCACTGTTGGCTTGTAACACCAACTTTAAAGCTATATAGACATGTAATCAAAATGAATAAATGCACATTTGAATAACCCAATTGCAAAGCCAAAATATTTCTAACTTGTATGCAGGCATTTATTTCACACTTGCTAATTCTGTATTACCAGCAAACTGAACTGGGGTCACACTGTAGACAAGATAATTCAGTATTTGTGTATAGCACCCGTCAATTGCTTTCTGGTTATTTAACAAGAAAACCTTTATATCTTCTCTGGAGCTGATGTGGCTCAGTGTGTAGGGCACTGGCAAGCAAACCAGAGAAATTTCACAATTTCTTGCATGGTTTCCCCTTGTCAGTGGTGCAGGAGGGAAGGATCTGGCAAGGAGCAGCGTTTAAAGGCTTAGATGAGACCAAAAAGGTAGGTCCCATGTACACTACAGAACCCATGACAGACGGCCATAGTGCCACTGCCAGCAACAAATTTTCCCTCATAGCATGCTAATTGGTGCAGAATAGTAGGACATTAAACTCCATTTCATTTTATACCTTTTGTAACTGTCTTCTCATTATGCCACATCACACAAGTAAACTTTAAAAAAACCCAAAAAACATTAAAATTTTGGAAACTTTTTATTAGTCATCAAATTTACTTGATTTTCAAGAATAATTTTGGACTATGCATTACATTAAAATGATTTTAGCGATAAATGGAAATTAACTCAAACAAGGTCAAATTTTAATCAAATAGATGTCATAACTGCTGCATTATCAAACTTGGCAAATAAAAATACACAAAAGGACAAAATATATATTTACAGTTAATACTTTGCACAGTACTACATAATTTGGTGAAAACAAATATTTCAGAGATTCACAGTTATCTAGGCTCGGTAACAAATATGTATTCCAATGAACATCCAAATGGACAATCTTATGATTTGGTTTCTATTTTAAATAAATGATTGATAATTTTGAATGTTCAAAATGTTAATTAGAAGAAATTTGTATAAATTTAAAAAATATACATGATTATTTGTAGGCTTACTTATAATCAGTTTTAACAAGAATACCTTTTCTTAATTTCATATTTAAGGCAACTTAACATTTTATATGCTAAAAAGACTTGTTTTCCATTAGTGATTACAGAATTATGTTAATAATTGAGTATTTAATCCCATTCAGATATATACTAAATATTCTATGTAATATTTTTACTTTGTAATACGTAAGCATTGTGTCAAAAAAAATTATTATCAGAAACTAGCTTTTCTAACAATAAATTTATCATTTAATCCATAAAGTATTTTGCTTCAGGAACACAAGAGATCAGGGATCTCTAAACATTAAGTTCATGTCTTTCACTGTGTTGTCAACAAAACAAGAAATAAATCTCTCAACCCTTGAGGTCAATAACAGATTTTAATGCAATGTGCACAAAGCTATTTAGTACAACAAAAAAACTGCATCTGCGCTGACAGCTCAATCCTTTTAAAAAAGCAGTTGGAAAGTGACTCCCTAGACCCTAAATAACAGAAATTCTAGCATCTAATTGTTATTATACATGTCATAATTACACAAAAACAATAATATTACCAAATGGTAAAATATATTATTATCACTCCCCACAAGAAAAAATTAGTCCACAAAAAGATTATATTAATCTTTATATAAAAGATCCATCAAAGTTAACTTTTTACAACCTTCTGTCATGTAACAAATGACAACAGAACTTATAAATAAAAAACAAAAATAGAGTTTAAAGGCACAATCATCTTAATCAGACTTTAATGAAGTGGTACTGGTTATCAGAAAGAAAATGAAGTGAAATAAGTAATTCCAAGAATTTACTTTACAAAAAAACAAACAAAACAAACATACCCCCCCAAAAAAACTGGTGATCAAAAAAACAAAAATATTTTGGGAATGCTACCTGTTCATTGGTCAAGACTTTAGCTCTTGTCCACTGAAATGTATGCATTTTCAAAAATATTTTAGTTTCTTATTTTTTTTTTTTGGTGATTATGACCCGATCAAAACTCTTTATTTCATCCAATCTTTATTCAATGGTTGATTGCCATTTCAATTTTGGTAAAAGTGATAATTACTGCAGTGTGCCCTTAACATCCATTTTTGAAATGTTATAATTCAACATACATAATAAGCTTCATGCATTGTCAAACAATGTAATAAGACAAACAGATGATATTTCTATACATAAAAACAATGACTGGAAGATGAAATAAATATCTTTCATGTAAAATGACAATTTTAACAAAAACATAATTTTCATTCCTGATAAGGAAAAAATATCATTTATTCAGTACAACATTGTGGTGGTAGACTCTCTCACTTCTTGGCTCTAAAACAAGGCAAGATTAAGTCCTGTCCATTTTCTCATTTAGTGTAACCATTGCCAACTTCACTACCACGATAAATGTTGGTCCAATATGAACTTGAAATAAATGATTGTTGCTATGGTAACTCATTACCCCATCGTCTGTAGTATACATTAAATGTACATAATAACATCGACTTGTACGTACAATATAAACACAGAATATATACAATCAATCTATCTCTTATGTCTCGCTTTCACATCCTCCTTACACATTACACAAATCCCTAGGACATGATTCAATGATTTATCACAATCTAGTAGGACCAGTCAACACACCTAACCCAGTCTTTATTGTTTCTATAGTATACAGGAATTCTAACTTGATTCTCTATTTTGATATCAGCTGACACTTCCATGATACTATAAACGTAGATGGTAACTGTTCACAGATTATCATTTCAGCATAAGTTGATTTTTAGCACTGTTGTACACTATTTTATAACTAATGTGATAATATCCTCTATTCTCTGTCATGTTTCGAATGATTGATTAATCTAGATTTTGATTTGAAAATATCTCATTTCTTTTCTTAAGATATCTTGATGTGAACTAGTCATCCTGCATATCTTCCTGAAGTTCGTGTGGTCCCAAAATACCAGGTACAGACAGCTGAACTTTACGTTTTTCATCTTGTGCCTGTCGGATTGCTCCTTCTCTTTCTTCTAAAAACAAATCACTCAAATCTTCACCAGCAAATTCCTACAATGGAGAAAAATAAACTAAATATTCCCGACATCCATAATTTGCACAGATTTTATTTTGAAATATAAAATAAATACATTGAACATCCATATTTTATTTGCAATATTTTCAAATCCTTCTGCCAGTGGTGACAATCTGAACTCACTGCATTGGATTCCTTTCATTATGTAGGCAAGCTCAATTTTAAGCTGTATTGCATTTCACAAGACAACGATATTCGTCAGTATTGTTCTCTATTACATAAACAGAAAACGAAAGTTACAAATAAGGATTCGACGTACCCTGATCTGAACCAAGAAATCTCGTAAATGTTCCTTGAAAGCCGCAAAGTCTCTATCAAAACTGAATAGACCTTTAATGAAAATTTCAATTTGTGATCTGAAAAATTAAAAAAAAAATTGTTTTTTTAAATTAGTACTACAAAATTGTTAACACCTTTTGATCTAACTTGTAATTATAATGCTGGAGGTAATTGTCTGAAATATCTTTTTTAAAAAAACAAATTGTACAATAAAAATGTATAAATGAAATGGGGTTTAACATCCTACTATTCTGCTCCGACTGGGCAAATGAAAACTGGTATACGCCATGCAGTGTGCTATGAGGAAAATTTATACGGGTAGCAGCACTATGGCTTACTCTTTTATCGATTCCAACTGCCAAGGGAACTTTTATGTGCACACCAATGTATACACATCCGAACGACTAGACAGATGTCCTTGTCAGGTCCTCCGTCCTGCACAAAAAATGTATATATCCGAGGACCATCTTTTATCGAATTCCAACTGCCAAGGGAACTTTTATGTGCACACCAATGTATACACATCCGAACGACTGGACAGCTGTCCTTGTCAGGTCCTCCGTCCTGCACAAAAAATGTATATATCCAAGGACCCTCTGGATGAGGGTACAGCTGTGCATACCTTTTCTTCCATATAAATTTGCTATAGATGTATACATACAAACCATTACTTACTCATTTAGATGTGGGAAAGCAGTTTTGAGTAAATTGAGAAGAAACTGCTGGACAAATGTAACATTTTGGATTGAATTACTGCTGGCACCGCCAAGTGCTATTGTTATTTTATCACTTTCTAATGTGCTGAACATGTATGCTAAAATTGTAGCCTGCATGGTTAAACCTGAAAAATAAATATACATCTAACTTGATGTGGTGCCATTGGTCACGGCATAAATAAAAATTTGGGCTAAAGAAAAATATCACAAAATGCCATTCATTTAAAGGTATTTTTAAAACAGATCAGCCTTTTTTTTACAGTTAAAGGAGGAGTACAAACATATCTTGTTGTTTTGTGTTTACATTATATTCATAGGGTACGGTGGCATTGGAGCTTAAATTAAACTGGTTGGTAAATCATTATTGATCTGCATAAATTAATAAGTGAATAAATTTAAATGTTTTTGTTATTAATGATTGTCATTAGAATATATTTACAGTCTTCTGAACCACAGATTAACCCTTAACCGGTCTTTGTCGACTATAGTCACCATAACGTTATACAGCTAAGTGGTCACGGTCGACAGAAGTCAACCACCGTAAGGACCTTTCTTATAAGCCGCATTTAATTAATATGGCCACACATGCGTGTCAGACTGGAACTTGTCTTGTCAAAGGCATTGAGAAAACATGTCTTTGTTCAACATTTTTTGACAAAAAACGTAATTTTTTAATGTCGAGAAAGTTAAAGACTGGCAAAGTGGTTGAAATTCTAAAAATTATGCAGACCGGTTAACGGTTAATGAACCAAACATGACCATTCATCTCATTCTGGCTTTAAGAAATTGAAACTTTTTATTCAACAATATTTTTGTTATGTAATAAAATTCTGCAAGCATTCAGGAGAAATGCTGTTTATATAAAACTAACCTGCTGTATGAGAACTATCTGTCACAACAGAAAATAGATGTTGTAATATTTCTGTAAAATATGTTTGATAAAAACTTTGTGCAGCTGCCTCATGTTTAGCAATACTTTGTAATAATACATAGAGAATATCTAATCCTGTATCGGCCACGTTACGCATGGTGTGTTTAAACGCCCAGATAATTGAATCAAGCACCAGTTTGAATTGTGCTGCTGGGATATTCAACAAAGCTGAAAAATATAAACATACAAAACAATTAAACTATTTCTTGTAAATGTAGAATGAACAATATAAATTATAGTAGATTTTGTCACATGTGAAGTAGTGTGGATTTAATTATTTAGATCAGTTCGTAACACTTTCCATTTGCAAATACAAAGGTATATTGGAGACATTGCTATATAAAATTGTATCAGTGCCATTTTGTAACTGACCTGGACATAATTCTATGGAATACAATTACCGTTATTATTATAACCTATAGCAAGACTAGAGAAGCTTAATTGATACATAGCTAAGTACTAAATAGTAATTGTATTCCAAACACATGACTAAACAAATCTTGACATTCTTCAGTTCGAAGTTTTACTGAATGATATTGGTTTGTAATCCCAAATAAATCAAAGTTTGCTATTAATAATAATACGGTGAATAATGAATAAACAGTACCTTGGAAACAATGTGAATTGACAGCTTTTAGCAATAAAAAGAAATTGGTTCTATGTTCTGGATATTCTTCAAAATCCTACAAAATACACAAAAGATCATAAGTCTCTATTTAACAGAACATTGCAGAATATTATCAACCATAAATTATTATAAAGCTTGATTTTATGCTTCGTGTCGCCATTAATTACATTCAATGTGCTATGAGGTAAATGTTTTCAGTAACGTACCTTTTGTCCAGCACCATTTACAATATGAAATTGGGCTGGAAAACTCAGAGAAACTTTCTTGGCAAACACTGAGATGGAACCTGGGATCATCTGATTAGTGAGCAAGTCATACTCACTGAACCACTGTGGCTACCCATTATGGGAAAAGATAGTTTTTTTGTGTTTAAAACTCAACATAAACTGGGTTATTCGCTTGTGCAAAACAGCAGGACTGAGGAAATCCCTAAGGTTGGACAGGCGACCCTACTCCTCGTCATGTACAAGCGGGAAATTAAAACCATGCCACTTGACTCAATGACAGATCTTATGATCTAAAGCCCACAAGTTAAACCAATCACCCCAATCCCACATTATGAGAAAGGTACCATTAAAATTGTATAGCTTATATTGATAAGGGCAATATTTGGATTGGTTTATGATTTTCAATAATACCAGTATTAAGAATAAACAGTAGATATATACCTTATTTATCATTGTTAATGTACACTCAAACACAGCATCAAATATCTGTGGTATGTCTTTTGTTATGTGGTTCTGTAAGATAAATACAATACATTTTATAGACACATGAAACCCAACTCACAACATTATAGACCCCTTTTCTCTTTTTATTGTGCAGAATAACTGGACATAGAATACTTCAATAGAAACTGTGTACTATTTTGTTTTTTGTAACTTTATAAGTGAGAAATGATTACAATACTATAATCATTTCTGAATTGATAAAGTTATTGATCTTCCAGAACATTATTATAGATGAAATACAAATTATTTCATCCATACTCAAATTGTCTGGTGAACTATAAATTCAAGAACTAAAAATTACATTTCTAAAAGCCTCCATTTCACAATAATGAAACAGAAATAGATTCTTTCAAAGCCTGCAGAAAACAGTGGCTTACATGTACAAGACAGTATTATAAGCTGTTAAGTTTCTCTAAGGATCTGTTAAGATACCCAGATGAAATTTATATAGAAAGGAAAGAGAAGAGTTCAATGTTACCTCTAGTCTATCGACTATTGTGGCCATGGTACTTAAAACTTCTGGTTCTCGAGCAGCAGGTACATTTCTCTGATAATCTAACAACACTGCATCTAATAATGGTGGAATAAAATTCTCAGCAACCTGTAACAAATAAAAGGCAAACATAAAAATACTAATACACATTGATTCTATCTTGATAATTGGATTCTATCTTGATAATGGATTCTTAACTCGTGAAAATATAACAAGAGTAGATCCTTAATTCTAAGATAAAACACTGAGGTAATTCAGGAGTAGATTCTTAATCAGGGCTGTCGGTAATTTTTCACAGATGATTAGCAGCACTTGTAATCAAAAAGTCCAATTTTGCCAAATTTGATTAGCAAATTTAAAAATTGATTAGCAAATTAGCAAATTTAAAAATTGATCAGCAGTTTCAGTTTCAACATAAAACACCTAATTTTGCCAAATTTGAAAATTGATTAGCAGTTTTTCAGTTTTAACATAAAACACCTAATTCTGCGAAGTTTGATTACCAAATTTAAAAATTGATTAGCAGTTTTTCAGTTTCAACATAAAACACTTAAATAACAATATTATTTTAATTTATAACAAATGATTAGATTTCATTCTTAAGATTTTTTTAGAATTTTAGCACTTCTACAGGTAGCTTTAAACATTTCTGAATGTAGACTTTGATTAGGCCTTATGTCTGAAGCCAATTCTTGGCAGTGGCTTCCGAAGTCCCACTCATTTTAATTTTTATTTCTTCGTTAGAAAACAATTCCGTCTGCTTTTTATCGTGTGTTACTAATTTTGTTCAATCGGTCAATCTTGATTAACTAGACGCGAGCAATATAAACAATAATATTTTATGGGAATTGTTACTTTATTTCTCATTTTACAATACGTTTATACGTATTTAAATTTCATTTACAATACGTGGGGCGGGGGATACGCTGAATTAATTTTTTTCAATTGAATACTGATATAATTACTCGAAATTGACATGTCTCGCAACATGAGTGGTACTACTTGATTCCCTATTTCCGGTTTAAAAGTCCCAATTGATAGAGTTTTGTCCCTGTATTATATAGTATAATGAATTGAGTCTGGTTGGGTAGTTCGAGAAGAAAATGTCACATGGAGAATTCAGTTTTGTTTATAAAATTTATTTGATGTTTTATACACGTTGAAAGTGTTGAGAAATGGGGATAAATTAATGATTCGCACTTATTGCAAATCAAAAACGTTAAATTTTAATTTTTGATTAGCAATGGACAAAATATGTATCGCAAATTGCGCTGCAATACTGGTTATCGGCAGCCCTGTTCTTTATTCAAGATAACATATGAAGACATTCAGGAGTAATTTAAGGTAATATTATTGGAGTAATTCTTAATTCAAGATATGTAATTGGAGTATATTCTTAATACAAGATAATGTAACTGGAGAGAGAGAGAAATGGGGTTTAACCCCCCATGTATTAAATTGGCAGTATTTACCATCTGATGATCAGCAGAACGGCTAACCCAGCCCGATATTAACTTTAATGTTTCTTTTTTAACTGTTCTCATACTTCGTATTAATGGTTGCTTGGTAACACTTTCACCATTTGTAGCTATAGCACTACTGATATTTTCACTCATTACTTTATAAACATTTAACATATCCAGATAGATTCTTCCCAACTAGAAATACAAATATACAACAAAGTTTATCTACAGTCATAAACTTACATCATTACAGGGAGATAATTTGTTCTAATCAACAAATTTCAAGAAGTGAAATTGGGTTTAACATCCTACTTTTCTGCACTATCAGAGCTAATAAGACAGGTCTATGCTATGCAGTATGCTATGAGAATAATATTGCCTAAATAGCGGTCTGGGGATCTTTAGACACTTTTCCAGTCAGGCCTTTCTTCCTTCGCCAATGACAAGGGGCCAGGCAAGGATGATACTAACCAATCCACCGCGAAGTTTCAAGAAAAACAAGACACAGAAATATATCAATACACTAAATTTAGACAAAGTAATTCTGCATTAAAACAAGACATAACATAGAATGTGAACATACCTGGACAACATATGGATGTTGTAAAGCTTTACATGCTCGGACATTGGTTTTTAAAATATTACCCAGTCGTTTCACTGCATCTGGATCCTTCAGCACTTCTACATTCTGAAATAATATAATATAAATTTCAGAAATAATGTAAATAAACTACTAATTTTATATAATTTTACATTCTGAAAGTAAATTAATAGCAAGTGCAGGACAACACTACACGCAATACAAAATCTACAAGATAAACTGGCGGACAAAGCACAACATAGACAATGCAAAAAGTAAAGTAATATCAAATAAAGTGAATGCATCCGGGGGGCAGCTGTAAGCGTCCACTGTGCTGTACAGTTATAACATAATATATCAATTTTAGACAATTCTAGGTTCAGTTGACACTATCAACCTTATACATCCATAACTTTGGCAGTAATTATCGGAAATTGCTGAAAATCAATAGGATTCTTCGTCTTGTGACCTTAAACAATGTATAAATTTAGAATCAATTGGATATTAACTATAGCCTCCAGAGCATCCACAAGCAATTGTGGACACCGGACCGACATTTCAATAAGAGCATTATTGTAGATACGAGTTGAGTATGGGCTTGTCATTATGCCTAAATAATAGTTTATATAATATTTGAAGCCAAAACAAAGACAGGCTCCTACATAATGCATCTTTAATATCACAGAACTGACCATTAAGTATTGTTTGGTCCTCTCCTGTTTAATTTTGGTATGAGGATGTGTATTTTATTTCTAGTATATGTACAGTACGGACAATGTATCCCTGTTTCTTTATGCAGTACAAGCATTGTTTAATAGAAATAATATTTACCTGGGTAGCTTGATTAATAATACCATCCCACACCTGATTAGGTAACAACATATACCTTTCTATCAGGTGTTCTTGTGCTGCTTGCTCTGTCTGGGCACTGATCATTAATCCTACAGCTTCATAAAATGTGTGAACCTAGAAAACCATTGATTAAAATAGAACTGGATGTCAGATATTTTTAGAGAATTGAGGATTTTAAAGTCCACTTGACACAAACTAGGTCATTTGGGGACTAACATATGGTTCAATTTTATTTCAATAACTTGCTTGTGTGCAGGTGTTTTTAGCAGTGGGAGGAAACCGGAGAAAGCCGAAGAGGTTGGAAAGGCAACCCTAGTCCTTGTCAAGTACAACCAGGGAATCGAAACCGCACCAGTTGACTCAATGACAGACCTCACGATATAACACGCACACGTTAACCATTCGGCCATCCAACACCCCCCCGCCAGCCCATCCTGAATATTTTTAAAATCGCAGTTGAATATGAGAAACTGATCAACACAGAACATAAGCTCAAACATGGACTTTAATTTCCACTCAACACAAACTTAAGTCATTTTTGGACTAAGATATGGTATATATTTATATCATTGATTTGCACAGCGGATGAAAACGAGAGAAACCCATTGAAAACCCAAAATATTGGGCAGTTGACCCTATTTCTCCCACATGCAAGTTGGGGACCGAAAATACAACAACAGACTCTATGACAGACCTTATGATCTAAAGTCCACGCCTTTGACCACTCATCCACATAAGCCTATTTCTTTCACGGACACTAAAAATGTTAACATGTAAAAAGTCAATATGATTATTTTAACTGGATTATGATTTATTCACTATTAGATACAGTAAGACAGTATTATTATAAAGCTGAATGAATGCCATACAGTGTCTTATGAGGATATTTTGCACGGACAGCAACTGAATTCCAACTGTCAAGCATTCTTTTATATGCACACAAAGAACCATAGTTTTTTGCCCCATCCAAACAAATAGACGCTGTCCTTGCCAGGCCTTCTGTCTTGCATCATTGACAAGGGCAAACAGCGAGCCAGTATCTTACTTACTGAGCCACCGCGCCTCCTTTATTATAAAGCATGTGTTTAACAAATGATAAGATATAGATATTTACCTGTTGAGGTTGTAAATCACAAATAATAGTGTTAATACCATTTAATATATCTTCTATAAATGGCATAACTTCTCCAACCTGTATCTGTACAAACTGACGACGGCATTTCTGTGCTATTTTAATAAATGTATCACAAGCCATGTCTTGTACACCATCATGAGTTTCTGTAAGATAGTTATTTAAAAAAATGTAAGTAAAACTGAAATAATATTTGGAAAATCCACATCAGGTTTTAGTTGTGTATGTATTGCTTTCTGTAAACAACACATTTATGCTGTATGTAACCATTGAAACAATCATTCACAGATCACATCAATGTAGATAATAATCCTCATTATTTAACAACTACATTTAACTAGTCAGAATACTTGCCACTACTAACTAGATCTTAGTTTAGAATAATCATTAATAAAGTACTAAAGCCTTTGCTCATTACAAAGTATGAAGACGTAACCATTAATAAATGGAAGTCAATAAACAAAAGTGTTTGTATATTCAATAGTGATTAATACCAAAATTAAGTGACAATCTAATTAAAACTACATGTTCTTTTCGTTTGTTTATTCAGATGGTCATTCCATTTATATCTACAGAGTACAGACAAAGACATGTTACAAGCATGGTGACAACCACATAGTAGTATCTTCACCCTTGATTCAACAGTCAATTAATGTCTGAACAATGCAAACCTTTTAAAAGAATTTACAGTGTGTTCTCTATGACATGGTTTTAATTGGTAGGTTAACCTCAGATTACTGAACCTGGGGGGCCTTTTTCACGAAATTTTAACTAAGATAAAATCCAAATTTTAGTAATTTGATTGGATAATATTAGATTGATTTTAGTGCTTAGTCAATCAAAATTGTAGTATCTACTAAAATTTGGATTTTATCTTTAGTTAAAATTTCGTGAAACAGGGCCCTGCCCTATAAAAGAAATGTATTTATAGAGTAAGAGAGAGTTGATTAAACCACGGACAAAATAAAACAGAACGAAATATTAGTACAGTTTTAATTAGACAGTTCCCCCCGCTACTAATGACAAATATTACAGCTAAAGGGAGATAAACAAGTTAATATACATCACGTGTATTTAAGAAATACAATGTACAACACCTTGTGATGTCTTGTTGAATTTTAGCCTTAATTTTTAAGGCAGCAATTTAAAAATATAACCTTTGTGAAACCCACCGATTGTCTGCTTCATCTGTTTTTGTATTTTCACAGGGTTAATTAATTATTTTTATAAATTTTTTAAAAATTCAACCAAATCGAGACAACTTTTAATATGTGAAATAATGACATCTCAAGGTATTTTGACATCATATACTTAGTAACATATTTATCTCCTATTAAACAATAGATTACTTTTGTATAACTTATTAACCACTTTCTATACATAATATCATTCTAAATCAAAGACGCCTTTTACCAGTTAATACAAAAGATAGTGACAAATATACACACTAATAAAAGGTATTTGTTAACTATTGGGATGTATAAAATCTACAGTGTATATTTCTGAGTTTATTTTTCTTGTGATACTGATTTGGTTAATTATGTAAATCCATGATAAAGGCAGACAACAGAATATTGGATGCTTCAACATTGAACAAACATAATTCATAAACAAAAATTTCAATATGAAATCATGACATGGAAATCTTTTTTTTTTATCTAAAGCGGCAACCATACTACATGTATAAACCAGAATATGGATTTCCGAGGACCAGACGGAGAGGAGGGTGGCATGGTAATTAAAATGTAAAGAAACAAAATACATATTTATAAATTTTATATTAAAATACAAAATAACAAGATGTAGTCTTAGCTACTACCATTAATAAACAAAAATATACTTTTACTTCACAAGAAAAACTGCAGTCTTCACAAGCACCCATAAGGTAATGGATGGTTGGTTAGAAACCTGCCAATCAAATGAAGCATTTAGTAAATAAAAAAAAAAAAATAGAAAAAAAAAAAAAATAACTACCCAATATGTTAAAAGAAATTCTACTATTCAAAAAACCATCCATTAGTTGATATTTTAGAATGTATATTGACAAGATATTTGAATAAACTGACTGATGTAACAATATACAGGTCACTATACATTTACTATATCGTAAACCATTTTACTTCCAGTTTGACAGTTTAACCATTATAGCTTTGTAAAATTCAACAAGGTGAATGGAGACTTATTTAGTTCACGATCCATGTAATTAGCATATTTAACTGTAGTTATCAAGCCTGCCACTTTATTATAATAAACAAGTAAGTAGCCTATTGGTTTTTCAAATTACAGAAATTCAATTGGTGCATCAGATCTTATTTTAATCATTTTTTTGTCGATTAAGAAACATTCATTGGTCAACTAACTGTAGATATGAAAGATATATCCATCCAAATGTGCTTTCCATAAGTAGTTATTAATAAGGCAACACAAATAAAATAAGTTGTTTCTCGGGCACCGCCCGCACGCAAAATTGGTTGCGCGTGCGGCCTATTTATTAGTCTTGATGAAAAATAAAAAATATGTAACGCCCGCCCGAACATCGATAAGCAAGTCATAAAAAATATATGCCGCATGTATCTACATGCCCCATACGTGAATATCCATTCAAATGTATTAAAATGATTCAGATGTAAACGCTCATTTACGGGTCTTTTTTATTGATATCGAAAGAACCTCCATTTTTGTATCACGTGATTTTAATTACCTCCCCTTGTGAACTAGAATTTGATTCGTGTTCAACACCGAAAGTCATTGACAACAATGCAATGTATTTCAATCATTCGATTTTAATCGGCTCATTATTGCCGGCTTCAGTCGGTCCATGTTTGAAAAAATCCTACTTATAAAACAATGAATCGTAGAACAGGTTAATTATTATAACTTGTGGCTACGAATACGATACGATGATTGATAGTCACCATACCTTAGTCAGAATCTGGGTCATTAGCACATTTAACGGTAGTTTTGATAATCCGGAAAATAATTATTGGATTACACATTTGATGGTTTTACTGACGAGTTGTTAGTTAAATTTCAATAGTCATTCGATATAAACCCCAGATAGAACACCGAATATCCTGAGAAACACACCGAATAACCTGAGAAACAGTCATTTCACGAATCCCGATGACACGTGAAATGCATGGGTTGGAATTAGGTCAATCATTATAAACCAGCGATACTAGATTTAGATCGAAGTGTCGTTTATCGTGATGATTATTTTTGATACACATGCTGTCAGAGGCTTACTCTTTAAAATATTGTCGTTATTATGGACGGCTATTAATAGTCGTAAGGAATTTTATTTTAAACCAATTTCAATTATGGTTGTCACCATTACCATTAGTAAGCTAGTACAATACGTTAATTAAATATGGATAATTATTTTCCTTTCAGTCAGTGTTCAGTGTTCTGATTTTTGGGTTTATGTTCTAAGTATGTTTAATATATAACTGAAAGCAAAACCGTAGACAAGTAATGACTTTCTCATTAAAAAAAAAAAAAAAAATACAAGGCCGCCCTCCCGCCCCAACAATTTTCAACAATAGCCAAATTTTATTTTGCACCATCCTCTAGCCAGAAATGAGGTAAAAAAAAAAATAAACCGCCCCCCCCCCCCTACAGTTTCAGCTGTCAGTTGCCCGAGAAACAAGACATTTATTTTGTGTAGCCTAATAACAACCACCAATTAACTTCTTTAAAAATAAACTCCCAAGAAAGACTCGTAAAGACCCTGCATGAAAACCGTCATGCCTTGGCTAATCTAAGCTTTTAACTCCATTAGGCTCACACACTATACAAAAGATAAATTTTTGAGTGATAAAGACATCTTCAGACCCAAGAGACTTGCCCTGGACCATTAATAATATTTTATCTTTTATGAGCAATCAAAATCGATGGAATCTTTAATGGTTCGTGTAAGAAATTTATGAAGATATGTGGAATTATAACAGTTTTTAACCAGAATTTTTAGTAAACGCAAAAACATCTTATTTTTTTTTTTTTCAATAGGATGAAAAAGAAGTTGCAGAATTTCTTTTGACACCTATGTTATTAAAAAACATTCCTTCGTGTATAATTTTATTGGACCACCACAAGTATTATCTGAATTAAATTCCTAGTAAATTTTAAAAGCTTGACATAAAGTAATACTGCATTAAAACCTTTTTACTTGAAATATCAAGTTTATGAACAACTTTATTATATGAAACCCCTGATTTATAATAAAAACAGTGCCATATTTTGACAATTAGTGTTCTTTTATCGCTTTCATGTGAGACTCTTTGAGCTATGATACAAGTTTTTTGATGGTGGATAGCGTATAAATTAGTTACGATTCCAATCATTAAAGGAATAGATCTTTAAAAACTGACATTCCAGACAGATTAACAAATATGAGACAAGCTTTTAATGATAACAGAATTTTGTGATTCTACCAAAAAATGTTTTTACAGCAATAATAATTTACTCAGTATCACAGATGTTTTAGTTTTAGAGTGACCATTTAAAATTAAAATTCAAAACTTATCTCATTTTGTCTAAGCATGCAAAGATAAAAAGATAATATAAATTGAGAAGTAACTAACTACAAAGAAGGCTTGTGATTATATAATTTTTCTTATATTCAACTTACCATGCATAAACTCAAATAATTTGTTGACAACTGTTTTTAAGAATCTCCAATGAGCTCGTAAGAATCGTGGATATTGGCCAACAACATACATAATATTAGAGGCAATGATAGCTTTGTTATCTTTCCCTCTTTTCTGTTCACATAGCCCTAATAAATCCTGAAACATGGTTAATTTACACACATTTAAAGTACAAGTACAAAAACATAAGTCATTTTGGAACTAAGATAAGACTACTAGCTATTACATCCCACTTCTACTCGTTGCCACTGGTAACCTTTGATAAAACTGTTCTGTTTAATCACCTTTGATAAAACTGTCCTGTTTAATCGCAATACATGCTTAAAAGTATCCGTGTATCAGTAATGTACAGAAAGAGTACTGTTCATTTCTGATACACGGATACTTTTGATACTTTTAAACCGTTTTAAATACCTATCAAGCAAAAAGTAGCCGACGTTTAGTCCGATCCAGATCGCAAATGAAAACTAGTCAAAATCATAGTAACAAAACAAAATGGGGGGAACTACATGGCAGTTCAAAAACATATACAATGACATTAAATTAACATAACAACCTATTACAAAAATCAATTATTATACATATCAATTGGCATCTATTTCATAATTTGGTTTGATTTATATTAATATGCAAAATATATATATTAGAATATTGAATAATTATTTTAATTAATTGTGATGATAGAAGGCGCAGTTCTCTTGCTGGACACTTCACAGGCATTGATAATAAGCAGGATGAAAAAAAACGCCTAGAAAGTCATAAACTTTATTACAAATAAATTTCAATGGAAGAACCATCCGCCGATGCATACTTTCACAAGGAATGACCCACGTTTCGCATTTCCTTTACACTACATTTAATAATAGCAGTCCTCTACGCCATAGATAAGATGTTTTGACGATGTGGTCTAAACAAACACTTGATTGTTTTACGCTCAGAGTATCATAGCAAGACGCACGTGTAAATACTACTCAGGTCGTCTCTCCACTGCGAAATCATTCTACCATGAAATGTAACGCGAGGCTCAGAAAGGGATAAATAATGAAAGAGCAGAAAGTATTTGTCACTTTTCGGTTGAAACGACTCGATAATAAATACTATTTTTCACATGTTGGTTCACAATACTGGATAGAAATGTGATGTAAGTAACTTATTAGCACCTTTCCTCGGTGTATGGGTGAATATCAGGACAGTTTTGGTCGGGGGCCCGCGCGGCTGGGCCCCTCGACCAAAGCTGTCCTGATATTTACCGATACACCGAGGAAAGGGTGCTAATAACTACTACATATTTAAATTGAAATCTTTTAGAGACATTTAGTAACTGGATAGAGCAATAAACTATAATATATACTTATGGAAGAACAATTATTGATTTATTTAGGCTAGAGGAAACTGACACATCTCCATACTGATGACGATAAATTAATCAGTAACTGTTCTTCCACAAGTATGTGTTATAGTTATTGTAGTGTGCACTAGTGTTTCAAGCTATTTTAAGTTCCCAAATTGGCCTAGGATCTTTTACATAAAATCTGTGTTATTTGGTACCTAAAATCATTAGTGAGCACACCACCACACTGATAAAATAATAACATAATTTATTCATAACTACATGTTCAGACATGGGTATGGAAGTACCTTTACATCAAATAACTATGGTATTAATTAACAAGCATTCCAAATGAAAGATATCGAAGAAATTCTCACTCTGATAACTGTGACTAGAAATCGTTTTTCATCATCTTCATGCATTGCACCACTAATAGAACCAATTGCCCAACATAACTGAAATAGAGAAATTTATGGGATTCATCAATATTTGTTTTTAAACATCAAATTTGAGATAATTTTTTTTTGATGAAAAAGTTTTGAAGAGTGAGTGTACCAGGGCAAAGGCATTAATCTGAGTATATAACCATGATAATTGGTAATATAGGCCAATCCTGTTCCTCAATCCTTTTCTGAGAATAAAATATTGTTTGTATTAACCAATAATCTTGACATACAAAATTATGTACTTTTTGGATTAGAAAAATAGCCTGTGGTTTAAATGTTTCAGGGTCTAGATAAAAAAATATCCGCCATAGTTTTAGGAACAATGTTTTGTAAGAATCAGATTCATGTGACCATACCGTGTTTAGATTTTTCCAAGACCATTCTGTCCCATTAACCTGATTATGAAGTTTTTCTGTCATGATATTTTCTGTATCAGAGTAATCTAAATGTGTTAGGTAAACTGAAATAAAAGAAAAAGCTTGCATTAGAAATGAAATGGAATTTGACGTCCTACTTTTCTGCACCGATTGGGTTAATGAAGACGGGGGCAACAAATGTTTTGCAAATATTTGTAAGTACCATGACTATTCTGGATTATAAACAGTTCCCCGTTTCAAGAAAATAATGGTATTAAGCTTATCACTAGTGCATTAAAAAGATAGTCTTTTGATCTTCCTTGAGTACCCCATTTAATTTATTATAACATATAGTAGTTGTAGTCAAATTACCTAATGTTTCCCTCATATTTTTATACAAATTAATGGAATCTGTGTCTTTCATAAATTCTCTTACAACTTCTCCTTGATCATTTTCAACAACTAAAACTTCTTCTGGTTTAGCCATTCTTGATATCATCACTCTTCTCACCTACAACAAATAACCAGTTTCAGTTCTAATTCTGTATTATAAATTCCGGCTTAGATTTCGACATAAAAAACCTCCCTTTTGTCCTTCAGACAATGGCCTCAGAACTGTCCTTATTTAAAGACAAATTTGGTGTCCCATTTCAGTTCAACAAAACGAAATGAAATGGGGTTTAACATCCTACTGTTTTGCTCCAACTGGGATAACGAAGATGGGCATATGCCATACAGTGTGCTATGAGGAGAATTTTGCATGGACAGCGGTGCTACATCCTACTCTTATATCAAATTCCGACTGCCAAGGGATCTTTTATGTGCACAGCAATGTGTACACAAGATCTCGGTTTTTCATCCCATCCAAACAACTATATGTTATCACTTGCCAGGTCCTCTGTCCGGCACCACTGACACGCCAGAAAATGCAGATGAACTTTCTCAGACAAGGTGGGGATCGAACGCGGGACCTCCATGTTAGTGAGCCAACGCCTTACTCACCAAAACAAAAGGTAGAGACACCAAACGTTAACAAACCTTTGATAAAACTGGATTATATAATTGTCTTCGAGCAGGCATTTCTCCATGCTGTTTATTAAGGATGAGAGGAGAGGTATTTGCTGAATAAGGACTTTCTCTATATAATTCTGATGCTAATGAATTCCAATATTCCAAACAAATCTTAAAGATTTCTACTTCTTCCACTTCAGATATCATACAAAGGTACTGTAATGACTGAAAAAATATCAAAACATAATTTATTAGTATAATAAATACCAATTTTCCTTAACAAAACAGTCTTTTTCAAATGACTATATGGATTGTACATTTGTAAATCTAGAATGTAACACTTACTTTATAAGATAAGTTGCCAGGCAGCAAAACACCCAAAGACAGCCGAGTCTGGGTAAAAATAGCTAAATCTTTATGCTGTCAATAACCAATGGAACATTGGTAAGATTCCTGACATTCAAGGCCAGTAACTCTTGAATTTAAAAAAAATCTGAAAACACAAGCAGTGGTGATGCCAATATCTGGCCACATTTCAATGTATGTGTTAAAACAAATATTCAATATAAACTTACATCCATAAGAAGGGGATGTAGATCCAACTTTTTCTCCACTAGCTGTGCATGTTCCCGTAAATATGTGCATAAATATAAACTGAGATTTTGTATGAAGTTCTGTTCATCATCTGTACCAGACTGATATGCTTCTCTTATATTGGTATCAACAGGCAACATCTGAAATAATATAAATACATCAGAAATCAGGAAATGGGATGTATACAATATCCCACTGCTAAAGACCCCTATGTGCAAGCGAATTATTGAAATAGAACTGAACCATATGTTAGTCCCGAAATGACCTAGTTTGTGTTGAGTGGACATTAAACCACATTTTTCTCCCTCTCGCTATTGTAGCCGACAAGCAAGCTGACTGACTCCTTAATAAACAAGCAATAATTAACCTGTTGTAGTTTAGCCAAAAGTAGATTTATGATACCATAGTGACCGGTTCATTGTTTTATCAATCGCATTTTCAAACATTAAGTTGACATCAATGAGCCAATTAAGATCCCTGCATAATTCTTCTGGTTTTTCTGATTCAAATATTTTTAAATATATTATGTCAGGCACAATGTTATTATTTCCAGGTCTAAAGTCCAAGCAACACAATAGGAGAAATGATATAATCTATAATCCTGGTTAACTTACTTGTTTTAACTGATTCATGGTAAGAGTAAATAACTGTAAAAACTGTTCATCATAAATGTTAGATACTTGTACACCAGCTGTAATAGACAAGCATTTAATTACAACTACTGTTAGCCATTTGAGTGAGTTCGCATCTATAGCAAATTACAATATTATTCAAGTTGAATTTCTAAAAGGAACATCAAACCAAAATGGTCCATTTCATTCATATTTACAAAGTACTGACATTTTTGCCACTTATAAGCTATAGTAAAATTGTTTCATAAGCCTCTTTTCAGGAGATTATCTGCTGTTGTTATTTTGGTTTAGTTTCCTGGTTAATAATCAATTTGAGTGAGTACATTTCCATTTGAATTAAGCTGTGAAAAATTAGATATCATCCACAAAAACCCCAAAACAAATCATGATTTGAGGCTTTGTCAATAACTTTATGTAATTTGTTGATTAAGTAAATATTCTCAAATTACACCATAACTAAACTACCTGAATCTTACAGAAAAACACGCTTACATTGAACTAAGCACACAAGATAATACTTGAAGCATGAAATTCAAGCAACGTGAATTAAACTGAGTCGATATGTTATAATAATGCTTACCTATCTCTGTGAGACATTTCATTGTCACATTTCTGAAGAGTGGTACATTAAGAAACTGATAGAAAGAAATTAGTTATCATTAATCATTAATTTAAATACTATGACCATAATCTGTTGATAATTGACACTGAAATTATTCAACTAAGAAGATCTTATCATATTTGTGTAAGAAAGGGTTAGAATAAATAACATGCATCACCAATTCAATTTGTCTGGCTTATAAAAACATTCATTATGCTTTACTTAATATAATACAGAAATGAATAGATTACGATATCATGCTTTTTATATTTTTGTAAAAGATTTTAAGCTTATGTATTTACTCTTTAGCATCATTCGACAAGTCGCTTTTCAGGTAATGTGATTGTTCACAAAGCCTAGTTTGTAGTCCTATCATAATATTATGCCTACCTTATAAATTAATGTGCTGATAAGTTTTGTTTCAAAGATATAACCCAAGGGAATCCAATTTAAGAAACGAAGTAATGTTTCTAAAGTTGAGCCTACAAGGGGTGCATTCTGTGAGTTATCCTGAAATAAATGAAATAAAATGTTATATTTCACTAATTCTAAACCAGTATAATTCATAATGGGGGATGGGGGCGATGACAATACAACCACACTTCCAAGTAGGCATAGAAAAAGAACCTATAATAGAAATGGGCATGGGAAGCTAATGATCAAAGTGACTAGTAATTAATATTTGAGAAACAGACTTCATTTCAGATTTAAGATATAGAGGAAAAAGAAATCTATGTTCACTTAAGAGAGAGAGAGAGAGAGAGAATTAACGCCCACTTGACACAAACAAGTTAATTTCGGGACTAACACATGGTTCAAAATTTTGTTTCTATAATTTGCTTGTGCATAGGTGTCTTTAGCAGTCGGAGGAAACCACAGGACCCGGAGCAAACTCTTGAGGTTGGACAAGCGACCATACTCCATGTCACTAACAAGCGGGGAATCTAAACCACACCACTTGACTCAATAATCAATGATAGACCTTATGAATTTATGTGCAGTGTTAAACCACTAGAACACCCCCCCCCCCTTACTTGACAGAACTAGGAATGTTTGACAATATGGTAACGAATTCATTAATTGTTTGTGTGCGGACCTGGCCATCGTGGGGGTAGTAGTTCTTCTCCTTATCTTGAATAAAATTTAAAACTCCAATTGCACTGATGACAAATCATCATCCACTGCACAAGGTTTTGGCCCATTCAGCCACCCATCGGACTTGCATTTATGCCAAGGATTTTTAAATGGATGATACTTCATTTGTACTATGGTTGACAAAGTGGAATAACCTAGGAATATATACATATCATTAACAATGACATCTACCTATTAAACGTTCAACCAACAGTATGTAGCCAATAACATTTTTATTTTGGACTCACCATAACAAACTGACAAAGTTGGAAGATCTGAGAAAATTCACTGCACATATTATCCTTTAAATGCTTGGCCTTGGCTTGTGTCATTTGACCACTAGAGAAATCAAATACTTCTTCACTGAAATAAGAATATCATGTATATCTTACTTCCAGTTCAATGTTAATAACATTTGATATTAAACAAAGTGGACACTGTCAAGCACAATTCATGCTTTGTCAGGAACAGTCCCTCCGGTGTCAATCATTTTGTCCAAGAAAGTTTTGCCTTTTATCAGCGTTTATTTTAAAATTTTTAACTAGCGGTTGATTTGGCATAGCACGGGTATAGCCATGAACCAGAAGTAATGTAACTCTGAAACAGGAAATGATAGTCCATCGTAAGGATGCGGCAATACCGGTGATTGTGATAAATGGTGATTATCAGGCCAGGCGATTAATTAATCAGCTAATTTCTGAATAATCGCATTGTCACGATATATCATGATTATTTTTAAAATAATCACAATTGTGGTGGGAGAATCAAATTTATAAAATATGGAAAGTAATTCGTCCGAAATCGTGTCAATATGACAGTAGGATAATAAAATATCTTTTGTTTAGAGTAGTTAATATTTCCTTTATTTCCATTAGAAACAATGGCTGCCGAACAAGAAAACATCAGCATTAAACGGTATCAATTGCGGATAATAAAGCGACAAAACCCGTCTTACTACAAAAAGAACACTTCTTCCATGGTTTGGAATCATTTTGGACTAAAAAAATTTAATAATCGCGATAATGAACCTTTCCACTATGATTTTTTGAATTATTACGATAAATGATCTCATCACGACAATCCAAGATATCGTGAGTATTCATTTTGCAATAATCATGATTAATCACGACTATTTTTGTATGTATCGATACATCCTTATTAGTCCACCAGGGCTATGTTACTCCTCATGACAAAGCTACCCCACCTCAAATTTCAGCCGCAGGACAGCCCTAGTGTAGCCACAAGCCCTGAACATACAAACAAAGGACAGTCACAAACATTAGTAAAGATATATGCCCGGGGCAAAGCTCAATACGTCTGATACTAGTTCAATAATGCCTGTCATATTATTATTGTGTCTGTTATATTGCCAGAGACAATCAAATTCATTATTTCCAGATTGTGGATATCTGAACTGATGTATATTGTAATCAATAATTAGTACTAATTAACACTCAATCCAATCAATGTGACAATTAGCAAATTTTATTGACTTTACAGTTATCTTTCACAACACCAATTTGATTACCTGTTCTTGATATATAAATAGCCAACTGAATCACCTGAGAGATGTTAAGTTAAATTTTCAAAACTTAAAAAATTGGAACTAAAAGCTTTTGAATAGTGCATTCAAGTAGGCTACTTTTGGTTTATAAACTAATCGTTCTACCCAAAGAAATATGAGGGGGTGTTATGCTATGATTGATTCTTACCTTAATAATTTAAGAATTGCCATATTATTTTGACACAGAGATTCATTTGTTTTACTGGCACCAACAATATCACCAATAAATGATGGCCAGTTTCTCGGCCATTCGTACTTTAAAATCTGAAATTCAAATTACCCGCTTGACATTCTCAAGAAATAAAATATTAAACTCGGAACATGGTGCATAAAATAATGGCAGCCAACATAAATTAGACAACATTTATCTACACAAGCAGGTAAATTCATGAATTAACTATGCCATTGGCTACCGAAATATTCTGAAAATAAGTGCTACATTGCCTGCTTGAGTATTAATTCAAGTTCAAAAGACTGAAAGTGTGGATTACTACTATAAACTTTTTTATTTTTTAAGTTTTAAATCAGAACAATTTAATACTGGTACTGGATTTTCTTCTGTCCAAGTTTTTCAGTGACATATTTAAATTTCATACACTGTATTTAATACGCCTGTAATCCAGACAGAGAAAAAAAGTAGGATGTGAAACCCCATTTTTTTTCATGTTATTTGCTCAATTAAATCCAATAACTTATTTTAATGATATCCGTTGAAAGTGTGGAATAATGCAGGTATACAATATTTAAATAAAACATTAATGACACAAAGCTCGGGTCATCTTACCTGAACTAATATCATATTTAATTTTCCCAGGTAAGTTTTTTCTTTTTCTAATACTGCAGCATCTGATGAGGTTTTGATGATAAGACCAACAATGTATTTCTTTATTCCTGTGAAATTAAAAAGGTTTAATAGAATATACCAGCACAATTCTTTAAAGATGCATTATGTAAGAGCTAAAACTGCCTATTACAGGTCTTTTATCTGACTTCTAATGTTATATAAAATTAGACCATCATCTGGCTTAGTGGATTAGAACACTTGCAGAATTTAATTTAACTTTTAAAATGCTTTCTTTTATTTATTAGTGTAACAATCGTATGTGAAGTATAAAGATATTTTTAGTAATATTACATTTTTAAGGTGAATCTCTCATCTGATGCGTTCACCTTAGAAACAGTGTAAATAATCACAGGGACGCAATTAATAATTTTACCTTCACACTGAGCTCGAGGTAAAACTTTCCACCTAGTTTTAATAACATTTTCAAGGATCTGTAATGCATAGTATTTGGTCTGTTGGTTTGTCGAAAATTCTAAAATGGTATCTACTCTGGTCCATGCATCTGGATGTTCTTTTAATGTTGTCAGTACCTCTTGAGCCGTTCTTTGCTGTAAATGAGACAAATGGAATTTTTAGGAATCAATATGGTAAAACAGTACAAAACCAGATGAGGTCACCCAGTCTCAACATAAGAAAATATATTTGTTGGGTTTTTTTTCGTACACAGATCAAATACCAGTATCCAAGAGAAGGCATAGTATTTAATATAGAGTGCAGTACTTATTGTATTTCACATGTCGACTGCAGTAATTTAATACAGATTTTACGAAATCTCTTACCTGCGGTCCGGATCCATTGTACATACATGTTACAATATTGTCTAGAAGAGTAATATCAAGTTTTTGATTAAAGTCAAGTAATTTTGCTGCTTGGTCTGCCAAAGTCATCTTTGTCTTTTATAAAAATATAGTTTCTGCATTTAAAGCTTTGATAACAAATTCTTGTTCTGAAAAATATGATGGAAAACTACATGTAGTCTAGTCTAGATAATAAATACAGATAAGGGGAAATAGAAGCCGAGAAAAAAATATAATATCTGGTCTAATGCACCCTTATCTCAGGTAAATTAAAATGTCAAAAAGTATGTACAGGTATCCAGCTTCTGTGATTGAGTTTTGACCAGTTCAGACCAAACCACACCAAATTAACACGGGTTCAAGAATTCTGATATCTATATAGATAAGCCCACTTTAACTTATCTTATACTTATAGTACAAAATCTGACCCATTAAAATGACAGTTTGGGGAAAAGTCCAACAAATAAATGAATAATATCAAAGTTGTCATAGGCTGTTAGTTATGCCCAAACAACTGCCTAATAATTTGCAGCATGAAATGTTAAATATTTAAAAATTTAATCATGACAAAAAAATGAATTTAAAAAATAAATATCGATCATCTTTCGAAAAAAAATGCTACAATCTAACTATCTAAATCTTTGTGTATGAAGGGAGTTCAAAACATTCAAAGAAAAAGCTTTAGACCTAATCACTAAAAAAAAGTCCAGAGTACATGTAGATTTCTAAGTGACCTTTTTTTTATACCGGTATTTAAGTTACTTGAGTAAAAAGCTTCATTCCTATACCATTTCAGAATTAAAACCTGTAATTCTAAATCTTAAAACTGCCGATTTATGTCCTGTGCACTGTTACGTGTGACTGTATTATCTGAGTTCATCATCATGGTGTTTGAGGTTTGTTTATCTATCATCATTCATGCCAGATCATGGGCTTTAATAATTACAAATATTTTGATAAAGATTGCCATTTGTATGTAGTTTCATGAAATGACCTAAATTCAATTGCAATTGATAAAGTATGTTACTGTGGCCATGTTTTCCAGACAGCGAGCCAAACCCCAACCCTAGCCCCAGGGCAGTGGTAGAAGAATTTATTATTACCATTATTATGAATTAATCATATTATTATTTTGACTGAATATTACAGACGTTTCAGTAGCTATAAATTAACAGAGATCTAAATAGCAAAAATGGCATAAAATATTATGATTTCATGCTGAAGAAAATGATTTTAATTATTCCAGATTAACATTCACTGAATACGTCGCTATGGTCTTTATACAAGCCAAGATAAACGTGAGATCCAATGCGTACAGATCTCGCGCCAAGCAGTTCATGATCACATGACGAAATGAATGGTTGCTCATGACTTTGAAAATTTACTTCCGTTGTTTACATCTTTCAACATGGCGGCCCCCTTATAAGCATGTCAAAAGAGGTAAACAACGGAAATATTTTAAGTCCACCGTTTATTTCAGTCAAAATATGTCTGTAAATATCAACCACCCCCTTTTACTACCTGCTGTCCTTCCAATTCGATTTCTTGTCCAATTTGTGATGAAAACTCCCAAACATGTAAACCGGTTGAAACTGGTACATGATCGCCATATCCGATTTGGTTCGGTAATTTCCGTAAGATTCATGCTTCAAGTGTTACATCAATTCTGTTTCTTTTGAAACCAAATCAAAACGTTTAAATATCAATATTCAGTATTTGATCAAATTTCGAACAGTTTGATTTGCTCCCAAATATCCACAGTAATAAATAGATATATCTACTTAGTTGTCGGCAAATCCCGCTGGACTACATTAATTTTTAAAGCATGTTTTTGATTGGCTACTTAGTTTCCACTATTTAATCTTAATTTTGTGTTATTTACTTTTCTTTTGACCGCCAGTGAATAGTATATGACATTTGAAGCATTCTAAATTTAGTTTGGTGTTCGAAGTTTAAATTGTTTCATTTTTTTTGCCAGGTAGTTTAGAAATATCTACTTTTTCGGTATAGGAAAATTTTTCGCAAATAGCCAATCGCAGCCATGGATAGTAAAGGGCCACTGAACGAGGGTAAAACAAGAATGAAATGCTAATCAAAGTTGATTTTTGGTTTGTTATTAACTGGCTATAACTTGCTTGAACGAGTGGCATATATGATTATTTACCAGATATTGCGACCTACAAATGTCTTGTATTTTCCTCCTGTGCCAACAAAAGTCAATGTTAAAAGTAAACGCATTTGTTTCTACTTACCAATCAAAAAAGCTTATGTTATTGTTTTAGTGAGCTTTTTCGTTTTAGCTGCGCAGACTGACATGCATCACAATCTGACATAACATTACCGATTAGAATACATCGCAGCTATATGATAGCATAGTAATAATAGTGGAAATTTACCAAATAACAAGGCAGCACACTTGTACTTTGCGTTTTAACCAGTAAACAAAAAACATTTTAATGTAGAATAGAAATGATTTTTTTAGCCAAATCAAGTTAGTATTATTATTATAGTAATATTTAAATTGAAAACCTCCATTCATATCATTTAATAAATTTTTAGTTTCAAAATTGAAAGACCCAACACATTGATTTGTAAGTTAGATAGATACAGGCTATAATGTAGATGTTCTTCCATTTTCTATTTTCATTCATTTAATTTTATTGGCATGGTACGTACTTCACACTTGTAAATCTATGTATTATATATAAAAAAAAATGGGCACAGCCATATAAAATTATTTCTGTAAGTTTGAGGTAAAAAAAAAATAGGACACATCAAGAATGGACTTATTGTGTTTATGCAATTTGCTATGGAAAATTTCACATTTTGAAGTCCTTGACCAAAGCCTTGAGAAGCCAATGTACATGATTAGTATGTTGGGCATGTCGATCAACTGCAAGTAGATCTATGCCTTTACACATGCACAAAAAAAACCAAACATCTGCTTCATACTGATATTACTAATATTTAGACATACATGTATTTTCTAAAACAGTGGTAATAAATGAAAATATTGTTGGCCCATAACCCTGCAGATTGTATGTCTATATGACTCAATGTTTCAAATTTATAAAACACACCAACAATTGGTTCTTAAGTAAGGTATTCTAATAGATCAAACATAAGTATGTTAAAAAAGACATTTGGGGAATATATTATGTGACTAATTACATCTGATTAATATTTTTCTCTTTCTTTGTAATTGGAGCCACAATGGCTCAGTTAGTATTAGGGTGTTGGCTGGCTAACCAGGATGTCCTGGAGTTGATCCTCGTGATGTTTGAGAAAGGATTTCCCAGTGTAGTTTCCCATTGTCAGTAGTGCTGTGTGGGCAAATTTGCCTTCCATAGAACACTGCATGACATTTACCTATCTTCATTAGCCCGATTGGTGTAGAAAAGTAGGAAGTTAAAAGCCAATTTCATTTCATTTGTTTCTATTATTTCATAATGTTATAAAGAATAAGACATCACAATCTTGCTTGTTTGTTTAGTTATTTGACTGTCCCATATTTTACAAACATAAAACATACATTATGCAAGAGCTAAATCTGCCAATTGCAAGTCTTTCTTTATGTCTGAAATGTTATCTAAATTATTAATTAGACATTAATTAACTTATCCAGACCATAATCAACTCTCGATGGCATTGCTAGCCTGCGATATTTACTGGATTAGAACCCGGTCTACTGCTTCTGATTAAATCAAAAAATGGATACTCTAGACATGGTTTTTATCATACCGACTTTAGTAATGATGATCGAGGCTAGGCCCAAAATTTACTCGCTAAATACTTGGCTCAGAGTGGATCAATTTGACTGAAATTTTCAGCAAATTCCCTTCCTTTACATTATCTAGTTTTTAACTTTTATAGTGAGAACTACCAGCAAATTCCCTTCCTTTACATTATCTAGTTTTTAACTTTTATAGTGAGAACTACCAGCTCTGATCTCTCATAATGTGTCTTTAACGTGTAAAGAAATAGCTTACTAATATTGAGATTGCTGTAAATCATCACAAAAATACTCTTAATCAATGAAAGTGATGATTTGGAGTCATTTACGTGCACTGTAGTAGATCCAGCAACAGAGTTGAAATATAGCGAGCAATGAGACAATTTTGCTTGTCTTTTATATGGCGTCCTTAAGCCAATCCATAAACCCTCTGTTTCATTCATTATTATGTTGGGCAAGCCTGTAGATGAGGCATAAATTATCACACAGCGTATGATATAAACATAAGCGTGCCATAATTTGTGTCTGACGATGTCCGTGACAAGTTCTTTGTGTCTAGGCTTATATTTTAGAGGTGTAAATTCTCTCTTCGGATATAACAGACTTCGAATGATTCTTCAAGTCTTTAATATACCGGAACATAAATATATGTATATCGTCATACAGTACTGACAGGCCAGTTACTGCACTTAGTAAGGGATCCTAACTAGTGACTGCCTTCAATGTACAAATTTTGTTATATTTAAGAAAAATCAGATAATAGGATAAAAGCAAATGTAATTAAAACTGACATGTCGATAGATGAACAATGCATAAACTTTTAAACAATATAATAAATCAACAAAAACAAAAGATGGGATTAACATTGTTACCCAATGACGGCTTGAAAAGTGGTGACAGGTTAACGACTTGCTAGCCAGTTGATTTTAAAGTGGTTAATTTAAGAAACATTAATTATATTAGCGATTGGCAGATTAGCACACCATTATAATATACGTTGGCTGATAAATTTGTACTTGGCAAAATTTGTGGCAGTTGCCTTATGGCCAGACTTGTTGTCAGGACAAAATATGCAAAAATTGCAAATCTTATTATTTCCCTCCCTACATCAATATCGGTGTCGACTAATTATTTTTGTATTTTATTTTTTACAGACTCTGCAATGGTGCTGATACAGCTCGCAATTCCCTAAAGAAGATGTGAACGGAAACACCTCAATATTGTCATGAAGAAGGGTCACTGTCAACAGTCAAGACGGCAGTATTTTACCAGTTACAATAAAACAAAGCAAGATGGAATCAACGGAACTTGTTGAAAACATGGCTATCAACTCTTCCAGCGATAACATCATGGACAGTTCGATGCAGTCACCTGCACATAATTATTTTTATGTTACCAACGCTGTGGACTTAAATGACATATCTAATAATACAGTGACATTGAATTCCAAACATCTTCAACTTAATTCAGGAGCCCCTCTGTTAGTCTTAGCTAATACTGATAAAGGAACGATGGAAGCTAATGTTTTATTAGACAGCAACGTCTCTCCTTACTTTAAAGTGGATCTTCAGGCTATTGCACATGCAAATCTAATTGCTCAAACCCAGGAAATGCTAGCTCTGCAGTTGAGTCAAGACTCAATTGATGTTCAAAAGAAGAGAACTAAATCTAGTAAGTGCTGTCAATTATTAGGTCTGTTTCAGTTTCATAAAAACCAGTATCTGATTGAAGGAATCCTTATCAGTTTGTTGCTGATTGTCATGTTTTGTTGGGTTTTTTTTAAAAAGTAAAAACAAAAACGGCCTATACATGATTATAAATTATTGTAGTGTACTGGTTTGGAATATACAAGCTATATATAATTATAAATTATTATATTGTACTGGTTCAGCTGGGCATTAAGCATACATTTTGAATTTGACATACAAGTATGCTTAACAGAATTGAGATGTTTCCTCAACACGCCAGATAAATTACATGTAGATTAGATGCTATGCTAGAAATAGCTGTTCTTGTCTGCTCCCTTATCTTTTGCAAAGCATGCATTCATTATAGAGACCTATTGAATTTAAGTAATTTTTAATAAATCCAGGCATTGTAGAATTTACATCCCATTATCCAATTCTACCTGAATTTACAGCAAAGTCTAGTAAGTTATCTCCCTTGAATTTCAAGGTTGCAGCATGAAAATGTACTACAATGTATCAGTATGTTCAAAAGTAAAATGAAACCTTATATTTTATGTACTGTTTTGTTTTCTTAATAAAACATTTGGAAAATATCATACTCTAAATTAACTGATACTTATGAATTTAATCTTTTTTGCAGATTGTAAGATATATAAATGTAATTTTGAAAGTTGTGGTAAAATGTTTTCTTCTCAGAATTATTTAAATCTTCATGAAGCTTCTCATACTGCCAGTAAATCATTAGTCTGTGATTTTAAAGGTTGTGGACGTAAATTTCTATGGCCTGCGCATCTCAATTATCATCGATTAACGCATACGTAAGTATTTTTATACACTGACTTTTATTAATTGTTAAATCTGTAAGCTTACATGTATACTTCTATTTTGCATGTAATGTGTAATGTCTTGATATTGAAGAAGTGTTCTCACCTTTCTTGGGATGTTAATGGGTGTGTGGACAGCATTTATCTGCATTTTTGTGCTACATTAATTTTACCTTGCATTATACTGCTGGGACCCAATAACAGTTAGGTAGATTAGAAGACACAAATAAAATGTATTGTTAAAGTACAGACACTCCCAGCCTAAGTGACCATTGAACATGCTACTGTTTGGTCACAAATTAGCATTTCAACTAATGGAATTTGATTAGTTTTTTTACTCCAATGAAATTTATACTAATATTGGTCAATGAATTAATATTCAAAAATAAATAAATACAAATGAAAAATATATTTATTTCAAAGATTAAAAAATTTCTAGCAATCTTTAAATAGCAACAAATAAATAACATGCATCGATCACATAAAATGAGTCAAATATAAAAATATGCATTCCATATGACCACGATATTGCCGTTTTAACTAATGTAAAAAATTGCTGTACTTAACCTTTGAAAATTGAAAGGTTTCTTATTTGTTATGCATTATTTTTAAACATTTATTTTTTTGTTTTCTAGTAATAATCGTCAATTTATGTGCAATATTGAAGGATGTAGTAAGAAATTTTATACGCGTCAGCGACTAATGATACATACTATGACACATACAGGGGAGAAGCCATTTACATGTTCAGAAAAAGGTTGCACTAAATCTTTTACTACGGCTGGTAATCTTCGTAATCATAAAAGAATACATACAGGTAATAATTTATTTTGGATAAATCGGACAAGAGAAGGCCTTGTTCACACTTGTCTAGTATTCACATAAAAATTTGAATATTGCAATTGATATAGTTTTTCAAATAGATTATTTAGTTTTTATCTGTACTAATGTTTGTGACTGTTGTTTGTCTGTCTGTTCAGGGTTGCCGGCTACATTAGGGCTGTCCCGAGGCTGAAATTTGGTGTATAGAGGTATCAGGGGAGTTGGATGGCCGAATGGTTAGCACATGCGCGCTGTATCATAAGGTCTGTCATTGAGTCTACTGGCGTGGTTTTGATTCCCCGGTTGTACATGACAAAGAGTAGGATCGCCTGTTCAACCTCGTGGGTTTTCTCTGGTTTCCTCCCACTGCTAAAGACCCCTACGCGCAAGTGAATTATTGAAATAAAATTGAACGATGTGTTAGTCCCAAACTGACATAGTTTGTGTCGAGTGGATGTTAATTCTCATTTCTCTCTCTCTCTCTCTCTCTCTCTCTCTCTGGGTATCAAATAAGACTAATGGAATTTGATCTGTTTTAGTCTCTTATGGAATATTTACTTCATTGAATTAATATTTTAAAAAAAAACTGATAAAAAAATATATTGATTTGAAAGATTTAAGAACAATGATTCCGACATTGATCAAATTTAATCATTTAGTGAATTTGTAATATTACAGGAGAAAGACCGTTTGTTTGTGAACATGAAGGGTGTGGTAGAAGATTCACAGAATGTTCCAGTTTAAAAAAACACAGATTAGTTCATTCAGGTACGTATATGCCAAATTGCTTTTGTTTTATTGTGCATAACTGTCCTTTGTTAGTGGTTATTGTCCACAAGGCAGGTTATGCTTAGACTTTCTGTAACACCTGATGTGACTTGTTACTGGGGCTTATCTGTGATGGAGATGACCTGATGTGACTGTCATAATGCTGATCATTTTATTTTTTATCTTGATATTAGTTGAATTTGGATGTTGTTGTAAAATGCATTTGCATGGAGTTCAGCATTTTGTATTATTCTATGGTTTTGTTGGGAAGTCAGTGCTGCAGTGGCTATATTATTAAAATTATTATTTTCTAGGGGAAAAACCATTTACCTGTGATATATGTGGTAAATCATTTAGTCAAAGTGGTACGAGAAAAGTTCATATGAAATCACATCAAGTCCCACCTAGAAATAGAGTATTGAAAATATCAGAAATTAAACTAGAAATTAATAATTCAGCAGAGCCACCAGATGTCTTAGTTTTACAACAGTCTTCAGAGGATCTCACACAATTTCATGGTATGTAGCCTCCAAGGCTTTTATAATATAGTCGTCACCCTGTTCAATCGTCATTTTGTATTTTTTTCCAGAGTTATCCCTCTTTGCAGAAAACCTTGTGAATGAGATAGGTGCAACAGTTTTTGACAGGAAGGCCTTCCTTCAAGTTTTCCTTTTGGATAAGCTGCTGATGAGACATAGCTGCTGTGTGGGCTTATTTCCACGATTTGCTTGACTATCTCTATAAACTAAAAATGTTTGTAAATCTAATGTTTGTAAATCTAATGTTTGTAAATCTAATGTCTTTGACTTGAACAGAAAACTCCAAACCTCTTCTTTTTAAGATTCACAGCTCCCAGTTACTTGATTTTTGAAGCATTGTTTTAAAAGTCTTTTGAAACAAAATTATGGATTTTAAAGCAGCACAATTCGACCTTGTTAGTTCAGATCATTGGGTTTTCAAATTGTCTTGAATGATTAAAATCTGAACTGCTAAATCATGTCCATCATATTAATGTCAAAATAAACTCTATTTCAGGCCTTACTGATCATATTGTTACCATAACAACACATCAACCAGATGGTGAACAGAACCCAAATGAAGTTCCACATCATGTTCTAGGAGCTGAAGGTATTGAACTAATAAACCTTTCTTTTCTCCATTTTCTGCAGGGGGATCACGTGGCTAGGTGGGTAAGACGCTGGCTCGCTATACTGGAGGTGGGGTGTTCGATCCCTGCATTGGCCGAGAAAGTTCATCCAGATTTTCCGGCATGGTTTCCCCTTGTCAGTGATGCAGGATGGAGGGCCTGACAAGGACAGCTGTCTAGTTGCTCGGATGGGACAAAAAAACCGAGGACCCGTGTACACATTGGCGTGTACGTAAAAGATCCCTTGGCAGTTGGAATTCGATATAAGAGTAGGCCGTAGTGCCGCTGTCCAGGCAAAATTTCCCTCATAGCACACTGTATGGCGTAGGCCTGTCTTCATTAGCCCAGATTAGGAGCAGAATAGTAGGACGTTAAACCCCATTTCATTTCATTTCCATTTTCTCCAAATTTAAAATGACTTTAAACAGCATGTCGGAACCCCCCCCCCCCCCCAACAATAGGATTTTGTAGTGGAATAGGTGTAACTGCCATTTGACCATGGAATATGGTATCTTTTTCTTAAAGACTAAAACAAAACTACTTGTTTTGTGCTGTTTATAAAAGCTTTTACCCTCCAATTTTTAATTTGGGAAATCTGAATGTGATTCAAGTAGCTATTTATTGATCAAGGCCCGGAAGAACTGGAATCAAATTTTTGTCCCATCCTGTTAGGGAGCCACAGTCACTCAGTGGGTATGGCTCTCTTTAATACCAGAAAGTCCTGGGTTCAATCCCGATGTTAGCCAAGAAAGTTCTTTGGGATTTTCCAGCATGGTTTTCTCCCTTGTCATCAGTGGTGGATGTTGGGAGGGTCTGGCAAGAAAAAGTATGTAATCGTTGTGATGGGCAAAAAACAAAATAAAAGTCGGCCATAGTTCTTTGTCTGGGAAAAAATATTCCTCGTTGCACACTATATTTAATTTGACTTCTTTTGTAAACCGTCTTCATTAGCCCAGTTCGAAGCAGAACAGAAGGACATTAAACCCCCATTTCATTTCTTTTGCAAAATATTTTGTACATGTATAGTGGATTATGAAATTCTGACCAACATCGTCAAAGAATTTCGAGTTAAATTTGTAAAGTGATATCAGTATGGATTTGAATCTCAACTATGATTAAATAAAATACGTTACAATTTGTAAAGTGATATCACTATGGATTTGAATCTCAACAACGATTAAATAAAGAACAATGATTAAATAAAATATGTTACAAATGAAATGGGGTTTAACGTCCTACTGTTTTGCTCCTAAACTGGGCTAATGAAGACGGGCATACATCATACAGTGTGCTATGAGGGAAATTTTGCCCAGGCAGCGGCGCTACGGCCTACTCTTATATCAAATTCCAACTGCCAAGGGATCTTTTACGTGCACACCAATTTGTACATGGGACCTCGTTTTTTCGTCCCATCCGAACGACTAGACAGCTGTCCTTGTCAGGCCCTCTGTCCTGCATCACTGACAAGGGGAAACCACGCCGGAAAATCTGGGTGAACTTTCTCTGCCAATGCAGGGATCGAACACCTGACCTCCAGGCTAGCGAGCCAGCGTCCTATCCATTTAGCCACGTGATCCCCCAAATTACGTTACAATTTGTAAGGTGATATCACTATGGATTTGAATCTCAACAGATATTAAAATAATAAGTTAAATTTGTAAAGTGATATCACTAGGGATTTGAATCTCAACAGATATTAAATAAAATACGTGAATTTGAAGGACTGAATGTTTTTATATTTTTGTCTTGTTTTACAGAAGTATTAAGTGGAGGTGATATAAAAACTGATCAGTTAACATGTGATACAAAACCTAATGTTGTTGTTTTATCACAACCTCAAGAAATAGTCAATCTTGCCTCATCCTATCATCCGGGACACGAAGCAAGCCAGGAAGAAATTGTATACGATAACGACTTATTACATTCTCATTTAGATCATGAAGAAATTCATGGGTCTAATACTAGCTTGTGTGTGGACCAATCGTCGACAGGATTGAACGTTAGTGAAAGTATTATCTCGTCTCAATCAGTCGGTGTTATAAACACTCAGTATAATAGTCAGGAATCTTTATCAGGCTCTGCAGAAACAGGAAAAGAAATGGCAATGGATCCAATGATGGAATCTGATGATGAAGCAGATACAGATGTGAAACATGTTTGAGAATCCTGGTTTCCTAGTTCTGATAATATTATAAACTTATGTACTGTTCTGATGGCTAGATTTTATACAGTGAGGTATGAAACAGTGAGATATGGAATATTTAGACAATTTTAATTCAATTACCATCATCTAATACTTGTGGGAGATTGTTGATACTGTTTAACTCTTTAGCACTTTGACCCGACCGTATCTAGGGCTCCTTAGATGTGAGGGAGGGGGAGGGGGGTCTAAACATGTGCTCTTTAAATCATAAGGTCTGTAATTGAGTTACTTGGCGTGATTTTGATCCCCAAGGAGCTACACGTAAGCAAATTAGTCCCTGAATGACCTAGTTTGAGTTCTTAGACTGTAAACAGCTGTGACGCCACAAAGAACTATTTTGCGGTCCTACAATATGGAGAGTTATTCACATCATATATCAGGAGGTTTGAGGGATGTCCAGGAATATATCGGTATGGAGTGTATCACTTTTCTCAAGAACTGGGGTAGTCAATAGTTTATGTACTGAGTGCTAAAGCGTTGACTATGATTCTATTATGATTTATATCTAGTCAAATCATAGCATATTAGATATTAATAATATCCAAGGCCATATTCATGAAACTTAAACTAAGATATTTTAAGGTATCCGCTTTTTCATGGGGTAAGAATAAGAGCTAAAATTTGTACAAGGAATTTAACTATTGTCCATTGAAAAAGCAGAATTCTTAAAATAGTTTTAAGTTTTTGTAAGTATTGTCAGAGTGCTTAAAAGGACAAGACATACTTGGATTAGGTTAAAAACAAAAGTGTTGACTTCATATTTTATGCATTAATTAGATTTGTGAAACAAAAATCTTTCTTTGTTAAAATACAGTTTACAGTTCTATGAAATACAATTACTGCTTATTACTTGGCGATGATTCGACTGGGTTTCTCTGTGTATTTCTATTTAATTAATAAATGCCATTGAAACAATTTGTTAAAATATGTTCCAAATTCAACAGTGGACAGTTTAAGTTAAAAAATTTCAAACTTTGTAAAGAAAACTAGTTATATTTATAGCACGCTTTCTGTGTTTTAAGTATTTTGTTCTGAAAACTTTTAAAACTTAGTAAAACATCAGTTTTGTGACCACTCACCAAAGAAGCCCCTCCCACCTCACAGTATACAAGAAATGTTATTACACAAGTGAGCTCTATTCTCCAGAGACAGTGTAATATAATAAATCTGCCATGTCTAATCATTGAAGGAGCCAGGGCGAATGCCTGTATTCATTAGCCCAGTCGGTGCAGAACAGTACAACGTTAAACTCCATTTACTTTCAATTTAATTTCTAATCACTGAACAAAAGGAAATTGATGATCTGTGTTATGACTTCAACTGACGTTAACTAAACGTAAATTCAATGTATGGAACTTACACTTTTACTTGATAATAGTAACATTCAAGATTAACCCATTTCAGCTCTTTTAACCTAAATCAAAGAGATCCTATGCCCTGCTTTAATGCTTATCGATTGAAGATAATTTTTTTTATGTCGTATATCAAACATTTGTAGAACTGTTAAGCACTTTTTGTATCAAGGTATCCTTGTTATTTTTAAATGCCCACAAATATTTTTTTTTGTCATACATTGTTGTCATTCATGTTGGTTTGCCCATTCACATTTCCTACATATTCTACAGGCTGAAGTTTTCAAGATTTTGAAATTTGCATTAACTGTGCAGCTAACCTATTAGACAGAAGGCTCCGTGTGTGTGGGGTCGTCCATCAAATGGGCACAAAATCAGGCCCAACTTTTCTATAGTAAAATTTTGCGTAGAATTCGATGCCGAGCGGTAATCAGTCCGCCGTTGGGCGTTTTCGAGATATTCAGGGTCAAATGCGTTCATTTGCACTGAAAGTGAATGCGCAGTCTTTCTTGTATAATGAAAATAAGCTGAAAATGATCGAAATAATAGCAGAGTTATGGCCCTTTACACCAAAATTTTGTACACCTTCTACAGGCCTGAGTTTTCAAGATTTGATACAAGAATGCCTATGGAAATTTAGCACTATATGCCTTTACAATAAAATGTTATGCATGCTTTACAGTTTTAAATATTGTTTTCCGAAACTTGCAGAGATTTTCAAAAGTGAACGTATATCCAGCATCTGCCATTATTTCTTGCCTCTACTCTTCGGGTCTGTGATTGTTCAAAGCTGTTTGAAATTGATACTGTGCTACCATCATGTTGATGAAACTTTCAACTCCATTTATTACCATTGACAAATATGCTAATGGTTTTTGAGGGTAATATTTTTGCTGCTACCATGATTATGCTAAATTATATTATTATTATAACTGTTGTTTTAAATGGGAATAATAAATTCATAAAAATCTTTAAATTCAAGTTTGCAGAGCATTGAGACTTTATATTGATAAATTTCTTATGCAACCAAAGGATTTTAATGCGATTGAAGTTCGTTATAGAGCTCAGACTTGGCAAAGAAATGAAATGAAATGGGGTTTAACGTCCTACGCTTCTGCACCTAACCTGGGCTAATTGAAGACGGGCATACGCCATACTGTGTGCTATGAGGGAAATTTTGCCTGGACAGCGGCGCTACGGCCTACTCTTATATCGAATTCCAACTGCCAAGGGATCTTTTACGTGCACGCCAATGTGTACACGGGACCTCAGTTTTTCGTCCCATCCGAACGACTAGGCAGCTGTCCTTGTCAGGCCCTCCGTTCTGCATCACTGACAAGGGGGAAACCACGCCGGAAAATCGAGATGAACTTTCTCGGCCAAATCAGGGATCGAACACCCGACCTCCAGGCTAGCGAGCCAGTGCCTTACCCACTTAGCCACGTGATCCCCCACTTGGCAAAGACTTCTGATTATACAAAACAAGCGGTTGCCTTACAAGATACGCCCACAAGAGATGGACAAAGAACTAGCTAAAAAAATAATGCCATAATCCACGGTCCGATAGGGTCCACAACCTTTTGTCGGCCATTTTGTCGGATTTTCACGAAATTTGAACTTGACCATCATTAAGGTGTAACAGTGATATATTTAAACGTTTTTTTAAAATAGAATCTGGGGGCAAAACCCAGGAAGTTACGGACGGATATGCGCAAATATCAAAAGCAACCGAGATCTTACGTTTTAAGTTTCATCAAAATCGGATGAAAATTACAACTCTAGTGTCCACAAGCTAAAAATGTGATTTTTCGTGCAATCGGGCCATAATCCATGAAGTTTTGATCCGATATATGCCAATATCAAAAGGATCCAAGATCTTTTGGAGATAAACTATATTTCAAGTTTCGTCAAAATAGGATAAAAATTGTGACCTGTAAAGTGTCCACGACAATATACATCCACATGAAAATGTGGGTGGATAAAAACCCTACACGCAAGCAAATTATCCAAATGATTAAAATATTGCGTAAATTAGATCTAAGTGGACTGACCAATTTTATCCGAGTTAAGCGAAGATCCGAGTTAGCCGAAGACCGAAATTCAATCTTCGCTCTATTAGAAATAAACTGCAAGAGCCGGATAATAATTGAATCAAAGGCACATTTCAAGCTTTTGTTCATATGTGCGAGTAGATAACTTTGGTTTGGTCACCATCTTTGAAAAATGACTTACATTTTCCAGAAAAGTGTCTCATACAGCAGGTTTCAAATTTTCCGGGAAAATTCTATTATTGCGCAGCGTCAATAATGTATTTTGGGCTCTCAGACTTAGATGAAGGAAAAAAGCCGGAATTAGATCAAATGAACTGAACATTGTGATCCGACTTGAAGAAAGATCTGACTTAGGAAATCCTACTTACGCGCAGAAATTTAATAAGAAAACGTGCCGGATCAAAGTGTCCAAACGATTTTATCTGAGTTAAGCGAAGATCCGAGTTGAGCAAAGATCCGACTTATGCGAAGTGTACTGTATATCCATATGAAAATGTGGGTGTACAAAATCCCTACACACAGACAAATTATCCAAGTTATTGAAATATTGTTTTCAAATTGGCAAGATGGAACCTATCAGATTCAGAATCTTTAGAAAGCAATTATCTGAGTTTTCTCCATTTATGTTCAAGCTCATTTAAGTTCTTGATGGAATGTTTTAAATCTAGGTGGGACTGTTTCTTAGAGACTGCTATGTTTTAAATCTAGGTGGGACTGTTTCTTAGAGACTGCAAAAGAACCTGATCTATTTCTGCAATCTGATTTATATTTCCGATCTTTAAGCCCAAATTGAAAGTTTTTATAAGATATTCAAATTTGAATTACCAAATGACAAAACTATATGATACACAATCAACTAAAGAATGAAAAACAAAAGATTTTATAACTAAGGCATCTGGATTTATTACTACAATTCTAAGATATACAGTAAAATACAATAAAACAAACAATACTGACAACTGTTACTGTAAAACTAGAAATGATAGCACGCAAATACCATAAGACATGGTATAAACAGGTTTAATGTGTTCCGTCATTTCTAATTTTACAGTATCATTATCAACTAAAAAGATACACACATAAATAAAATCAACAATATCACAGATAGAACAGATATAAACAACCATTGAGTGGATGTGGTAAAATAGCCATGGAATGGAAGATAAAGAGATTATAAAAGGTAGAATGGCTATAGTTATAGATGTTTATAGAGTACATGTAGTTATAAATACATAATAAATCAACAATAAAATATAACAATTTTTTTAATTATTAGTAACCAGTATTTGAGTGAGTTGTGTGTGGCCCCTCTACATGAACAGGTATGTTGGAGGCCCAAGTCCCCAATTCCCCATCTACCAAAATGGAGGCTACACCATAGTGATGACTTACATTATATATACAAAATATTCATAAAATAGGGTGATTATTGATGAGAATTAATGTTGATTAAGATGTCAAAATATTTCATTACCAATGGCTGTCTTAGAAAATATTTTGATAAGTGCATACTATTTATAAAAAATAAATGCAAACTATTTAAGTAACAATAAGGTGATTAATAATAGTAGATTAACATTAAGTATCTTATTTTCATTCGCTGTCTGAAAATGTTTTGATCCAAGTGCATACCATTCATTTACTAAGAAGTCTATATGATATTGTGGTAGTTGATTAAAGGATTATCACATTATGATTAATCCTCTTCGTAGTCACTATGACGATCACTATGTCGATCGCTATAATGATCACTATGGCGATCTGATGTTTTAACATAAGTAGCATCAACATCCTCGTCTTCTTCATAGTCATCATCATAGTCTCTATTACCATGAATACTACTTGGTGCTGAACTTCTTGAATTAACAAAATCTTCATCTAATCCAACACTTCGTAGCGTGTTTGTAAACTTTTTATTAACTTTATTTTTCGCACTCGTCTGAAACGGAAAATTAATTTTTTCAAATTTTTTTATGAAATGCCAGACTCATAATTTTATCCCCCATTTTTAGATTAAATCAAAATAAACAATACAATGGGGCATATGGAATTGATTTTTCTGGATCTCACAGATCACATGACATTTCATCAAAATAGTAAGGCATTTTAATTTCATCTACTATGCCTTTGCACCATTTTTAGCCGTATTAAACAAACTAGACATTTTTGGAAAACTTATAACACCAGGAACACAAATCCAAGCAAAATTGTGATAATTGTCAAGTAAATGCTATATTTATACTAACAATTGTGAAGTTGACATAAAATTACACACATGATACCTAGAATAGGACAGGCTTATCTTTGCTCCGTGCGGTGAACGACAAGGTTTTCTTTTGAAAAAACTGACTGTAAATGGTACTTCCTAGAGTATATCCTGGTGTTTTTAGCTTATGCATATATCTTAGCAATTCATCAAAAACGATGTAAATTCATGACTACGCAAGAACTTGGACTAGATTAGGGACCCCCGAAACTACTAAACTCCTTTTGAGTGTCCATCCCTGAAAAGGGAGGTGAAAGGTATGATGTTAAAAATTCCCACATTACTTGAATACTTTAATTATCAGTAAAGATACGCATATTTATTTATGCTAAATGAATAACTTAAGAAGACCACACACATAATTTGGCTAAAATTACTCTGAACATGATTTGGTAGTAAAACTTGAAAAAAAAATGCCAAAAGGTTGCTTTTTCCAGAATAATCTGTTGATTTGGAAAATATATGATTCATTCAACAACAAGTATCATATAGCACCAGATGTAGCATTTTCTTGCGAACATTCCATATCCATAGGTTGACCTGTTCAGGAGTTATGAAAGTATCCCCTATGCGCTCAATTTCAATGAAATGACGGCAGCCATTTTTAAAGATGGCCACCAAAATGGAATTAAGCCAAGTGACCCGGAAGTCCATCAACCTAATTTCAACACTTCAGCCACCAGGGTAACTGAAAATCATAGTTGAATTTATTCATCAAATTGGTAATGATGCTCCAAATTCCCAGGTCTGTCACATGGACTAATAAGGGTCTGTTCCACAAAGCACACATATGATTTACTGACACGTCTATCAAACATTTTACTTTACAAATAGATTGAACTTATAAGTAATTTGCATCCTTCATGAAACAGACCCCTGAAGTAATATTATATATATATAACTATTACCTGTCTTTGCCGTTCAAATAACATAGGTTGTTGTTGAACTTTTTCTTTCATAGCCTCCATTTCTGCTTGATATTGCTCCTCTCGTAATCTTTCATCTTCCCTTACAATAGAATGAACACAGAATATTGTATATAGGCTAAGAATACTTACAAATACAGTGGCAACAAAATTATTTTCTGTTTGCCACTCGGTTAGAAATCAAAAGTTTGCTCAAATTAGACACTTGAAACTGGAAAATTTTCTTTCAAATTAGCAATCTTAGAAAAAGTAATCCTTGAGATTTAAAAATTTAATTTGGGGCTGAATTCGCATATGAACTTTTTTTTCTATTCAAATTATCGTAGTTCACTATAAATTTTCAAATCAAAAAATTCTAACAAATTTTACAGTTATCTTTCCTGTTACTGTATATTTTGACTTCAAACTTCAAAGTCTGCGTATGCAATGGGTTTGTTCATTTGGGCCTAAGAGTTATTTCCCCTTTTACGTCCTAATTTATGAATCATGTTTTATGAAGACCATGAGAATTGTACTTAAATAGTACTTCTAACCATGCCGACACCAATATTACTTATTAGCCACTGTTGGAAATATACATAATTTAAAAAGAGATATTTCTTCTAAATTCAATTAATATATAAGTTATAACTACTTACTTGAAACTCCTTAATCTGGCTTTAATATTTTTATTAGTATGGTTTTTATCAATATTTCCTGTTTTTTCTTTTATAGATTGTCGTAGTTTATTTTCACGAATCCTTCTACGTCTGTCTGCTTCTATTTGCCGCTTTTCTTCCTCATTCCATCTCTCAAGACTCTGCCTATAAAACCAAACCAAAACATAACTGAAGCTGTTTTTTTTTTTTAATTACAATTTTATCTAAATTTTTTCTGATCAGAATTTGATATTTAATGAAAGGGGTGTAATGTCCTACTTTTCTGCACCAACCAGCTAATGAAGACAAAAATTTCATGTTTAAACTTTTAAACATACATATTATATGAATAGGACACTTATTAATTGGATGGAAAGACAAAAAAGAATCAGACTACCTGGCTGATTATCTGTATGGCTAATTTTAGGTTTATCTTTCATTAAATTTGGTTAAGTTAATAAATAGAGGGGAGGCATTTATCACAGTTCCAAGAAAAAAGGAAAAATATCCAGAATTTGATCAAACCAATTTCTTTTTGAAACTTTGTAGAATTCAATCACGAATACCTTATGGTAGAATTTCTAGTATCTGCTGCTCGAGTCATCTTTGCGGGAATAGAATCCATTGATGCTGAAAAAGTCTCTGAAAAATAAATACAACACTTTACTTACAAGCCTGGATATAAGGCACCTGTCACAGATTTTGTCAAGTACAAATTATCACACAACTATGTAAGCCTGGACATAAAGACACCTGCCATAGACATTGTTAAACACAAATTATCACACAACATACATATTAATTATAATATATATTTTGTGTAATAATATGTGTACGACAAAGTCTGTAGTGACAGGTGCTAATGGTCAGGCCTGAGGCTGAACATATAATAAATAATCTATATAAAATCTTTACTAGATTTTACTTGTTGCAATTAATTTGCCATCACCAATGTCTGTCCAACAATCAATTTCTTGTGAATACTCTACAAACTACATTCATCATCAAACATTAAAATGAGTGAGACGAAGAAGACTATTTGATCATCGGATCTGTTTGAAATTCATATCAATGCATTATTAAGATCAGATTTATGTTTACTTCTAGAGTTAACTTTGAAAGGGACATTTTTGGATGGGTAAAAATTTGTACATTTAAATATCTGTCTCTAAAGAACCACTGAATGAAATTTGAATTTCGTTAATGTAAGCATCCATTGCAAACAGTGTTCAGCTGAGAAAGACCAATCAAATGGTCTGTACTGGTATATGGTGAATTATGCGAACAGAAAGTATGTTTAATTACAATTGGTGTAAAAATCAGGCAAAAAAAGTTTTAATCGGATTGCAGCAAATTACACAGATTTAATTGTAGGAAGATATTTCCTTTCTGGAGCAATGCAGGAAAACAAGGGCAAATGAGTTGCACATTATACAAAAAATTTGAAATCAATGAACATTTATAGCTTGATAATTAAAATGCATGGTTAGTGGCCTAAACTATATTACTCTGTGCCAACATTATGTAACTTTGGTGATGTTTCGTTTCTATTCTTATTTAAAATTAACTCACTGTACATTCCTCTAGGTGTAGTTGTTCTGGCTCTTGGTGTTCTGTATGGCCATCGGTTTTCTGTCAGTACTTCTTCATCTCTAGCAATATCTCTTAATATCTTATCTGTACTTGGCTGTATTCTGTTTGTTTCTAGTCGAAATGGTTCCACTACTGTTGGTTCTCTAATAAATTTCTTTCTGTTCATTTCCCTTTGAAATCTTTGATACATTCCATCATAATCTGGTATGTGTCTGTGTATTTTCGGTTTAAACTGCTTTCGTGCTTTTGCCTGCCTTTTCATCTCTTGAATTTTTTGCTGTTTTGATTTTTCTCGAGCAGCCATACTTGGCGGTAATGACGCTTCTCTTAATAATTCTTCAGATCTCATACACATTCTCAATCTCCTGTACTCTTCTTCTTCTTTAAGTTTTCTCGGAACTGTGTCTTCATACACAAAAGATGGTACTGGTTTCGCTTTAAATTTTTTAAAACTTGTGGATCTACTTCTAGTGTTTGGTTCAGAATTTCTCCGCTGACTAAGTTTCTGTTGTTCTCTTTTCACAAAATTAAAAGGCTTTTCCTGAGATTTAAGAAGTTCTTTAGAATATTCCCTCATATATCTACGCTTAGCTTCATTTTTTTCGTTGATTTCATCATAGAGAGGTAAATACACATGGGCAGGGACTGGCCTGGCTTTGAATTTTTTCTGGCATTCTAATTCTTCTTCTTGTTCCTTTTGAAGTCTCTCCTGCATCACCTGTATTTCAGTGGAACTTTGCTTCTTTTCTTTTGATTCATCTCTTAAGGTCATACTAAAAGGTTCGGGGATTGTTAACTTATGCCTCCATTCTGAGGCTTTTTTCTGACTATCTTGTCTTCTAGTGGATGGAGCCGACGAGGGTCTCTGTCGAGGCATGTAGTCATTAATAGCAAAGTTGTCCCACATACTCTCAATTCTCTGTAATTCTAATTTGCTTGGTGTAATAACCTCTTGACTTCTGATTAGTCTGTCTGGGTCAATCTGATTCTCTTCTTCTAATTGACGATCAGTGATGTACCTAATTTCTTCATTATCTAACACTTCATCATCAGTTTCTACATCACTATAACGTCTGTCATTATCACCATCTAAACTCCTTGATCGAACAACACTGAAGGGGTAAGGCGCAGACCTTGGACGATCTCCAAAAGAATATGTCTTATTCTTAATTTCTTTAGACACAGGATACGCAGGTGGGGATGGTCTTTTTCCTTGTCTGGAGGGCGGACGCGCAGGACTAGGTGCTATTGGAGGCTTTGATGACATGTCGCATATATTGTCGTATGTTTTCGTTGGACTGTAATCATTTATATCATATTTACGGTCCGGTCGTATAAGTGCTCCATTCACTAAGCGTGTTCCAGTGTCAATATCTATATCTTCATTTATGAATGCAGTGTAATTATTATCACCAATATCATAACGGCCAGCATACTTTTCTTCCAAAGCTTTCTTCTCCATATACAATTTTTCACATTTTTCAAGAGCCTCTCTTTGATGTTCTTTCATTTTTGAAAGTCTCTCATAAAATTCGTCATCAGATAAATTCTGACTGGTTAACTGCTTCAAGTCCTTGGGTGGGAAAACGGGAACAGACGTGTATTCTGTATCACCGTTTGAGTTTACTGTCATTTTAATCCCTGATTCATGCTTACTGAAAATGTCCCCGTGGTCTTGTTGTCTATAATATTCTTGTCTTGAAAGCGATGCGTTTTTTCCAGTACGTGTTTCAATTGGATTTTTAATTGAATTGTTTGCCAAGACTGACAAAGCGTGCCCCGTTGCCATTGTTGCCATGTTGCCTCAAATATTCTACTGCGGGATACGACTAATCTGCTGGAAAATGTTGAATAAAATTAATTGACGTTTGGGAGAAAATAGATAATAACTGTGGAATTCCTACATTCTAATTATCTCTATGGTATCAATAAATTAGAAATTAACTGTATTTATTTTAGTTTATCCGTTGCTAATAATCAAGGGAAGACAACTCCCAAGTCAGTAAAATCCATCATGGCTGGAGTTAAAGCATTTTTCAATGTCACAAACAAATATTTACATTTTTCTACACATACAAAATCATCAAACATAATTCACAGATATATTTCTTCCACATCTTCTGTCCCAAGAGATGTTGACATCGTTATTTCTGGTGGTGGCATGGTTGGAGCTGCCATGGCATGTGCTTTAGGTTTGATTCGAGTCTTCCAACTATTTTTTGCATTAGTAATTTAGTTAGTGTCTGTCCATCAGTTGATTTTAGTGAAACTTGTTATATATGACATTTTATATCCATTAGTGACAAGAACATCGTTGAAAACATTGAGGTCTGATATGTTTGCTTTGAACTACATTTGGAGCCCTTTGTTTAACCCTGGAAACTCATTTTGTTTATAATGTTAGAAGACTAACGTCTAAATAATAAGATGATATTGACTAATTAAACATATCCAGTCCAATGTAGCGATACAGCTGTCGGATAACTGCAAATAATATGTAACAGGCATTGCCTGAGTAGAACTCTATACTGGTTCCATGTAGTATTATATTTTAATTCTGAAATGGAATAAACAACAATAATCATTCATTGTTGTGTAGAAAACCTTTCAACAGTGAATGCCACAACAGTTAGATTCCTTCTCGCGACTCACAACAGATTGAGAGATTAGGTACCGGTACCTAATCTTAAAGTGCATATAAGATCACCAGACAAAATTTTCTGTACTTGTAGCCAGTAGTTAGGCCTACTATATGCACTTTACAACAATTTCACGCCAATCTGATTAAAATTATATCGGCCATCTTCACTCAAAGTCGCAAATATAGACCTCTCGTAAAAACGGCTTTGCCAATTATCAAAAACACTCTTAATCCCCGCAGGCGTCAGTGACGTACATCACAGTGACCAAATGCATATGTTTATTCCTTAATGGTCATCTTATGTGCACTCTAAGTAGCTGTACTTCATTATGATTGTTTCTATCTTACTTTCAGCTCACAATGAGATGTTTGAAAAGAAGAAAATTATTTTATTAGAAGCAGCACCAGACAGAGGAAAATATATATTACCAGAAAACTATACAAACAGAACATGTGCTTTAAGCCCAGCAACAGTTCGTCTTTTAGAAAGTATGAATTTAAAATAATATTAAGAATTTTGTTTATGTCTGTTTAACATTAATATAAAGATACACTGTATACTTTTTTATGCAAATTTAATTATAAATGTTTTTTTCTGTTAGAGCTACACATTTTAAGGTAGGCCTACCCAAGAAAACAACAGGAATTTAAGAAATTAAATTTGTACACTTTGTCTTTAATTTTAGTTTTCTCTAAATAATGACATGGACAGTAAATATGTTGAGTTTTTTTATTTTACTTATTAAATTACAGGTTTTGGAGCCTGGAATGAAATAAAGGAAATGAGATATCAGCCGGTTAAAAGAATGCAGGTCAGGTAATTCTTACACGCCAGCATGGAAATTTTGTCATATTGCTTTCGCAACCACCTGTCTATCTCAGTGGATATCTACATTCTCTCAACAGACTACTTTTATCATCTGATCTGGTTTAAAAATGTTAAGCAACTTATTGCTCTTGATAACTTTGTAGAACCATGTGAATTCTCCACAGAGGATAGTTATTGATATCGACTTAGCTTCTGTGGGCATGTTTCGTTGCCTGGCAACCTATCAGTGTTTTGTCTTGACAATCGTTATGTATTCATTTAGAAAACTTACTGTTTATGCAATGAAATGAATGTTGGAAGTTTTATTTCTTTACACAAATAGAACACACAAATGTCCATGAATGAATGATTAATTAACATGGAAATCACAGGAGATAACTTTTTCTTAGCAGATATCAGAAGTTAATATCACCATTGTGTTTGATAAATAAAATTCTATGATTTGCATTTTAAGATGTTAAAACTTACTGGTGGTGACAGTGTTACATTTCGTACGTTTATTTTTATTTTGACACTTTTTTATTATTTTATCAGGTTTGGGATGCGTGTTCAGATGCCTTAATCACCTTTAATAATGAAGACCTAAATGATGATTTGGCTTATATTGTGGAAAATGACGTCATATTAGCAGCCATTATGAACAGACTAAATGCAGCAGGAGACAACGTTGAGATACATTACAGTACTTCTGCTACTAGTTATAAATTTCCTGGTGAAATTGATGATGAAGGCAATAAAGAATCGTGGCTTACAGTCAATTTATCAAATGGACAATCACTTAGAACAGATTTATTGGTGAGAAATAATGTGTTTTAACGTAGGATGAAAACAGCACAGGCACACTCAGGGAATAATTTCTTCCCCCTAAAAAGGAGACTGAAAAATATGGTGGAGACAGATTTTTCTCATGGTTGCTCTGGGACTTATTACCTGGAGTTGTGAATATATTTTCACAACATACATGTAGATGACTGTTTCAATTAAATGCAGTAGTGGAAACATGCCTGATTAAGGCTGGATTATGTGTTTTTATTTTATTTTAGTGAGCATTTGAATAAGCTTACACAGAATAAAATTTAATAGCCAGCATGGATAACATGGGGTAACTAATGCAAAGTTACAAGATTGGGGTTATTGGTCTATTTCGTGGCTTTTATTACATCAATTTCTCACTTATCTTTTTCAGATTGGAGCTGATGGGTTTCGATCAAGTATTCGAGAAAAATCAAATTTTCACACAATGAATTTAGACTATAAACAAATGGCAGTGGTAGCAACACTTCATTTATCTGAGGTAAAAAAAAAATGAAACAGTCAATGTCAGTGGACTAAGGTTATTCCAAAATTACAGTAACCAATAATAGAGAGAGAGAAATGGGGTTTAACTTCCACTCGACAAACCTATGATAGATTAAATATTCACATGACCACAGTTGCTCAGTGGTTATGTTCATTAACCTGGAGTTTGATCCCAGTGTTGAACGAGACAGTTCCTCAGAATTTATCAACCCAGTTTCCTCTTATAGATTATCTTGTCATTCAGATGAGATGCAATATTTAGGTCCTGCGCATACCATTTGTAGCACTTTAAGGATACTGACAGTTGGAAATCCAACACTCTTCTAGCACAATTTCCATCATAAGTAAATTACATTGGGTATGCCCATCTTCATATTAGCCTAGTTGGTGCTGAAACCACATTTCATTCACATACATGTTTTCTTACATCTAAGATTGAGTCTGATATAAAAAGATAAGATGGGTCCTTGTGGAAAAAGATTATATGCAAATAAGATCTATACAGCAGCAAACAGTTTTATTTTTAAAATATTTATTTTTTTACAGTCAGTAGAAAATACAGTTGCTTGGCAAAGATTTCTTAAAACAGGTCCCATTGCTCTTTTACCGGTAAGGATAAAATTGAACAAACTTATTGATGTTTTATTTATTAGATAAAATTCATTAAATTGCTCTGTTTACATTGCCATACAAAAACTGTTCTCAAAACAGTGGCTGGCAGATTAAATGTGAAACTTTCACAGAAAAGTAAATTCCAGTCACAGGGAAAAGGGTCACCGTAAATAATGCTGACGCATGCACAGAAATCTGTACTATCGAGAACTGTTCTGAGACCGGATAGCAATAAGACTACAAAAATGAAACTGTGCCTTACTGAGAACGGTGCAGAGACTGTTTCAATGCATTGGTCCACATTTGCACGGTTCTCAGTAGTACGGCGCTGTTATGTTTGGCCTGTTTACACTACAAAAAAATGAACTGTTAGTTCTCGGCACTTCCTGGCACTCTTAACATTTGTAATGTAAACAGGGTTAATGACTCACATACTTAATGTTCTATTGAACTTTTCTTTGAAGGCCCTGTGCACCATAGGTTCATTAAATTGACAGAATTATTCATTGATTTGACTGGGTTTTTTTGTTGTTTACACAAGATACAAAGAGTAGCTTCAACCCTGTAGCTTATTTAATCCAACATGTAAATAGTTGTATTTTAAATTTCACTGTTCTTTCAGTTAAGTGCTAATCTCAGTTCCTTAGTCTGGTCAACTACACCAGAAAATGCCAAGAATTTATTAAATATACCAGAAGACAGTTTTGTAGATGCAGTAAAGGACGCTTTTGTAAGTAGTTGTATTTACTATCTATTGTCATCTTTCTTTAAACCAAATCCATTATTAAAGAGCAGGGCTTTCAATTCGAAATTTTTGCCAGCTGGTCATTTTTTTTTTTTTACCATATTTCTATTCACTGCAGATTACCATGAAATTTTTTTCCCATGAGGGTATTGTCTTTAAGATTAATTTCTGTGAAATTCTGATTTTATGACATGTAGATTGACTGACAGGTAGGTTCTCAAGGTGGTGGATTTCACTGTCAGTCAAAACAGGCAAATATAACTGAAACAAGAACCCTGATATAGAGTTGGTTAGATTTGTTGATTTTACCTTTTGGCGTTAATATAAATTGCTAAGATTTGTTCTTTCAATCATGACTGTTTCAAATCAGAGACCTGTATTATTTTAGTCTATATATGAATTTAATTTTTATTTCTAGTGGAACGATAATGATAAAGATCCCCTAACAGGCAGAATTTTAGAATCATTTTCAAGTATCTTACAAAATCTCTTACCAGGTAATTTTATTTAAAAAAAATTGTATTATGTACAATTTTTATGCGACTCAGTATAACCTGTTTGCTTAGTCAAAAGAAATGAAATGGGGTTTAACGTCCTTCTGTTCTGTATCGACTGGGTTAATGAAGACGGGCATACACCATACAGTGTGCTATGAGGGAAATTTTGCCCATGCAGTGGCACTATGCCCTACTCTTATTAAGAATTCTAACTGTCAAGGGTTCTTTGCATGCAGGTTAGCTAGCCAACGTCTTAATCACTGAGCCACTGTTTGCTTAGAACATAGCTCACTGTTTTATTATCATATATTAGAAACATTTTAGCCATAGATTGGCAGTGAAGGATGATGTTCACCAGGCTCAACAACCGCTAATGCAATGACAACCTGGCTGGACCCTTGTTTAACAAATGTGACAAATGCAAGCCTGTCGTTGTAATACCATGACATGACTATATAAAGTATAGCAGTCAACATAGAAGCTGAAGAACAAATGTTGTTAAGATGTTTTGGTTGTCATACTAAAAACTGAATCAGTACTGACAAGACTGTATATGATTTTTGATCTTAGCAATATTTATCAGATAGAGCAATATTGTTATGTACATCAGGATTGATCAAATGATAATGTTATTTAATAGACCATTTTATTGTTCATAGTCAGTGCAGTGTCTAAACAGTTACCACCAACAGTTATAGGTGTGGAAGAAAAAAGTCGAGCAGCTTTCCCGTTATCTTTAACACATTCTTCTAATTATGTTAAACCTAGAATCGCATTGATAGGGTAAGTTGTAATTTGAGTAGCATTAATTAATACAGTAAGTTGTAATAAGTAGCACTGACAGGGTCAATCAAATTACTTAATGTTCTGCTTACCCTGAGCGGAAAATGCTCATCTTCGAAGTTTCATCAAGTCATTCACCTAATAAACACCAAGTTTGAACAGTCTATCTCAATTAGAAGGCATGTTATTATGTTCCAGATTCTTAATCAATCAGATTGAAGTATCTACTTAGCCTAAGCAGAAAATGCTCATCATTAAACTTAGTTAAGGTATTGATGTAATGAAACTATACACAAAGTTTCATCACTCTCACTTAATTAGAATCAAAGTTATCGAGCCCCAAAGTCTTGACTAATCCAATTGCTTATCGCTCTGCTTATCAAGCTTAGTCAATGTATTGATATAATGAAACTATACACCAAGTTTCACCACTCTCACTGAAATAGAATCAAAGTTATTGTGTGCCAAATTGCTTATCTCTGCTTAGAATAAGCCGAGAAGGCTAATCTTCGAACTCCATCAAGGCATTCACCTAACAAACACTTACACCAAGTTTGAACATTCTAGCTCAATTAGAAGGAGAGTAATTGTGTCCCAAAAAGTGTGACAGAACGAAGGACAGACAGACAGACCCATTTTAATAGTTCCCTGCTTTCTTCGAAAGGTGTGGGGGGGGGGGGGGGACAATGAATAGACAACACATGTTAATTGTTTGCAAAGCATTAAGCTATCAAATTGCTTATCACTCTGATTAGCCAAGGTATTGACGTCATGAAATTATACACCATGTTTTACCATTGTCAAGTCTTATTCAATTAGAATCTGAGTAATCATGTACCAAAACATCTACAGATCAGTTTACTTATCTCTGTTTAGCCTAAGCAGAAAATCACTGTGCACCAAGTTTCATCCCTTTAACCCAAATAAAATAAAAGTTATCATGTTCCAAAGTATCGAACAATCAAATAACTTATCATTTGGTGTAATTGGTGCATATAATCACACTGGTTTTAAGTACATACCGCTTTGATATGGTCATTTTATTTGCTCTTTAAATAAGTTTCTCACCTGTAAATTTGCCAATATTGTAGATATACCATAAATTTCTGACATTTTCATCCTATGATTTATAATTGTTGAAATACATTCCAGTGATGCTGCTCACAGAATTCATCCCTTAGCTGGTCAGGGGGTCAATCTAGGATTTGGAGATGTTTCCTGTTTAAATGAAATATTAACAAAAGCAGTTGGTCTAGGCAGTGACCCAGGTAGTTATTTAGTATTTGTTATGAATTTTGTTATTCCTGGTGTCGATGTAGCTTATCTTGTCTGATGAGGTGAGGAAGCAGGATTTGAAATATTTTGAGTTTAGATCAAGTTAAAGTAGCTAAGTCTCTAACTCAATATCATCAGAAATCTTCGACATTGAAAACACGATTTATTTGTCGCTTTAAATTAACATTGATTTTGTGATCTTACAGGGAAAAGATATACCTTCTGATATCCACTATTTAAGACAAAATAAACATTTTACAATTGGTACACGAATCGTGTACCATAATGCGTTTCAGAGCTATTTGTAATAAGGGACTCGGAAAACGAGGCTAGGCATATTCCACGAGTCATGTCAAACAGTGACGCTATATTCTCATCTGGAGAGCATGCCCAATAAATACTATCGGCGTACACTGGAAAAACCAGACGCTAGAGATTGAAATTCGATTGAGAATACTGGCGTATTTCGCCAAACCTAACTGATTAGAAATTACAGTAAAAACAGAAACTATTGAATGTAAATCAATTTATATACATTTATATTACATTATTGTATGCGTTGCGACCCATTTGTGTCAATTTCTATGTCCCAAATATTAGCGACTTAGCTCCTTTAAGTTGACATTGATGAGCTAGTACAGATGACTTCGAGATTGTGGGTATATCTGGGGCCTGATATTAAAGGGAGGACTTTTCAGATTAATATTTATATTATTGTGGAAATGTCTAAATTGATTTCCAGATTGAAATTATATTTAAAGATACATTATGTAAGATTTAGATAAAGAGCCAGCCATTCTTGCTATAATAGTTCGAAAATAGATCATGTCAAATGAATAATTTGAAAATTTCATTCAAATTACTTTATTGCGAGCGAAGATAGCCTTTGAAGATTTAACAGGACGTGTGCAAAAATTTCAACCACTGTACTGGTTGTTCGAAGCTAAGTCTCGCTCCTCCATTTTTAGATTAAATCAAAATATGTGTGAACCGTTCTAATCTATTTAATATCCGAGAAATCCGATGCCAACAAGAATTGATTATGGCCTGGATCAGTTAATTAAAGTCTAATTAATAATTTAGAAAACATTTCAGGCCTAAAGAAAGACCTCCAATAGGCAGATTTAGCTCTTGCATAATGTATGTTTAAATCTTCATAATCATGTTATTATGGCTTTGTCAGGTTAAATTTCCACTTGAAAATATTAAAGGGACAATAACACTCTTGCTGGCTTGACAGTTCCAGAAAATAAAAAATAGCCTTATTCTAAGTAATAGATGTGTTAGTGTCCTACCTGTTGTGTAAATTATCCATTAAATCCTATTTTACTTGTCCAAAGGGTTCAAAAATATTTTTAAATCCATGTCACATTTGAAAAGCTTTACGTCAGGCTTTTCAAATCATTTAGTTGAATTTTTCCAATTTTTTAAATTAGGTACTGTGTTAAGATGAAATTTGTATCATCAATTAATTGGAATATTGTAAACATAGTACAATTTGTTGACCAGAATATAGATTGGGACATATTATTCAGTTACAGCAAGAGTGGTATTGAGCCTTTAAGAGAAATTTAGAAAGAAATTTTATTTTTCAAGGTTCATTAAAACATCTGTTAGAATATGAAACAAGAAGACAAAGACATGTGATACCTGTGATGGCAACTATTGATGGTTTACAGAGATTATATACAACAAATTTTTCACCTCTAGTTTTAATTAGAAGTTTAGGATTACATACAACCAACTCTTTACATTTTATTAAAGTAAGTAATCAATATATTTATTGCAGAAATAATTTATAAGCAATAATGCAATGTGCTGTCCCATTTTGAAATTTTTTAAAAATCAGACCTGTCCATTAACTTACAAATGCGAAATGGGGTCACTCCACACTGACAAGGTAATTTTGGGACTAACAGATGGTTTAATTCTATTTCAATAATTCTCTTGAACTTCGGGTAGGAAACCAGAGCTACTCCATGTGTTAGACACTTCTCATTTTATTTCCCATGTTATGGTGCATTGATTATGCATATTAGTAAATATTTTCTTTATTTCATATAAACTTGGTATTGTGATACAATTACAATATTTCTTGCTAAATACCGCAATTGGCTTAAAAAATGACTAGCTATTTGATCACCAGAAATAACTGTCACCCAGTTCAGGTACCTTTGTCTTATTCTTTTAAAAGTTTATTTTTTCTCCTTTTCAGAATCGCATAATAAGACAGGCGTCAGTGTGACAACAGCTATTGTTAGAATATATGTGTAATATTTGTATAAAGTAAAATAATTTTTGACAAATCTCTTGTTACTTGCTTTTATAAACACACATATACAATGAAATAAGATAGCCACGCAAAACTTTGAAATACAGCAGCTTTGCCTCAAACAAAAGAAAGCCAGGCAGTAGCTTATCTGGAACTAAGAAAACTAAGACCAAGTTTGATAAGGATCCTGTTTGCCTACAAGCTTTTGAAAAAGTCTTTTAAAAATTGTAGCCTCTTTAGCACTCACAAGGTTGGCAGAAAAGGGGACATAATTCTGGAAAAAAACATGCTGAACACTGAGTATTGAGAGGGTTCATCCTCTCATGTTAAAATACAAATAGGATTTAAATAAGACGGGCTAGAATACTTGAAGTTAGACAATTTGTCACTATATTCATAGTGACCCATATGTTTACTGGTTTGAATTTATTAATAACTACAAATAATAATATTACAAATTTCTGAGAGTAAACTCACCCTATTCAAGTACAACAATATCAGTGTGCTAGGAGGGGAGTTTTGCCTGGGCAGTGGCACTACGACCTACACTTATTTCTGAATGTTAACTGTCAATGAGTACACAGGACCTCGGTTTTCCATCCCATCTGAACGACTAGACACTGTCCATATCAGGCCCTCCTTCCAGTGCCAGCGACAACACCTTGGATTGAACCTGAGACCTTCGGGTTAGTGAGCAAGCAGCTTACTGACTGTGCCACTGCGGCTCCCAACCAGTATCAGTAATAGCTCCTTTAATATTACATTTCAAAATAAGAAATCATTTCATTCATTGAATCGAGATACATCAGTTTGGAAACGCAGCAACGATAATACAGTGGATGGGATCACATTTTGTGTTGGTGTTTTGAATTTTGTGCGGGTGTTAAATCAGTCATACTCCTCGCAGTGTTTTGTTTGATTATACCTAATCCCACTAAACACTGCTTTAACGAAGACAAATTTCTGTTCCAAATTATGACTGGTCAATGGTCCGATTAAAAACCAATAGCTAACTACGGTACAAAAGCATTACACTTAAAACAGAGCTCCAAATTGGACCAAATATGTTTACATAACGTTACGTCATGACTCACGATTTTATTATGCCCAATTAACCAGTGCATAGCAGAATATTGCAGAAAAACTAACTGCATGACAAATGAGGCTATCAAATGGAAAACAATGTAAACAATACTGTTTGGAGACGAACATACATTCACCGATTTTAATACCTTATATCACTGTCCAAAGTTTTAGGGAAGACCCAGATTAAACGAAGGGCCGTCATGTTGCTTTACTTGGGATAGATTTGATTGAACGGGAAGAATAGACAAACTCCCTCAAAACCTCAAGTATCAGAAGCCAATCCAGCAATGGCCAGAGAGGGATTTATCGGGCCATTGCTTCAGGAATATGTAAATCAGTATATTAACATGCACAGTGTTATTTAACTTTTTATACACTCACATTTAATAAATAACTCCCATAGTTATACGCCTTTTATTAAGCATACATTATGCAAGAGCTAAATCTGCCTATTGCAAGTCTTTATTTAGGCTTCAGATGTTATAGAAATTATTAATTAGACCTTTATTTACACCAAATGATGGCTTGGATACAGTTTAGATTTAAACAGTAGTCTATTTAAAATTAAATGAAAAAATGGCGGACCAAGCCAACATTTACTGTTAGTCGCTGATGTCACTACCGGAAACTGGTGATGAAAGGCCTGCCAAGCGAGGTTACCATAGCCATTGAGCATGTTACTTGATAATCAAGAATATGTGGGTGGAGTTATCGTCTGTCAAACGATCGCCAATTCTCATAGACACAATTGAGGTCTATTTCTAGTCCAAACTTCCAACAGTGACAATTCCGTTCAGAACAAAGTAATTTGATTGAAATTCTCAACATTTTCTTTTTTTGTCATCTATTTTTGAATTAATATAGCAATAATGGCCAACTCTTTATAAGTCAGTTGGGTGATAACTTTAGCCTCTAGTGTGTCTCAAAGTAGGGATTGGCTATATTTTGTTTGGGCGTAGGGATTTTTCATAGAAATAATTTGAAAGCTGGTTTTGAGCGAAGTGGCACATTTGACAAAAAAAGGTTACCTACACTAAGTTAGAATACCCTGTATTGTGCCCGACACCATGCCAAGACGCTCTTGAATTTTCCTCCCTGTGCAGGTCAAACCGGTTTATAATTCGATTCAGTTATTTACATACTTAATAACTTGTGACATTTGTAGTTGAATTTTATTTTCATACTTATTAACTTGTATTTGTAAATCAATTTTATATAGTCACCTCCATTTATACAAATATCAAAATTAACAAATTTAGTTATATACACATTTCTTCATTTATGACACAATGGCAAATATTATACGATATACAATGCATATAAAATAGTCCTCATTGTTCACATATTGTCTTCATTATAGTTTTATTTGGTACACATGTAATAGTCTAGAGTATGTATTATATACTTAATAATTCACAGCTGTAATTCTGTCACACCATAATATATAGTAATATTATACTCCAGAATTGATTATTCACATATATGTGGAATATTCACAGCACTGTCATTTAAATAACTTGAGGTTTTGATGTTTACGTCAGAATCCAGCATATAATGTCATATATGCCTGCGAACAAAATGACACTGGAAGTAATTTTTTTACACTAAAACTAACCCAATGATAAATCGGCCACCTTATCCGTTCTGTGCTATGACATTATGTCTGAATATCCTACAGTCTTTATCATAATAAATCACACACGTAATTTCATTTTATAAAACTAGATATATGAGCAAATATGTTCTGGTACTAAAATCCTTCCTGAATAAACCTGATACATGTATTATAGTCTGGCTGTAAAAGAAGGGCTATACTGGCCATATAAAGTTACTACGGCAGCGCCACCTATACCAAAATTATGTTGAAGTGCAACTTTAGCGCCATCTACTTGTCGTTTTCCACATTTACTTCGTAGTTGATTGACCAGTTCAAAACACTGTGCCAGACCTGAAAAAACATAAAGATTAAATGTATAAATGAAATGAAATGAAATGGGGATTGACAACCTACTTTTCTGCACCAACTAGACAAAAAAAGGCAGACATACACCATGCAGTGTGATATGAGGGAAATTTGGCCCTGACAAACCGGCATCTTCGCCTACTTTTCACATCAAATTTCATGTCAATTCTTCACTGACATACACACAAATGAGTACCTTACATGGGTGGACCTCGGTTTTCAGTCCGTTCTGCCCTATTAACTGGTTTTCCTTTCCAGACTCCTTTCTTGCAGCACTGACAAGGGGAAACCTGACTGAAGTGTCTCAGCCATCATCAAGACCTCTTGGTTAGTGAGCCAGCATTATTACTGACGCTCTGCACTACCAAGCAGTCTAAGTCCATTGATCTATGAGTATATAGTGATAGATGAAGTATACCTCAATCCAAAATATCACCGATCGGGGTGCTAAAGACATATATACCTCGCAGTGTGCTATCAGGATAATTTTGCCCTGACAGGTGTGCTATGGCTTACACTTATTTCGAATTCCAACTGTCAACTTTTCTTTTACGATCACGCTAATGTATACATGTGACCTTGGTTTTTTGTCCAATCCTAATGACTTGAAAGGGGGGGGGGGCTAGTGGATTAACATGTGCATGTGAAACCGTAAGGTCTGTCATTGAGTGAAATGGCGTTTCGATTGCCGTGCATACAAATTATTGAAATGTAACTGAACCATGTTAGTCCCAAAATGACCTAGTTTGTGTCAAGTGCATGTTAAATCCCATCGCTCTCTCTCTCTCTTACAACTCAAGCCTACATGCTCAAAGGTAATCAAGCTTTCTGCTACATGAACCCACCACAATATAATATTCCTCCTGCATATTAGATCAATGGCAAATGATATCAGGTGTACTGTAAAGAGTATGCATACTCTGTCACATGAAAAACACCCATCACAAACTGACCAGTGTTGATAGAGGCAATATTGACCAAAATAACTTTTGTAACTCTCAAAGCTTTCATTATTCTCACAATGACTGGCTTTCAGATTCAGTGTTGTCTTACAAACAAGATCTTACCTGTTGCTCCTATAGGATGACCTTTAGATTCTAATCCACCTGAAGGATTAACAACTAAACCATTTCCTAATACACATACTTCTCCACCATTACTATTTTGTTTCCATGTGCTGTCCCGGATTAAACGATATCCATTCCCTTCATCACAAAATTTCAAAGCCTCGTACATAAACAGCTCATTACATGAGAAGCAGTCGTGGACCTCTGCTACATCGATATCTTGAGCAGAAATACCAGAATCTTTATAACACTTATCTGCTGCTATCTTTGCCATAGTGTAGCCGGATAGATCCATGAAACTCTTGTCAAAAGTTGAAGGAAGGTCAGTAACCATATGTTGTGCTTTTATTTCAATAGCTTGTCCTTGTAACCCATTCTTCTTAACAAAGTCTTCAGAACAAACAATGGCTGCAGCACTGCCGTCTGCTGTTGGTGCACTCATCCAGAAGGTAATGGGATAAGACAACACCGCTTTCTTACTAATTGTGTCTTTACTGGGTAATCTTGGAAGAGAAGCATTAGGATTATTCAAACCCTGTTTTCTGTTTTTGTAAGCAATCTCCACAAAATCTTCGTACTTAGCAGACGGGTACTTTTTTAAATACTCTCGTCCTGCATATACAAACAGTTTTATTACATCTGAGGTCATGTTATTCATTCGAGGTTGTATAAGGTCTGGATTAGCCCCTAGCGTAGTCATGTGAGCCATATGTCGTTTAACTGGTGATGTGCGATCTGTGTATCTTTCAGATAAACCTCCCTCCATTTTTTCAAAGCCTGAAAAAGAAATCCAACGGAAAACATTGAAGCAAAACTAGTTGTATGTATTTTGAAAGTACATGTATGGTTTAATTGTAGTAATAATATAGGCTACTGTAAACAATAATGCATAATGTTTTGTCTCTGCTATACAAAATTCTGTCTGTCTAGCTTAGTAAACATGTCCACTTGCTGCAATTATAACTCGTTTGCAGCGATAATACACCATTGCTCTTGGAGTTATAAATCAACCCTTCCTTGGCATCAATTTCTATCTCCCCCAGAAGAGAGAAACGACTCTAAATACTACTGTGATAGTCCATGACTGCCCTCACATACTGGGATTATCCAGCTAATTTATGATAAGAGTCAGTGTGGCAACTTCGATGGAGTTTATGGGGAAGTCCTTTTAAATTAACATAAAGAAATCAGACATTCATACCTAAAGCCATCACACAATCCTCTGTACCACTCTCAATAAGACGTTTAGCCAACATGAGAGCTGTGGAGCCAGATGAACAGTTATTATTGACATTAAAGACAGGTATACCAGTCAGACCTAATTCATAGATAGCCCTTTGTCCACTTGTTGGTTCACCATAGCAATAACTTACTACTGCTGCTTGTATAGAACTATACTGTAAACCAGCATCACCTAATGCAGCTTGCCCTAATTAGACAAATTAAATGAAACAATATTATCAATATAATAATGTGCAATCCTTGCCCACCATTCTATGCAAGTTTGAGCAATGATCAGTCTATTAGGAAAACATACACAGTAAAGTCAGTGTCACCGGGTACCTGGTTTGAATTGGTAAATTTTTAATTACATAAAAAGCAAAATATACATAATATACAATACTGTACTCAATAAATATAAATAAAACCTAATAAAAATACCAAAATACAAATGAAATGATAAAGATTTTTACACTAATATTAAAATCAAATCAAGGACCTGTACTTAATAAACAGTTGGGTTATTAATAGGTGATAAGCTCTCAAACAAAGTGTTTAATAAAGTTAATGGATAATAAAGTATAACGTCGGTGAGGTGTCAAAAGGGTGTATCTCGGGAAAATAGTCAAATACACTTTTTTGCATTTTTAAAATCTCCCAATTAATATGCACATTTCTTTCTAAGCTGTGTATCTCTATGCCAATTAGAACTATTCTGGGTATCATGTGTCCAAATGTTGTATCTTGATTTGTGGAAATTTTGAAATGCAAAAGGTTCTATTTCGTAATCTTTAGAAATTCTTAGATACACCCTTTTGACACTTCACCGACGATAAGCAACTTCACAGTCAATAAGTTCCATATAAAACAGGGAACTAAATAGAAGTAGATATGTAACTGATGCGGTTTAATATCAGTCCCATGTAAAAAGAACCGAGTGAAACCCCGACACCTGACAGATCATATGCTATGTATCTTGATCTTCTCTTTGAAAATCTGACTGAGACGTGGTTCCCCTTATCAGATGTGTAGTCATTTGGATGGGATGAAAAACCGAGGTCCTGTGTATCCATTGGCATATGCCCATCTTCTTTAACCCAGTAGGAGCAGAACAATAGAACGTTAAACCCCATTTCATTTCTATCTACAAAAGTACAAGAATGTGAACTATTCAGCAAACTCTGTCTCTCTTACCTGCTTCTCTTGCCATATCAGGATAGTCCCATTTTTTGGCAAATGGCTTTTCGAATTTTGTCATACCCACTCCAACAACAAATACTCTTCTATTAACCATTTTGTTTTATTTAATGATGCTCTTGCTATAAAATACAATTTCTATGAGTAATTCCCTGAAAGATGAACATTTTGATTTTCCAGCAAACAAGTCAATTAGAGACAATATTTGTCACTACATGTACATGTAACCCCACCGGTATTTCAAGTGATCCTAGGAATTTGTCTGAATTTCTGCTGACAATATCCTGTTCAATTGTACATTTCACATATGCCTACATTCCAGTACTTTCCAATCATGGCCATATTCTTAACATGACCGTCTGATCTTCCTTTGAAAGCAGTTGTGCAGATAGTCCTTTATAGGATATTCTCACAAAGTAAATCATACACAGCTAAGCATTATTATCAAATGAGAAATAATATATGGACTTTAATGTTTGTTTTGAGATGCAACACGTACTATTCTGACCATAAATTCTGAATTTTGATGGTTTATTCATTTCGAAAGACATATTTAGGAATTACACATTTAAATAAATTAAATAGGCCTACCAGTACCAGTCCTTCATTAATTTTGTGACAGGTTGAGTTGTCCAATATGCCCAATTTAATGCATGTTTGTAAGAATGTAAGGGTTTTGTATAAAAAGTGAAAGGCAGTAGTTCCTTTTTTGTTGTTTTTAAATTACCATCGACCTTTGTATCGACGTCTTCACATGTTTTTTTTATGTACTTTTATATCGACCTTTGTACCAAAGTAATGAAAACCACTATCACTTTGTCAACAGTGCAGAAAATGTGTCTGAAGTTATTAAGTGAATTCGACACTCGTGTATTTTTACCAAACATTTTTTATTAGGATAAAAGTCATCGAGTACCTTCTCTTATATTTAAATGTGTTGTCTTTTCACAATTCGGCGTTTTTCATATCTTCTAGTCAGACATAATCCACATAAATATATCCTTCAATAAGTTCGTTTGTTTACGTTTATTTCTTGACTTTATTCGATGGCCATTTAAAGTCACGTGATAACGTTTTATAGTAACAGTTCCACCTGAATTTGGTCATGTGACAGTCACGTGTTACATTGTTTCAAAGTCCAAGCCCATCAGACTGTTTTTTGCGCATACCGGTCATCTCGTCAACTCTTGCAAGTAAAATGGCGCTTTCAAGGGCTGTTAATGGTGTATTTATTGTAGCTGCAAAGAGAACAGCTTTTGGAACATATGGAGGAAAACTAGCTGGACTAACTTCTACAGATCTCGCTAGTTTAGCTACACAAGGAGCTCTGGCTTCAGGCAATGTTAATCCTGAAATAGTCAACTCTGTGACGTTTGGAAATGTTATCCAATCTTCAAACGATGCAGCTTATTTAGCACGTCATGTTGGTCTTAAGTGTGGTGTTCCAACAGAAAGTCCAGCTCTAACTGTGAATAGATTGTGTGGGTCAGGATTCCAAGCCATTGTTAATGGGGCTCAGGAGATAGAACTTGGAGAATGTGATGTAGTTTTAGTTGGGGGGACTGAAAATATGAGTCAAGCCCCCTTTGCTGTACGTAATATCAGATTCGGTACCAGACTAGGGCAGGATTTAAAGCTGGAAGACACACTATGGGCAGGGCTTACAGACAGTTATATTTCACTACCAATGGGTATAACAGCCGAAAACCTAGCCAAAAAATATAACATAACTCGTCAAGAATGTGATGAATTTGCCTTCAAAACTCAGACACGATGGAATGAAGCAAATCAGAACGGCTATTTTAAGGCAGAAATAACACCAGTGAAAGTAAAAGGCAAAAAAGGGGAAGAAGTATTTGAAGTAGATGAACATCCTCGTGTTACATCTGTTGATAAATTAGCCAAATTGCCAACTGTTTTCAAAAAAGATGGAACAGTTACAGCTGGGAATGCCTCTGGTGTCTGTGATGGAGCTGGTGCATTAATATTGGCGAGTGAAGCAGCCGTCAAGAAACATAACTTAACACCATTAGCACGTCTTGTTTCTTATGGGATATCAGGATGTGATCCATCTATCATGGGAATTGGTCCAGTGCCGTCTTCAAAGGCAGCTTTAAAAGCAGCAGGACAGGATTTGGGTAAAATGGATCTGGTAGAGGTGAATGAAGCTTTTGCCCCCCAATTTTTGGCTGTGGCTAAAGAACTTGGACTAAATATGGATATTACAAATGCTTGTGGAGGTGCTATTGCTTTGGGCCACCCTCTAGGTGCTTCGGGAGCTAGAATAACAGGCCACCTCACTCATCAACTGAGGAGAATTAATGGCAAATATGGTCTTGGAACAGCATGTATTGGAGGTGGTCAGGGAATTGCTGTTGTTCTAGAAAAGCTTTAATAATATGACTTGACAGTCCATTTACATTCATCTTTTGTACATCAGTTGTTATTAAAAAGTTTAAAGAAAATAAATATTTATACCATTATAAACCACGACAAGTGAAAGAACCCTAGATTGGGTAACAATAAAATTTAGTACCCAGTCTAGAAAATTTTCCTGGAAAAGGACATTAACTTACAAAGTTGTTACACTATTGTATTTATGGCAGTCTATCAGTCTATATTATTGCAAGAGCACCAAGAGCATACGTATCTGGGACCCCTCAAAGTTTAGGGATGTTTTAATTACTGAAACAGGCAGGATGTATATTAATTTGTGTATCATTCATGAATTTGTAAGTGTAACTTTTATCAAATATTTTTGATACTAGTCGACCTCTAAGCCATTATAAAATGGGGTTTAGCGTCCTGTCCTACTCCGACTGGGTTAATGAATACGGGCATACAACATGCTGTGTGCTATGTGGGAAATTTTGCCTGGACAGCGGTCTACTAATTATTTTGAATTCCAACTGTCAATGGTTCTTTTATGTGCACACCAGTCTGTACATGGGAGAGGAAGTCAGTTTTTTGTCACATCCGAATGACTATGCATTTTCCCTTGCCCTACACTACTGATAAGTGGGAACCACACTAAAAAATCCTAATGAACTTTCTCTCTGCCAACATCTGCATCGAACACAAACTCCCAGTTAGTTAGCCAACGCCTTAATCTCTGAGCGAGTATTGTGTAAACTATAGATAGAAAGTCTTGTTACCCTATACGAGCTGAACCAATTTGATTTTTGATCAAGTCTGGTGCTCATTCTGATGACTGTTCAAATGAGGAAAATCTAGACATTTTATATAAGTTGTAGTGTTTGAGTGCAGCTTATTTAGAAGTAGATCATTCCTGTAACAAATAGACAGAGGAACCGTATGCAAGTTCTTTTAATTTCATTTTCAACTTCAACACCATTTGATCAATCTATAGTCCAATGTAATTTGGTAGGGTATTTTTTTTTTATCGACCCCATTTGGTAGTAATTATAGATTTGCTCAGACAAATACAGGGTGCATTTATAGATGTTATCTGCATAAATAATTTGAGAAATTGTTCACAAGTGACTTCATTTTTGAGCTGCATTATGAATATTTTGAAATGCAGTCAGATGGAATGGGCACCTGAAGCATATCCAGAGGATAATGCGAGCGGACTATACTATATACCGAAACAACCGGAAAAAAACCATGTTATACTGAATGCTGGAAAAACACTAAATACCGGAAAACACCCTAAATAGGTAACCTGGATCCTAACCCTACCAATTTTGACCAAACACAGAATAGATTGATTTTGCACACAAGGTTTTTGAGTTTTCTTCATCTAAATCCGTTATTTTAATAGTTTTTTGGTATTCCACTTAAATTTTCTTTTCAGATTTTTTTTAGAATTTCTTTTCCAAAAGTTTTCTCCCCAAAAAATTTCCCAAAATTTCTTTCCAAGTATTTCTTTTCGTAATTGTTTTCTGTAAAATCATTTTCTTCAGAATTATTTTTGTTAACCTTTTTTTCGTAAAAATTTGAATAAAAATGGAAATTGTTTTTGGGCAGGAAATTTTTTTTCTGAAGAAAAAAAAATTCAATAATATTTATAAAATGGACATCGTAATGACCTTGACCTTCCTTCATTGTCGCTCACCTGGTCAAAAACCGCACACAGAGGACCAGGCTCCGGGTTGCCTGTTTAGGGTGTTTTACAGTAAACCCCATTTCATTTCATTTCCGGATTCTAAATGAAGTGGGAGGTACGGTGGCCAAGTAAGTAGGAAGTTTGCTCGCTAACTTCATCGGGATTTTTCTGGCGGGGTTGCCCTTGTCAGTGGTTTAAGACAGAGGGCCTGGCAATGGACAATGTATAGTCGTTCAAATGGTACAAAAAAAAAAAAAAAAGAGGTCCGGTGTCCGGAATCAAAATCAAGTGGGGGTTACGGTGGCTCAGCGAGTAGGATGTTTGCTCTCTAACTTCATCCAAGTTCATGGGGATTTTTCTGAAGATATCCACCCTGGCAAAGGACAAAAAACCATGGTCCACATTGTCATTAGCGTTGGGGATCTTTCATTGATTCAAGTGGCTCGTTTTTGATTCGCTGCTTGAATGTGTAGCCTATGTTTTCTCCGGGTCTTCCCCACTCCTAAGAACCTTACACACAAGCAAATTATTGAATAAAATTGTTAGTCCTGAAATGACCTGGTTTGTGTTCGCATTTCATCATAAGGTCTGTCATTGAGTCAACTGGCGCGGTATCGATTCCTCGCTTGTACGTGACAAGGGCTAGGTTGCCTTGTCATGTATAAGTGGGGAATCGAAACAGAGCCCCCGCCAATGTGTACACCGATCTCGGTTTTTCATGCCATCCAAACGACATGCTGTACCTTGCCAGGCCTTCCCCCTACACCACTGACAAGGTGATGAAGAGAGCAAACGCCCTACGCACCATCAGCCACCACTTCATTTCAAATCCGGACAAGGAACCTGTCTTTTTTTTCATCCCACCCTTCCTTCACCACTGACGAGGGTGAACTTTGATGAAATGAAATGAAATAGGGTTTAACGTCCTACTGTTCTGTTCCGACTAAGCATACCCAATACAGTGTGCTATGAGAGAAATTGTGCCCTACTCTCACATCGAATTCCATGTGCTAACGGATCTTTTGAGTGCACGCCAAAGTATACACAGGGCCTCAGTTTCTCGTCCCATACGAACGACTAGACAGCTGTCCTTGTAAGGCCCTCTGTCCTGCACCACTGACAAGGGGAAACCATGCCGGAAAATCCTCAACTTTCGACCAATGCAGGGATCGAACACATGACCTCCAGGCTAGCGAGTATGGTGGCTGAAAGCGTCCATTTAGATCGGCGGGTTTCTAGATACAACGCGAGAGTCGCCGTTAAGCCAGCACGACGAAAAAGGCGCCGATCGGCGACTTTTTCGTCGTACTACCTTATCGGCGACCCGCGACTTTCACAACACGAGAGTCGCCGTTAAGCCACGCGCCGAAAAAGTCGGCGCCTTTTTCGGCGACTTGCTTAACGGCGACTCTCGCCTCGGAACTTTATTGTTAGTTACATGTGCAATGGCTACATTTTACATGGCGACTTTTTCGTCGTACTACCTTATCGGCGACCCGCGACTTTCACAACACGAGAGTCGCCGTTAAGCCACGCGCTGAAAAAGTCGCCGAAAAAATCGGCGACTTGCTTAACGGCGACTCTCGCCTCGGAAGTTTTTAGTTAGTTACATGCGCAATGGCTACATTTTACGCACACAGATCACCAAATATTTCTACGCCGTAATGTAGGGCGAAAGTTATTTTTAGTCTTTCTCTCCCTTTCCCCCCTTTTGCATGGCGATTTTTGCTTTAGAATCGAAGAAATGGGTTTGAAAATACATTTTCTGCCAGGTTTTGGTGAATATTCATGATTTTGAGAGGTCGGTTAGGTTGAAATGTAGGGCCGAAAATTGCACGTTTACTTGTCCCTACTCCCAGCTTGTGTATTTCAAGTTTTTCATGGTAAACCTCATACATGCTTTTGTGCAAGAGTTTGCCACATTTTGCTCCATCTGTGGCAGAAAGTAGGCTAGCCTACAAGTCCTAACTCATCCAAAAGCTCCTCCATTTCATATACAAGAAGTAAAATGTAGCCATTGCGCATGTAACTAACTATAAACTTCCGAGGCGAGAGTCGCCGTTAAACAAGTCGCAGATTTTTTCGGCGACTTTCGGCGCGTGGCTTAACGGCGACTCTCGTGTTGTGAAAGTCGCGGGTCGCCGATAAGGTAGTACGACGAAAAAGTCGCCGATCGGCGCCTTTTTCGTCGTGCTGGCTTAACGGCGACTCTCGCGTTGTATCTAGAAACACGCCGATCTAAATGGACGCTTTCAGCCACCATAAGCGAGCCATAGCGTCTTACACACTTAGCCACCATGGCTCTGAACTTTGAGAGCAAACGATTCCCGACATGGGGCCAAGTTTATTTTATCCCATCCGAATGACGACTATACGTTGTCCATTGCCAGGCTCTCCGTCCTGCACCACTGACAAGGGGGAACCACGCATGAAAAATCCTGTTGAACTTTAATGAGTTTTGAGAGCAAACACTCACTGAGCCATCAGATTGACTATACATTGTCTCTTGTCAGGCTCTCTGTCCTACACCACTGACAGGAATGAAAAATTCTGATCTTTGATGAAGTCTGAGAGCAAACGTGCTACTCTCTGAGCCTCCATTGCTCCCAATTCATTTAGATTCCGGAACACAGGACCTCAGTTACTTTTATCCTATCCGAACGACTAAATGTTGTCCCTTGCAAGGCCCTCGTCCTACACCACCATTGCTCCTACTTAATTTCGATTCCGGACACAGGACCTTAGTTTTTATTATCCCATCCGAACCACTATTCGTTGTCCCTTGCCAGTCTCTCCATAGTGGCAGGGGGGGGGGGGGGGGGAGACCACGCATGAAAATTCAGGTCAATTTTGAACCAAGTGGTTTCTAATTGAAGTCCCCAAAAATACAATTTGCACCCCCTCTCACAACGGGAATCTTATACACATTTAAGAGGTGTGCGGCGGCATTAAAAAGTGATGCTTTTACCAGACTCTTTAAGAAAATCATTTATATCAAAGTGATCTATTTCCCACCCATTTTATCCCCCCACTCTTTCATCCACGTAAGCATGCAACCCCCCTACAAATCAAAATACATTATCATTTATGTTACATATTTACCCTCAATTGTTAACTGGGACAAGTCTGTGCAGAAATCTGGAGGGACAATTATTGGATTTGCACTACAGAAACTAGAATAATTGGGGCTTTGAGCAAACGGCCCCTTAACTGTGCAGCTGAAATTTACAAGATGGGTAGGAATTGAATAGTGGTCATTCGACAACAATGAGTACCAGGAAAATTTTGACCCGATTGGGGTGCATCCTGGTTAAGCTTCAAAGTCTTGGAATCACTTTAAATCCCAAAACCGGGTTAGTATCTTAATAATAATGCATTATACAAACATTTCAACCCCTGCCACTATGGTATATGAAAC